GAAACCACGAAACCATGAAACCATGAAACCATGAAACCATGAAACCACGAAACCACGAAACCACGAAACCACGAAACCATGAAACCCCGAAACGAACCATGAAACCACCATGAAACCCCGAAACGAACCATGAAACCACGAAACCACGAGCCCACGAAACCATGAAACCACGAAACCGCGAAGCCATGGAATTGAATTTCGGGGGAAAGGGCTTAAAATCAAAAGTTTTTGGATCTTAGCATTTCAAACTCTCGAGGTTCGCTCTCAAAATGGCGAAAAATGTGGAAAATTTTCGAAATTTGAAAAAACGCGAATCCACGGAATTAAATTCCAGGCAAAGGGCTTAAAATCAAAAATTTTGGGATCTTAGCGCTTCAAACTCTCGGGATTCACTCTCAAAATGGCGAAAAATGTGGAAAATTTTCGAAATTTGAAAAAACGCGAACCCAAGGAATTAAATTTCAAGCAAAGGGCTTAAAATCAAAAATTTTGGGATCTTAGCACTTCAGACTCACGGGATTCACTCTCAAAATGGCGAAAAGTGTGGAAAATTTTCGAAATTTGAAAGACGTGAATCCAAGGAATTAAATTCCAGACAAAGGCCTTAAAGTCAAAAGTTTTGGGATCTTAGCACTTCAGACCCACGGGATTCACTCTCAAAATGGCGAAAAATGTGGAAAATTTTCGAAATTTGAAAGAACGCGAATCCAAGGGATTAAATTCCAGAGAAAGTGCTTAAAATCAAAAATTTTGGGACTTTAGCGCTTCAAACGCACGGGCTTCACTTTCAAAATGGCGAAAAGCAGAGAGTTTTGGGATCTTAGCCCTTGACTTCAAACGCACGAGATCCAATCCCAAAACGATGGCAAAACGTGGAAAATTCTCGAAATTTGAAAACGCATATCGCTTACGTCTTTGCCTTGCTTAGTTTCTTATTTTGGGGAGGGGGGGATCCTAGTGGGAGGGATGTTGTCGGACGCTCCAAGCTAGTAGAAACAGAGAAATTCAATCAGATTTCGTGACTATTAGCCTTTTTTGAATGAGTGAGAAAGAGGAGTATACGATTGTCGAATACAAATGCTTTGACTTCTTACCTAGATAGAGTCGAACTCGAAGAAGTTACAACTTCTTGTGCCATACTAGAAGTGAGTCGATAGCGAATATCAATAAATACATCACAACTTCTGCTTTTCCTTTTCCATACTAGGGTCCAGTATTTATAACTTCATTGGTTCCACCAGCACTTGTTCAAGCTGGTGCAAAATGTTTTTCCAAGTGAGATTGGGACTGAGCTTCTTTAGCTGCAAGACCACCTCGAATCCGTGCACGACTTATTTTGTCCTCAAATGCCTTCGTTGCATCTGCCCTAGCTGCTACTGCTTGCGCTTTTTTTAGAAGTCTAAGAAAGTTATAGAGGGGGCGAGTAAGAATGAAGAAGTTGGAATTCATTATAACTCATCAGGAAAATAAGTAATCACGAATCTTAGCCATCTTTATACACTTGGATATACAGAAAGACCAGTCATTCCTTGGATATTCAAAGCCAGGAAAATGACAATACAGAGAGACAAGTGTAGTTCTTATACCTGTATCTATGGACAAAGAAAACAAGTCTCAGTATCCTGTATGTACTCGAAAAACTAAAATAAGCGAGTAACAGACGAGAATAACCGAGATACTGATGAGAAGGAAGAGTAGCCTTGATGTTAAGCTACCAACCTCCCTTGCCTTATTTCAGTCAGTAACTCGGATATTTTCATTTTGAGTTTTCGAATATAAAGATGGACAAGATTCAGTTCCAACTCGTCGGTGGCAACCACAGGAATCTTGGCCATCTTTTCTGCTGGTACGTAGTGGTAAACCAACTTCTACACGGTAAAGCCTTAACTCTTCTGCTGCCCTCGCGGCTTCTTGTGCTTGCTGCGCTTTCGCGGCTAAACGTGCGGCGAGCCCAGCCGTATGATTCCGACCAGGGGGTCCCCGAGGCGGGTACCTACAATTGACAGGAGCATCTTTCTCTTTGTTGTTCTCTTTTCTGTGCTTTTTCGTGCCTGCTTTCGCGTCACCACGTTCCTCTCTAGATTTTTTTCTTCCTGATGAATCTGACTTCGACGACTTTTTCGACTTCGACGATTTCTGCCTGCCATGTGCAGATCCATGTATCGAGTCACGTCTACTGGAAGACGCAGAGGACTCTGTATCCATCTCATTCTTAGAGCTCAAAACCATTCATTTCTTGCTCCCTTCATTCACTCTCCCAATTGTCCTAAGGAGGAAATTAAGAGGGAGAAATCGAAATGGGTCGTAGAAGTGACTGGTAAGCTTGAGAGAAGAGCCAAGAAATACGAGGAAAGTGAGTGAGTCTACAACTACGTTGTACTTACTTAAAATTTAAATATATACAAGGGTCGTAGAAATGAATTAACATTAAGAGCCATAACATGATTGAGAGTAATGATGTCATTGTTCTTTGTGATCGTGGATGAAGACGTAGACGAAGACAAAGATCCGCTTGTTTTTATAGACACACTACTTTTCGGAGAAGATGCACGACTTGTTGGAGATGTCGGGTGGACTCCTGGGCCACTCGCACCGCGCACTTCACTAGGACCAGCACCAGCCACTGCACCAGACCTCTCAGAAGATGACACTACAGCACTATTGCCAGTGTTCCCACCATTGCTCCCAGATGCGTTCTCATTGTTCGCAGATGCCTTAGATACCATCCTCGAAGTTGTCAGTAAATTTGCAGACTTTGCGAGACCTTGTTGCTTTTGTGAAGAAGACTGTTCTCCTGATGGATTTTTACATGGAGTCTGCTCTTGAGATGCTCCTCTAACAGTAGCAACATCTTGCTCGTCATCCTTCCCATGTGGTGACACAATGGCCATTTTGGCCATTTTTAGAGTGTGTGACCTGTGAGCTCAGCCTAATTATCCATCTCCAAGTCCATAATCCTGAGACTGTTTCCGCCGAGTTGAAAACGTCTCTAAGAATAAGATGCTGGCTCTGAAGATGGCCATTAGGGGAAGGAGCCGTAACATTTGCATGTAATTTTCAACATACTTTTGCATCTCTAGTCGTTTCGTCTGTTGATGTGTCTTGTGAATGGAAACTTTATTGCTCTGTGACTTGTCAATGTTCTTCATCTTTCTGGCAGGGTCCTCTGGCTCCAAACCGAGCAGTTCATCAATATTAGCGACGGGGTTTCAGTGTTTGTGCTCCCCGTTTGTTGTGCTCTTTGTTTCCCCGTTTGTGGGACGAGAGTCAAAACAACCAGTAACAAAAACACCAACAACCTATAATGCTTAACAATAGTCATCTCCTCTTCTTCAGCTACGTGTCCTTCAGCGTAATTGCCTTGAAGATTATGCTGTGAATGTGATGTTGAACTAGCAGAAGAAGTAGTACTCGCGTGATCCGGATGAACGTCAGGCGGGGATACAGGAGTCATCTTGGCACCAGGGACGTCGATATAGGCGTCATAGATATTCTCGTTGGAAAAAATGTTGTTCTGCTTGTCACGACCTGTTGTTGACCATGTTGAACTCGATGCAGAAATAGAATCTCCTACACCAGGTCCAGGAGCGCCACTAGTAAAACTGGGACAAGAATGCTGTGTATGATGTCCCTCTGCCTCTAGTCGTGACGGAGCACCAGTGCTGCTGGGTCGTGAAAAACTACTATAATAATCACTAGTTTGGTGTACTCGTCGGATTCTTCCAACTTGAATTTCCTTAGCCGCTTTTTTTAGAAGCTGCATTTCTTCAGGTTTAGGGTCGTCTCCAGGTATATCATGTTGCCCTAGTTGTAAACTATTAGGAACTACATCACCAGCACCAGCAGCGCGCAGTTTCGACATGTTAATATGATGCTGCGCCTGCAATGCTGAAGGTGGCGGCCCCATTTCCATTTTGATCCGCGTGCGCTTATCTTCACTAGAAGTACTTACAGCAGTGCCAGTGCTGGAAGTAGACTGCTCATTAGATTTTCTCAGATCTTGATGCTGTATAGGACGACGAGAATCATGTATTGTAGTAGTTGGCGAAGTACTAGAATTACTAGAAGTAGTTGTCTCTTGTTGTACTTGTACTACACCTTCGCAGAATGTGCCTGTTCTTCGCAAATGTGCCGGTTGTTGATTCTGATGAAAGTAAAGTTGCTGATGATGCGGATAGTAGAACATAGCAGGCGTTTGCTGAACAACAAGATTTGTACTTCCTTGTAATTGAGGAGCAGGAGCCAGTAGATAGGGGCTTGCGCCGCCCGATACAACTTGAGAAGTTGTCGTGCCCACTAATGGAACTCCAGGCGCGCCGATCATCGTCATGCCAACCCCATTAGGCAGTGTAATTTAGAGGAAAAGCACGACCCTGGTACATATTATACTAGGAAGTCTGTCTTTCTACTGACGCTCTTAGAAATTAGTACAGGAAAAAAGTAAGAAAATAAGGGTCTTCACTTGTACAGCCATAATGTTGTTGCAAGAGGAGTTGTGAGCGGATATCAGCACTAGGATAGAAGACGCTCGACGGACTGGGCAAACCTGTTGCTCCTCCAACTCCGTCTTCATGACCCCCTGGTGGATCATCGTGAACCAGTGGCCCAGCAGGAGGAGCATGCAAGTTCTGCAGACTTGTTACATTAGCGGCCCAGGGATAAAAAGGAACAGCGCTGGCGTTTCCGTGGTCGGGTGTCAAAAAAGTCGCCAAAGGAGTAGGACTAGAGCTAGACGAAGACGAGGAAGTTTTGGAATTGGATGATATTGATACTGCTCCGCCACCAGGAGCGGCCCCACTAGCCCCATTAGAAAGTGAACGATGCCCGTCGTCGCTATATTGGGATTTTACTCCTGTAGTACTTGTCTCTGTAGTACTTCTTTCTGGACTTTGAAGAACATGTACTGCTGCAGTTCCTCCAGCAACCGCTGCTTGATTTGCGTATTGTTGTTGCAGCTTTAGCCTAATCTGCGCCTTCGCCCCTTTTACCCAATTCGAAGCTGAGGCTTCCACTTTTTCTCCTCTTCTTGTCGCACCTGATGATGTCCCATCAGAATTATTACTCTTCGACGAGCAAGCAGTCTTTGAATTAGCATCCCTTTTCACTGCCGCGGCCAGGAGTCTGTCCTCTACCTCCTTTCGCGTAATGGTCCTTGATGCTTCCTTGCTGTCCGTTTGCACCGAATCGGAGTTGCCCTCCTCATTATCACCCGGCTCCTGCTCTTGAAAATCGAACCAACCTGGCAAAACAGAAGGGCTTCCCAAAAGCGCTGCAGTTGAAGGCCTAGAGGGTGGGGATGCAACATTGTTAATCGGTGAATTATGCTTCAGGAGGATGAGGATTAGGATCTTCGGATTTAGAGAATCACAATGGCAATGGCTAAAAAACCTGGAAAAGTTATGAAATCAAATCCATGATGTTGATTAAATCTATAAGTAATAAGTGGGTAGAAGTACTGATTTTCATCGGTCGCTGCGGCAGCTGTAGGATCTCCGTACGCCATCGACGTTGCATTGAACTGGTCGTAGGTGTTAAACAGTGGTAGAGCCCTATGTGGCCCGAGCCCTCCTTGGCGACGAATGTCCGCGACGAGATTCGTCAAATCCTCAGAGGTCCATCGATCGTCTGCAAAGCGGCTCCGAAGGTCAGGCAAACACGTCAGATAGGCCTCGATAGCTGCATGTAACGCTACGTGCGGAGTTACAACAAGTCGCGGTTTCATCCTGCTCTTGTTCTCCTCTCCTCGTTCGTGCGAGCTTGTTCCATCGTTGTGCTTCGTTTCGCGATCTTCGTTTTTGCCACCTTCTGCATTCAACTCGACTGAATGGAAACTACAGCTCGACTCTGATCGACTTCTGCACTGCGTTTCTCCACCACCACCTTGTTCATGATCTTTTCCTCCATCGCCTTCCTCCTTCCCACCACTACCGGTGAGCAAACTTTTACGTAAATATCCACCTACTTCTTTCGACCACGTTTCTTCAGGGTTCCGTTCAGGTGCACTAAAATTGTTGGAGGTCTCCGCCTCATCTTCCTGGCGGATATATTCTTCCACGATATCCTCCTGACGCATGTACTCTTCTACAATCGACCGCTCGTAGGTCAGTCCGTCACCAAGATAGACAGGGTCCCGCAGTAGTCTGCCGGTAAATGCGCACAGAAAATCGTGGGGAATCGGGAGTAGCATAGGATGCAGTGTCACGGGACTTTGGTGACATCTTTCGCCTTGCTCAAGTTCTTCAGCTTGCTCTTGTGCCGCAAAAAAGAGCTGGCGGTGAAGATTAGAAGGATGTTGTAATTGAGAATGAAAATATTCATTGGGTGAAACCTAATCAGCACTCAAAGCCATCATCTTACGTCCCTAGCTATATCAGCCATCCTCTAGTACTACTACTCAAAAGATTACTCTGCCTTAGTATAGTAGTCTTCTGCTGTCTCTATCTGATACTCCCCAAGTTGAGGCTCGATTGTGTCGGTCTGCTCACCAACGTTGGCCTCCTCCACGACACCTTTGTCCAGCAAAGGCGCCTGTTCAGTGCGCTTTTTAGAGCTCACCCTATCGTAATCCATCTCGAGATGCATTCTAGGCGCCTTTTCCGCTTGAAAAGGAAGCCGCTTGGGGATGCTTCCGAAGATGGATTAGGGGAAGCCTTAAGCTCTGGCTCTTCCGCAGGACCAAGAACAGAAGCAGGCTCTGTTCTGTCCTCATTGCTCGCGGTGTAGTTTGTTTCGTTGGCATTTCCTCTGCTATAGCTATTAATTGCAGTTCTTGTACTAGTACTCCTGTAGCGTGACTTCTTTATCCTCTCCTCAATTAACGTTGTCGAATCCTCCACTTTCTCATTCTCAGCTACACGTACATAATCCTGAAGGGAAGAACCACTACCAGGGTCCTCGTCTTTGCGGTAATTCCGAAGCGGACTAGAAAAAGGGTCAGAGTCTGCTCTAGGGATACCGCGACGGGTACCTGGACTTCGCATCCAAGCAGGAATTTGGCCTGATATCATTGTCTGGTGATGGTCTTATCACGACATCCACATGATATCATTGTCTGGCGATGTTATTGTTCGGACATCCTTTTCTTGGTTGTCTCGCGATGTTCTGGTTGTCACATCATTTTTGTGGTTCTTCACTTTCACTGGCACTTCACTGCAAGTTGCGTAATAGAAGAAGTCATTGTAGTCTGTTCTTGTCACGACATCGTTTTGGTTCTTCATCGCTTTTTCGACTTGCATTTCACTGCAATTTCCGTAATAGAAGCGGCGCCGCGTCTGGCTGTGGCGTACCGACAATATAGTATCGTGTCAACGTTGGTGCACGTGAGGCTCTCGGATAGGTCCTCCAACGTTGTGCTTCATCATGCGTGCTGCTTCTCCTAGTAAGTAGCCTATGATGCAGTGAGTAAAAGAATGACAATGGATATGTCAGCTCAAAAATCGTTCGTCCAGACGAAAGAGTAAGTATCCCTCCGATAGAGGCAAACACTTGTCTTGATCTTATTGAAGTTCGGCCCAATAAACTAGACCTCTTGATGATGATATTAGTCGACTCGGATTGGACCTACGAGACCTCATATTTTGTTTTTCTTCTGTCAGAATCTCCCAAGCGTCAATGCCAGAATTTCTTATTGTGCGATTTTTTCCTAGTTTCATTGGACGGAAGAACGCCCTAGATTGCCGTGAGAAACAAGCAGAGAATCCACGCGGAGGCGGATAGCCGGACACTCCAAATGCTAACAACCAGTAGCAAGTCAATATTAAGAGCAAAAAAAAAGCAACAACGCCCCCTCCAAAGCTCTCAACCTCCCAGACCCGAACCAAAAACACGCGACCCCCGTAGAAAATTTTTGCGCTGCTCTCTTCCCTTATCAACAAACGAAGCAACGAGCAAACAAACCCAACCCACGAACCCCGGTTCGCCCCACGAACCCCCGGTGGTTCATCCCACGAACCACACGAGCCCCGGCGGATCGACCCACGAACCCCGGCGGCCCGTCCAACGAGCCCCGGCGGCTCGTGCCACGAGCCCCGGCGGCTCGACCCACGAACCCCGGTTCGTCCCACGAAAAGATGGCCAAACCTAGCCAGAGGCCCGTAAACCCCCGGGCTACTATTCCGCGGGATGCCTCTTCAATGGCCGCACGCCGCCAAAAGCCCGACCCCTGTTCCACCGATCAACTCCGCCAGACGGTTGCCGCGTGGGGAAGGGGCCGGGAAAGCGGGGGCACGCTATGGCGGGGGAAGTGCGTGCAGAGGGTGGAGGATTCTAGTTGGAGGAGTGCTGCAGGGCGCTTAAGTCTAGTAATTCGGAGCAGCAGCAGCAACTGTGAAGAATCCATGATAAGAGGACACCACGCACACTTAGTCTTCAGTGAGTCATCATACAACAACACTTTTTCTTGTGAGAAATGTTATGATAGAAAAACCGGAACTTTCTGAAAAATGTTCAGAGAAATATGCCTAGAAGTAGAAAAAAAAAGTCTAACATCGTTTATAAGAAATCCCTAAAAAAGGTCTTTGATCTATCACGACCCTCCTACTGGCAACACGAGTATCTCCTTCGTGAAAGGAAAAAGGAAGGTTTGTTCCGCTTTGTCCTTTGCCTTGATATCTTTTTCTACAGGCGCTAAGGTCTTCTCTTCACGACTATCAACAGGATCCGCTTCATCTAGTACTGGATAACTTGATAGCCGAAAAGCGAAACGGTTAAGATCGTATCTGCCAGGCGACGAAAAATGAGCTACCAGTGAGATTTTCTCCACGTCTCCTGGCTTCAACGAGATCAAAATCTCACCACCTTCTCCTCCAAAACCAACATAATCCAACCTGCCAGGTGTCGCATGCTGCAACTGTTGTTCAGAAGACGTCCTCGCTGTGGCCGCTGCAGTACTGGTGCCAGTAGAGCTGCTAGTAGATAATGCTGGTCCTTGTAGTCCTTGAGATGCTGGCGTAGAAGCCACTTGCTCTGCTGAGATGGGTTTGGACGCAGACGAGGGAGCTGAACCTACTGCCTGCTTATTGGGAGTCACAACTGTGGCCGCTGGAGAAGATGTCGCTGCTACTGCTCCTGCCGTTGCAGTATTACTAACCTGCTTCTCTAGTAGTTGTCCACCTTTTACTGCTGATCCTGGTGCTCCTGCGTTGTTTGTAATCACTGTTGTAGTACCCGTTCCTCCCACCGCAGTATTCTTGTTCGCACCACCTCCACCACCAGAACTAGCAGTAGGTCTCAGACTCACGTAAAAATGACACGAGCGATGAAAGCTGACATTCTGAATGAAGAGCGAAACGTCGGAGAGAAGTAATCCTCCAACTTCAAAGTCTACTTTCGCTGGCGCTGAGATGGTCATTTTCAATGGCGCTAGACCCACATTGTATGACCGCAATCCTCGGATGAAGAAGTCACCGGCACGACTTATCTGAGACGTCATCTCCTGATGTTGTGGTGCTCGACTCGATGAAGAAGACGAAGGTTGTGCGACTTGCACCATTTTACTTGTTGCCTGTGATTCTTGCACGGCTTGTATTTGCTCCCATTCACAACAGAGATCGCAGACATCCTCGTCTTCCTGTCGCCAGTCCCAAAAGGCTGCTTTACCTCGCACCACTTGGCTTTCCGTGACATCTTCATTATGATTTGCTCCGCTCACATCCACAGTGTCAACTCCCCTGACATCCACAGTGTAAACAAAATGAGAACCATCCGAAGCTTTCTGCAGCGGCAATCGTAGCACCCGCCGACCAGAAATTCCTAGTAGCACTTCACTAGATCGAAAGGCAAAGCTGTTGATTTCTTCGGAACTGCTTTCCTGTTGCTGTTTCGCTAGAGTCAAAGCGACTTGCAACTTGTGAGCCAAAAACGTTGGGTAGAGTTGCGCTGTTACGGAGTATAGATATTTGACGAGGATTCTGTGTCGTACGCAGACCCAGGCACGACGCGAGGCCGAAGAGTGGTTTATCATGTTGTGCAGAAAGTGGTTTCTACTAGTGGCCAAGGTGGATGAATTTGAAGATCCACGAGATCCTAGGTGAGCATTATTTGCTGCTCTACCATGATGCACATTCATGTCTGCACTGTTAAGACTCGTTGCAGTAACGGCAAGCCCAGCTATGCGAACGCACATCGCGTCTGCCGCTTCGACGGTGCCTCTAGCAAAGAGCGAAACTGGGAGAGTCAAAGTTCGACGTGTGCGGCTTGTCTTGTAGGCCAGGGCCATCGGAGGGTGCAGCTGTCCCCCAGCACCTTTATTTAAAGGTTGAAACATTTCATTTTTTAGTCGCAATCTCAAGTAGAGAAGGCTTGTAAAAATGAAATGTTTCAACCCTTAATTTATTGATGTTTCCACCTCCAGAAGGAAGGCTTTCTGCATATATCAAGTCCACATCTTCTGTATTTCCGCCAGGTCCATCCTCGTAGTTGTCCACATCTATATCGTGGTCTCCATCAACACCACCAGAAGCGTGCGTCGAGAAGTCTCTCTCATACACGTTAGTCATGGTGTCTGCGAACTTCACTGCGTTTGGCGGATGCGCAACCAGGTAGATACGCTTGACAGCGCGACTTACCTCGACCCTCAACAAGACAGTGCGTCTCTCGCCAGCTACCATGGAGCTGGACGGCATATTTTCGAATTCAGCAGTGAAAACAGGCATCTTCGGGTCTATCTTCAGGGTTAGACGTTTGTCAGCCAAACGAGCAAAACCGAGTGCAGGTGATGGAGCGCTTACGCGTGCAATAGATGCTGCAGTAGAGGAAGGGCGATCGCCCAAGAGGTCGAGCATTTCAACTCCGGTTGGAAGAGGCTTGAGTCGCGTATTGCTACTCTGTTGTTGAGGTAGAAGACCTCTTCCGCCAAGACGAGGATCGTCTAGTAACCGAGAAAGATTTGACGAACTCCTAGACGCCGATCCTCGTGCACCCACGGCGCCACCGGTATTTAAGGTCGTGTGCTCAGAACCTTTAGTACCATTTTTAGCAACATGCACCAGTCGGCCAGTGACAGGATCAAGAGGAGTGAGGATGCGTTCCGGATTCTCCCCCAAGCGCCATGAAACACCATGGAATTGGAGATGTGGAGGCTGCTGATCTCCAGACCCTAGAAGAAGTTCCGACGAACTAGTAGTCATCGGAGAAGTAGATCTAGATGTAGAGTCTTTGATGACACAATAAAACTGCACTTTCTTGCGTTCGCGAGCGGAAAAAACTAGACTTTTCACTGGGAGCAGATACACAGTAATTTGCGGAGTGGGAATGCTACTGTCGGAAGTAGTTGGAGACGAAGGCGCTCGTTTGCCTCCAGGATCTTCGCACATGTGCACGATCTCTATATTACTACTGGCATTACTTCTACTTGTTCCTAGTGAAGAGGTCACTGGCGTTCCAGGCCTTCCTTCTTTGCTTTTCCCTCTACTAGTTGCAGCATGCTTGTGGTGCGTCGAAGATGTCACCACAGGTGGAGGCTCAACCAACCGAGCCATGATTAAAGGTCGAAACATTTCATTTTTTAGTAGCAATCTCAAGTAGAGAAGGCTTGTAAAAATGAAATGAAAATGTTTCAACCCTTAACATGAGACAGACGTCGTTAAGCGTGAAGCCACAATGCAGGTGATTGAAAAACGCGATTTCTACGGTGACACACGTGTTCACAGCTACTGTTCGTATATGAGAAACCTCCTGCCACCGTGTACACATCTTATCTCCTGCCTTGTGCGCCAGTTCGCGCAAGTCGTCGGATGTCAACTGCTCTAGTTCTAGATCCTCGAGTTCTACCCTAGAAGGCGGAGGTGAGGTTGAAGAGGAGCTGCCGCCTATTTGAAACTGCTTACTTGCAGCTGTTGTGGTAGGTGTGCCTCTGCCTGCATTGAGTACATTGTCTACAACCCTATTGCTAGAAGAGAAAGCGCTGCCGGCACTCTCCTCAGCCTTGCTGAGAAAAGCATTTTTCATCTCGTCTCCAACTTCTTGTTGAGCTTCTTCATTCGATTCTCGATGTAGCAACTGTTGTTCTTCTTGCGTCAAAGTCTGCCCATCTACTGATTGCGCCACGCCACCAGAGCATTGCCGCAGCTTTTCTTCATGTGCATCATGCGACAGCCTCTGAAGGCGTTCTAATTCTAGAGAGCAACTTGGGCTGTTGGAAAGCTTTCCACTGCCACCAACGTTCTTGAATAGGTTAGACCCTCTACTTCCACCGCTGACGCTCAAGCCCACAACAGCACTCGCGACTAAGGGCGATGAGGCTTTGCGTTTCGTACTTTGAATCAGATCCACTTGTTTGTCTACCTCAATAGGCGTCTTCTGAGAAGAAGCATTGACCAACAAGCGCTTGCTTATGACAGCTGCAGTCTGACTCGTCTGTCCTGCCGATGCAGTAGATGACGAAGCCTCACCTCCCTCCGCTGTAGACAACATGGACGTGGAAGAAGGAGTGGGCGCGCCTGAAGCAGAAGTTGTGCCGTCATCAGCGTCTTCTTTATCTGATACAGGTGGTGACTGAAAGTCATCCGCTGCAACGGATGAAGTTTCAACGTCATCGTCTTCTGCTCTTTGCTCCTCGTCTACGTCTTCATATTGATTCAGACTCACGTCTCTTCTACTTCTTCCTTCAACCTCCTCAATGTTGCCCTTCATATCAGCAAGAAGATCTACATCTTCGAGCCCTTGTGACATCGGTGCACCACCTTCTGTCGTCCCTTGTCGTACTACGTGTTTCTGCTTAGCCATATTCACCTTCACAATTTCACAATGACGTGAGAGCAGAGCTGCTGCTAAGACTTCAAACGTCACTCGCCTTTGCTCGTTGTACAGAGAGCTGCCTGCTGCGCCATACATCTGGAGCAAATGCAACGAAGATGAACTGTTAGTTGTACTCGATGTTGAGTCGCCCTCAAGGTACACGAAGACATTATCCGAAACTGGTGTATCGATTCGCGGCACTGCCAGAGGCAAATGAGAGACGACAGAAGATGCTGGAGCAGTCAGGAGAGATGTAGGTGTAGACGAAGGGGAAGATGTAGCTGCAGACGAGGCTGAAATATTTTCCTCTTGCTTTTCGATTTCGTCAGCTGTGGTCACGTCTTTGTCGCTAACGGCCCTCTTGTCCCCCGAATCCTTGTAATAGATAGACCTAAACCATCTTGGTGGTATTGGCTCGAAGAGTCCTTCGCCCATGCTCTGGCGTCCGGAGAGCCACGCTGAACCAAGGCAAAACCATTGCGGAGTGACTTCTGGTGCAGTTGCACGACTCGACGATCCAGAAGAAGATGTCGCCGATGATGAACTACCTTGTTGTACTAGCTTCGCAATCGTATTTTGTTGCGCTTTTAGCGTTGCTTGAAACTCGCGTAAGTAGGTCAATTCGCGTTCGTTTCCAACACTAGTGCCAGATGTTGATGCAGCAGTTCCGAGTTGCTGATAACTCGACTGTGCGCCGCCACTTACACCACCACCACCAGCAGTCCTAGACCCCATTTGTCCTGCGCACGTGACTAGGCTGTGAAAATGCAGAATAGCCTCTGGAAACAATCCTAATGCGTAGCAGTGTCTAGCCATGGTGAATCGCACGTGATCCACAATGTGCCGCCACCCAGTCCATACTGCAAACCAGTACACGAGCGCGTAACAACGTAAGGCGAGTCGCTGTAAACGTGCACGTTGAAAGGTGTGTCCTGCAAGGACCAGATGAAACGCGGATTTACGTGGCCATCCAGCACGACTGAACAAAATCGCAGCTTGCTCTAGGAGCAAACCGGATTGAATACTATTATCCGCTGGAAGGTCGCTGCTGCCTCGGACGACGAGCTTTGCCGTGTCCTTGAGCAGTGTCTCCACAAAGGAAGGAACGAGGAAGTGGGGATAAAAAGTAGAAGCGCTGCCTGTTCCCGGTCCATCAGCAGAAGATGCGTTGATCAAATTTGAATACATTGCTGCAGTCAAGATTGAAGATGCGGGAGACTGTTGATGCGCTCTGCTCATTGTTGTTCTCTGCTGGGAAGCCAACTGAGCCAACAACTGCGGATCAGACACAGGTATCGCCTCTCCCTGAAAAACACACTCCACAATCTTCAACAAGTATAGCAAAACCCGAGTCGCAAGACTACTCTTTCCAGCTTTGGCGTAGAACTCACACGCATGCTGCAAGCATTTCTGCCATTCACTCTGTTGGTATTGTTCACCCCCAGCGTCGTTCATGTACCCACCTGCCGATGAGCTGTGAAGGAAACTGCAGAGCCCCTGCAATTCATAGCACCCACCGACATGACGCCAGTTGCGGTCCTGCTTGAAATCGGCAATCAGACTCTTGTAGTAGCCGGCGGCCTGCTCGTACTCGCGCAAGTGGAAACATAAGTCTCCGGCTAACCGCATCTGGCCCTCAGAGGTGTTCAGATTGTAGACGGCTAAAGAGGAACTTGTAGCAGAAGAAGCTGACGCCGAGGCACCACCTCCATGGATTTTCCCACCTCCTCCACTACCAGGTCCGGTGTTGAACGTCACTTGTTTGACACTACTAGTTGTACTAGCAACTTCACCTCCTCCAACAAGTGCCAGATTGTCACTGCTAGCTGCTATTTGTTCTCTAGGTTTTCGAAACAAACGGCTCATCGTGTTCTGAAACCCACGACGCGAGGCACTGATTTGAGCATCTAGCATCGAGAGTTTCCTTTCTATCCAAGGCACTGCCATTTGGGTCACAAAGTTTTTCACCACAGTTTGGATCTCATTGCAATCCGCGATCGTTAAACCAGCTAAGAAATTCTCCCTCTGTTCCGAGCTTGGCCGGTTGGTTTTCAAGAAGCGAGTTTGGAAGAAATTGGCAACCCCAAAGCTGTCGTCTACCACCTTAGAAGAAGTCAAACTCTGTGGTGCGTTCAGTAAGGAGTTGCGCCGATTCAACCTCAACACTGCAACGGAAGCCGGATTGAAGGTACTCCGCATTTGAGCCAGCATCTGGTCGAGCACTGTTGTGCTCGGACTTTGAGGATCTCCCATGTCGTGAATAAGCACTTTCAACCGAGGAGCATTGCCTTGAGATTAGAAGGAGAGAGAGAGAAGGCCGTTTTTATGCTTGAGGAGGTGGCTGTGGTAGTTCTTTGACTTTGTGATGATCACCCGACCGTGTAATAAAGTCAACGACGGGCGGATCACATGAAAAAAAACCAACTCTAACTCCTTCCTCTAATCAAAATCTTGCCCTTAATCAAGCACCCCCCTTCGACACAAGGTCGGGTTTGTGTTCAGGTGCAAAATCTGCTGAAAAACGGCCAACGGATCCGGTTCTTTGCTGGAGACGCAGAAAAACGTACCAAAAGGTTGAAACAAGCACTCATGTTCCTGAAATCTAAAGCAATCGCGCAAGTAGGCGTCGCGCCACGCCGAGAACCAAGGAGTGGTCAGGTAACTCGAAACATTTGTAGAGGCGGAGTTGGTACTAGAAATGCTAGATGCGCCAGAAGATGACGCTCCACTTGCTGCACCACTTGCGCAGGTACCGAAATTTTTCCCGTGCAATTTCGAATTGCTCGAGGTGCTACTCCCGCTACTATTCACTGCGCTTGCATTGTGTGAAGACGAGGACGCCCCTCCTCCAGCACCTCCCGTAGCACTGCTGCCCAATGCCTTGTTTCCTAGGCAGTGTCTCGCCTCGACTTCTTCCTTAAGGCACCATTCTCTTCGTGCGGCAGTCGTGCGGTTCTGTACAGGACATTTCGCTTCCATCTGCAGCAAGGTCTCCTCTCTCAGTGGTAGTGCAACCTCGGTCTCTACTAGCGCAGGGTCTAGCTGCTGGTCTCGGTCGACTTCGGAATGGTCTAGGAATGCCACCTAGGAGAACAAGTATGGAGCAGTAGGAGAGCCAGGGTTAGGCTAGAACAACAACGAGTACAACCACCTCAATTTACATTTACTGTTGTAGCTGATGCTCATGCTGAACGATACCCGCTAGTACTAGCAGGGACAAAATTTTTACAAGAACAAGCTACTTCTTACGTAGCAATAATATGAGTATTTAGATAAGTAGTACTTTGAAGCTTTCTTGTTGCATGAAAGTTTCTCCGATAGTGTAGCTGACGGGAATATTCGCCACGTGTCCGCCGAAAGGACTGAAGAGTTCTGCCAGCGACAACCCATTCGTCCGATTTACTACCTCCGCAGCAGCCTCCGTGCCGACTACAATCACACTGGGCAGGAGAATCTCTCCATGAAGCCATCTTTGGAAGGCGGCCACCGGGTGGACTTTGGGCGGAAAGGCAGCGCTGTCGTGGTTGCCACTGCCAGATCCTATCGCCGCTTGTTGAGTGCGTTGTTGACTCATGGTGGGCAGGCAAAGACGTCGAGAGCAGAACGACCTGAGGATTTTACATCATTTGCATGTGCGACATCGATTGGAACATTCTTTTTCCAACCTTAACGAAGATGATGTAATCAAGCGCGGCCTCAACATTTTTGTTTTTCATTTTTTCAACCAAAGAAGTTACATAAACGCCTCCGCCTCCTCACTTGTCCTTTCGACAGAAGAAAGAGAAACCTCCTCGACACCTAAACCTTATCCTACCTAATGCTTTTCTGGATTGCTAACTTTTTTTGTAAGTCGTGGTCTCAAACTTCTCGGGAATATGTCAATGTCTGGAACACCGAGATGAAACAGCTATGGTAATGATCCTTCGACGACTCGAAACAGCTATGGTAATGATCCTTCGACGACTCTAGGAGTGACTCTACTGATTACTACACGTGGTTCTTATCCTTATTCATTGAGGGTGGAAGAGATGATCCGTCGTTGTCATGTGCGTGGCTGCGTTTGCGTATGTAGTTCAAAATGCGTGTAGTCCAAGATGCGTACGTAGACAGAGAAAAAAAAATTGATTCGTTCCCGATACTATCTTATCCAACTTTTTTACTTTGTTTTCCTTCATCCCCTGGCCTTCCAATTCTTAGAAACAGATAGCTGAATTTCATCACATGATTCTCCCTAGATTTGTTGAATCAGTCGAAAGTTCCAACTCATTCCTATATTTCTTGCTCTCCCCGTCCGGAGCAGTCGTAGTTTCTTGATTCGCTTTTCCGTGCTTCCCCAGTAAATATTCGCCAGCAATGACCGGAGGATACTTGTTCTCCTCGCCCACGCAGCTTGCGAACGTTTCGATCACTGCATCTTCATTCGCATTGAAGAAGAATGCCACTGATTGCCGGCGGTTGCTTTTTTGCTCAGCGAATAGTTTCGGACTCACCACGCGATGGACGGTGCTTTTCCACTTGTCATTGGTCCATCGCTGCATCAAATCGCCGATGTTTACGACAAAACAGTCGTCGGAGCTGCCAACGTCGACCGGGGGTTAGAGGATGAAAAGCTGCACTTGACTAGAGCTAACATTATGTAAATGTTCACGCAGTAGGGTTCTCCTGTGGCATACCTCTCAACTTCACGCGGCACATATTGTGAGAGAGATCAACACATCAGTCATTCTCAGGACGTGGTACGTATTAATTTTCACAACCGAAAAATATTAAACCTAGACCATTCTCCAACACTCTGCATAACAATCATGTTTGTCCACTCCGAGCTCACGACGTACTTGTAGACCGCCTGTAGTGTCTTGCTTCAGGATCGTCAGGATACCATAATCCGAGTGCTCTGAGGCACGCATGCGACCCACTTGATACGAATCTTGATGCGGGTAGTTCAGCGCTCTGAGGTTGTTGATTTGATCTCGATGGAAGATATTATTGGAACAAGATGGTAATCAAAGGACAAGTCGATGGGTCTTTCAATTTTCGTAAAACTGAAATAAGCGAGTAACTACTTGAAATAAGGGAGATACTTAAAGAAGAGGAATGTAGTCAAGAGTCTTGTATTTCAGTCAGTAACTCGCTTATTTTGAGTTTTCGATTGCATGCCTTGTACAGAACTAGCACTAGCCTCGAAGAATCATTCCTATTACCGGACAGCACTTTGATGTTGGTTGACCTTTTCGAGAAACCAGTCTTCGGATGGCAGCTCCAAAGCTCTGGCGAAGAGACGGAGCAAAACTTTTGCCAACGAAAACATGCTCTCATAGTATCGTGTGCAAGCGTGGGAGAAGATTTTGTTTTTCTCCACAGCATTTTCTCCTAATGCGTCCTGATGTTTGTTGAACAGTTCCAACGCCTTCTTTCGTTTCTCATCATTCTCATCATGATCCAGCTGTTCCAAAAACACCGTGTCTATCGGAAATTTCGGAGGAAACTTCGGATGCAAGGTGAAATTGAAGGTCTCCTTCATATCAGGCTCTGGCGTCTTCTTGTTTTTCGACGGGGCTTCTCCTTGTGCTCCTTGCCCATCTTTTTCGACAACTTCGGTCTTCCGTTCATTCTCGAACCCAGCGGCAAGGATTTCAGCGGCTTCATACCCGTAAGGATAACTTGGCGTCATTGGAAATTTCCTTTTCTCGGCATCGGGTAAATCGAAAAAGGCGTGAGCGAGAATAAGGAACTCCTGCAAATGCTGAGCTGGGAAGTGGTGGCCTACAGGTTAGAGACGCAGACGACGAGTAAAGGTGAGTAGATGAATCAAAGTTGCAAGAAACACTTGTTGACCCTGACACATACATAGGAGTCACACCCCTCTCCTTATAAATATTTCCATTTTTAGCATTACTTTTCCCAGCTACTCAGTCATAATTGATCTGAAAAAACCCGACTTCCTCCATGGTGCGCTTCAGCTCACGGGCCAACATCTGCACACTCTCCTCGCGGCCTTCAGCGTCAGCAGGCAAAAACATCGGAGCAAGGTCTAGAACTGGAACGAAGGACTGCTTGTCTTGCTCCTTGGTGGAAGCTGTGGAATCGTCGGAAGCTGGGTCAATCTTACGCACCTTGGCTGGCCGTGGACTATTTGTTTCAGCTCCACCAACAACAGCGGTTGTAGGTGTAGTGGTATTTGTATCGGCTGCTACCATTTTCTTTTGATGAAACGAAAAGGATATACTTTGAGAAACTTGGAATGAAGATTTTGAAAATTTTGGTAGAAGTACAAGTCCCTCACATACGACCGTCGACGAGACTGGACGTTATGTTTTTTTCAACGCTATGAACAGACAATCAAAAAAACCAAACGAAAGCCATGTCACTTTGAGAGTAGGAAAGCACCGAACCACCCAGCAACACTCCTTGCGAGTGTAGAAATACCGACTCCAGTGAGTAATTCCTACAGACCACCTGCTCGATCTCCACCTTGTTAATAGGGATCCACGGATCTTGCCTCTGATGTACTTTATGATGATCTTCCACTATCTTTGACCTGTTCGTTGGCCCTCCTGTAGCAGCTGCTACACAACATGACCAGAAGCTTGCGCTTGCTCCTGAAACAACCGAAAGAACCCTACCAGACGGGGACCGATTCACCGAGTCGTCCTGCAATAGTTCTTGGCTGCTTCTCCATTGTTCCCCCTCCTGTAGATTCTAGTCCCAGTACTAGACTCTTCGGACCCATGCGGCAGGTATTGTCGCTGTAGTTGTCCTGTTTTTCATCATGATCAGCCCTCTGTGCAAAATCACGGTGCAATGAATTAGATCCAAATCATCCTCCACAGAGCTCAGGCTACTTCCAGTTCAAACTACGATCGAAGAGAATTTTCTGTGGTAAAGCTGCTCCTGCTCTACATCTCAACGTCAACCCTTTCGCCACGGGAGACCTCTTCTTTAACTGGACGACTTGTTTGCTCCACCTTCATCCGAGGCACCATCTAGTACCCACTCATGCAGTGAAATGCGAGGAGCGGCTATATTATTTCCCTCGTTTGCACCTGGTGACGATTCCCCTTCGACTCTTTGTTTTCGCTCTGCGGCTATTGGAGGCTTTGCTCCTGCTGCGGAGGAAGATGCGCCACTTGTGGTGCCAGATGGAACAGGTGCAGCTGCTCCAGGATTGGTCTGCGCCACGTAGTGCTGAGCTGTATACTCCTTCGGTGGGACGTAGGCGTTTTCTTCATCTACTTGGTTCCACCACCTAACCATGCCCCTGAAAAGAACAAGAAGTGCCCATGTAGTTGATCACCAAGAAGTGCCCAAGCTCATGTAGTTGATCACCTTCGCACAATAATGAGACCTGCCTAGGACTACTTTTCAAAGCCAGTATTTCTTCTATGGAGTAAATTTGTAAGGAGGACTTCCATCGAGTCTCCGTAGCATCTTCGCTCAAACAAGGAAACATTCTCGATGGAGTGGTCTCACAGATGGGAGTTTCACTTCAAGTGTGACTTATGAAGCGTGAGTGATGCTCAGAAGTAAGAGATTATATTGAAAACTTCTAGTACGAGAGTAGACTGTATAAGTGCTAGAGTTAGTTGTTGTTAGTACAGAGTAGACTGTATAAGTGCTAGAGTAATAGTTGTTGTACCAGATTCCATCCACAACGTTTTTCACACCGGTGTTGTTTCTTGCCACATGCAGACCGCCACGGACCCAGTCAGGGAACGGTCGCGGCACGCGCAATTCGGCACAGAGGACGACCGCGAAGTCGACACAATTCCGCTCCGTGATGTGGTAGCGGACACTAGGCCACTTATCCATCAGAACGAGCAATCTGCGGGAAACCTCCATAGCACCAAGAGGCGTCCGACCCATGTAAATGCTCGTTAGAGCTCCCCGTTATCAACATGATCCTGAACAAGATCATCATTTTGGCAGCACCTTTTTCCCCTGAAACAAAAAGCCTACTTAAGATGCTTCACGAGATGGATTACCAGAAGCCTTAAGCTTGTGTTGTACGTGAAGTCCGGGTGCTCCCTTGGCTGCACGCGGTTACAGCCTGTAACTGTCGGATCCAGGACGTCGCTGTAGAAGAGGAAACTCCACTCGTCGCCGTACACCTCGACTCCCACGTGATAAGCGCCCATTTCATTCGAGGCGAGAAAGCTCTCATTCAGCCACTCCGTGAAGCTATCGAGGTCATATACGTGGAGCCAGACGTGATTAGCACCATGGAGCTTCTCCCACCGGGGTGAACGCATTTCTGATTAAGAGACGAGGAAGGAAGTGGAATATTTTGCGTTCATCTTCTGATGCTAACTATCAAATGCAAGATTACGTATAAACTACATTGTCCACCAAAGTGAACTAGCAATCCTAGAGAAACTAACCGACCAACAGCTTACACTAGCAAGTACCTACTACCAGAACAAGGATTAGCAAGCATCTACTACCAGAACAAGCATTAGCAAGTACCTACTACCAGAACAAGCATTAGCAAGTACCTACTACCAGAAGCATTAGCAAGTACCTACTACCAGAAGCATTAGCAAGTACCTACTACCAGAAGCATTAGCAAGTACCTACTACCAGAAGCATTAGCAAGTACCTACTACCAGAAGCATTAGCAAGTACCTACTACCAGAAGCATTAGCAAGTACCTACTACCTGGCGTCCAGTCTACGTTGGGATCCCTGAGGTCCAAAGGTGGCAGCCTTGACGTGCTTGACGACGCTCGCTCTGTTGGGCCACTTGGAAATAACGCTGCATGAGTAGACTTCCTCACTCCTGTGATATTTCGCATTTCGTCCAGTTCGTCTGGGACTGAACTAGATCCACCACTGGACGATGGAACCCAGTTGGGATCGTTCATACTCGGATTTAGAAAACGCGCCTTCCTGTCTTCCGCCTCGCTGGGGCGTAGGTCTTTGAGGCGCGCAGGTGGTTGTCCTATTTTCCCCTCTGATGAAGCAGCTCTGTCATCGATCTTGTCGAGAGCAGGACGGTCTTCGTCTTTGTCCTCGTTATTGACATTGCTGTCGCCGTCGACAACACGAAAATTCCTGTCGTCTGCACTGTTCTTTGTCGTTGCCGAGAAGACAGGCTTCCCCCCACGCGTTAGGGAAGGAGGCTCGTTCACCATTTTTTGACTTGTTACGTGGTCTCTCCGAATGATTTTTGTCACCTAGTAGTTTACTGAAACCTTTTTTAGACACATCTGTCGAGCAAGTAGTCGACTGACCCGCTTCTCTCTCTAAATCTCCTATCGTCTCCTGCTTATTTCAGTCGAGGTCGTCCGTGTACAGTTTCGCAGTTAATAAGCGATGAACTTCCCACTCGCAACCAAAGAGGTGAACACTTTTGCGGTGCTGGTGCTGCTCACTCCACGATATGACCCAGAGGATCATTACATGCGAGTTCTTCGTTTTTGCGTATCATGTGACAAGCGATACTAAAGAAGTACCCCGCCGTTAGCGTTATGTTGTCAGGTTTCAAGATATCAAAGGGTCATGTTCATTGGGGAGAACAAGTTTGAAATGTTGTCTTGTTTGTAGACGGGAAGGACGCGAGGATACATGGGACAGGGAGGTTCAATCTTCCAAACACTGTGAATACTCATCAATCCGCGTTCGCTGGAACTCGCTTTCCGCCCTTCGCATTGGTCAGTTCTACATCTGATTATTTCGAAAAAATGAGCATCGTCAATTGGCTAAGCTTCAAACTTCTACTAACTCAAAATGATGCTAGTAATGACCAAACAACATGATCCAAATGTTTTGTAAATACAGCTATCTAAATGTCTAAATGTTTTACCTCCTCTTGGTCTCGCATTCCCCACAGCGCGTTTTGGAGGTTCTTCGTCTTCCGGTGTTGGCATCAGCTTGGGCATTAGGTAGATGAAAACGAACATGACACCCATCATCAACACCATCGGTGATCGAAATAGACTCAGAAGATTGAAATCTTCTCTTTCGTTGAAATACATCTTCACTGTGCTTGGAGCGAGTTCGAGGGGATATCTGATGTAGAAAGATGGATATGTTGAACCACATTTGGTTACATTAATGAGAATGGTCTAGTAAGAAAGAAGAATCGATGGACCAGGAGAATATTTAAAGTCGGAATCGGATAACCAGATGACATCAAGTCATCACCTTCACAATTCCTTCAGAGAACATCATGAAATTAGAGGAGATTATCTGTGAACAGCTAAATAGACAGCGATCAGCTGGAAAACAACTCCAAGTTGTACCTCAATCTCTTTCCCCTTCCATACAGCAAATCCGTCAAATACGGGGTGACTTTTGCATCTGCTGGGTTGTGAGTGTCTGTGTTGTGGGCATCTGGAGAACGCCCGACGTCCACGACTATACTATCGAACCAAAGCACTGGATGATGCAATTCCAAAGAATAAGTGTCTCCCGCCATCACGTCTGGTATCGAAAACTTTCCCTTACTATCGGGGAAAACTACTCGTGTGTCGACGTTGTTTGAGAGAACCATCTTTATCTGCGAATAAAGCTGTAGTTGGGTGGATGGGAGATACGTAAGATTTTTTTGAAAATCAAGGAGTCTTCAGAAAGGTGATCAGACGAACTACAGGTACAGGGGCTTACGAGGAGATCACAATATTATATAGCTAAAAAAAAACTCTACAACAACCCCTCCAAACTCTCACTCTCCCACTTCCAAACCCCAAACTCATGAACTTACGAACTCTCACTCTCACTCTCACTCTCCCACTTCCAAACCCCAAACCCCAAACGCCGAACTTGTGAACTTGTGAACTTGTGAACTTGTGAACTTGTGAACTTATGAACTTGTGAACTTGTGAACTTATGAACTTATGAACTTATGAACTTAGGAACTTAGGAACTTAGGAACTTAGGAACTTAGGAACTTAGGAACTTAGGAACTTAGGAACTTAGGAACTTAGGAACTTAGGAACTTAGGAACTTAGGAACTTAGGAACTTAGGAACTTAGGAACTTAGGAACTTAGGAACTTAGGAACTTAGGAACTTAGGAACTTAGGAACTTAGGAACTTAGGAACTTAGGAACTTAGGAACTTAGGAACTTAGGAACTTAGGAACTTAGGAACTTAGGAACTTAGGAACTTAGGAACTTAGGAACTTAGGAACTTAGGAACTTAGGAACNGAATTTATGAATTTATGAATTTATGAATTTATGAATTTATGAATTTGTGAATTTATGAATTTATGAACTTCTGAGTTTCTGAGTTTCTGAATTTCTGAGTTTACGAATTTACGAAACCGCAAAACCATGAAGCAATGGAATTGAATTTCGGGGGAAAGGGCTTAAAATCAAAAACTTTAGGATCTTAACGCTTCAAACTCGCGAGACTCTATCTCAAAACGACGGCAAAACGTGGAAAATTTTCGAAATTTGAAAACGCGAAGCCAAGGAATTAAATTCCAGAGAAAAGGCTTAAAGTCGAAAGCTCTCCGATCTTAGCCTTTCAAAGTCAACGGATTCACTCCCAAAATGACGAAAAAGGTGGAAAACTTTCGAAATTTGAAAAACGCAAGGCCAAGAGATTGAACCTCAGGGAAAGGGCTTAAAATCAAAAATTTTGGGATCTCAACGCTTCAAACTCCCGAGCCTCAATCTCAAGACGGCGACAAAATGTGGAAAATTTTCGAAATTTGAAAAACGCGAAGCCAAGGGCAAGGCATTAAATTTCAAAGAAAGGGCCTAAAGTCAAAAGCTTTGGGGTCTTAGCGCTTCAAACTCACGGGATTCACTCCCAAAACGACGAAAAACGTGGAAAGTTGTCGAAATTGGAAAAACGCGAAGCCAAGAGATTGAATCTCAGGGAAAGGCCTTAAAATCAAAAATTTTGAGATTTTAGCACTTCAAACACACAGAATTCAACCCCAAAACGACAACAAAATGTGGAAAATTTTCGAAATTTGAAAAATCACGGAAATCCAAGAGGCTGAACCTCAGGCCAGGGAAAGCGCTGAAAGTCAAAAGCTTTAGGACTTTAGCGCTTCAAACGCACAAAATTCAATCCCAAAACGACAGCAAAACGTGGAGGATTTTCGAAATTTGAAGAATGCAAATCCAAGAAGTTGAATTCCAGCGGAAGGGCTTAAAGTCAAAAAGTTTTATGATCTTAACACTTGACTTCAAACGCACGAGATCCAATCCGCAAACGATGGCAAAACGTGGAAAATTTTCGAAATTTGAAAACGCGTACCGCTTACGTCTTTGCCTTGCTTAGTTTCTTATTTTGGGGAGGAGGGGGATCCTAGTGGGAGGGATGTTATCGGACGCTCCAAGCTAGTAAGTACTTATGTAGAGCCTGCTTTGCATCTTCATCTAAGTATGATTATTATGAATCAAATAAACATGCAGTAGTACGTCCTTAACCAATCGGAAAGGCTGCGGTATGGTTATTCTCCCCTCCACTGTTGCTGTTGGTATTTCCGTTTCTTTCCCCATCACAGCCGAAGCAAGACAACCAAGTGCTGCGAACGTCCTCAAAGCCATTCTAGTTGTCGACGATGATGCTGCTCTCCTCCTCGTTGTGGAGGATGATGTGGCAGAGGTGCTGGATCCAGGCATGCTGGAGGTCGTAGTTGCACCAAACGACGTCATTTTCGGTTGATGATAAAAATCTACTTAAATCAAGCAAGTAGCTGAAGCAACAATGACTGGGTTAGGATTAGGATTAGGATTAGGATTCAGTCCGTGATGTTGTAAACTGAAAAAAATTAATAAGAACCACTCCGTGTACAACAAGCAGCTCAAAAACACGTGCTACTCCTTTTGTTCGTCCTGACTAGACATTTACTTACTTCATTTTAGATCTAACTACGGCCTGTAGGGAAACAAAAAAATTAGAGTACACATCTGGCGCCAGCATTTTAGCAACGCACGTGCGACGCCGGAACAAAGTTGGTTCGACAGATCACCAGATTCAGATTTATTTCCACCTGCATCTGAATGAAGATGGGAACCACATGATTGAGATTTCAGAAAGGAACCACATTCGTCACAGGACCAAGAATAAACAGAGCTTGAACATCGACATCGTCACAGTCACTGGCTGCATTACAACAGCAGCTGCATTCCATTATACTTTTGAATTTCAGTAAGTAGGATGGACGCTACTTCGCGGCAACCGTTCTTCAGTTCATTGGAATCCATATTGTGGTCCTTTTCAGTCTCTTACCACTTAGTCTTAGAAGCATGTTTCTACAGAATTTCCAAACAATTTTTGTCACGAGTGAGTTGTCGGACTAGCTTTCAGCCGACTACCTTGAGTTAATTTCATCTGATGATGTCGATAATCACACCAATGTCTCGGGGAGAGATTTAGCAATGATGTCAATTTGAAAATTAACCTTGGATAGCAGTAACCTTAATAACCTTTTGGTGCTCGTCATAGAAGCTACGCTTCTAGAAGCTTTGATGATGATGTCCAAGAAACAGAAACATAAAACTGGAAGAGATAGAAACCTGCGTTGATGAGAAGCAGCTTCTTCTTTATGATAAAGATGTCGAAGTAGGTTGTAACTTACTATGATGTTAACTAAGGTAGATGTCCGTTATTTTCGTGTTTCAAATTCAGTGAAGATTCAATTCCGTCCCCTCACTGAAACTTCGGCTCACCGCAATATCGCAAACCCTCGCGCCGGAAGGAGTTCAAATCGGACATAGTTCTGGCGCGATTATCACGTAGCGTAATTTCACGCTTTGCTCGTTCGTCACCCGCCATTTCCACCAGAAGTCGCTGCCGCCTACAGATAGGAGTAGGTATTGACGAGTTATTTGATGTTTGAGATTGAGAGTAAGCCAAGGATGTTGATTTTTTTCAGAAGTACTAGAAGTGTCTATGTACTTGTACTACAACACCAAAGAGTACGACAAGGACAACCTCCACCTCAGAGTCTCTTCGGTCATAGTACCTTGCAATGAAGTTTTCAGTCTGAAGCGTTTTCCGCATCGCTTGATTTTCGAACCTCTCCTGTTTTTGCCTGTAAGCCTCATTCCGGAAGTTGATAGCTGTGGTGTGTCTCAGCGTATGCAGTGAATTTCGGTTTACGTGGAACGCACGAGCTGTGATGTCGTGGGGTTCGTAAGTATTAATGTAAATGTTGTTGAAAGTGGTAGTTTATTATAACTTTAAGAAGAAAGGAAAGCCAAAGGTTCTAGTTAGTACTCGCTTCCAACGTGTCATGATGATTCGCGACATGCAACGCCTCATGCTGCTCTCCGTGATTGTTTTCTCTTAGCTTCTGCTTCCAGAAGCTTTTTAGTCTTGTGTCTCTGACAGTCTCCTTGTGCAGCATCTTGTTCGATTGCATTTTCACCCCCTCCTGGGCACTCACGCCCGTCACGTGCATCCCTGACAACCATTTTGCAGTATTCAGGTTCGACATCTTCGCAGTAGATTCCGATGTCTGGTGATGTACTTTGTCGTCGCTGCAGTGCCACTGGTGAGGCTCAACAAGCGCAAGATCTCTTCTTCAGGTTGAGCTAGTGCAACAAAACTGCTTGATATTGTGCGACCGCTAAAGAACCGCCGACGTAGGGTGTATCAACAAGCCGGGGCGCCACCCGCTTACCCGGCTGGTTTACTCATGATCGATCTTCGCATCCATCCGTTCATTTATTCTTAACCTGGACAATTCTTTGAACAGTGATTCTGCTAGTGGATTTTTTCTGTGCCTCTCCTTCTATCCACTACTTAAGAGGAAGCAGCGATGTTGCTCAAATAGGGAATCAAAGCACAGATGGAATCGATTCGATGGATAAGATGTAATTGAGACTAACTCGAACAGACAAACGGAGAAAGTCGTGGTAGGGGATGCAGCTTATCGAGGACGAGGATTGAGGGTGGGGATTGTTGTGCTTCACTTTATTGCGATGTAACCGAAACACCAGACAGACCGATACTTCTGCCCTTCAACCGAAGAATGAAGCAACTTGGTCGATTCACCTCCCGACAACTATCCTTTCATGTGATTTATTGATGCCGATGTTAAAGCTCAGCATTCAGTGGTCACTGACTCTGAAAGAAATGGGCCCCATGCCTCTCCCTTTGCTTTTCCTTCATTTTCCCCTGTTCTCTCAAGAGGGACCTCAGTGACCAACCCCAATGACCATTGAAAGCTGAGCCTTAACGATGTGATTACACTTTTATCAACTTGAACTTCTTACCTCCTGATCATGGAAGACACCGACTCCAATCGCTTCTGCTACGATCCAGTGGTATCAGGCATTGATGACAATGTAAGTAGTGCGTTTGCAATTCCGTATCTTCTGGCGCTGAAAGTTGATTGCTTATAAATTTAAGTAACACTCATGATAGAGGTTCGGGTCAAAGAACTTTCTCAGGCACGCGAGGACGAGGAGTTGAGAAATGGATGTTCATAACATGAATTCTCCTTGTTTTAGGGATATTATGCAGAGGATAGCGTGACCACTCATGTGGATAGCGTGACCAGCACTCAGATTATGTTCTATTTTGTCATACTGCAGTGTGCATTGTTCAGGGTAGTGATACGATTCGCGTTCGAGTATTACAGTATCTATTTGTTTACACACATCAAGAACAAACGGGGGAACGACCAAATCACAACTCCTTCGTCCTGCTTTTCCTCACATGAACCTTAGCTTTCTCCTGATTGTGATGGTGATGATGGTGATTACTCGCACTCTTTTTAGCAGCAGCTGATTCTTCCCCACCAGACGAACCAGCATGCGCCGCCCGCTCTTCTATCATCCCTACTTCGTAGACTGTGCATAACGAGAAAAAACCTACCACGCAACACATCAGAAACGCTCCACGACGACCCAAACGTGGTCCCCCCTTTGCTGAAGAGGATGAGGATGGCTTTTTCTTCTTCATTTTGTTACCACTTGATTCATCTTCGTCAGCATCTTCCAAAATGCTAGGTGGATGTTCAGGATGATGGGTATCGATTGATTTCTTCATCTGCGGGAAGATGAGGTAAAAACTCAGACTCAAAAATGATCCCGCGGTGAGTGCAACCAAGGTTTTCTTCAGGTGGGTCAACTCGTGCAGCGTGAGCAAGGAAACGGACAGGTATACTCCTAGAATTGTACTGAGGCTGACCACGAAGTTCGGGAATTAGAGTAGACCATATCCATAAAAACCAATACTTTTAAGACAATTATTTGAGCCTTAACAAAACAGCAGCAGTTTGATCGGGAACCCAGCTAAGCGTAAAACCATGAAATCGCCCAACTCCTGCGGGATTTCGTGTAAAACAATTGCGACCGTAGTGTTCACACCAGACAGAGGCCCTCCCGTCGTCCACGCAATACCGATAGCAATGCCATCCACGAAATTGTGGACCAGCTCGACCAAGAGATTCGCGAACCCGAAACTCTTTACTACTGTAGAGGAAGAGCAGGTAGATTTCTTAGAGCTAAGAGAAATGGAAATCCCTCTTCAGCAGCATCTTGGGTCTCCTTCTTGGGTCCCTTTAAAAACAAACGGGACCACCCAAGATGCCTCTGAAAATGGGAGATTTCGTGTTGTAGCCTTAATAGAAGAAAGCGCTGTTCTTTTTGTAGCTGATCCGTGTTCGTCCACCAGTTCAAATCCATCATCATCTACTTTAGTGGCCTGAGTTGTAGTGCTTTTCGAGGTAATCCGGTTCAGGAAGGTCCACTTCTCGCTTAGCAGATTGCTTTTCTTCGTAGTCGCGGCGGATTTCGATTTCATCGTAATCGGGACCGGAGTTTTCCCACGTTTTGGAGTCTTCCCACGCTTCATACTGATGGAGGGAGTTGACTTTCTCTTCGTAGTTGAGCTTTTGCTTCTAGAGACGTTTGCTTCTAGATGAGAATGCTCATGCTCGTGACCACTGTGGTCATGTACCAAGCCGTCCAGTACCAGCAGCGACAATGCACCCAAAGCTGCCATGAAGCCTATGAACAAAGGAGTGTCGTATACATCAGTGCCATGGTGGTCGTGGGAATGACCTTGGCCCGATGACTGGTCATGTTGATGGCTCTTCTTTGCACTCGTTTCCTCCTCTGATGGTCCATGACTATGCACTCCATACGCTTCAGGCAGCAAGTGCATCAAGGCGTCTCCAGCTAGAGCAGTGCCTGCGAAACAGAGACAAAGGTACTCGACCGGGCCTTTGATGGAGTCGATTCTGAGCAACCCTAGTGTTACGACTCCTACGAAAGACATCAGTGACACAGCACACGCGGAGATGTAGGCACACATTACCGGGTCTTCGCCTAGACTGGTTGCGACACGCAACACAACCTGGGAAAAGAAATGCAATGAGAAAAACGACATATTGGTGGTTCTTGTGTTGTGAATATTCTAAGTACTTCAGAGGGAGGCAAACGAAGTTGTACAAAGGCCGTAGAGGCAGCAGGGGTACTCACTATATTTTCCAGATGGAGATCTAATTTGTGCCTTCAACGCTAGCTCATCTCAGGTCTTCTTGGTAGACAAGAGCCTGATGTTAGTAAGATAGTGCTGTTGCCTGCGAATCATAACATGGATATGGAACGCTTTTGTGTCCTTGTAGTTCAAGATGCCCTTCGTGCGTGGATTCAGATGCTGAACACATTTCTTCAAGGAGGCGACCTTCACAGAGCAACAGGATCGACACAGCCTGCCAGGGAAAATGTAGTTTATTCCATCAGTATTAGGAGGGCGAGGGTAAGCATTATTTCAAGTAGAGGGGGAGGGTTAATATCCTTATTGCGCGTTGTTTGCTATGTACAATATCATCTTCCGTTGACATTCATCGTCTGGCATTCGTGCGTTTGCGTGCGTTGAAACAACAGACACAGGTTTTATTAGAATTTGCGAAGAATGGACTGCGTGATTCGACCTGGGCTTATCCTATAACCTACAACTTTTGTACATTTTATTCCCGTTCTCTCATCTAAACCAGGAATCAACCTCATTAGATATTTATAGATTCCTGCATGTCATGCTTTCTTCATTCTTATTAGAAACGTCGGAGTACTACAACCAGAAAGTAGAAACGTCAATATCATATCAACATTTATGATCACCTGTTATCCGTTCTTGGAAATCTTAGACTACTATTTCGAAGTTTTCACTTTTCCCACATTGCGCTTCGACTTTGCTTCCTTTATGGAACCATACTTGCCTCCCGAGCGTGTTTTCGACGAATGCTTACCCCCATTACCGGAAATACCTCCATATCCATTTCCACTCCCGATGCCGCCTCCACTTCCAATTGAAGATGCTTTGTTTCTCATACTTCCAGCACCGCCATAGAATGGCCCATCGGTTCCATCTGCATCGCTGATCGGATTCAGTTTTTTCTTGCTGCCAGACGTGGCACCGTCGAAAATTAGAAGTGCGAGGGCAGTATAAATCACCATGTTCATGTTATTGCTTGTACATATGGACTCCCACGCATGCAAGCATTCTGTAGAGAGGAACCTGCGTAAGGCCTCATAAACAGCGCACCGTTAAGGTGGAAAATATGAATGCCATAACCTGTTATCTTTGCAGATCCCAGGATGATAAACATCATAGCCGCATTGACTAAATCACCATCATGTACTAATGATGTTAACACACAAGAACGATATGATGACCGGCCGCATCAATCAACTTCTAGTTCTACGAACATAAAGAAAACGATTATTAAAGAATAAATGTCATCTCCGTGAGTTCATTCTCATTGACAATTGTAGCTGTTGCAGTAAATGGAAGAAACTTTTGTCATAAATAAGCATATCCCACTTTCACTCCTGGCGCTCCTCGTCCTCCTTCGCTGAAGATGCCAGGTTCCTCTTGGCTAAGTAGTATCGTTTCCTGCTGTTGTCCTCCGACTGGTTTCGACATCATCACCTCGATTTCCTCGTCGTCGTCTTCATCATCATCATCATCATCGTCGACTTCGATTAAGTCTGCCTCTTGCTCGACGCCTATTGCCATATTCCCACCTCCCATGTGATGAATGTGTATTCCCTGAGGCAGCTGCTGATCACGGAACTGCTGTCCTCGAGGGGAGGGTTAGAGAATACGCACGTGTCAAAAAAATCGCACTCAATCATGATGAGAGGTCGATGAAGAAATAGAAAACTAAAAATTATATAGCGTTAGAATGAAAAACAAAAGCCAGCACTACTTACCAATCCCAATGATCCTAGCACTACAACTAGTATTTTTGTACGCATCGTCATAACAAGCATTACTACTTACCACACTACGTGCTGGTGCTTCCCACTGCGTACTAGCATTGTAACTATCCTTGCCTCATAATGACCACCTACAGCTGCTGCTTTCTGCATATACATCTGATCCATCATGTGCATTGGTCCGCCCATCCCCGACCCATACTCATGACCGTAGCCGCCATCAGTAGCAATCACGATCGAAGAACGTCTACCTCCGGAAGAGTGGGTTAGAATTGAAGATGTTTTTTATGTTCTGATACTTAATGCAATGAATTTTTAGAAATCCCTATACTATAACACTTAGTAGTTGTCAACAATAGCGATAGGTGGGGTTTTCAACAAACTGTCCTTTGTGCAGGATCCATTTGACCTAAGCTCTTAGAAATGAGGTAGATGAGGAAAGAAAGAGGGCTTATTCATAAACGAATGTGTCCGTTTCTGTTTGTCTCTTGGTGCCGCTCAATTTTGCGCATGATGTTAGTCCAATCCCCATCATTACTGATCACGCGTCTTTGCTGATGCTGCTGCTGATGCGAATGATCTTGATGATGTGGCTGCTCCTGCGAGTGCCTTTGCGAATGATGATCATCCATGTGGGAGTTAGAGCGTTGGGATAGAAGAGTAGTCTGTTCTCTAGATAAGAAGGAAAATTAGATTTAGAGATAACAACTACACGCATGAGTAGTAGAGTGGGATACTTCTATGTAGAGATAACACCCATCAGTAGTAGAGTGGGATACTTCTATGTAGAGATAACACCCATGAGTAGTAGAGTGGGATACTTCTATGGAGTAGGTGGTTCTTCTAAAATCCATTCATCTACTAGTATGACTCGTTCAACTTTTCTTCTCGTTCACAGCGTTCATCCTAAGCATATGCACCGGTTCTTCAGCTGGTATTCCGTTCTGGTCGATAGGGTACAAATTATCGTTCTGATCTCGCTGGAACACCTGATAAGGCAGTCCTCCCAAAGAGGAACCGCCCATCATGTTCTTGTTTTAGACATGGAGATAATGGAGATGAGGAGGAAGATAGACGTACAAGTCTATGAAAAGAAGTCGTCTTCTTCGGGATTGGAAAACTAGACTGTACTACAGTGTAGCATATTCAAGAGAACAAGGAGTCAACACGAACAAATTCAATAAGAAAAGAAGTTTATAAAGAAAATCTAAGTCAACATGTGATGGAACTTACTACCTAGAAATAGCTTTATCCAAGATCTCCTTCGACTTCATCATAATCGTGCATCCCCCCGCCGCTGATGCTTGCTCCCGTTGCCAAGTAATGATTTTTCAACCTTTCGTTCTTGTGTTTCTGTTTGAACTCAAGGATCTTCGACATCAATTCGTCGTTCTGGGTGATCAGGGCTACATCGTTGAGACTCTTCAGCAGGTGCACGACCATCACGGTCTCGAACTCCCGCACCTTACTAGACGGCCGTTTCGCTACATCATTAGAACTACAACCAAAACGAAAAAAAAACGCATCTATAGATACAGATGCTGTGGAGAATACAGCCGTGGCAAATGAATGAATAAGCGTAGTTTGCCCCGTTACCCAGTTGTTGTCTTGAAAGGAAGTTTGTGCCACTTGTACGTCTTAAGAGTTACAACCGACACTGGCAAAGAAAAAAAGAAAGTACGCGCGGATGCAGATGCTGTGGGAGGCTTCTTGCACATAGATATACAACAGTACAGTACTTATACAGGATTGCACATATACAACAGTACAATACACATACAACAGCCTTAACATAGTCTGCTGCGAAGCGTTTTCGGATTTTCGAGTTGGCTATCAAGAAGTCGTCCACCTTCTTGGTCAGCAACTCGGCACCCGTAAGAATCACGCTGGATTCGCTCTTGCTGTCAATCGGCTGAGTAAAATCCGGAAATCGTTTCCAATAATCGCCGTTGCGGAAGTTTTTGCGGTTTTTCAACTTCTCGTGATGCAGGAAAAACCTCAAACAGCCAATGAAGACTTTGACTGCATTGTCTGCGCGCGACGAAACGGGGTGGTTCGTATTTCCGGCTCCGCTTGAGAGAATTAGACGCGGAAGGCAGTTTCCTCGAGAACGATGGATACTCCAACAAAGTAGAGTCAAAATCAAATCATGCGACCGTCTAGTATTTAACTATCCAAGGCTACGTCTACCCAAAGCAAAAGCTCCGTAAAAGATATTCCACCTGAGTAGACACTGGAGTGGTTGAGATACTGGTGATCGTCCGTTGCTCTTGGTTGCCGATGATATACAGACCCCACGTCTTCTTCTCAGCATCATATCCGCAGTGCTCACGTGCCGCATCAACGGAGAAACCTAGTGATCGAGGTGCAATTCCAACTTCTAGTACGTACTCGTGTAGTGACCGTATCAAGGTCGGTGTTCTTCTCGTTAAATGCTTTACCTCGAACAGCTTAGCATCTAGCATAAAAAGGAAGTCAAGACTAGACTTAAAAAAAAGGAAACAACAAAAACAACTGCTTGTCCCAGCAACACATCAATTTTTATAAAATTCTACCTTCATTCACTTCCTTGGGCAAGGGTAGCGACAACAGCATCCTGTGGGTCTTCGTAAACCAGACTCCGTGATAGCATAGAGCAGAAGCGTCTGTGAGATCGGGATCGGAGAAAAATAGTTCGTTCCCGCTTCTCACTGGTTGGCCCTTCTTTACTTTTACTTGAAAGTTTGCCGGTGATGTCTTGGGATCGAAAACGACTCGCAGGCTTTTAGAGGTGGTGGTTACACGCAGCATCAGCATGCTGCATGAGGACTATATATAATGAGTTTATTATGTTCTTATTTCTAGATTTTCTAATTCTAAGGGCATATCTTCACCAGAATTCGGTAATATAATCCAATGCGCTTCCTAGTAAAAAACAAGCCTGCGCTCTCTGAAGTTTACAAGTAGAGCATCATCTTCCGTAAAATTTCCCTGTAAGTTCGGACGAACGAATGGAACAAGGGAAGGGAGCAGCACTCGCATTCTTGCGTTGGTTCTGCGTCTATTCAAATTCTCTTCTAGATTGGGAATGGCTGGCTGTAGAGCAGTGGAGTTGTTGGAAGACACAGCTTTTGGAGACGATGAGGATGAGGCAGATGCTGTGTTGTTCGAAGATGATGAACCATCAGCCTCTCCGCTTTCGGAAGTTTTGGTTTGTTCGGTGTCACTGGTAGTAGAACCTGTCGTAGTACTCGCTGTCGCAGTAGTCGACGTCGCAGCTTTGCTCTTCTTGCTGCTCTTCTTTTCTTGCTTTTCTTTGCTGCCCTTCTTCTTCTTTCCACCTTTGTTCTCTTTCTTGGTGCTATCGGAGGAGGCTCTTTCCAAGTCCTTCTTTTTCTTGGTGGAACTGCTAGAAGTACTCGAGGAACCCGAACCACTCGTCGAAATACTAGAGGAACTAGTATCAGAAGTAGAGGCAGAGCCAGTAGTCGCTGCTTTTTTGACACCACCGTCTCCAGTAGGAACAGGCGGCGACGGCAGTATAGAAGAAGCTGCACCACCTCCGAGAGGACCACTGACACTATCAAGTGGTCGTGTCTTCATAATCATATTATCGCCAGGAGTAGTTGTCGTACTACCAGGACCAGAAGTAGAGGAGCTTTGGATCTCCGCCAACGAACGTTGTCCTCTGCGTCCTCTACGTAAGATCGAGTCCAGCAACACAGGATCTATCTCCACATCCACTGCATGGGCTTTCCATAGGATATAAGCCCATCTGACGTGTTCCACGGTGATAGTACGCTTGTAGGGCTTCTTGTGATTTCTCGAAGCATATCGATAGAAATTGTTGTATTCGGGAGCCACTGGAGCTTCGCCTTCGGTTTCTTGTTCCGGTTAGAGATTGTGCTGTTCACTTGAAAATGTTGTACTACTTGGGATTGTAATAGAAGTACACAAGTGGTAGTTATGAATCATAAATATCCAAATAGAAGTAAGCATGTCCAATAAATACGGTATTGCACACGAAGGCAGTAGAAGTTATAACAAAACTGCTTCCAGGCAACAACCTTGCTCATAATGTTGACTCTTCTGCACTTCCGACTCTTCTGGCTCACGTGTTGATTGCTCGAAATCCAAGTCATCAGACATGCTGCCATCCCTGTTGTACTTCTGATCGTTGCCATCTTTGTTGTTTTCAGAACTGGGAGTGGAACTTGTGGTGCCTTCTGTATCGCCCTTGTTAGCATTGACAGCTGTGGTGCCACTTGTTCCACTGGAGCCACTAGAAGATGTACCGCGACTAGCAACCTCCTGGCTTTCGCTTGCAGCTAGAGAAGACGTACTAGAGGCTGTTGTTCCGACGCCAGATCCTCCCGGTTGGAGGTTCATATTACCCGGTGAGTACGAGTGTAATTTCGTCAGTATCAACTCGGTCTTCTCAAATGCCTCTCGTTGCCACCCTTCCATAGTGGTTCCCTTCCCGATTATGCGGAATTCCTCCGCATCAATTGCAAAAATCCCATGTTCCTTATGCCAGTCCAGTCGGGGCAATACCGGGAGTAGGATTTCGCGCAGCTTCCCATAAACAGAAGGTCCTTGTTCCTGTTCGGACTTCGAGGTTGAGCTTGTGTCGTCCGAGTCGATAATATGATGTGAAGATGCAGAAGAAGAACTAAAAGTGGATGAATCGGTATGCCAGAAAGCAGTTGCGATTTGAGCGATAGCCGCAAGCTCGTCGCCGGTTTATTAGAGTGGAAGACAGAAACGCGTCCGATAAGTTGGATATACGTAGTTTTAGAAAACGATCGAGCAAGGTTGGACCTGAAACAGCGCCACCAGTGCTGTGCCGCTCATCTGAAACAGCCACGCCGGGAGAGCGCATTTGAAACAACCCCGCCAGAACAAGACTCCTAAACCAGTGCCGCCACTTTCCCTCTCTCGGTTTTCATATGTAAGTACGCTTTATCCACCCGGAGCTCCTTGTTACAAAATCCCAAGGACAGGATCACACTAAATAAAATTATCCTCAAACCGTAACCTTCCACCCCAGAGAAGAGTTCCGTGAATTCATTGTCCACACTATCGCTGAACAGCAGGTCATCTGTCCGCATCATGGCAATTTCATCTGGGGAAATTTGGGCAACAGATTTTTGAGACGATGAAGTAGAAGTTTCGTCTTTTTCAGAAGAGCTGCTTTCTGTAGAAGTGGTCGTTGTGTCGTTGTCTTTTTCAGAAGAGCTGCTTTCTGTAGAAGAAGTGGTCCTTGTGTCGTTGTCTTTTTTCGCAGTCTTGCCCTTGTCTCCCGATGTCCCACCCTGTTGCTCGCTTTTGTCACGAGTCGTGCTGCTCTGAATCGAAGTCGCGTCATCTACTTTGTTCTTAGAATTAGTTGAAGTTGTACCAGTTGTACCACTCTTAGTTTTCATACCATCCCTATGATCCTTTTTGAAGCCACTGCTCTTCTCTCCTTCTCCACCACTTTTGTCCAACATCGTACTAGCAGGATCCAGCATAGACGTCGTTGCACCAGGCGAAGCCGCGAGAATCGCGTATTCCCTAGGAATTTCCATCACGACATCACGCGCTGTGCCATTGTGGAGAGCGACTCCTAGATTTCCATTCTGGAAATCCAGGATCATGAGGCCATTGTAGCGGAGCTCCAACAACCCTTCGGCTTGTAGCTTTCGCCATGTGTCTCCTGCGATCTGAGCTCGAGGAAATGAAGGAGGACGTGAGGATCACTCGTAGAATCGATTGATATACTTACATCTTCATAGCCCGTGCGCAGAACCACCAAAACAAAACAAAGAAGTATAAGCCATAACCGCTCTGCATTCTGCAATAATCCGCCACCCTGGTCTAAAGATTGAAACCATTCATTTTTTGATAGCAATCTCAAGTGGAGAAGGCTTGTAAATATGAAATGTTTCAACCCTTAACTGATCATTGCTCCGATCTCCCCTTTCTCTACTAGGCATCGGTCTGATCTCGGCATTTTGATTAGGTACCAACCAGAAAGCTATCGAAACAACCACTATAGCATACAGCACGTGCATTAACGTGGGGACGCCCATTTTTGCAGTTCAACCTCCTAAGAAGTGACGGAGGAAGTGGCACTGCCAAGCAGGATGATCCACCTTGTGGACAGTTTTACTCTAGCTCCAAGTGAACTCAATGCAAATCTTGCTATCCTGCGAAGAACAGGCGTCACAAGGGTTGTGGTAACAAGAACTGGCGGTCTGCTCTGCTCTGATCTGCTGATTGGTTGTGGTAACAAGTGGCGGCCTGGTGTTCTGCTCTAATCTCCTCTGGTCTTGTTCAGGGAGACTGGTTGTGGTAACACCTATGGCGGTCTGCTCTGGTCTTTTGTGCGTCAATTTGATGGCGGTCCGCGTCTGCTCTGCGCAAGTGGAAGTAGTGAAGGTCGGTTTCGTGTCTGCTCTCGTCTGCTGGGAGTGCAAGTGGAAGTTGGAGTCGGTAAAAATAAGCTTTGAAGCGGAGTTGGAGGCGGTAATAAGTTTGGTCTCGACACGGTGTCAAAAGACTTCTAGCACGTGTACACGTCAACAGTTTCAAGAATAGCAAGTGTCCACGCAAAACCATGAGTTTTTCACCACCAAGGTAAAATCATTGATCAGTGTACGTGCAGTGTAGTTCCTTTTCTACTTTTGCGTAGAAACTTGAACTTCTTCGAGATACTACTCCTTGGGAAGGTCTTCGCTATTACAACTCGTCTTGGATGATTATAATATAATGACGATGATGTTCTCTCCATAATGACTGATTATAATCACGATGATGTAAATCCAAATAAGACTGCTGCCGTATACAAACAGCAGGAAAAAAATGCATCTTCACCCCTCGTATTTTCAATCACAGCGAAGTTTCTTACACTTCCCTCATCTTGTTCCACGAGCACTATTAATCGAAACTTCATCGTCACACTGTCTCATTATCTGCTCATGAAGTAAATCATGATGTACCTCTTCCTCAGATGATCTTCTCTTAGTGAGATCAGAAAGTAAGGCGTGCTGGTGACAATCGAACACACTGGAGTTACACACGTTACAAGAATGAAATGATGTCTACCTGCGGCTCCTGTGGCCCTTCAGGAACTGCATCAACTCTGAGAGTAAAATTCTTCGGAGATTTCCTTGTTCTCTTCACCCGTGGCTCAACCTCAAGGCTCTTAGGATGTTTACGGGTTGCAACGCCCGATCATAGTAAACTCAAATTGATGTCTAACGTCAAGAGATCTACGTCTAAAGCCAACGACGTAACGTCTAAAGCCAACGACGTAACGTCTAAAGCCAACGACGTTTGTAACGTCTAAAACCAACGCCGTTACGTTTGTAACGTGTAAAACCAACGGCGTTTGTACAATGAGATCAATTACTTCCAACTGTTGTCTTTCATTCAGCAAAGCTAAGCCATAGATACCAAAAGATCATCTTCAGTTCCACACGCCAAACGAACACACTGGTTTTCTGAGCCGTGGAGGGTTCGTCCCTTATACGTGGTAGTGGTTCATCAATAATACTAGGCTCTCTGTGCAGCAGCTGAGCAACAATGGTCCTCTTAGGTACTTCTTTTGATCGATGGGTACAATTTTTTCCTATTTGTCATACTCGCAATCGCAAGAGGTTCGTTTTGTGCGAATACCATTGGAGGACGAGTCTCATTTGAGCCCGCTTCAGTCGCGCACGAGCAGCTGATTTTCACAGTTGTACTTCATCACTGTTCTGTACACAATTGAAATGACATGATTATATTACTACTTAGAAGTTCATTTCGATTCGTTAAATTCAATACAGGGGTAGAAAATTCTTTCAGTGCTGACGTCTACACTACTTATTTGGTATGACAGGATGTGATGATGTGCAGGTAATAGTACTTGCATTGGATTTTTGTAAGTGATCGAGTTCTTGTATCACTTCTAGAAGCAACACATCACTACTTGAAGGTCGTAATGTTTTTACTCATCATTTTGTAACTCAATTTTTTGATGAATATTTTCATTTTCATGATAGCTGCAGCTATGAATAACCTGCACTTTCTTGATCTTGTGCAGCTATGAAGCGGTTCGCATCTGTCATTTCTCGTGTTATCGCGCGCACCATTCATCAAAGGGATGAATGGCCATCATTTTTGGTTGTTTTTATACTAGTTCTACTCAGGAGGTGTTGAAAGGAATTCAATTCAGCATAATACGATTCAATTGTTCTTTTTACGTTATAGTTATATCTTCTTTCTCCACGACATTATAGGAATTACTATCATAATAGCATGATCTTCACTTCTTGAAGAGTTCTTTAATACTTACGTTGTTATGGGGACGATGGAGTAGTTAGAAGAAATTCAAATTTTTGAAGATTTTTCCTAGTATCTCGTCGATCTAGTAACTGCAGCTAGGTTCTTTCCGAAAAAGCTCTGATGTATGCATCCATTCGCGTTAGTTTGTCCTCAGCATGTTGGTGTTGCAAAATTTACCGTAGTTTCCTTGCCAAAGACATCTCGATAATTCCTTATTTCTTCATCATAGCCCTCTGCTTCTCCAGGTTCATCGATGCTCCCATAGTCTTCTTGGGTCTGTTGTAGGTGTCATATTGAATAAGTGAAGACGAAAATCGTCTACTTATAATATATTTCAAAATTCTTTCAAATTAATAGGAGTTAGTAAGTTCTCCGTTTATTATAATGGAGCACTTATTGGGGTGCATGTAATTCAAATAGTAAGTTCTCCGTACTTTATAGAACATCAGTATTACTTAGGGTCAATGTAAAAATACCGTGTGCTGAATCCGCGCATGGACGAGGTGTCGCTGAAGTTATCGCCAATATCCGGTCCCATTAACTGACCCGCAGAAGCGCCGACTGAAATGGATTGGTTGCGAGGTTGGTCAAGGTCATGATCTCTGAGAGCGATGAGATTTAAATGAATCATTATGCGGTGGTCAGTTCTTTAACAATATTGAATATTCTTCATAAGTAGCGAGAGGTGTCACCAACATAATTGAAGATTTTCAAAAGTGAATTACCTGCACTCTGTGGTGCCATCGTGTAAATATCAATGAAGTACCTGCACTCTGTGGGGCCATCGTGTGATTGTCAATCGCCTTCCAGATATTCTTCATTCGCACTTCCCGAGACCAACTATCTGTTAGCAGCTTTTTCTCGAAGTCCTTCGTTTGCCTTTCGTTCTTCTCTTGAACGCCCTGGTGTGTTGAGTAGTGATGTAGATGATGTGTGCGGTGAAGAGAGCATTATTGATATCATCTTCACGATAGGACAAATATCTTCGCCATCAAGTAACATCGGTTATATATTGCAAGGTAGAATTTTGTACCACTTCGTTCTTGTTGGCTACAATCTGGGAATATTCCAGCTCTCTTTCTTTGTTTCGCTCGATGGTCTTCAGTGCGTTCTGGGTTCGGACTTGCAAGCTCAAATCATCCCGATATTTTGCTGCGCGCTCTTTCATCAACTGTAGTGTAGAAGAAGGAGCATAGAAAGGAAGGTTGAGAGGTGTGCACTCTTTCATACACAAGTCGTGAGTATAGGCAGGTTGTTGAGTAAACAGTACGTTGGTTTTTCTCTAAAAAAACGAATCTCCTTGTTGCCTTGAAATCATGTTGTTGCTTTGTCGATGAAAACCTGAAAAAACTACAACGAACTACAACTAGTCTGCTTTTAGATCAACATGAACTACAGAAGTGTTCACTCATTACCTTTTTCAACCCAGCATCATCCGGCTCTGTGAATTGGGGAAACTCGTGTGCGCTAGCACCCATAATCCAATTCTGTCGGTCGTGACCTCGTTTTACGCGGTTCCATTCCATCTGAGTGATGACGATGATGATGATGATGATGATGATGATGATGATGATGGAAAAATGGGTAGTTCCTCGTGGTTGTAGATTGTTACACCTCCAGGACAAGAACAGCACTGCATCATGATGAAAGACATTTCTCATAAGTCGAAGTCAATGAAACAGATACTACCACAACAACATTACCAAAACTAATGTTGTTCTATGAACTCTATTAAATCAAGTACTTGTTGCTGAATGAAGTCCTGGTTTTCCACTGCGAGAGATCGCTTTCTGTCCATATCATCACGCTCCTGCTTCAAACACCTCTCTAAATGCTCTTCCCACTGTCGTCGGTCCTGTCGTGGTCAATTTTTTCATGGAGATAGATTCGCTGGACCTAAGCCTAACCCTTATGATCTTGTCAACCTAGGAGAATCAAAAAACCTATTGCACGAGAGAGATAGAGAAGAAAACTTCCATTCTAGGAAAATCATAGTACCGCAATAGCTTCGCTCGCTCGGATTTCCATTTCCGTCAGATATCGGTCCATAGCTTCACGATGGGCTTTTTCTTGCTTCACTGTGGGACCCTTGTACTTCGCGGGGTCGTAGAGACTGTGTTCGCTGGCTTGTGATACCGACTCATCGTCGGGATACCCGTAATCTTCCTCATTGTACACCTCAGAAGGAGGTCCCTGGAATGGCTTTTCCGCCGCCGCGAATTCGTCGAAGTTGGGAGATGAAAGAGGGAGGAGTGACGAGTCCAAATGAGTTGTGAGAGTGACGAGTCCAAATGAGACATTTACATGAGTTGTGAGAGTGACGAGAACAAATGAGAAATACCATGAGTTTTACGAGGTGAGGCGTGATCAAGATCAAGCGGATGGTCAACAACAACGTGCACGAGGAGAGCAGCTATTAAAAGAGTAATAATCGGCAAAAAAGTCTAGAAAGGTTTTTTCAGGGATTGTCGGGGGGAGAAGGGGGGTCCTAGGGGGGGTTGGGGGGGGTAGGGGGGCCTACCCCTGTCCAACCCCTGTCCGTACGAGGAGGTGAGGCGTGATCAAGATCAAGCGGGTACAACAGAAGAACGAGAGCTATACATCCAATCATAAAAGTGGCGGCTGATTCTTCTCCCTCTGCAATGTTGCTTTCTCGGATTCTAAACCCTGCTGGGCTTCTGGCACTGACTCCAAATTACTAGTAGAGGCCGCTCCCCGTCTCGATGTTCCCTTCAGCTTCAGTTTCAACGCATCCGTGGTAGGAGCTTGGAATGTGCGCGATGGGGCATAGGTCGATTTGGCGGCGTCGACTGGCGCGGGAAGACCTGTGGCGCAGGTAAGAAAAGGAGTAAATTTGTGCAAGTGTTGAGCGGTCTCAATTGTTGAAAACGAGACTGTGAAAACTGTCTCATCTTCATCGACATCGAGCCTCCTTTTCAACAACAACACCTTCAAAGAAGGGAAGACGAGGACTAAAAACAGAACTGCGCATAATAGTACATCTAGTATCTATACGTATCAGGAGTGAAAAAAAAAGATAGTCCTTAGTACCTTCTTTCTGATACAGCTCTGCTTTAAACGTAAAGTTGGACCGGCGCTCTTGCGCAACGAGCTTCCCATGTTCGAAATCGATCTCGACACGCTTTCCCTGTGTGATGGCTTCACCGATCGCTTGGACGATGTAGCGAAGACCGCAATAGACGTTGTCTTTATTCAAGCAATTTGAATATTTGATTGCTGCTTTCGAAAAGTTGAATTCCTCGTAGGGGCACTGGTCTCGCTCGTCGATTTTCGCGGCGGCTTTTTATTAGAACAAGGTCGTGGGGGATGGTTGAGAAATAAAAAGGTTGCTGGTGTTGACATTAGAAGAAGGGTTCTACGTAGTCGGTCCTATAATTTTGTCCTTGCAGAAGTTGTTCTTTCTCTGTTCGTTGGTCAACAACGTCAACATTTTCAAATCTAACCTTTTCTACAAAAGGACTAAAACTCAAACCATTTCTACAAAATTCCTCGTAGGGGCACTGGTCTCGCTCGTCTCTAATGGTTGAGTTTTAGTTTATTAGAGAAAGAACTAAAACTCAAACCATTTCTACAAAACTCTACTAGAAGGTGAACGCATAACTCTTGTTATCCAATGCAAACGTCTGCACGAAGCTTTCTGCTAGCTGGAAGAAGGGTCGCAATTTAGCGCCGTCACGCGTCTTTTCCTTGTAGTATCCAATCTTGCAAAAGTTGGTGATGTTCAGCCCTTTGCGCTGTTCCATGCAGCCGGCGATATACCTGAAAATCGATTGTGACGAGAAGGTAATCTGTCTGACCCTGTAGTCGCCAATAGGACGAATGCGCTACTTCTTATCCTCGCACTGATAATTCTGGTAAACAGTACACTCATATATTTCTTTTTCATTTGATTTTTGAACTGTACCAGCAGACAGAAACATTTCATTATAAAATTACCTGTTAACGCAGTCCCATATTTCCAAATACTCCCCAGATGGATGGGGAAAGTTGTTGACGTCTTTCAAAAGTCGTCCACGTTTTTTCACGACGTCGTCGAGACAATCGACGAGGCGATAAGTCGCCATTTTCTATGATGTTGCTGTCTTAATGTAGTAACTAATGGAGTAATGGCAATGTTGGCAATGACGACGAAGACTAGATGTGAAAGGCACGATGTTCTCAATTCTTCTGCATGCAAAGTGCCTAGCAGGGTGTTTTGTGAATTTTTCAATTTGACGATTGGTTCTTCGACATCATAAAGTTGTAGGTTCTTATAACATAACATAGGTGAATTGGTGAGTAAGCGAGGAAGCAGGGTTTGCTTAATATCGGTGAAGAAATCCATTCGTTCTTCGGGTTTTGGGGTTTCATTCATCATGGTGTAGGTTTGTAATCCGACTTTTCATATAACTCTCTCATTGCCCGACATGTGCTCGTCCCTCAACTAAGAAACGATATTTGAAGGAGATGTGTTCCGAAAAGATTACCGATTTTTGCTCGACATCAAATTCTGACTAAGCTCCAGGACAACGAAAACGAAAGAGACGAGTCAAGAACAAGAGCTTGTCCAAAGACTCGATCTTCTTTCTGACGATGTTTTACCTCCTCAAAATGGTTCGCTGCTAACTCTACTTACAACTCCTAGTCCTAGTCTTAGCGTCAACGTCTCGAAGACGGGAGAGATCATCCCCCTTACTTCTTCGGATTTCATCAAAAACTCAAAAAACGAGGAGTCTTCTTGCTCTTCTTTCATTTTGTTGCGATAGTAATATTTGTGAAAGCAACTGTTGACCTAGTACATTTTTCAGCGCAGCCTAGTACATTTTTCAAGAAACAAGAAGCAGAAAACAAGCCGTGCCTCTCCACGCGTACATTTGCTAGACTAGTGACAGTAACCAAGATGAGAGTGCTGTTGGACTCTTCTCTGACGAAAGCTGTATTCTCAACAAACGGAAGCTCGAAAATCAAAAGAAAAAATTGTGAAACTATACCACGACTCGATCATACTTCTGTATAAGTACAGTCACTAGGCGGATGTCCTCAGTGTCCTAGCTCACAGCTCCGCCTCCCTCAACAGTCTCACCAAACGACTGTCTGGATCGGCCTGTAGCGCTGCTGGCGTACCTGCTTCGACTAGGTCGCCTTGCTCGAAGATAAGGATCTTGTCAAAGCGCATCACGAAATGCAGTCGATGCATGATCCACAGCACCGTAGTAGATTCACCGACTTTATTCAAAATCACGTCATGAATCCTCTCATCACTAAGTAGGTCGATGTTTGCGGTAGCCTCATCTGCGAATAAGACGCGATGATGTTGTCGATGATATTGATGTGATGATGATGATGAAGCAGCTTTGTTCATCCTGTTTTTATTGAAAGTACTAGGAGTATGAGAAGTAGGAGTATGAGAATTCGATGTTTGTCTCCTCTCTTGCTCTTCCTCCACCAATGCCCTAGCAACAGCGAAAAGTTGTCGTTCTCCCACAGAGAAGTTTTCTCCAGCAGCGGACATGGGTTCGTCTAGTTGTTCAGGTAGTTGTCGAACTCTGTCGTCGAGGCCCACAAGGGTGAGAGCGTCCCAACAACGCTTTGACGATGAGCTAGTACTACTTGAAGATGATCCACCAGAGGCTGACAAAGCCGCAGCGTCATGCGCATTGCCTCCACTGAGTAGATTCTCCCGCACTGTGCCGCTGATCAGGGTACTATCTTGCGAGACTATTCTGAAAAGGCCGCTCTTACGCCAAGAAACAGGGTTGCGGATTACACTACTACTACTCCTGGAAATAGAAGAAGCAGAGGACGAGGACGAAGAAGCGGTGGCCACAGTCGGTAGAAGAGAAGAACTGGGTATGGCTGGAATATCCAGACTGACGCCACTGATTCTCAACTCCGTACCCGGCTGACACGGATAGAGCCCTGACAAGGCGTTGAACAAGCTGGACTTCCCAGACCCAGAGCGACCGATAATAGCCACTTTTTCCCCTCGTTGCACTTGAAAGTTGATATTCCTCAGCACTGGCGCTTTGTGCAGTCGGTATCTGAGACTCAGATTGCGGACGTCAACAGCAATGGGTGGTCCTTCTTCGGCTCCTTCACCACGAGCCCGCTCAATGGCGTCGTCGAGTGACAGATTTGTCGATACAGCGAGCTCTTTCGACGTACGGCGAATCATGGCATCGATTGTCGGTGATGGATCCCCAGATGTAGCACTACCAGTGCTTCGATTCCGGGAGAGTACTACTGGCAAAAGTTCATCTAGATGAGCAGCAGGGACATCTTTTCTACTAGCAGGATCACCACTACGACTACGACTTCTCTCTGCTACTGCTTCTCCACGAGGCTCTTTGAGATCTGCAGCGTTAATCTGAAGTACACCTACGGCACCGGCGGCTTCATTGTCTCCACCTGCTAGTACTTCGTTACTTAGAGGTAGGTTTTTGGTGCTCGCTTACCCCGCTTGTTGTGCCTTTCTCCCTTAGGAGAGGCATAAAAAGCGGTAAGAAAAGCACCTTTAACCTACCCGTAAGTTTCCCGTTTCTACCTGCCCTTGTTCGACTGGTAAACGGCAGTACTCGCAACATCTCTCCACTGAGACGAAATTCTGTTCCAGAGTCGTCATCCCCATGCAGTAATCCATACAGGCACGTTGCAAAACGCCTGCATACAAGAGCACGAGTCCAAGGTCACCAGAGGTGATAACTTCGGTAGTATGATGACCATCTGAAGAAGATGAACCTGGATAGAAGTAGAAAAACCAACATCCGCTAAGACCAGTGAAGAGGTAGATGACGCAACCCCAAATGGTAGTGAGAGATTGCGCCCACTTGCAAACTGCCTCGTTGTAGTACTTGCCCTTCGCCATTTGCTCTACTTTCTTCAAATTGCTAGCACAAAAAGCAGATTCTTTCGCCATCGCCTGAATAGTGTCCAGTCCCTTGAGACAATCGACGAATTCCGCATAGCCTTAGAGTTGCGGACATCGTCGGTCGAAACAACGGTCTTTTTCTCTGTTCTACTTTCAAGACGAATTCCGCATACTTTCAAATGAGCAAAAGGAAACAACTTTCAAGGCAAAAACAACTTTCTGTTGAGCAAAAGGAAACTGAGACAATCGACGAATTCCGCATAGCCTTAGAGGTCTCTCCTGTTCGTCCCTGAGGGATCGATGTCTACAGGGATGGACGATTAGGGGTGGAAGCCTTAATAGACTGGCGAGTGCGCCACTGCTTCGATCCGCCTCGTATCCCTAGCTGGTCCACGAATCCGCCCAAAAATGTAGACGTACGGAATTACTAGTGCCGGAAACAAAAACATGACTAGTGGACAGTAGATGAAAATGAGCACTAGTTGGGTCGCCATGTTCAACGTGTTCTGGATCTGCTGGATGATCACTGTGGGGACGAAATTGTCCACATTCTGCATATCTTGCAGAAAGCGATTCAGAATCCGACCAGTAGGGGTTACGTCGAAAAAGGACAGAGGTGCTTTCAGTAGATTGGAGAGCATTCGTTCGTGAATGGCTACTGAGGCACGCAAAGAGCAGATGGTCAGCACTAGAGTCTGTGCCGCTGCCGCAGAAGCAGCCGCAAAATTGATGAAAATGTAGATCAGGAGATAATGCGACTGCGACCAGGTTGATGTAGTGGCTTCTGCTGTTTTCGCGTCACTCTCGTCCATGCTAGCAAAGAACGGCACCTGGTGTGTTGAAGCGGCCAGTAACAACGGCTGCGACTGTAATTGTAAGCCAGCAAGAGTAGCTGTGCCCATAGATGGTGGCACCACGGCCGCTGTCTGGACTGAGGCAGGCGCAAGGGCGGCGAACATCATCGGGAAAGAAGATGGAAATGATTCTCCTGCTGCACCGTCTACATCTGCCATCATAGTTGGTCCTTGTTTCTTGTTTTCGTTTGCCCAATACGTCAGAAAAACATTCGCGAGTACCGAAAAAACTGCTGAGAGGATCAGCAAGCCCAACAAGGCGAAGTTGGTGACCCACGTTCCAAACGCTTTCAGGTACACGCCCAGGTCCTGTATTGGTATTGACCCGGAAAATCTTGTTTCCTCTTCGGAACCAAGCAGCAAACTGCTAACGTGACCAATCAACCGATCGGACACTCTGTGTCCTTCCATCGACCGCAGAATCTGCGCTAATGCTTGCGTGCATTCTGACAGGTAGACGTTATGTCGCTGAGCATTTTCGGCAAGCTCACGCTCCGCTAGCTTTTTCATGTACGAAGAGTTGGCTTCTCCTTCCTGGCCTGTTGTTGTACTGCTTTTCGAATCCCCCTTTTGTCTTTTCCTCGCTACCACATCACTGCTACTTCTTGGATCGCTTTCCGAAGAAGAGGGGACGCTTTCCAATGTTCCTCCTGCTTTGTCGGGATCAGGAAAGCTCTCGAGTGAAGTCGATGATGAGTCTGCGGATCTTAGTCCGCTACTTGATGTTGACACCTGAACATGTATCTTTTGAGCGGTATTGCGCAAGCGCATGAGGTTTGGGAATACCATCTCGATGAAGATCGTCGAGTGTCATCTAAACATTAGCTGTGAAAAAAAGCCGATAACAAAGAACTTTCAAAATACCTGTTTCAAAAAGCTCGGCAATCCCTTCTGCTGTAGCTTCTGCCAGTTGCTCTGTTGCACCAGGTTGTCTTGAACCAGGAAGATCTGCGATATTTCTGGTCTCGCCAAGTACTGCAACTGATGTGTGATCAATATCACCGTTTTCCCGCATTGCAAAGCTTGTGCGCAAATCACATGGTCAAACAAAAACCTGCCCGTGTGAGCATCTACCGCGGACAAAACGTCGTCGAGAAACAGAATGTCAGCGTCGCTGTAAAGAGCCCTTGCTAGGCCAACGCGAGCTTTTTGGCCTCCGGACAGTTGTACACCACTCTCGCCCACGAGGGTGTAGTCGTAGTCCGGAAACATCTCCAAGTCAGGAAGAAGACAGCACTTTTGCAGCACCTCAAAATACCTCTCTTCGTCCAGCGGAGAATGGAATAGGATATTCTCACGAATAGAACCATTGAGTAAAAATGGCTTCTGCGTCACGTAGGCACGCTTGGCTCCACCTGAAGACCGGCTACTACTAGGACTTGAAGGATAATTTCCTGCTCCAGCTTCTTCTCCAGCAACTACGTCGTTCATTTCAACGTTTGTCCCAGTACAACTAGTCGCCTCATAAACATCAGATGGCAGAATGATTTCTCCCGCCATCGGTCTTGCGCACTGTGCTAGGCATGCCAACAAAGTAGACTTGCCGGAACCCACGGGCCCACAGAAAACTACTACTTGACCTCTGTAAATCTCCAATTGTGGCGCCAGAAGCCGAAACGCCTGCCCGTAGCCGCAAACAACGTCACGAGCCCATAGGGAAACGACTTGATTCCTGCTGTTGACTACGTTGCTCGAAGTACCTGCTCCGCCAGCTCCGGAAGACGAGATGAAGTGATCATCCTCTACTACTGGTTGTTGTTGGTCTCCAGGCACAGTTGTAGATCCCTCTACAAGGACCCCTCCAGGTGCTCCTTCCTTGTTATTTTGGTACCACCTCATTAAGCGATCAGGAGAAGCATTGCTCACCTGTTCTCCCGGTGTGGAGTAGATTCGTCGAAACTCTGGACGGCGGTTCGTTGGGGCAACGGGCGTCGAATAATCGGTCACCAACAGTGGTTTTGCTGCTGGCCCGAGCACACTAGTGGCATCGACGAGTCGTAGTTCATCTGTCCGACTCCTGTCTGTAGTGGTGCTCGACGTGCTATAGCTGTCAAGTGCCGTTATGTTCTCATAGCTCTGGCTTGTTGTTGAAGGGGATGTCACAATATTCGTGAAGTTCATGTGCAATGTACTACTTCTAGTACCCACCTCCTCCTCAAACATGAAGCCCTCCCTACTTGCGTTTGTATTCAAAAAGTCGCACAGTCTTGTCATCGTCGGCGCTAGCTGTGCCCAAGCATCAAAAAACCCAGGTAATGCCTGCAGCGACCACGTCAGTTGCTGTTAGAACTCACCCCCATCCATCTTCAAGACCATCCCGAGACCCCTTGCCCTTCCCCCTTGAATGCATATCAAGAAGTAGTAGACCCCAAGACCCAGTTGTTGAAGAGACACGATCTTACATCGCCTTGAAAAAAAATCTCCAATACATAGGCTTCTGAAGATGGATTAGCGGAAGCCTTAATGTTGAATCCAAGCCAAAGTTGTAAAAACCACTGCTCCCGTCAATTCGTGACCCTGTAAAACGTAGATTGTGAAGATCGTGGTCGGCAAAAGGAAATTGAAAAAGGACCCCATGAACACGTTGAATGCCTGTAAAAACCGCATCCGACGTAGCACTTCTAATTCCTGCGTTCGCGCGGCTCGCAATCGTTGATACCACAGTATTTCCAGGTTTTCGGACAGTTTAACCAAACGGACGCACTTCACGTATTCGGTGATCAGGCGACTGCGTTCGTCTCGGATCTCCTGCATCTGCTTTACCAGCGGCATCGTAAGAAGAGCCAGCTTTCGCATCACGAACTGGCCAGTGAACATCACGGTGACGCCACCCAAAGCGCCAGCTGCGCCAAGAGGGTATTAGAAACCGACACGGTGTCGCTATTAGAAACGACGACGGGAAGATTACTGTAGTTGAGATAAAAGATTAGTGCCTGAGGCTGACGTTGAACTCCGTGCTGTATTATTCCGAAATCAGAATCAAGAAATGCCAATGGAGGATTTCAATTTCTTGAATACAACAAACTTAATGACCAAATGAGATACTCTACGTCTAGAATTTTCCGTTTAATATCTCGCCATAAACCAGATACACGAAGTACGCCACTAACGGAAAACTACAGATGGCCCAGGTTTGCTGAGAGAAGCTGAAGATTATCCAAGGCATCTTGCCTAGTTTGTCTGCGTCCGTGCTCATCAAGTTCGACAATGTTCCGATACGATCTAAGGATGACGCGTCTGCTGCTCTGGAGTCTGCTTTACAACTATCGCGGCTTTCTTTCACTATGGCAGGTTGTGCATCATGATCTGCATGCTCACCTAAGACTACGTCTTTACGCGCACCACCAGCATCCTGTTCGACTTCAACACCTTGTTGGACATTGTCCCCTCCACCAGCACTAGCTCCTCCACCTCGGGTACTGTACATCGCATGCTTGAAGACCGCATGGACTATGGCAGAACGAGCATTGTTGGTTACTCGCATTGACGCAAAAAAGCAGAGTTCCATATTCGCCACTCGCATCGTCATGCAGAGGGCCAACATAAGAACAAGGAAAACCATGTAGAAGACCTGTTGAGAGGGATTGGTGGGATGAGGGACACAGCATTCCAATGACGTGTAATAAAATCTTGACTTTTCACTTGTTTAGAAGACCGTCATCAGGATACTAGTAGGCAGTGGTTCCAAAAAAATTCACAAATTCTAGAATCATCTCTACCTTTCCTTGGCTATACTCCTTTTCCACGTCTTCGGCTGTGCGTAGAAGCGCTGAAAGCATGATCGGATCGCACAACATGCAGAGTAGGAAGATCCAGCCACAGCAAAAAGAACTCAAAAATGCTCGGTGCTGCATGCTGAAAACTAAGGAGGTTAGTAGTCGCCATGGCTTCCAGATGATAGGGTCATCTTTCGGATCTAGTACTTGCTCGGTGATGCCATCAGGAGCCGTGCCACTTGGACTTGTTGTTCCAGCAATACTTCCGCTCCAGCAATGTTCTCTACATCTCCGTATAACCCGTCTCCCTCTGTCAACCACACTGCCAGCCCTTTTAACGCTGTTTCGATTTTTCTGCAGCATTAGCCTCCGATGCAACGACTCAGGCATATCGTGTTGCGGTAATGGCGGAAGATCGTCGCTGCTTTGAAAACTGAAGCCGCGTAAAAACGGATGCACCCACCAGAAGACAACACGGCTCCAAAATGGTGCCGCATCTTCCGGAGACTGGGAAATCCGACGACCGTGGACAAGGACCGTCGAGGGCGTTTCTGCCTGTGGTGAGGCCTGTGATACGGAGGTTAACTCTCGTGCTTGCTGCATGTCTTGTCGTTGCCGTTGGCTTGCGCTTGTTCTGTGAAGAATCTTAACTATACTCACACGTGTCTCCTGTACAGGACGAGCTCATTTTCTACTGCACCATTCTTTGGACAAGTAGGCTCACTAGAGGAGGCAGCGGGTGGTTGTTGAGATCTTTTTACACATGCAATCTACATCTAGGTGAATCGATCTGCATCCTAATCCGTCTTTATGGACTTACTGCTAATTTCTTTGTTCTAGTTCCACTAGTCGCTAAAAATTTTTTTCACACTCTTTTAATCCTCCTCTTTTTTTCATCTTCGCTCAGGACGCAGCAAAGACCAACATGCAGAAACGCGATGAAATGATTGCCCAGTCGTTTCCTGGGCTTTAGACAAGGAGCGCACCTCCAACCCGTTCTTGCAGCATGCCCGGCGCAAAAAACTCTAATTTGTCATAGCCTCGGAAGATGATGAATGGAATCAATCTCATATGTCATGTTAGCCCTAAAAAGATCCATATATCACACTTTACTACACAAAGAAATAGCGACGACAGCGATATTAAGAACTTCAACGGCGACTCGCTTCTTCATTTTGTGGCTAACGATAACAAACAAACTCAAACGTTTATTTCACAGAGTAGTTGACCCACACAAGAGCTGCGCATTGAACAGCGATGAGACCTATATTCAGAACGGTGCATCGACAAATAGATTGACGTGACAGAGTGCAAAAGCATTGGTAAAAATTGCTTATAATCTTTAAAAAAATTCATAACTACCAATGTAAATGACGGGGGAAAGAGATCTGCAAGGATGGGAAAGAAGTTTGTGGAAAAATATGCATGACAATTGAGGAGGATGCATATCAAGCATGGAAAAAGAACGAATATGATTACAAACTTGAACTATGACTACTGTAAATCACTATGTTTTGTAATCTTTACTAGTATAATTGCGTTTTGAAATTATAACACTGATAACGAATTGAAATTGCAAAGGTGATTGAGAAAGGTAAACTTGGAACTACATACGAGAGAATGCAGACGAGATTGAAGTTGAACAACGTCAGGACAGGTAACAACTCAAAAACAAGAAACTCAAGGAAAAAGTTATCAAGACACAACCAACGAGTGGGACCAGAGGCGGAGTTTCCTGGTACGATCCCGAAAACCGCGTTGTCGATGACGTCTCCTTCCATCTAATGTTCAGGATGGTACCAAAAACGAAAGACTATCTGCAAGTTACCTGTAACTGAACGCTAGTTTCTGTCTCACTACGTCGAGACTATATCTACATTAAGTCACCACAAGGAAAACAAAAGAAAAAATGAATATGTAGTGATACTTTTGTATGTCATCATGTTAATGCTGCTAGCCTAAAACGTACAACAGATGATACGGAAAATACGGTTCAACCCCAAAAAAATGTTGATTCCTGATGAAAAAATTCCATCGAGCAGCCAGTTCCAGTTATTCAAACACAACCTCTGGCTCTTCCATCTGGCTCTGTGCGCGGTTGTAGGTGCCAACCCACTGGGCCTCGGAGACTCCGTTCGTGGACACGAACAGGTCCCACACTGGTGCGACCTTCATCATCTGCTCCTCCAGGGACCAGTAGCTCGGCAAATCGTACACCACGTGTCCACATGTCTTCTCACCTTTAGAACCCGCTACAATCCATCTTTTCCCTCATCTGCTTCCGCTTTTCTTCTTGAAAAGATGGATTGTAGATGGGCCGCGAGATGGATTAAGTGAGGCCTTAACACCTGGATAAATGTTCTCCAGCGCCGTGAACTGGAGCAGTTCCATAAACGGTCGACCACTATGCTTTACGTAGAACTGCACGCTGATCTTGGTAGGGGCAGGAGCGGCGGCGGAGGTTAGAAGAAGAAGGTTCCTCGTTGTAAAGAAGGAGAGGATGGAGCGAATGACGACGATGGACGTAAGGTCGATACAATTCCATTCCCAATCGTTGCGACTGTCACTATTTGCGTGGCACTCGCAGACAGACGACTAGCGTGAGTGTCTTGGCTCTAATGATATACTTTTTTGTTTGAGAGAGTATTAAGGTTTTGGTCTTCTTCGGTTCAAACAATCATCATTGTCATCCAATTCTAGTCCAGTGCCCCCATTTTCCACTTCCTTCATGACGATTATATCCAAAACAAAACTCAGACCATAACTTCAAGTCAATCAATCCGAAATGCTTTTCCATGTCGGGAGTGAGGACTAAGGCAGATGGCCCCTTTCGTGCGATTTCACGCTGCAACTTCGCTACTGCGTTTTCTAAAAGCGTGATAGCCGTTTCGCCACTGCCGAGAGATAATAATCCATCCTGAGGCTTGTTGGTCTCGACAAGCAGTTCAGGCTTATTGGTCTCGCCGCGGAGGACGGGTGTGGCCGAGGTGTCCTGTGGTGGATGCGGAAAACGGTGAGTCGAAAATTTTCTTGTCGTAATTGAAAAAGTCTCGTACATGAGTACTTTTGTGCGAAAAAGTGCTCCTAAAAGTACTTACGTCACACATTATAGATACCTTCTGCAACAAGCTACGCTTCGTCTCAACTAAAACTTCTGCTGTCGCACTCGCCATCATAGAGGAAGCAACGGGAGCTTGGTTCTCAACGCAGAAATAGACCCCGTTTTTCTCTTTGGCCCAGTTGATATTGGTCACTAACATCTTGTTAATGCCATAGGAAAGACCGTGGGTGAATTAGAGCAAGAATGAATGTGAGTCTTGAAATGTTGAATCGGTACTCTTCTCCTTCGTGATAGATGACTCATTGAATATGCACGTCAGAGTGTAAATGAAAATAATAAGAAGTTTCAAAAGTAAGCCATAACCAAAGTGATATTTTGGCATCACGTTGTGTGCCTGATACCATCTGTACCCAAATTCCCGGTTTTCGGTATATTCTGCATGTGTGTGATTCACAGCTCCAACACCCGGATACTGGGACTTAGTCATCTCTTGTTCATTCTCCTTGTTGGGGAGGGCGAAGGGGAGCTTACCATTGGGAGACATGCGACCGTAGAGGACCTGTGGGGTACTATCGAGGATGTAGGGAGAGGAAAAAGAGGTTTTGCTTACATACAACTAGGTGTAGGTGGATGGCTGCAGCAGATTGCGGCACTTTTCGCAGGAGGATAAACCTAAATCAAGAGACGGCTACAAAAAGGTACCGCTGCCACTGCCTCGCCCGCTCTTTCTCCTGGGAAAACGCCCATCAAAATCGCATCCACATCAGCAGGATCCATTGGCATCAAAAATGGTCCCGGCGTTGAGACGAAGACAATAATCTTCTGCTTTTAGGTTAGAAGATGATAACTCTCTACTTTTCCTCTAGCTCTTTCGCTAATCAAGACCATGGTGATGGAAGCGCCAGGATCACGCCTTCGTTGAATCACAGTGATTAAAACGTCTCATAACTTTGCCATGTGTGTGTCCCTATCGCAGTTCCTATGAGACCACCTAAGAGCAGACAATATTGCACAGATATCTCATAACTTCGCCCCCGCTTTTTTTGACTCCGCAATTTTTTCCGCCAACTCCTTATGCGGTCCTTCAACTTCGAGATCCGCACGATCTCCATTTTCTGCCGAATAGGTAGAGAAGCAATAGAGCACTGCGTCAGACTTGCTTGCATCGCCAACTAGCAAACCATTATGCGCAAGCACTTCGTCAATAGTCACTGTGTGACTAGGAATCACCGCACCGCTGCCGCCACCAAGGACAATGAGGTCAGCGCCACAGTTTGTGGTGGCAATGGAGTTTAGAGTAGGTACTACAAGTTGTGATTGAGATTGTTCAGATTTTAATCTAGAACTGTTGTACATGTTAGAGACTTCGAGGGAAAAGGATTATCATTCTTCTTGAGCGCCTTAAAGTTTCCGCACTCTTCACGGGATTCAACGGCAGTGGGTATCCGTTCATCTGCGATCTTGCGAGATCGTTTTTGAGTAGGATGAGACCCTCTGCAGCAAAGATGGTCGAAGCCGTCTTCTGCAATGGTGTTGTCACGTTGTTGTGGGGATTAGAACCTAAGTCCTTACTTTGAAACTTTAAATCTGAAATATGCCTGCTAAAGATGAATGCTATGTATGATTTTGTGTCGCCAGAGGGAAACACGGGAGTGAGATTCTGATACTGTCTCCAAGTAAAAACCACCATAAAAACATTGCCCTCCTTCGGGAAGTTTCCATCCAATTGCCCACTCTCCTTCAGCGCCTTCAGTGTTCGCAACACCAAATCGTCGATGACGGGCATGGGAATGCTGCCATCAGCGATGAGGGCCTTCATTTTCTCTGGCGAAAAATACTCAGTGGGGATGCCTGGCATCTCCATAGTCAAACCGGCTTTCAGACTCTGCTCTGTCGCATGTGTCGCACCCCAATCGGACATGATGAAGAACCGATCCGAATACTTCATCAGCCGACGCATCGTATTTGGGTTTTCGCAGGCGTAGGTGCCATTGATCTGTGGAGGAACGGTTCCATAAAAAAGGAAGACTGCTCTTCTAAAAAAATATTTATATTGCTTTTCTAGTATGTTGTGCATGCAAAAGAAGTCACATTAAGTTAACAAAGTATCTAGACCAATCAAAGTCAACCTCTAGCCCACGACCCGGCGTACTAGCGTTATTACCCTATTGTACGAGCACATGACGCTTCCGGCTCCTGCCTGCACACCCGCGATGAAGGGCTTCATGTAGTACTCCATACCTACTTGTTGCGGAACATCAGCCGAATAGAACATACGTTCAGTTTCCTAGAAGATGAGGTGGTGGGGAGGTGAAACTTGAGTGAGAGTCAACTGGGAACAAGTGTACAACACACTAATGCTAGAAGAATGACAATACAAATAATCCCCATAAAAACGAAGCAATAAGAGGGGTCGGCTTTCAGTTTCACATCAGATTCGAACAAAGTACCTGGTTGTTGAAGATGAAGTGCTTCACAGACGTCATGGTGTTTTCGGTAAAGGCTCCCTGGACATACTCCGGTGCCATTTCAGCTCCTAAAACTGGGTCTTCTCCAGAGAGATATTCAAAATTTCGGCCGTTGCGGGGGATCCGGTTCACATTCACTCCAGGTCCCAGAAGCATATTGGCTCCTTTACCTCGAAACTCTTTGGCGATGAACTTGCCGTACATGAACCTGAGAGAGTAAGCACGTTTTGACAACTATATTCATTGAAGTTACAGTATACTGCATCCTGTTTGACTGTAACTTCAAAGTGAATACAACTATAAGTACCTTGCTGGAGTGAATACAGGAGTTGAAGTTTACTAGCAGTTTTGGATTCCACAAGAGCCAACTAGCACCATATTCGGTTGGCTCTTGTGCAATCCAAAACTAGTTCTAGTTGGAAACTCGTAAGATTCCAACTACTTACTAGGAAAGAGAAGACTTACTAGGATCATCCTTCCTAAGAGACCATAGAAAGAAGAACAAATGTAGTAGTTGTACGCAAAATAGAAAGTAAGTAGTTGTACGCAATCCTTCTTTCAAAAATAGAAAGCTTACGCAATCCTCCTATCAAACGTCGCTCCAATCGCCAGATTGCACGGAAACGCCGTTGATGAGCCCCTTGCGCTCATTGCCTGATCGGGTTGACGGAAACCTTGGGGGCCGTCCATCATGACCACTGGTGGAATGCCGAGTCGATCGACGCCGTTGGCATTAGAGGTGGAGGTAGAACTAGAAGGAATCAGTGCAGAATGAACTCCAAACTTCTTGCCAAGTCGGTCGACGCCGTTTTTGTTCGAAGTAAACCCGAACACGAAAATAGCCACAAAATGATTACCGCCAACAACAACAAATCTCCATCGTCATAACAATATACCCAACATACACCCTGTTCACGCCGTGGAAAAAGTGCAACTTTTCGTCCAATGTCAGCTGTTCCAGCAAAGCGACCGGATCGACGCCAGTAGATCGTTGGCCGGTAACCGAGTAGAGGAAGAAAATGAAGGATGAGGGGTTGTACTGGTACACGGGCGTAGAAGATGAAGAATGAGGAGATGTTGACAAGAACGAACGAGGATGAAGAAGTATAATCAAGTTAGTAGTATCTTTCTTTTTATCCCTTTCGTCCTGCTGGTAAAGCTAATCGCCATTGATATATCATAACACCCGTTGCAGCGCATGCTGCGATTCCAGCTGCAACTGATCGCAGCGACATATTCCTCTGCTCTCGCCCCAAATTCCGCTGCTCTCGCGCGGTCAAGTAATCTCGCCTCCGCTGTCCCATTTGTTTTTTCTCTCAGTATAAATCAAAGTTATTCAATCCAAAAATGGAGGAAGAGCTAGACAAACATGGAAAGAGGAATGAATCGACTGAACGAAAAAAGTCCAGATGCTTGCTGTGGAGCGAAAGCAGATATTCCTTCAGTGAAAGCCACGCATCTTTTCAATTTTATCAACTGGACACCATTTTTATGACCATGCTTTTCGTTCTTATCACAATGCCTCTTGAGAGATAGAGCAGGGAGAAACAAAAATATCATGGGGCTCATCTCCGTCTCCCCGGAAACTACACACTCAAAGTAGACTAATGAAAAGAAAATTACGCACCGAAAACTCACTCGCTCACCTTGTCAATCATCTTGGCTCTGATGCTCTATCTCTGGTTGTTTCCACACACCTGCTTGTAGCTGCAACAGATGTGTTGAGTCCCATCTTCATCGCAATTCAACAGACAGATGAAGAGCAAACGACGGCACACCGACCACCACTTTGACATTTTTCATCCGATAGTCTGACTGCTGAGGAACAAAAATTATTCCGAGCACAAAGAGCAACAGCTCTTGAGTGCTTGCTTTAATGATTCTAAAAGGAGAGGTCGTTGGGAGGACGAAAAGAAAAATGATTCTACCAAAGGGTCTAAGTTGTAGAAAGAAAATCACAGTCATGATGAGGAAGCGTCAGTGATGTTCTCTGTGCCAGTGTCGTTGTGCTCAGCAGATGTAGGACCCTGCGGAACCTCTACTACAACTTGGTTCTGAGTCCCATCATCTACACCTCTGTTCTGAGACCTCTACTACTTTGTTCTGTGTTTGAACATGTAGGAGGAACCTCTACTACTTTGTTCTGAGTCCCATCATCTACACCTATAATCTTCTCCTCCACGACGTCCACCAATGCTTCTTCCACATCTCCTAAAATATGTTTGTATTCTGTTTCTGCTTCCGCTCTTTGCTGGTCTTCTCTCTCTGCAACATACTTTGGTTTCTGTAGAAATAGTGCCGACTCAGCTGCTTCAGTGTTTCCATCCTCCAAAATATGCATCACGTCTCGAAAAGCACGCTCAGCTCCCTCCGCTTCCTTCTCAAGGATGAAGAGCTCTGAAGGCAAAGACATCTGGAAAAACGGCACGGAAGCGTTTGCAGTACTCGCTGAGAAAGAACCAGAAGTTGTTCGCTGTGCATATCGCATCCGCAGCAATACCTGTAGTACCCTTTCAACATCATCTTGATTTCTCTCTTCGTCCTTGCAGCACGATGAGGAAGCCGAAGGAGGCAACAGTTCTTTCACCTGTTCCTCCATAGCGCATAGTGCAGTTTCCAAGTCAACACAATCTCTATTGCGATCTTCTCCTGTTGTTCCTGTAGTTCCCAAGGCAAACTGTTGAGCAGCAAAAATAGCAAAATATCCTTCAGGAACGACCCCCGATGCTGCGTCCAGTTGAAGAACTTGGATAGGGGTAGAGTCGGGGTCACCTTCTCTATCTCTTGGTGGTATAACGCAGAAACCAAATCCAGGATTTTCTAACAGAGGCGCGCCACGTATTATCCACGTCAACCGTAGAGTGTAAGATTCTCCAGTACTGGCGGATGTAGTAGAGGGGAAAGTGGAAGAGCCAAAAATTTGACATGCTTCTCGGGTTGCCAGTGAAGATATTGTTCTACTCTCTTCTTCCGCAGCGATGGTCAATTCCAGCCCCGCAATAAGCGCTTTGCAACGCACTTCGTCCCCATTTGTCGCCAGGATACCGAAGAATCGCTCTTCATCTCCTTCTTCCTTGCTCTTTGGTGTAAACAGCAGCCTCTCAACCCCTATTTCAAGCGCAAAAGTGACTTCGTGCAAAGCTCCCATGCGTGTCCAGGCCTGACCCACGTCGGACGTTCCATACATTGGGTATAGAAAGGGTGACTCGGTTCCAAAGAGGCTAATGGCTTCAGCGAAGCGATGCAACCTGCGCAAACCGTCTTCTCGTGACATGATTGCAGCTGTGCTTCTTGTTCTTCTTGTATCGGAAGGAGCACTGGCAGGACCCTGATCCATACAAACGATGTGTATTATGTACTGCTGAAGTCTCGCTGACAAAGTCGTGCTCTCGCGGAGAAAGGATGCAAACGAAGTAGTACTAGTTGCTTCTTCTGAACCATGACTAACATTATCAGCTTTCGCGTGTTCATGCTTGTCCTTCCCAAGTTTTGCTTCAGACTGAAACGCAGAGGAACTCGCTTGGTTCAAAAACTTCATGAGACTGCGTTTCTCTGTGAGCGACAATTTCTTGCTCTGAAAAATGCCAGCTTTCGAGCATGGCACTCGAAGAAAGGACGAACTAGAAGAGGACGAGCTAGAGCTAGAGGGTCCACTGCCTGTGGTAATGCCTTTTGCTTCTATGCTACTGGCTTTGGTCGCACCGGTTGTTGAACTCGTAGTAGAGTTTGAGTTGCTTCCTCTATCCCACAGCGACAAGTTCCCCTTCAGCGTTTGAAATTCCAGATAGCGACTTACACCGGTTTGCAACAGGAGATCGACGAAACGGCCATTCGTGAACAAGCAACGCGGTATCACATCCAAGCTAAATCTGGTACCCTTCGCTTTTAACTCTTTTATAGCAGCTTCATCTGGTGTGTCTTCTTTCCCTACCCCTTCGTCTTCTGGAGTGGACGAACCACAGTGGCCATAGGGATTGTAGTCGAATTTCCGATTGACGAACACACGACTGGTACTATGATCCATCGCGCAGGTGGATGAGAACGTCACATGTTCTTCTGACTTTTCTTCGTTCCTGGTGGCCGTGGCATCTTCGTCTTCTCTTGTTTTAACTGCATCCTCTGGCGTTGCAGTAGGTGTCTCTTCCGAAAACGATGTGCTGCTTTTTTCATGCTGCTCCGGTGTTTGCCCAGCATCCGTAGATTCCGTGGGTGCTGGCGACGACTCGATGCCGCATTGCTGCTTCTCTTTTTCTTCAGATTTACTACCACCTTCAACTACATCTTCATCGGTGGCACATTTTGTACAACTACTGGTTGGCAAATACGCAATATCGTATCTGTAAGCGGGTTTTTGTTGTCCCCAACTCTCGCCACATTGTAAAGGCTTATCGTCTGTAGCCCAGGCCTCGAGTTGTCGCAGATTCAACGATGAATAAGCTCCACCATAGACACAGTTGGGGTCGAGATGAAGGACTGATTTTCCTGCACGGCCCAGAGCTGCAGCAAGAATGCACTGCGGCAATCCGGTCCCGACAATGACGACATCAACATCCTTTTCTTTATTGGTAAAACGCGGAAGAGACATCTTCATTTTTGCGATTTATGTTGAGAAACTGTACTTTCCGAATACCAATTCATGACGAGATTGAAACAAGCCAAAAAATCAAAAGGATGCGCAAGCTGCACTTTCAATTTCATAGAACGGGGGTGGGGGATCACAACGAACAGGGTCCTGTAAGTGATTGATGGAAGAAACTAGTTAGTCTAATGCTCAGTGAACTCGATACTTGCAATCGCATTCTGTTCGCTTGCAATGAACCTAATGCTCAGTGTGCTCGATGCTCGCAATCGTATTCTATTGGTTCGCAATGAATGAAGATCCGCGATCCATATTGAGCTTAGGAGTGAAGACCACGTGGTAGAACCTTTATCGTGCCATAAACAAGGGAATATGTTGACAGATCGCACACCGAACACCACCTTGTAAAGATATCGCTTCCTCGTATACATAGTATCTTTTCATCGATGCCTTCTGGAGGCTTGAAATTTCAATTCTAACCCATGCTCCCTCATCTGCAGAGCAAGCATCGCCATTTTGTTGCCAATGATAATGAATGTGAAGATGGTCATGGGAAAATCAAACTACGCTCTAAATCCAAGGGACATCTTCGTCCAACCAAACGTCGACACGGAAGTCATAGTAGATAAAATAGATTTTCAGGTACTTAACATACACAGCTGTGTGAATAAAACCTAAAGGTAAAAAACGCGTCAGCACTGCAGACATGTGCTAACAACACCCACCCGTTCCCCCCATTGGTACATTTGAGGGGTGTGCGGCAGTGAGTGGAACGGGTTCGTCCATCGCTCCTTGCCTTCTATCATCAGCTGCCGCATTTCTATGCATTTCTTGATAGATCTTATCCAAAATCTGGTGAAAAGCTTCTTCAACGTTCGTCGAATCTAATGCCGAGGTCTCTATATACGACATCCCATGCTTCTCGGCTAGTAGGTTGCCCTCCTGTGAGTAAAGGAGAAGAAGAAGAAGATTAAGGTAATAAAGGTTCAAGGTTCAAGGTCCGCGGCTCTGCAGTAATAAATCTAAGATCAAGGTAATAAATTGGAGATTGATTGATGCAAATTTTGATGACTGCACGCTGTAGTTCAGACGAGGTTGCTGCTGTTCTTGTTGGGTCCACTAGCATGCATACTTTTCTGAGGAATCTAAATCAACATAGAGACTCTATTTTTGGTAAACTACTACCTCTGACGAAACTGTCCGTAGGTGTATCAAATCCGACTTGTTTCCTACGAGAAGCGTCTGTATGTTGGCATCCGCATGGTCCTTCAGTTCCATTAGCCATCTTTCTATTGCCTCGAACGATGTCCTCTTTGCCACGTCGTACCTGAAAGTCTAGGTTTACAAGTTGTCCAGAAATTGCTAGGGAACAAAGTGTAGCTATGACGTTAAAAGGTGTATCATGTATGTATGAGTGTCAGTGACCACTACAACATCGGACAACGGGACGACAAGGACTTTCAAGAATTGTAGTACACTAGCAATGCCCCCAGGGCCCCTCTATAGTAGGCACTCGTTATTGCGCGATATCGCTCCTGTCCTGCTGTATCCCAGACCTGCGCTTTTGCTATTTTGCCATCGTTAAGCTTCACTGCTTTTGAGGCAAATTCAACTCCTATCGTTGACCGTGACTCCAGATTAAACTCATCCCTTGTGAACCTCAGAGAGAGAAAGAGAAAGCGAGGACAATGAAGAGAGATACAGAATATGTTCTCGAGTTTCTCGATCAAAATCAAAAGTTTGGAAGTTAATAAAGAACAAAACCGAAGCAAAAACACACGCAACGCGACACACGACACACCCGACAAAGACAATAGACAGAAGAACAATAAAAAAGCAGCCCATCTTTGTCTGGCCGACCTCCCAACAAATAAGCACGCGCCCACGACCAGCCTGCCGCAACCTACAAGCCAGCCGCGGCTATACAGCACTTTCCTTCTGCCCACTTTTGCCCAATCAGCTAGGCCAGGCGCCCCTAGCTGGGCAAAGAAGCAAGCGCCCCAGCTTTCTGCACTTGGCCAGGCGCCCTGTCTGCGTCTCCTGTGCGCCTCGCTCTTCCCTCTGTTGCTGTTGCACCCAAGTGATTAGACTGAGGCCCCCCAGCGTGTCGCTGTCTGTGCATTATCTCCGAACCCCAGGCCATCTGCGTCCTGTATTTCACTCGGCGACGCTCTGGCTGCCAATGACTTCAGCAGGAATGCATCAAGATCGCGACGCCCTGGCCTTCCAATGTGTTAAGAATTACCGTAGACAGATAAGCGCCGCCATTCTATGCAGACAGATGCGCGCCACTATAGAAATAAAAACTACACCCCCTCGCCAAAACACGGCGCGGCATATAAGGGCCGCAGCATACTCCGCCGAATTCGCGGCCTCTTAACTAAAAATAGAGCAGCCACAGCCTGCGCCCCAAGAAGCTCGCTCGCTGAGGCGTTCCCCGCGGACCTGTGAAGACCCACAGGCAAACCTCTTCCACTCCTCAGCCTCGACGCTGGAAAAGATCCAAGTCACCCAGTCAAACGCCCACCGTGGTCAACGCACTGGGCGCCAGCCCGTGCATGAAGCGCTGCGGATACCTGGGGGGCCTCTGCAGCTGCCTCAGCTTTTTCCGGCGGCAGCTTCCTGCCCCAGGCGCTCCCCTTGGTCGTTCGTCCAGGTGTCGAGTCTCCCCCACCCGTCAGTCTTCGCCCATGTCATCGAGGCGCCCCCTGCACTCGACCAAGGCAAGGCTCCAGCGTGGCCAATATTTCGCGCCTTCCTCTCTTTGTGCTCCTTCTGGGGCTTCCTTCCTCCGTCCGGCGCGGCACAAGCTTCCACCGGACTCAGTGAAAGCGCGAGCGGATACATAGGCGCCACAGACAGCACCCCACTCGCGGCGCCTTCAGGCGCATCAGTCAGAAGCCTCCAGCAGGGGGCGGCGGTTCGAGTCCCAGCGCCGCGCCCACAACATCCGAAGCAAATGCGCTCGCTCCGCACTTCCTCGACACTACACAACAGACAAGGCCCCCAGCCAAAACGCAGCGCGCGGGGGGCTCGGGTCTACTTGCTGAGTCACAGCGCGACCATCGTCGAGGCCTCGCGGGTGCTCTCGACAGCTTTAAGCGGGAGGGCTATTCACATGCGCACCCAGTTACTGCAGTTCCTTTCTCCACTGCCTTGCTGTTGTGCAAGAAGTGCAAGGGCGTAAGGCTCTACGCGTGCCGCCTGCAAAATCAAGAGGCTGGCCACCCGGTGCGACGTTGCTAGCGTCTTCAACTCTGCCCAGGTTTCCTGGATGAATGAGAGCGCCTTCGCCGAGGTCACCCCTTTCCCGTACTGCGTCAGAAAGGAGAGCACACGAGCCCCGTGCCACTTCTAAGGCCCAAGGCCGGGCCGCCTCCTTGCGTCTGCCGGGAGTTCCGGGCACATTGGGGCCCCCAGCATAGTCACCGGGGTCCACAGCTGCGCGGGCTCCTCAGGATCTGCTTTGCTGCGGCACCGAGTTGGTGGCTATCTACTTGCATCTGCCAGCTCTTCGCCCGGTCCGCATCTGTGGGGGCTCTCGTCCTGCGCGCGCCATTTTTCTCGCCAGTCGTTCCTGAACTGCCGCGCGGCCTGCTGCATCGCTCTAAGAGGTCGCCCCACCTCGCTGGCCTTTTCTCTGCGCAGAGCCTGCGGAGGCGCAGTCTCTCGACTTTCTTCCAAAAAGACTCCGCCGCCCTTCTAATTTCTGGACTGTAGACGCCGCCCAGTATAGCGGTGGGGACGCGCGCGAGGTTTTGCCGAGTCACTTCCGATAACAACAGCGAGGCCCACGGCTAGCCCGCCGGCCCCAAGACCCTCGCAGAGTTTGGGAAGGTTCCCGCGCGCCCCTGCCTAGGTATGCTCCTGCCCCTGGCCGTTCTTCGGTTGGCAGCCGCTTTAGCGTCGCAGGATAATCCCCTCGGAAAGAAGGGCAAGGCTTCATCTGGGGTGCCCAATCCATTCGGCGAAGCTTCCCCGTCTGCTGCTAAGGCTAAAAGGTAAGCTGCTATCAGGATTGGGTCGCCCGCCCTGCTTCCTGACTTGGCGGCACGTCTGTAGAGCACGTCTCGACCCCCCCCCCGCGGGTGATGGAACTCCACGGGAGAAGCAGCAGAACACCATGGCACAACGATCCTCCCAAACCCATTTCCGCAGAGGGGAAGTCGATAGTAGTAGTAGTAAATTCAGACTAAAGATGATCACTCATCGTCAAGATGAAGCAGATACCTGAGCAGTAAGTTGCTCTTTCCCACTTCTGAATCTCCGATCAAAACGACTTTGAACAGGTAGTCATACTCGTCTGCGCGGTGTCTTTGCTTTGACTGTGCCATCTTTCTCTCAGGGGTGTGGTCTGGGTGAGAGATAGACGCTCCTCTGCCTGCCGCTCTACTGCACTCCAGAAGTTGTGACTAAACTACTCCAAAGTCGTTTGAGACGAGGATTACTGATACGCCTTCACGCATTTGTCTGGTGTCTCTGTCTAGTATCTTTCCCGAAAAATGCCCGTCCGACTACTTGGCACCCAGGTGTGCGTCGTTTATTCAGTCGTTGATGACGCCACTCGCTGGCCTGTTGATGATGGCACTCGATGGCGTCACAGATCATACATCGCCGAGAACAGGGAGTCTCCCAGTTCCATTGCGCAGAGAAACCGACTCCTCTTCTAGACCACGCGTTGCGCTTTTTCTACTGCTAGTATGCTGGCGCCAATCGCTGCTCCTCCGCTACTAGCTGCAGATCAACTGCATCAGCACTAGTATGTGCACAAGTAAATTTGTACTTTTGTCGACGTAGAGGTTTTCAGGGAGTCTACTTTGCGGAAGCCAATCCAAAGAGAATCTACTTATTGTGGGAGCACTATCGCGTAGCCAATCCAAAGAGAAGGCTAGCACGTTTTTTCCCAGTACAATAGTACACTTTGTTCTTCTACCAGCAGCGTCTACTACGAATCTGATTGCGTAGCCAAACCGGTCTTCGTTTTCCAAAACTGGTTTTCCAGCACTATTTAGAGGCGTATTACCGGACTTCCAATGCCGTGCATCCAGATTCACTTAGACCTACAGTCACCTCTCCAAAAACGACGTAGGTGCGTCGACATCGCAAGACGAGCAAGGCTCAAGGAATGATCCGCTTTTTACATGACGGTAGCGTTATTGTTGTGATTCATCTTGGTCAGAAAAGGTCTCGTACGGAGGTTCAGCCAAAACATGAATTTCAATTTCAGACTTCTCCTCGATCGAAAATACACTGACAAACCAAATCCATAATCTCACTACAACGATCTTCGCGCTCTATCTCAAGATCAGTAAGATACTTCTTTTGAGACTGAGTTATCTTCATTGTGATTAAAAGCTGATCACGCAAGATCTTCATGTACATCTTTGAGTGAATATGAGACCGTATCAAGCGACGCCACTGGCCGCTGGATATCTCACTAGGATCGCGTTTTCAATTTTCAAAGTCTTCGGCCAAAGGGCCAGCGCACCAGCTGGGGTGGGCGCAAAGAAGTCGTACATTTCTCGGACGGTGCGCCGAGCCTCCATTCGACTTTTTCTGAGAACACGAAGCATCAGAACCACGACGCGCACGCCGCTGCAGGATATCATGTCTGTGTTTCTCCTAATAGTCAATGTTCGTGCGGTTCTGCTAAATATCGAGAATGCAAGGAGGATTTCCTTTCATCTTCGTCATTATGTGAACGTGAAGTGTATTTCTGGTCTCTAATAGTGTATCTCCCACATACTAGTTTCTTGGAACTTTCTCCCAGTACACGGAGCAAGTGATATTTTTCACCCCCCGTCCCGCCAGAATTATTCAGACACATGAACTACGGCTACTAACTTGTAGTGTCTGCTTGTGAGTAACTACTCAATAAAATTTCGTCTCTACTTGAAGTGATAATTGCTTCACTACTTGCATGTTGTGACATACTTACTTGTTGTTACTAGAAGAATGAAATGGATGTTACTAAAGAGGAACATGGATGAATGTTAATGGAATAATCAAGTGGATTTATGAAATTTCAGAAAGTTTTATGTACTCGCCATCTGGATACTGGAATCAAATACGTATTACTACACCGTGTTCACTTGCATTGGTCTCCCTCACCTCGCCCTGGCTCTCTTGATTTCAAGAACATGAATGATCAGGGTTACTCCTGCTGCCCCTTGCTACCAACTTCTTCGAAGTTGTAGATTGCTCTACAGTACTTAATACTCCCAAAGCACAAGTCACTCCTAATGCCTCTTTTACGTCTCTACTTTTACAGCAGTCGCACAGTCGCCCCCGCGTCGTCACCAGCTTGCTTCATTTTCCGCTCTCGCCAATACTTCAATAGCATTGCGACTAGAACTGTGCCCAGTAAGATAGAAATCATCAGCGAGGCGCATCCATCTAACATCTGCGCGTTCTGGGGATCGATACGAATCATCCTGTTCGATGTAGCAGAGGAAAAGGGTGAGGAATAATCAGGTAGACCTTAGACAAAAAAAAAAGTTTACTTCTCTAGATGAATGGGTGGGGAATAATTGAAATGATCATGATCCTGGTTCAGTAATCATTCCTGATTCATTTTGTCTGCATTTCCAGTGGACTAGTCCTAGATCTACTTCCAAGAAGAAATCAACACTCCTACCACATCACCGCGCTCATTCCGAAGACGAAAAACCCGCGAAGCACGTCTGCCCAGAAATGGAGCAAAGCCGCGTCCATATTGACGTTCCCCTGTCTCTGCGCTGAGTCCTTTGTCACGATAAATCGGATCGCCATAATCTGGCAGATATCTAGGCTCATCGCAAGGGCTGCACAACAGAAAACTGGTTTGAAGTCAACCTGTAGTGGACGGAGACAAAAATTGAAGGAGTTTGAGGATGAGGTTGGCCTTGGGGGATTGGAGAGGAAGTCACGCCAATTTCTTCGAATTGGAATGCTCTTATGGAGTTCTTCAAAGTTCTACCTCACGAACCTAAAGTCCTTCAAAGTACTACCGCTTCTCCATGAGCTCCTGCTTTCTTGTACCAAACGTGCGTATGCCACGCGCGATGCCGAAAGTAGTCTGCGTGTCTAGCATCCTCCATTCTCAGGATACTTTCATGTGCTACGGAAACCGTACAGACGAACAGCAACCCTAACGACAACACTGCCCCAGCAATATCGAGAGCGTCTTTTCGCGAAGGATACCGGTCCTTGAAGTATTCTATCAGCAGATTGAAACCGTAACTGGCAGTGTCGGTCCCAACTGAGTAGCCGTCGGCACGGGGAATTAGAGGGGAGGGAGCTGATCGTTGAGAAGATGATAGGACAAAGAGTAAAAGGCTTTGTATAGCAGATTTTACCATCGACTGATTTATCTGGGTAGAAGTAAAGAAGAGGAAAAGCTCCAAAAAAGGATCTTTATGTGTATCGATTTAGACGGCCTGATATTCATAAAAGCGTGACCGAATTCGCCCACACCGATACCCATATTTCCACTACGGTGACGACTAAATTCGCTAGTACAAAAACCCACAGAACGCAGAGCTCTCTACTGGAAGCCACCGAGCCCGAAACCACTCCTCGTCCTCCTGCTGTGACGTTTCCTGCCGTAATAAACGACGATGAAGACGACAAACCTGACGCACCCGAGCCAGCCCTGGCTGACAACGCGCCTCGCGCACCCGGAGGTTCTTTATTCCGGAAGTTAGACAAATGGCTGATTGCTTTCCATCTCTCTGGACAAGCAGCTCTAAGACATATGGCGGACTTCTAGAATCCTCGTGGATGAAAACATATTCAAAAGTTCTACAGCTAGCGCTCCTTCGGAAAGTGAGCCATTTCCAGGCCTTAATGCTCGAAGCCGGCGCGAATCTCGCACTGCCTGGTGCTCCTGGCTTAGCGGGTCCTCGCGGACTTATACCATGACCTCCTTCAGCCGAACTCGATGAAACTGATCTGCTCGCTGTAGCGCTTGGGTGGGTGTATGGGCCGTTCCAACCTCTACCATCCATCAACGCTTCCGTTTGTTCATCGCTCGCATCAGCTTGGTCGGGATGGTATAAAAACGTGCCGGGACTTCTGGGTCGTGAATTAGAGTGTGTAGCAGTTTGCACTTTTTTCAAATCAAACAGTTACTAAGGAATTCATTGGGTCTAGATCGAACAAAATCAAAATCGAATCAAATCCCTTTCCCTTCAAGGTAAAGGATTTGCTTTTGACTTACGTATCTTAAGCAGACAACATGTCATAACAACTGCACTACCCTCCTCTCGTCTCCTCCTTTTCTCCTCCTCCCGCCTTCTCTTCTCGTCCAGTCGCAACAGATCTCTCTGTGAGACCAACTTTGGCCTCGCGGATACTATTGTGCCATTGATAACTGTCGTGCCATCTAGGCCTTCAATTTCACGCTGATCTAGTATTCCAGAGTCAGAAGGTGAGCTCCCGATACTGCGCACAACGAGCACTGGCTCTCCAAAACAGTCCTCAATTATTTCTCTTCGAGCTGTTCTTCCTGCTCCGGTCCTCCCAGTAGGAGGCGTTATGATTACTTCCCCATCACGGCCTCCGTCACCACTCATCATACTGCTGTCCGCCTTTGTGCTCCCAGTTGTGTCAAGAATATGATGGTCTTGGCGCTCCTTGACTTCACTAGCGATCGAGACACTTTCTTCACCTGACGCTAGCACATTAGAGGAGTCACTCTCGTTGTCGTTGTCAGAAAAGAGCGATTGATTCGTACTATTGTTGTTTGTCTTTGGTGGATGGCCACCTCGTCGATGCTGGGCTATCATTTCCTTTGCCGCAGACGGTCACTGTAGCACGCACAAAGTGACAGATGGCCTCGTCTTACAAGCGATATCCTTCGGATTCGAACTCATGTGTCGTGACCAAGACCAATTACACCTATGGCTGCTGAGATCATTGATTCTTCTGCATACCAGTTGGAAGCGATGGAAAATCTTTTTTAATGATCAGACGCTTTAGACGCATTTACGTTCAGACTGCGGATGCAGGAAGAAAAGTCACATCGGCTATAATCAACAACTACATGAGGAGATGTAACAAAAGGAGATGAACACGGGTGGAGGGCGAGGATGAGGGGATCTTACCAATGTCAAACCGATCTTCAGACTTCTTTCAGGCAAGGTATCTCTCCTACGACAAGTAAAGCTCTCTCCCCAAAAATTCGATCATGTTTCATGTCAGACCGAATGTAGCACAGATTTAGAGCTCCATAAGAGCGACAGACGTTACAACTTCTGCTTCACAAGAAAGTGCCTGTGGAACATACCGACAAGTAAAGCTTCAGTCTCTACGGTAGGCATAAGCCTGCGATTACCTTCGTGTACCGAACCAATATGCACACGCCTGAAGACGAACACGAATCTGCACCGAAAAGACGTCCTGATACAAAGTGGCTCGCGAGTTGTGTACACTGCGCGTCCACCGGATGTTTTGTGGTTCTCTGAGAGAGTAGTCAGCTTCTGATCATATCAGTAGTCGTTGAGTTGTCCCTTCCGGCAGTCCCTGATTCATGAGTGTACGGTAGAGAAATCAGACTCCCAACCTCACCTAGAAAACTGCTTATCGACCCACTGAATGTTGTTGTCGTCCTCGCCCGTCGTCTAAAACCACCGTCGAGAAGCTTCAAAGCGAAAACGCTGTCTCGGCTTCTGCGGAGGCATAAAAATGGTCGAATACAAAAGAAGATATGTCTGCCAGCGACTCGACAAATTAACGGTACTTTCCTCCGAACTGAGACTCACCAGCCTTCTTCTTGGTATCACCACCGAGCTCGAAGTGCTTGCAACGCTTGATCGGGACAGTGCGCTTGTGCTTGCACTTGGTGCACTCCCACTTCAAGGCGATCTTCTTGGTCGTCTTGGCCTTCTTTCTAAAGACCGGCTTGGTCTGACCACCGAAACCTGTGCAAAGTGAGAATTGGTATTGATAGAATACTATGCTGAAGTGCCCGATGCAGCTGTTGTATTACTCTTCTAGGATCTAAAAGCCTTTCTGAAAAAACGCCAGACTGAAGGATTTAGATTTCATGTCGCATCTTCTAAAGATCGTACAAATCACGCAGCCTATCTGGAGTAAGGAGTGCGTCTGTGCAATACCTACTGAGACTATCACCTAAATCACGCATCATCTTGGTGCTGGTTCGAAAAATGAATCGAAAATAGTACCCTTTTTTCTGGCATTCTAACGACGATCAATCTAAAAGTATATTGTGGTACCCTTCTGTTTGGCGTTATAACGACGATCTCCCTGGGCGAAACCAGACTTCTTCTGAGTCTTGTACTGCGTGACTTTGTGCTTGGTGTGCTTCTTGCACTTCTTGCCTGGGCAGTACGTGCGGCGTTCCTTCGGAATGTTCACCATTTTGGACGACTTTTCGACTACTTAACTCTACCCTAAGAGATTACCTCAGGAGAATTACTCCGTTTCCCTGTGTAGCGATTTCGGTTGAAAAGACGATCTAAAGGAAAATTGAACTTCAAACACACATAAACTTGCGAGTTGATCCTCAGGAAGGATCCCAACATGCAAGAGGAGCGGTCGTTCAATTCGTGTATCGATGTTGGTGTTCTTGATCTACAGCAAGTGATCTACAGCAATCGATGATGGTGTTCTCCTCGAGATCTCAACTTGTCCTTTTTTCTTCCATTGTCTTTTCCTCGACCTAAAAGATTCTCTCTGAGAACCAGATCTGTAGTGCTGATGCTCATTTCAAGATCCGTCACCATAGATGAAGAGTAAAAAATGCTAGATCTTCTGATGGAGTCTTCATCTTCGCATGTTGTTGTTGGCTGCCTTGTGTTTTCTAAAGATCGAGACTTTGTTCTTCATCCTCGAGGCCAAGATCTAAATCATCCCAGGATCTACGAAGAGACAAAGAGACTTTGCTGGAACACGACTTCGAAACACAGTATCTATTTGATGTCATATTTTGAAACGTGCTCATCGAACGGAGCTACATCTTTAGGGTAAAATCGTTCGTTTGGGAGAAGGTTGATTGGGGACACCAAGCATCGTTGATGTCAATGGATCATGTGCGCACGTGGTTCTATGGTTCGTTTAGGGATGTAAATCATCGGTCTTGCGAGAGATCGCTTTACAACAAAGCAGCTGGGAAAGGCACAGAAACACTCCAAAAAGACTCTAGAAAATTGGGAAAAGTGAGGACGCTCGTCTACATTGGATTTTCTTCTACGAAGTAAAATCTAGTGGATTCCTTGAACGAAGATGCTCTAAATATCGATAGATAATGATCCCGATTTTTCGCGTGCAGGAAAAACAGACAAACAAACTTTTATTACATTGAATAACGAGTAAAAACCTTGTATGACATTCAGATGCGAGATTGACCGTCGCCCGCTCTGCATATCTACATTTTCGACTATTTGAACCACGTCGTCGTGGTAAGGACTATTATGACTAGGATTCCGCTGTAGAGTATATGTAGAACCTTTCTTCTAGCTGCTCCAAATGTGACGTTTCAAATAAGTACAACCAAATACCGACGTTTCTAAATCCAAATCTAAATTTCATGATACATGTTTCGATGACGCCCAAACGCGGGCTAAAATTCCAGATGCCAGCGAGGCTATGCGAACTAATCGGTTTACTACACCTCGAGAAGGAACATTATTATGCTGAGTTGTGAAGCTAAATTTTAAAATCGAATATTCTAAATCGTACCCCACGACTAGAGATTTATCGACTGCGGCTCCGCTGCCTTTTGTTCAGGACAACTCTGGGTCGTTCGTCCGTAGGAGGGTCTTGCCTTCGTCGCTTCGCATCTCTCTCCCATTGCTCGTCTCGATCCTGGTACCTACGAGCTTCTTGTCGTTCTTGATTGTTGCCACTACGATCGCCCCTCTCTCCTCTATCACCACCTCGGATCTCGCCTCTATCACCACCTCGGATGTCGCCTCTATCACCACCTCTGATGTCGCCTCTATCACCACCTCTATCTGCCCGATCGCCTCTGTGATCTCCGCCTCTTTGCTCTCTGCCTCTTACTTCCTGGCCTCGGTAGTTATCGTCTTTACCACCCCAGCCTCTACTGCCTCCACCACGATGACCTCCTCCGCGGCCGCCATAGCCGCCAGCTCCATAGCTGTTGCCACCACCATACTCGCCATTGCCACCGCGGCCACCACCATCTCGATCTCCCCTACTTCCGCCTCCGCCATGCTCATTGCGATAGGACCCTCCATCACCCCTACTTCCTCCATAGTGATTACTATTCCCAGCACCGCCTCTACTGTCTCCAAAGTTATCTCCACCACCTCTTTGGTCATTATGGTGGTCTTCACCCTTTGGCACATCACGATCTCTTGACCTTCTTCTCTTCTGTCGTTCCCACTCTTCCGCCTCTCGCCTCCTTTGCTCCTGTATTGACTCTTGCCTGCGTTTCTCATTGTCGTCTTTGGCCTGGGCGTCGCGAATGATACGTTGGATACGGTCGCGACATTCCTTTACCCGTTTGGCCGTCTCCGCGAGAATGAAAATCTCTTTCCGCTCTCCCTCATCCCGACTTATCGCCACCTTGACCTGGAATTCCCGCTCTAGCTCCTTCACGGTGCCTCCCTTTGAGCCAATAATTCTTAGAAAAAGAGGACATGTTAGGTGCAAGAGATGTTAGGTGTAATGAAGCTCCTCTCTAAACTTTCTTCAACATAGTTGGACAGTACAATCGGGAGGTAGACTTGAACAGTGGAGATGGACAGTACAATTTGGACTAACCTAAAGGACTTTCTCCTAGCTACTAGTAGAAGCAGTCTCCATTTTTTTACCTTTTCTAAATTATTCTGCAACTACACTTGATAATCTACTCTAAAAATCAAACTCAGGTTTCATCATCGATCCTTCATCATAATATCAATCCAATGCGTTCTGCTCGGACTGTTATGGTGTCCTTCGGCCCCCGCCAATTGGCGTAGGAGCTGAGACGCAATGACAGCGGTTGAATATGCTGCTCCCAGACGTCATACTCCAACTCTCCCGTTGCCTCATATTCCAAAGTGAATCCGTTCCCTTGCGTCGACACTCCGACAATGCGAGCTGGGTACCAGTTGCCCTTACGTCGCCAGTTTGCCTCGACTTTGTCGCCTAAATGAAACAGGAGTCCATCATCGAATGGGATATCTCGTTTTTTCTTGGGCTCCACGTTGTCAAACGGTCCTTGACCTGCGTCACTGCTGTCGTCGTCGTCCTCACCAAAGGGGCTAGAATCGAAAGGGCCCATGTGATTCTTCGAGACTGGCAACGCTGCTGCACCGCGTGCTGCACTATTTTCGGCTCCACCTGCATTATTACTATTACCACCACCACCACCGTCTTGCTCGAACGGACTTTCTGCGGAATTCTTAGACTCTTTGGTGTCTCCGAACGGACCCCGAGTGAGCGGAATGCTGTGTCCTGGAGTTGGCTCAACGTGCGCAGCGGCAAGATTCTTCGGAAGGGCCGACTCCTGTGAGAGTAAAAATTGGGATTTAGAAAAAAACTGTGCGATTGGAAATTACTATCGTCTTGAGAGACCACATGAATAAAGAAGTACACACATAAATGCTCTGTGTCTAGAGTAAAAACTGGGGTAAGAAAGGGACTGTAAGTACCTTGATGATCTGTGATATCCACGGATGTGCCTGGGAGCACGCGAGATCGGCTGAGGTGTCGACAGGGATGAGCTGATGCTTCATTGACTCGTCACTGTAGGCTGGATGCCCCTTGAGGAGGTCATTGATATCTCGCCTAAAGAGCTCTTCGAGTATTGCTCTTTGCGGAGGCGGCCTATCCTTGGCTGACATACCCGGCGGTGGCACCACTAAGTGCAGGTGGACCTAGAACGAATAGTTTTGGATTGACGATGAAAGACAGGGGTTCGCTTCTCAGTAGATCTAAATGTGATTCCAACTGGGTGATCATAAAAACGTCCAAGCGTAGTACTAGTAAGTACCTTAAACAAGCATGCTTGTCCACTCTGAGACGACAACGACATGCACATCGGTTCTGGCTTTCCTGCTATGTAGAGCAACGACAGTCTCGTGTCAGCCGCAAAGCTTTTCCTCGCCACAATGTGCCACTCGTTGCACACGCCTTCCCTTGGAATGTAGATGATCAGCAACTCCTTGTGCTCTACGTCCATTACGAACAGGAAGACCTCAATCGTCGCTGCTTGTGCACCTCCGATCGGCGCGCCATCCGGACCAGTAGCCGGTCCTCCTGCGTTGGTGCGCATGTACACTGGCCACATGCGGAATTTCGTTTGAGGGAGTGGCATTTTGAATCCGTGTTCGGATTCGCACTCTACTTTGCGCCACTGTTCTCGCGCCGAACTGATCTCGTACAACTCAGGCACATTGTAAAACCGCTTGTCTTCACTGCGATCGTGGACAATGGCGTAGGGTCTCCTGGTGGCTGGGCAGTAGAAGAAATGAATCTTCGCGCAGTGACTGAAGCGCATAGAGTTTGGATTGGACTCGATGCGCAGAGGTTCTTCGTAGCACGTTTCCCACGCCTCGTTTGGGTCTCGAATCTTGTACATCAGAATCTTCTTCCTTGCTCTGTCTAGACAAGCGAGGTAACTCTTGCCGTCAATGTTGAACGGCTTGAACATGCAGTTCTTGGCGGAGAAGAGTTCTACTGGAGGTGCTACTACGGTTTTCCATCGTTCCATGGGAAGGTTCTCTTCAACCACACAAAGCTTGATCTGACCGCTTTCACGCTGCTGCAGAATGACAAAGAGTTGGCCTTCTTTCCCCCACCGCAAAGCGTAGGCTTTCCAGCCCTCGCCGCCCACTTCTGGACACCAAGCTTGCCATCTGAGCTCGCTTCCGACTAGAGCGACGGCTTCGCAGTACTTCTTGCCTGTGTCGCTGTTTACACGCTTCAACACTAGAGGAATTTTCAGAACCGGTTGTGCAACAGCCGGCACGACTACCGGCTGTTGTTGCACCACCTGCGGCTGCTGAACTACTGCTCCAGGAGGTGCGGCGATCACCTGGCCACTCGCGGGATCTGTAGGAAGAGGCGCTCCAGGTCCTCCGAGCGGTGGGGCGCCGACGATCACCTGTTGCGGAGGTCCACCGCCACCTTGCGCTAGTATTTGTTGCTGTGGCGGAGGTCCACCGCCGCCTGCAGGCATCACGATCACCTGCTGAGGCGGACCGCCCCCAGGCGGCTGGATGAAAGTCGTCACCGGCTGCTGCTGTGCTACTCCTGGAGGAGTACCGACTGGAGGAGCGCCGACTGCGGTAGGAGGGATAAAAACCCCGCCAGGGTTCTGGACACCAGGTGGCCTAAACGGTTGCTGGTCTCGACCGCCGTTGTAGCCGTCCTGATTAATAATTGTGCATGAGAACTACAAGAGTGAAAAGATCCGAAGAGAATTTTTCGTTTTCACAAAGAACTGTTTGATCTAAATCTTGATCTAAATCTTCATCGATTTCCACGTACAACAACCCAAATGTCAGACTGACGTGCAAATTCGTTGTTTCTACACCAAGTTTCGGAAACTTGAGTATAGTATCGGTTTTGCGTCATCATTATGTTGGTTGCGTGTACTCGTGTTGCAGTAGGATAAAAGATCTTTTTTTTGTAGCAGGTCTCTAGTATCTAGCTACAGGTATACCTGATAAGCGTAAGTCAACTGCTCTTCCCATACAGGCTTCGCTTTTTCCATCATCTCTATGCCGGTTCCTGGTTGAATACAAAGCACTAAATGCAATCTGGTGCACTCGTCAGTGGTTCCATAACCCTTCATTCCTCGTCCAGTCAAGATAGCCCTATTAGCACCAATAGCCTGTTGGATTTCCTGCATACGAACTGCCTTCTTACCCATCAATTTACCAATCAGCTCTTCGCGATGAGAACCTTTGGTGGTATGTGTGTGGTTGGGGTGATGGAAATTCTGTGGTCGATAATTGCACGTGGACGTGGTTCTTTGGTCGTGCTAACATGAAATAAAGAGATGACTTGTTTCATGATCTGCTTATCAATCACTTGCTGTTCCATATTCTGTAAGAGACAATAGCAAGTTCCTGCAACATCCTATTGAGAGGATAAGTACCATTGCTTCCTCTCAGCACCCTTTCCGACTCGGACCAGACGCACTTGAGCTGGTCGGTTGCGATGTCGTTTACTCCTGCATGGAGAGGTCGCATACTGAGTTTCTGAGTTGCCGTCATCGCATGGGCTTGGTTGCTAAAAAGCACATATGCCATTCCTTTGGAGATATCACCTCGGTCTTGGTCCTGTGTGGGGGAGATATTTGTTGAAAAAAGATTGTTTTCTTGTGCTATCGACAAATGTTATCTAAGAAGCACCTCAATCAGAACAAGATACACCAAGAACAAATCAAGCAAGCTCGTATCTAGTTCCAACAACGAAAAAAATCACGTACCTTAAGCAGCAAGATTTCCGCCACATCGCTTGCTCCGACTGCACATAGGCATTTCCAGACGCACTCCTCATCTATATCAGACCGCATGCCGGAGATAAAGACCTCCATCTCTTCCGGATGTATTTGATCGACACGTCTTCGCGGAAAATTCATCTCATCGATGTACAACTTTCGCTTTTCTTCGGGACCTTTCTTACCTGTCGTAATACGTTATAATATTGTGAACCACGTACTCAGCTAGGAATGTTGTTCGTTAAAGTCCTGAGAGAAGGTCCTGCATATTGGCATCATAAAAGTAAATGCATTGGTGACCCAATTGTCTGAATCTTCCCGTCTGACACTACAATTAGAAGGAAGCTTAATACCTCCGCCTTTTCCACCCTTGCCCTTGCTTGCGTCGGGTTTGCCGCCTTTCTTGCCTCCTCCATGCTTGCCATCCGGAGGTCCGATAGGCTGTTTCAAATAGGATAGTTTGTAGTGATCCTGACAGCGCTTCATACTTCTTGGTTGTACTATCATGAAAAACATTATACGGAATGCAGTTGAGAGGAACCTCTTTCTTCAGGAGTAGAACTGAGGAGAGATGTAGACGCTAGCTGGGACCATCAGAAACCTGGCGTCACGAGATCATAATTGCTTGGGGGGATAAGTCTACGAGTAGAAGAGGGAAAACTCGCCGGTTGTTGTACTGGATCATAATTACCATGCCACTCGCATCCGGTGCTGCCATCATCGGTGCTGGCGGTGGCATATGTTCGTTCAGTACTTCCTGAACCAGAGTTCTGGCTTTGGTCACTTCCTCTTCCGTAGCACCTTTGATTATGCAAGTATGCTCTGCTGCTTCGCCCTCCCCGCCAATGCGGACGATGCTTATGTCGGTTTTACTCTCCTCTCCCAGCCTTCGGATCGTGGCGCCCTCGTTGCCGATGATCAAATCGATTTGCTTACCGTCCGTTAAGTTGAAATGGCAATACCACAAATTGTCCTCCGGGTTGTGCGTGATGGCGTGCTCTGCGTTGGGTTTTCGCGTAACAAGGATTATCATGTGATACGAAAAAAACCAAAAAATCGAAATCCATGGAAGAAAAATAGAATGCAACTTCAGGATAATCAATAACTAGTCCAACTTCTTCTTGTCGTTCTTCACATCTACAGGATAATAACTGAGACCTAACTCAAAAATCATAATCATACCAGCTCCCTGTTGCATTGCCGCTGCTGTTTCATTCTGCAACGAGGTCGCTTGCGGACCGCCGCTCTGACCCGCTCGTGCCTCAATCACTGGCCTAAGAATTTCGTTCATGGCAGCTACGCCGGCTTCGATCATGGCTCGTTCTGGAGCTTCAAATATCACCATCTGACTCACACCTGGCGTTCCTCGACTCTTATCCACCTCCACTTTGCAGCCGGTTTCGTTTTGAATACGACGGATCGTGTCTCCGCGATGGCCGATGAGCAGGCCTACGACGTCACTGGGCACTTCCGTCTCGAATGTCTCAAGCGGGCCTGGAGGCGCGCCGTCGATAGGGCCTCCGCCGGGGGACATCTTGCCACCTGGACCCTTCTTCTTACCAGCGCCTTTCATCACTGTTTTATTGAGTTAAGAAAGTAACGTTGTTCATCAGGCGTTTGAAACCATGTCAGGAGAAGACGGTAGATCAAGATCAGGTAAGAAAAGAAGTTCGAGATGGAGATGTTGTTGTTCAGATGAAAATAACAATGAATAGGAAAAAAAAAGTACGGTTATTCTTCTCCTCCCTCTCCTTCAACAAATCTTCAATCATTTGCTTGGCACGAGCGATGTTGGCTGGGTCTCCTGATATTTGCACTGCGCGCATCTCCGGATTGCCATCTGGAGCAAGGCCAATTTCTATTTCCGTCATAGTATCCGCCTTTATCCTATTCACTGTCTTTCCACTGGCGCCAATGATAAGTCCAACCATGCCGGCGTTAGTCTGTTGGTGGGTAGGGGGTTGTTGAGATGGGGTAGGGGTTGTTGTGGTCATCCTAATCGTGGATGAAAAATAATGAAGTATGTATACAACTAATTTGTTTTTTCAAGGAAGAACTGTAGTTTTGATGCACTTCGTTCTGATCGAACAAAAAAAGGGTCTCAATGTAAGATCAATACAATAATCAATTCCGCTCCTTCTCTTGGTGTGAGTGGCTGATTGGTCTTTCCCATTGATCCACCCTTCATCATAGTATCGCCTTTCTTCATTCCCGGCTTACCTTTGCCCATCATCATAGGGTTTCCTTTCATATCCTTTCCGCCCATGCCCATATTGTCTCCTATTTTTCCGCCCAAAGGAGCGCCGTCTGGACCTACCATCATCGGACCTCCTTTCATTCCACCATCCTTGTTCATTTGGTATGTAGCGCGGTTCTCTTCGACCAAGTCGTTGATCATTTTACGCGCGATTTCGGGGTATTAGAAGGGGGCAGGGAGGCGCTGAGTAGGTACTGGAGGTACTTACTACTCAGTAGTACAAGAAGATAAAAAAGATAGTGCTGTATTGGGAGCTTGATTTTGAAATGATTTACTCGAATATTTCGTCGGAATCATTGTCTATTTCTAGACGGAGATTCTGGTGTACTTAGTAATCGCATCTAAAAATAATGGAAATCATAAACAGTCTCTGCATTTCCTTCAATGACGTGGACTTTCTTCATTCCATTCGCATCGCAATCCTGGCGATCTTTACTGACATCGAGTCGTGTCCCTGATTGCTCGCCAATTCGTTTGATAGTCTCGCCACCCTTGCCGACAACGAGACCTGGGAGAGAGGCGAAGAGGAACGGGAAATGAGATAAAGTTTAAAAAAGAGGCCTCTCTGAGGGCGACTAGACCTGGAGGAGGAAGCAAGAGGGAGAAAAGGATATAAAATAAACACGAGAGACCTGGGTAGGGAGCGCGGCAAGAGAGAGGAGGATTGACGCGCGGAAAAAAAAGGGAGAGTTCACATTACCCGACACATTAATTCTTCAGCAATAGTTTTTTATTCTTCATGAGAAACTTACCTGTCATTTGACAGCGATTAGACCCAGTAGAGTTCTCGATTCAATGACAAAAGGAACAAGCCAAATTCACAACAGAAACTCATCGGACATACTCATGCAAATCAGATAGTACGCTAGGAGATAAAAAATAGCTGTAATCACCAACGAGTCGACACAATGAATCAAAAATAGAAAAGATTACGAATTTAGAACAGACTCCTCTAAGAGAGTCTCTTAAGGTTAAGAATTAGTATCAAATATATTGGGGCAGATAAAGGCTGTTCTGGGGACGGGTCTGATTCGGGAGTACTTCTTCTAACCTACGTATCTAAAAAATGGCCCACATCGCACAGACTGAGACGCGCTCATGATGGAGTTTTGAACAGGCAAGGCGATGCCTAGGCATCGCCAGGGATCCGTCGTGGGTGTCATTCAAAAGATGATCAGAGATCGAGAGCCTGAGACTTGCTCAACAAATAAACAAAATCATTTTACAGTTACAAAAGATTGTCCGTCCTGAAGTCCTAGTGAGAGCAAGTTGGTTGTTCTCATGATTGATCTCGTCTCAGTGTAGTGCGTTCAGTGCTAGTGCTGCAACCGTAATGTACGGCGAGACCAAGTGGATCCACATCCAGGAAAGTCATTCAGTGTGGTACATCCAATGTGCTGAAACAACTTAGGTAGTACTACCTGCGCACAAGCAAAAGCGCTTTCGAATCTATTTTTAGTGAAACTATAGTACAGAAGTGTCTACGTGGCCAAGGAATATTGAAACATGCACGACCCTTGTGCTCCTGTACAACTCTGTAATTTTTCTTTGCTAAAATTACAAGTGGTTGTCTGAATTCGTTTTTCTCTTCACAACAAACTTCTTCTTCAAGGACCTCACTCACACAAGACACCTCTACATCAACTTGCAACTACAACAACCCCAAGCGCTTGCGCGGAGGATGACCAATCTGAGTTGATAGTTGCTTGGGATGATGGGTTCATAATGATCCAAATTTTTGACTGCGCTGCAGAATAAAGTACTATGTGACCAGGCAGTGAGGGTAACAAATTGTTCGTGTGGTGTACTGAACCAAAAAAGGAATTCGTATGGGAGTTCAATTCATCATCGTCAACATCAAAGCAAAATAAATTAGTGTGCAAGTATAATACCTGCCATATTGACCGGGATCAGAATATCTGGCCAGTTCTGTTGTTCTTGCGGCATCAAATTCGAGTAAGGTCGCAAAGACTGCATATCCTGCTGCGGTGCAATACTTCCTACTATATTTACCGGTCCGATAACATTGCCTTGCTCGTCGCATAGAAGCTGTTGTAAAATACTTGTGTTGCACGCGCAGCAGACTTTCAAGTATTCAATTGTCAAGATGAAACAAAAATTCTTGCAACATCAACAGGAAATCGAAATAAACTCATCCGTAAAAATAAGTACCTAGTCTGCTTCTTCTGGTGGGTTATTTGATCACAGGCATAGTAAAAAGTAATACCTCGTCTCCTTTCGGTATGTTATTCGACGAGTAGTGCACCACGTAGTCGCCTCTGTAATACCCTCCATCATCTTGCGCCTTGGGCCTTCGAAAAGCCACATTTGCTTGGTGTGGGATCAACGTCAAAGGCGCCTCTTTGCCCAGCTTCACCTCGTTTATGTACGATCCGAAACTGCTGTTGTCCTTCAGAAACAGCAATTTCCGTAGTTGATTCCCCAAGCTCGGAGACCGTGTAAAATGCAATTCCAGTGAGCAGTGGTTTTTACTAATCGTTTTGTCAACGGTGCACAACGTGTTCTCGTTTGTGCGACCAACCGTAACGGGACTGCTGTTCGCAGCGATGTTCACTTCACCAGGCAAAGCATCAAGCGCATACTGCTGCTTGACCAAACGACACACGTGCTCCGCCATCTTGATGATCGGAAGAAGGAAACAAGATCCTTCTAAGTACGCAAGAATATGATGGATTAGTACAACCAATGTAGATGTGGAGAAGATGTGGACGATGTATGATAGGATGAATGTCAATGTAAGTGGTCTTGTGTTGAGTATGAAGTATGATGTCACAAACAAGCAGTATGGAAAGAATTAATTATATGCCTGTGTCCAACGTTGGCGTATGAAGACAGACAACTGCAACGAGGACAGATTCACATGACCATTCAACATCTCAGAAAAATTTTATGTCACAACCACATATGAACCTACTCGAACTTTGTGGGTGTTTTCCTATCCGGTGCAATGTCGAATTGAGGGCCAGGGAGTAGGAACAAGCTTCCATTAGACAGGGCTACTAACAATAGCTATCGCGGCCCTCACCACATTCGCTAGATGTAAAACTTCTACTCCATAAGTCACAAGCGACTGTACAAGGTGATAAAATTCCCCCATAAAAAACTAGGCATACGAAAAATTGCCTGGTCTCACAAGAGAAATGAAACCCCGTAATATGCACATGTGATCGAGGATGCACTAATTGTACAATAAACGCCAATTTTGAACAAAATTTCTTTTACGAAATTATTGATGATGATCTTAGTCGACTCCTCGGTTTCGGATTTTACAAAACGATTATTCGGGATAAGCAAATGAGCGGGGGCGATGAAGGTGAATCTTCACGAAACTGAAGTGTAACGGTTGAGAGACCATACAACTTGTTTCTAGATCCGTCGGACTTTGATTACATGAAGTTTGTATTCTCGGTCTCGTCGTAAAAGACATGGATATTGATTCGTGGAGATGACAAACCAGATTTCTATTTTCTCGTAGCTAATTTCTGATTTTACGTTCTTGGACGTGGTCTAAGATAGGAACGCACAAGATTCCGATTCAAGAGTTGGCTTTTGAATGTGACGCAGTTTCTCCTGATCCAGTGAGAACGGAAGACAGATTCAGACGGTGTGAAGATCCTTGTTCGGGAACACACTTTAAATTCCATACCAGTTCAGGTATCTACGATTTTGTAACAGCACATTGTTGAAAATTTTTCATTGTCTCTTGTTGAGGACTGAATTGTTTCGATCCTTCTTTTTGAAAAGCAACTAGAACTGACCGTGAGTTCTGTGTTGATATTAGAATTTTCCGAACTGTGACCAGTGCTGCGCAGCCGAGTACCACCCTGCCTTTCGCTCCCGGTCTATCTTCTGCTTGCCTTCCACTTCCTGCTTTGCAGCGTCAAGCAAAGCTGCTCTGTGGGGTTAGAGATGCCGCTAAATTACGACGAGATCCTAGTCTCACTGGGTTTGAACAAGATGAACTCCTATCATTTTTGTCTATTAGACGAAAATAGTCATATTTATGGTCTGCCTCGTAACTTTCATCTCCGTCCCCATCTTTTCCACTTCCATTATATGCGTAGTTGAATTCCACCTGGCAGTTGACGTCACTGGGCATCGATCCTAGGCACGCTGAAAGGGTTTGGCGGGTCTGCGCTGGAGGGACGTTGAAAAACGTGAATTGATAGCGATAGTCGTGAAAGACGTAGTTTCGGATAGCCGTTTTGTATCGATTACTCGACCTCAAATACGTAATGCGCCACGCCCTTCTCTGAAGACGTTTTGGTCGGACGTGGAAGAGGGCAGATGAGGTCGCTGTGCGTTCGGAGGGAGAGAAAGGGTTCACGTGAAGGTGTGGTGGCGTTGAGGCACCTGCTTCGGATGATGATACTGTTTGTGAAGAAGATGGCGGGTCACTTGTCAGTGCTTCGGAGGTTCTTATTCTCAAGGCATCGCTTCTTGGTGAAGTTCTAGTAGAAGATGAGGAAGTAGAAAGTCCAGAAGAAAAGACCGGTCCCGCACTAGCATACCCGCTAACTGAAGAAGAGGCACATCCACCAAAAGCTGCACCTGCATACGGACTTCGTGGCGTGTGGTTCATAGCATGTATACCAGGAACATGCGGTAGCGTCTTTTCGAGTTGGGAAACACAGCTTTGCAACTGGCCTCTTAGCTTTGACACGAAAACCACACGAAGTTTGTAAAGACGATAGCCTTCGGCCATCTTTGATGCTGCTACTTTTATTATTGCTTGTAGTTGTACTAGGTGGACCTACACTGCTGCGTACTGCAGAGTAGTTACAGTCTGTCAGATGAGATTCTTCCCTCTGTCAGATGAGATTTCTCACGCACTCCGATGATCGATTTGAAGCCCTGCACTTTATGGTTGAGAACCGGATTTTTGAATTTGAGCTTCTCGATTTGAAGCCCTGCACTTGATGATTGAGAACCGGATTTTGGAATTTGAGCGTCACAGGATGCAGGGCTCACAATAAAGAGCTCAATCATGATAGGTCGGCTTTGCTTTATTAGCCTATGGCACTAGCCTCGAGTTCGTTGGCCAAAGGAGATGCAAAAAGAGAAAACGTTGGCCAAAGGAGATGCAAAAAGAGAAAACGTTGGCCAAAGGAGATGCAAAAAGAGAAAACGTTGGCCAAAGGAGATGTAAAAAGATTATTAGATTAGACTGGGCTCCTGCCTCAGCCTGGCGCTTCCAGCATCGGATCGGCAGAAATTTCCTTTTGACTCTTGTTTCAACTATTCTGTCAATAAAAAGGTTTTCAAACTGTTTCCAACTGTGCAATACTCTAAGGCAAATGAGAGGTCTATACATACTATTAAGATACACCAGGTCAACATTCAAAATCAACCTCGTAAGTTGAATCGAGAGGAAAATGATAGCAACAGCATGTAGAAAAACAAGCTCCTGCTTGAGATTTTTACCCTCAACGAGAATGTGACGAAGGTCAGTTGAGGATGACCACAGCAGGGGACGACCTAGTCTATTTGAAGATTATGGCAGCCACATTTACCAACAAACTTGCAATTAGGGAGACCTGTGATGATGGGTATGGTTGCTGCTATCTTGGGTCGTAAATGGTTAACCATTGGGTAGCTACAATTACAACAGCATGATCGTCGCACTCGTCAACCTCTACCGACAAGACGACGTGTTTGGACAGACTTTTTTATCTTCGCTCTCTGATGACGAGTCGTGAACGCCAGCACATATGACTTGGGTGTCTCGGAGAAGCCCGTCGTTTAGTACCACACTTTTTCTCACTTCATCGAAGTAGAGCCAAGCGCAAACCACTGGTTTAGACGTTGATGTGAGCAGATCCCATTGAAAGAATCCCTGATGTAAGAAGATGTTGTAGACAGACAACTCCATGGCAAAATGCAACTCATAATTATGTGCGAAACAACATTTAAAGGCAGCATGGGTGTATCAGGGGTGGTGGGAGTATGGAATCGGTCATGCTTATGCTGTTGGAAAGGAGAAGGAAAATCATTGGAACGATGACAAACATGAGTGCACTAAAGTCTACTATCTAATGCGAGTATGCAAGGGACGTTGCATCCCGAGGACACGCTAGTGGCGTGTAAACATAACATGAACATCTAGATCTAGTTGTATCATACAATTGTTCGAAACCTAGACCTTACCCTATTCTACTTACAGGAGAATAACCCAATATCACACAAAATGTTGAAGTTCACAGCGAAGACTATGAGAATCTTCACCTTCTTCACCCGTTCTTAAAAATTGCTCTGTCATTTATGATGTTGTAGATATCCCTTTTGTATTCTCCTTTTTGGATCAACGAATCACCATCAAAGCAATTTGCCTTCTTGGAATCAAAGTCTCGACTAAATTGCTAGCACAAAAAACTGTGGGGCTCATCTTTATCGATGCAGAGTTTTAAAATAATTATCTAGCTAAAGCTCACACCAACAAAAAGTGAAACATCACAGGGGCGAAAATATTGACACGTATCGACAATATCAGGCAAGGCAAAGCGTCAAGCAGAGGTTGAGATTGCAAAGCGATGAACTTCGACGAATCAAAAAATGTTTGCTTAAAAAACAATCATAACAAGTCGAAGTCCCGCTGTGCCCCTCGCTGCTCCTACACCTGGATGCCCCCGTTGTAGTATGATGAATGCCTCGTAGAAGTGCTAGCCCTTCCCTTACTCGAACTTGACAAGCACCTTGAAAAGCACATTTTGAGGCAGATCCAGGTCGCAAGGTGGATGATTCGCGGAGGTAAAGTGTGTCTCTAATAGGTCCCGCTCCCTTCAATCTTACCTTCACTGCAAAAGTACTTGTTAATAACAACTACGTAAGTACTTATAGAGCGAACTGATTCATAATTAAAACTCTCATGATGCTGCTGCATGATTTTGATTAGCAAGGTCAAAAAAAATAGAATTATACTGAACTGTGCATAGAAACCGCTGGGGGCGCAACGGATGTCATCTAGAATAACGACCTCTCGCTAATAACCATAGAACGGTGGTACCAAATTATATCTATCAATCTAGGATGTCATCCGCTAGAATATTACGATCAGGTCACCCTAACTGGCGATTAAAAATTCATTAAAATTTCGCAAGTAGCTAATGAATTTGTGCAGAGGGTAAGGGGGATTTGTCTTACTTTTTTCGCACGATGTTCTTGCCAAAACTTGACGCTCCCACATCATCTAGCTCTGCAAGAAGCACGCATCGTACAGGTACACGAAGTACAGCACAAAGAACGTATATCCCATCCACGGGTACAGCTTGAATTTGTAGTTGTAAGCGAGTGCGACTAGCAATGCCCAGGTTCCGCCCATCCACAACACGCCATCCATAATCCCAGGGGTCGCCATGGGATTCATTAGAAGAGGTTTCATCACGTATCAAAATCTGAATCTTTCGTGTGTGGTTTTTGAGCAAGCCAATCTACCGTAATTGGCATCAACAGAAAGATACAGTGGTACTTAAACATTTACAAAAAACGTAAACGTCCTTATAAAAACAGAACTCTAGATACTATTCGTTCATAAGATAAACTGCCCATCCGCGAAGAAGGTCTTGACCGTCCACGGCAACGCCAGAGCCAAAAACACGTTCTGCACGTTTGACCCCAAAGCGTTCGCTACTGCCATACTGCTTTTTCCGCCTTTCGCCGTCAAGTAACTGGCCCACAAGTTCGGAAAGCTCGTCCCTGCTGCGCACAAGGTGACGCCCAACACGGCTTGTGTGATGCCGAACTGGATATTGATGAAATCCGCAGAGACCACCATGACGTAGGAAAAAAGCGCTAGCCAGCCCATCGACACGCAGAACGCGGAGAGCCACCGAGGTTTGGTGGCACCTTGTTTAGGATCGCACCATGACATACTACGACCAAGTGCGTAATTAATCGGTAGAGCGACTGCGGTCGAAGCTTTTTCCTTCAGAGGGACTGCTCCGTTTTTCAGTGTGGCGAGGGAAGTGGCTAGGTACTCTTCTGGAGAAATGTGGACGTGCCCTAAATTTGAATCCCCTGAACATGTTCCGTTTGCTAGACCCAGGCACTGCAAAAATTTGCCTACATCCCCTTCGCTCGCTAGGGTCTGTGATGAGGTTCAATGTGGAGAATAGATCTGAATTCTTGTGATGGTAATGAAGAAGGACGAATGTTGACAACTTACCTAATTTTGATTTTCAATCGACAAATCTAAGAGCAGACAAAAACAAGAGCATGGCGTAATTAATCGTCAATGAACTCAACTACACTAAGTCCTCTAATTACCGTTTCAATCTTAATGGCTTCTCCACTGCTCTTCGCATTTGCGACGAAGCAGACTGTACGCGCCGTTGGCACTTGGATATCGCTCAATTGAGAAAAGCCAATTTTACAAGACCCTTCCGGAGCGTTCAGGAGTGGCATAGACAGGCCAGCTGCTGATGTAGGAGTAGATGGTGAGTGTTTGTATGGTTGGAGTCGTCACCCAATGCAGTCAGTTGTATTTCTTTGCTGGTAAGGAAAATTTGGCTTAATAAAAGGGAAGATAGGTTGATTGGTAATCGCATCGACAAGAATACATCAAGAAGCACTTCATATAAGTCCAAGTACCCTTTTTCTCCTGCGAGTCGAAGTAAAGGTTTTGGACGTTGAGTCCATCCTTGGCCACTTGCATTTGGTGTTTCGTAGAGCCAAACTCTATTGCCTTTGGTCTTGTTACGTTGACATCTAGACGAGCACCAGCTAATTTCGCAAATGCTGCTTCGGTACCTTGGGTTTTTAGTAGGGGACTTGTATTCTCGGTATTAAAAGCTTTGTCTTATATCAACAAGATGAAATGCAAAGGACTCTCTGTTCGTATTTTATTCTGTTCGAGCAGTCACGGTCCAGTGAGGACTCAAAGCATAATCCCAATTACAGAGAGAAAGCTGGGACACACTCGGACATGCAAACTCGAAATTTAGTGTGGTACGAATGGGATAGAGGAGGACAGGTATGAGAGAAAACCAGCCGCCGACCGTTTCGTACAAAGATGGTAATATCTTTTGAAGGATCTCGTGTCATGATCAGTAAAAGTATCGAACTACAGATGATAATTATGGAGCAGAATTATCACACCTAAAAAACGCAAGTCACAAGCAGTAAGTACTTCCATCTCCCTCAAGGCTAGTGTAGGAAGATTCCGTTTTCGCTGTCCCAGTTTCCATCGCATCTTCAGCAGACTTCGCTTGTCTGATCCCTGCTGCAATGAGGACCCGATCTGTCAATCCCACTGCCGCTCCGAAAACGCCTGCGAAACACAGCAGCGTCAGAGACTCAACGAAAGTCACTTTCTCGTCCTGCAGCACCCAATAGAGCAACAAAATCGACAGCATGTAGAAGAAGCAGTCTCGGATAAAAGGGTATTTGTCGATCTGCAACCCCAACTGCTCCACGTTCGGTGTTGCAATGATACTCACGCCGACGATGAGGAGGAGGTTGAAGATTTCGCTACCCACGATGGTTCCAACGCCGACGTCGCTGTGGGTGATGAAGAGCGCAATGGCATTGGTGAACATCTCTGGGCCATTGCAACCTAAGGCCATCAAGGTCGCTCCAGCTACATCTTCTGGGATGCCGTATTTTTCGCAGACAACTTCAATTGCGGGGACGAACCACTCGTCGCAGACGGTTGCCTTTTGTGTTCGGGGTGGAATTGCGTATGCATCGTCAGAATCAATCAAAAGGATTAAAGATCCAACGAAAAAGCTTAAGTAAGTAAGTTTTTCGGCTCTTATAAGTTTTTCGGTTCACATACTCCATGAAGATTTGCCAGCTAAAAACAGCATAAGCGATACCTGTGCGAAGAACATGTAGGCAATGAGAACCCACCACAACCAGCGCAAATAGTAGATGGGACCGCTAGTTGGCGCCGGAAAGATCGTACTGGGGTCAACATCGGGCTTAATGACTAGTGGCGGCTCTTCTTCTTGCACTTCCGCTTTCTCTCTATCCTCTTCCTCGTTCTTCGACGAACTACTAGTAGATGCTGAATCATCCGCAGTTGTACTCGCTCTCGCGCTAGGATCTCCTTTACTAGCGGATGGCAGTGGCTGAGCAGGTTCCACTTCTGCAGCAACCTGTTCTTGAGGTACCTCCTCCTGGTCCTGGCTGACGAGAACTCCAGTTGTACTAGAAGACGGCAAGAATTCTTGATCTAGAACTGTTGGTTCTGCGATGTTATCAAGTTCCGGTACTGCGGTAGTCCTCTTGGCTTCTACATCCTCTTTAACCGTATTGGTGGAAGGAGTACTAGGTACAACGCTAGCTGCTGAGAGCGCAGCACCGGGTAACAGCACCCGCAATATGCGAGCCATTTTGTGCTGTCGCTGAAATACTCTCGAGCCTTCAATAGGAGCGAAAGAAAGCAATAATTTCAAAACATCGCGGAAAATAAAACTCTTCAACAAAAAATAAGTTTACACACATGTCAAACGCAGAACCGCTTGCTGAATAACGACGATATACTTGATCGATCGTACGTTGAAAAACTCAGCTCGAGAAAACAGAAAGATATTAATATCCACGATACAGGGCCACATGAAATATTGAAAAATGAACTTTTTTTGTCTACTTTTTGACCCACATGTAGTAAGAAGACTAAACAAGAATTATGGTTTTCGTAATTCGCATTAGCCTTGAGGAACGAGGCCACCGACAGTGGTGTTCTTACCTTGATGGAGGGTGACCTACTTGTGCGAGGATCCTCCTGTCTACTCCGCGATCAGCAGTGTGCGTGGTGATGAGAGTTTGACTGCGTGAAAGAAGATTCATTCTATTAATTCTCACTCTCATTGAATTCACAACTCATCGGCTCGGATAACACAGGATCCTAGAAGGAACCAGCACAAGACGGGACCTAGAAGACTAAACTTGACACGTGAACTTTTCGCCTAGATTGACTGCTAACATGATTTTTTTGACGTCACTAGAAACTGGCTGAACACCCGAAAATCGCTGTCGAACGGACCTACTCGTCAAGAGCTCAATGCGCTCTCACTGGTGCTTTCTTCATATCGAAATCTAGATCGAAAAATATTTATAAGGGTACTTTGCCTCATCATGGTTTGTTAGGTTGTTGGATCGGAATTTTCATCATGGAAATCATGAAAAATAATTCTGGAGAGCAACATATGTCTTTGTTTCTTGGACTCTGAGTTCCTCAATGTGCTGACATGTCATGTGTTGCTGTCCTTTTCATCGCTGTCCTGGACAGTTGAAAAAGTAACACCTAGTGCCAACTACATGATTGGAGTATATAGTAGTACAACCAACATGTGGTAGTTTGGAGGCGTTGTTGTAGTTCCCAAATAGATAGAAAAGAGGTGAGAAATCAGTTCCATAACACTCCTTTATGGTGAGTGACATCTTGTTCGCAGGCTGTTCACAACATGAGTTGTTTTTTCTCAAAAAAGTCTTCCGCGTGGTACAACCCACGAAGAAATACATCACGTCGGACTCAAAACATCTTATTTCTTTATATTCCCTCACACAATCTATTAACTTGCTCTACAATGAGTACCATCTACCCGATATAAATCGATATCGATAAACAACTAAAATATGCGTATGATGGGGACAGATCAAGGATTGGTGTAGCCAAAAAAAAATTCCGTGAAACCAGAATGAATGAGCTGAATCATTACCATGAACATGTTGATGTTTTCACCCTTCAATCCAAATTTCTTATCCTCTCATAACTGTTCTCATAGATTAACTAGATCTAGATAGTTTCCCAACTACAAGAGTTAGTCATTACTGTGTGAACGTTTCTAACACCTTCACATTTGATAGATTTTGAGATACTATGGTTGTAGCGCAGATCTGAAATGAACAATAGCTGCACACTTTATTTTGTGGTAGTACCTTTTTTGTTCGACACAATCGTCCGACTGCTTGTGGTTTTCTACCTAGATTATATTCCTAATTTGTATAACCATAAATGGGGCGAGCTACAATTATCCGGACTACTCTGATGAAGATCTCCGATGAAAAACTCTCTCTGATAAAAAGCTAAATTTCCGAGTGATGTTGTGCCATCATTTCCTTTCTACTAGGAGGGGTGCTCCTAGAAAGACCAGGACAAACTAGAGAGCTTAACTGTAGAGATCATCATCGTCATCCGCAGCAGCTGCGGTGAAATTGGTAGAGTCATCCGGCCACACGATGTTCACGCTATCGCCACCGGCGGCTCCTCCATGGCTCTGCTTGTAAACCGGATCAAATTTCATACGGAATTGATCGTACCTAGAAAGGGAAAAGGTATCAGGACGGGTTTTCATTATATTTCAGGCACGTAGTAGAAGTTTAAACTAGTACATATGGGAAGCAAGTATCAAGCATGAGAAAAGTGTCAAGCAAAAGAGACCCGAAAAATAAGTTCAAGTAAGTACTTGTTCAAGTCCGTCAAGCTCACACTTCTTCTTGCTCCCGCAAAAGCCTCTTCGAAGTGCTTACGAGTGATTTCGGCAACGTCATCTCCGTCCATAGCGGCATCTCCATCTCCACCCTTCAATTCGTCCGCTGCAATAGCATCTCGGATAGCTGCCTTTGCCGCAATTTGACACAAATTCTCGATATCGGCTCCGGAGAAACCTTTGTTACGATGAAGTGTCAAATGTATTCGTTTTTGTTGGATGGAAACGATTGTATTGGTGGTTCTGATTGTTTGCTTGGATGGATCTATTCGTATTTCTATTACAGCTTCTGCTTGTTGCAACAAGCAGAGCGATTTTTTTACATAGAACCTACACCTGGACCTACTTGTTCTTTCGAAATCAGTTCTATACACATAGCTCATCATTTAGGACCTTCCGTCTTCTGCGCGATAAATGTCAGCGGCACGTTTGGTGCGATCGGTGATTTCTTCAGCTTTGCGTGCAACGTCTGGAGTCGTGAGTTTTGGTCCGGAAGAGGAATGTAGATCAGCTGATCCAGACGTCCTGGACGCAAAAGAGCTTCATCCAAAAGCTCGGGTCTGTTCGTCGCACCAATCATAAAGACGTTCTTCTTGACGCCAACACCATCGATTTCGGTCAGAAGCTGGTTCATCACACGGTCACCGGCACCACCTGCGTCGCCAGAAGAACTACCACGAGCTGTTCCGATAGAGTCCAACTCATCGAAGAACAGCACGCAAGGTGCTGCTGAACGTGCCTTGTCGAACACCTCACGCACGTTAGCTTCGGACTCACCGAACCACATCGTCAAAAGTTCGGGACCCTTGATAGAGACGAAGTTCGCGCTGCACTCACTGGCAACCGCCTTTGCCATCATGGTCTTACCGCAACCCGGGGGTCCGTAGAAGAGCACACCGTGGGACGGAGACATGCCGAACTTCTCGAGGGGATTAGAGAGAGGAAATGGGACCCGAGGAGGAGAACAACTTAGGAATAGAATACAGAGATCATATTTCAAACTTGAGGTAAAATCAAAATTTGTTATTCCTCCAAACCCAAAGGATAAAATGAATCTCTTCATAAACTTCTCCGGATGATCGATGGGGTAAAGGATCATCTCCTGGAGTGATCGCTTCGTGTCTTCCAATCCACCGATATCGTCCCACTTGACATTGGGGACTTCGACCACGGTTTCTCGCAGGCTACTCGGATTACACACGCCCATAGCCGTGCTGAAGTGGTCCTGTTGTGGGGTTGTTGGACTTGTTTCAAGTTATTTGGAGTAGGATCATCTTTGTGCTTTTTCAGGGGGTAGTTGGAGTTGTTTCCTTGTTTAAGAACTTGAGGACTGATCGATTGCGTTGATGTAGCTGTGGGCTTCGTATAGGAAAGGAAAAAAAAACTCCACATAGGAATGGAAACTCGGTGACGGTGTTTCAGAATTTCAGAAATATAGAAAATACCTGCGTCACCGCCATCGAGTCCAAAATTTCGGCATCGATCGTTTCTTCCTCCAAGTCGATAAGGTCCATCTTCTCACGAATACATGTGAGTGCAGACTCCGTACACAATTGCGCAAGATCCGCACCGACGAAACCGTGGGTGTTTCCAGCGATTTCCTCAAGCTTTACATTGGGGGAGAGCTTCATGTTTTTCGTGTGAATACGCAAAATTTCGAGACGGCCGTTGTCATCCGGGACACCGATGTCCAACCTACGATGTTATTTAAGAAGACGTCGAGATGAGAATGGGTCACCCACTCGTGAATAAAAAAAGATGATGAGAAGAGGACTACTTTTATCACGCCATTGGCGATCTATAAGGACTCGGAAAAATCCGTATCAAGGAGGCGGTGATGCTTAATAGCGTATCACATCTTAATTCATCAAACTATGAGAAACGTAAGATTAATATACTCTCTGTCAAATCGTCCGAAACGTCGCAAAGCCGGATCGATGGAGTTCGGACGGTTTGTTGCGCCGATAATGACGACTTGACCACGTCCCTTGAGACCATCCATCAAGGTAAGGAGTTGGGAGACCTTTGTTTGAGATTGAGGTGTACTATGTATTAGGAAACAGATAAGTAAGTGAGAAAACGTTTCCACAAGAATTCTAGCTGTACGTATACATAGAATCGATGTTGTATACGTAGAATTCTAGCTGTTGTACGACGAAGATACTTATCACAAAGGCGATAAGAAAACTTGATGTGATTCTCTTTCTAGAAGAAGATGGGTGCTTATAGGTTAAATGAAAAAAATCGTGAGGAGCTTCTATTCATACCACTCGCTTCTCGACTTCTCCGTTCGTTTTATCACGCTTCGGCGCGATCGAGTCCAACTCATCGATGAAGATAATGGCTGGCGCATTTTTTTCGGCTTCTTCAAACGCACGACGCAAATTAGACTCCGCCTCACCAGCCATCTTGGACATAACTTCCGGTCCGTTAATCAGGAAAAAGAAGGCACCAGTCTCGTTGGCGACGGCTTTGGCAATGAGGGTTTTTCCGCTGCCTATAAGGTGAGGTTGTAGGTAGTGTTGAGGGCTACCTATGTATAAGGTGAGGTTCTTGTAGGTAGTGTTGAGGTTCGTTGTGGGAATTAAAGATCATAAATATGTACTAGTTCTTCTGACTTGATCGATGGAGCTTCTGAAAGTAGAAAGAAAGTTCTTTGCAACACCATGGTCTTCAGAAATCGCCCAGTAGATAGTTAGCGGATTCAAACAAAAACTGTACCCGGCGGTCCATAGAGCAGCACACCACGAGGGGGCTTGACACCCAAGGTCTTAAAGAGAGCCGGATGACGCAACGGCAACTCAATCATCTCACGAATCTGAGCCATCTGTTTCTTGCATCCACCAATGTCATCATAGCCAGCATCGTCCAGACGCTCCTCATCTTCGCGCTTAACCGGCTCGCCTTCGCAGTGGATGACCTATGTAGAAGATGTTCAGGAACGAGTGAGAGAGCTGAATGGGAGGATGAACAGCGCACTGGGTATGGAGTTCAGGACTGGATCATCATTGGTATTAGAGGATAAATGAGACTCAAGCTTGTCAACAGCAACAAAAACATACGACAAAAACGAAATCCCAAGTACCGTATCCGGCGCCACGATGCAAAACTCTCCCGGTTCGACGCCGACGACTTTGAATTCGACTGGGCGGAAACCACCACGCACCAAGAACAAATCTCCCTGACGAACCGGCCTGTAGGCTTCCAAGAAGTAAGGTTTCAGGTACCTAGGTGGTTGAGGGGATTTGCTGGAAATAAGGTTTCAGGTACCTAAACGTTAGGGATTTGTTGTTGGTTGGTGTGGGGAAGGAGAATGATACTGTTCTAAGTCCAAATAATGAATCATTTGTTTCCAGCAACTAGAATAAACGTGTCATTGCAATTCAAAACGTAGAAGTAAGTATCAAGACCAAAGTGGGAAGTATACGTCTCAAACAAGTTTCCGGTGATGCCCTCAATGGTATCATCGAGAGGGAGGACGTGGCAGCGCTTGCCGTATGGCACGTCTCCGCATGCGTGGATGGAGACAACGTCGCCTAGTCGGACACGCAGATTCTTACGCACGACCTTGTTAACACGCACTTTCTGGTCTTCTAATGCCTCATCAGCTAGGACAATGCAAACAGTGTCTTTACGCTTCTTACCTTGTGGTCGTCAGTTCAGGATTTGTTCTTGAGAATATTTTAGCATCCCCTTTTTGTTCTTCATTGGTGCAGGGGAAAGGTAAGAGAGTGGAGTTGAGGGATGGTGGTTTTGTTGAGGGATGGGGAAGGCAAGGGTAATTCTTTTTCTATGATGCATGTTTGTCTTTTTTCTTACACTGCAAAAACTGTACATGTAAAAGGCGTGGCACATGTTCTAAAAGGACATGTTATCACCACGGTATTAAAGCTTCAAGTGTATTAGTACCCTTGATAAGGACGTTGTCGCCACGGTAAAGGTTCAATTCGTCCATCTTCGCGGGAGAGAGAGAGATAACGCTGTTGTCATCGTTGACGGCCTCCTCAACGACGAGGCGGTTTGGGGAGCGCTTCTTTTGCGGCACGGCGGCCGGAGCGGCAGCAGCTGGAGCAGCAGGATCGGCCATTTTGTTCGTGCTTAGTGGGAAGCTTAAAAACTAGTACTACGTGAAAAGAATGTAGAATTACTGATGTGACTCAATTGTAATTGAATCAAGAGGCCTCTTTCGTGATGAATCAAAATCGCCTATAAGAGATCTTGGGAAGTATAATACTAGGAGGAAGCCCAATGGGACGGGTAGGAAATGGAATGGGACTATATGAATCAATGTTGAATAGAACTTCAAAACGGATCGCTGTGAGGACTGCTTGATAGATTGAAAAAGCAGGTATTATATGGAAGCAAATGCACCAAGCATCAATTTAAGGAATCAGCAAGCGACCACAGCTTAGTAACCATAAAAGCTACGCACTAAAAAAGATGCAGTAAATTCTTGCTGATGCATTGATGCGAATCGTTGCAAAATTCGTTGACATCAAATGCAGATTACGCAGCAGCCGTGCAGATTCGAATTTGAGCTATATATCCTTCAACAACACTGTGCGTCTTCAACAGCAGCGCATGCACAGCAGTTCAGGATTTGTTCTTGAAAATTTTTTAGCATCCCCTGTTTGTTCTTCATTGGTGCAGGTCGTCTTGTATCAATATTATTCTTCACACGTGCAGATGACAACCATAACACCAACACAGAACACAATACGGCATTCATTTTGCAGGTTCTTGCTTACGACAGATACGATTACATGTCTTCGAAGAGAATCTCCTTTCATAGTTGCGTTGTTCATTAGGTCAGTCTTTAAGAAATTCTTGTAGGCGTGTATCGCCATTTTTTTGTGAGAACTCGGTGCCACATTTATCAAAAAGAGTAGCCTTCTCTTTAACTTTAGCACAATCACTTCTTCATACGAAACTAAAAATCGCGCTGCATTCATTTTGAGAAATCACATAATAGATTTCATTGGAGAGGATCGCGTGAGTCATTCTTCCTCTATCGAGCGTAAATCGTCATGTTTCATTTTGGATAGATGGCACGCTATTCCAGTGCTCGCTCTTTTCAGAATGAGGCGTTATATTCAGCTGTACTTCATGATCATATTCTCTTGCTGTAAACTACATCGTCCCCGAGTAGAACTAGCAGCTCACACACTTTGCGAGGAGCTCTGCTTGCCAGTAGACACCGGCGTGCCCTCCTTCATTTCCGTTTCCGTTTTCGCTTCCGTCTTCGGCGTGTCCTCATTTTGCTTTTCTTGCGTAGCCTCAGATGTGGGCATCCCAGTGACATCAGATGTGGGGATCCCACTCGCAAAGGCTGGGGCTTCTCCCTCCTGGAGAGTCGTGGCGTTGTTGCCGCTCTTCAACATTGTCTCTGCTGAACTCTTCAACTGTTCCTCAACCTCTCCACCTACTTCTGCTTCACCCTCAGTATCAACACCCTCCTCGCCAAGAGCTCCTTCTTCCTCATCATCCATTTCATCATCCTCGTCTTCATCGCCAGCACCCAAACCACTGAGTAGTTTGTCATCATCTCCAAAGTCATCCCCAAAATCGGCAAAGTCTTCCTCTGGAGGTTCAAACGCTTGAATCAATTCACTGGGTGGAAGGGTCAGCTTTCTTTAGAAGAAGAAGATGATTCAACATGATGAGATAATAAACTTCTAAATGCACTACATAGTACTGGGGATCTACTTGTCTAGTCGATTATGTTTTCGTCATAAGAAGCAACCGGCCTCCCGTCTGCATCCGCCACAGTCTGCTCCACCGTGAAGAGTCTCAAGAGTGAGAGACAATCTGTCGGAAAGTCTGGTAGAATCGCGCCCTCTGCCTCTGCGAGTCGGTGCTGGAAGGACTGGGGCAACAAATGCGGATCACGTACGCCGACAAAGAGCGGAGGACAGAACATCGCATCAGGAGCCTTATGATCAGGAGTACTATCGAAGCTAATCGCATCCCACGGAGAAGCACTGCATCCACTTTGTCGGTTGTCAACATCAATCTGTTTTTCGACCACACGCCAGACGTCGGGACGACGCTTTAACATCCTCAAGAAACCACGCAAGGGGTCCTTGTTCCATGTCACGTCTGCTGTGGATGCACCTTTGTGGCTGAGCAAGTGCAAGGTCAATGGAGGTCCTTGTTGCGATTGCGACTGAGGATCTTTCTTTGCAGCTGCAAAAACTTCTGGCGGCATCGCATCTGCAAGGACAGCCATCTTTGTCAGGGCATTTGGTAAAGAACTTCCATCAGACTGGAGACAGAAGTGTATGTTGGGTCGGAAACGTAAAGTGTGGTCCTTGCGTAGAAGGGAATCAGATGCTCCTTCTGCTGCCGCACGATCATTATCAGCCATGCAGCTATCTGGATGCTCTTGTGTAGGGTAGAAGGTGCGAATCAACTCGAACACGCCAGAAAGCATGTCCTGAAAGGGTTTCTGAGCCGCAGGAGGTAGTAGGGAGAGGAGTTCGTCGGCGCGGTCCGCCATCTCGTATCGATAGAAATCTTCTTTGCGGTCCTGTCGGGTTTGCGATCAAAATTTGCTAAACAAAGAGATGATGTTCATAATAGATAGCGTTCTCAGAGTTTGACTCAGTTCGAAAGACAAAGTTAGTAAAAATAGTACCTCCTGGTACGAATAAGAAACGAAAAGTGGAATGATGAACGTCTCAAATTAATACCTTCCAATCCGCAGCCGCGCGTCGTTGCAATCCATGCGTGATACTCTGCAGAGAGTCGTTCTCCACATCAAGCGTCTGAGGTAGTAATACACGGCAATTCCCAGCATCTACTGCCATTTTGCGAACCGACGCAGGAGCAAAATCGAAACAAGCTGCTGTACTGAGGAGCTTCTTGACGATGACATCTGAGTCCGGTTCTCGTTCTCCATCTACAACCAGTGAAGGAGTGTTGGACAACAAGATCGGTAACGATCCAGTTGTCGGTCCAGATCCACCTATCTGCATTAACATCTCTTTCAGCTCCTCACAGTGAGCAGTCGAGCTGGCCAAAATTGCAACTTTGCCATATCCTTCAAGAGCTCGGACCGCTGCTGTTAACAAGACTTTCAGTAGGTGGTTTTCTCCGGCAAAAACAAGAGCCATCTCATTCCCCTTGTTTCCTCTAGGATGAAACTGCGTGCTCTCCAAAGCGGCTGTCCATGCGCGGCTAATCGAATTGGCAAAGGCTTTCATAGACTCCGATGAGGTTCCCTCCGCTGTATGCCGGAGAATACTTCGCGCCACAAAAGTCTCAAACGCTTTCACCCGTTCTGGCGGATGCTTCATTGCCTTCTTGGTCGCATTTTGAAACTCTTCTACAGCGGTCAGAAGACCTGAATGTGCCATAATGGATGTCTGGTAGCGCGTGTTAGTAGTCTAAGCGGGTAACTACACTGTACGTAGAAGTATCAATCCTTCTTCTCATTGACAATTTGCACTGTATCACTAAGCACATTATCGAGACTTACCCTTGAGATCCAAGATGCTTTGCTCCGTTTGTACGTTTGATGCTCCTTCCTCAACAGCAGCCTGCTTTGCCGGCTCAGAGGCTGTTTTACTTGCTGCATCGAGACCAGCGGCATCAAGATCGATGACAGGCTTCTGGAGAAGGCTTGCTCGCAGATCTTCTGTCGCCTGCCGCAAGGCACTGGAAAAGAAACGAGCTTGGAGTCCTCCAAAAACCCTTGTCGTGGTGCGGCCATTTACAACACTGGGAGATGCGTTGTAAGACCTGGCAAGTGCCCCTCGCGAGGCAGCAAAGAAACGCTGCATTTTTGTGGTTCTTTTTCTCTTCTTTTGACTGAAAGGAAATTCTAGTTGTACGTCCTACGAGGGAAAGTGAACTTATAATGTCCATTGATTTCGTCATCTCATTTTCCAACACCTCTCAACACATACACATTTCATGTGATACGCGACTATACACCACCACCACACAAGTGACAACTTGCTACGTGAAATGATTGACCAGACGTCTTCGAAGATTCACAGATCCCAAATTAGCATTGCCAAAGAACACCAGGCAGACTGTGAAGAAAAAGATAGTTGTCGTCATCGCTAAAGTCGTGACATGCGGTTGTCTTACAGACACGGTTGAGAGTAGGAATCAAGTGGGTTACACTCGTGGCTGGTCGTCTAGGGTACCTCGGACAAGGAGAGGTGGCCTCAGAGATTTTCTTTTGCGAATATATTCATCAATCACCATGGTCAAACTTCAATCCACCGGTCAGCGCAAAACTATCGTCATCATCCTCCTCATCAGCGTGATCATCGCCACTTAGTTTCTTATCCTTTGTAGTTGTAGTAGCTGGCTTGTTTTTTTTCTTTTTAGGTTGAAACCCTATCCCTCCTTCAGATGATGATGAACTCAAGTCTTCGTCATCTTGTTCTTTTCTTCTAGCATCTTCTTCTTCTTCTTCTTTATTCTTATGTTTATCCCCTTCTTCTTTGTCACGACGTGGTACTTCTAGCTTTTTCTTTGCCATTCGCTTTTTCTCTTGTTCCTCCTTCTTCTTTTTCAAACGTTCCTCAAAGTTAAACAGGGTATCGACTGCACTTACAATGTTGGCTTTCCGCTTGATGCCTTTCGTAAAGCCCTGTAATAGTTGCGCTGAGAGTTCGTTGCGTTCTGCCTTGGCTTTCTCTCTCGCCTCTTGGCCTGCACCACTGGCTTCGTGGATACCACGTTTCAGTTCCTCAATCTTCTTCTTCCGGGCTTCCTCGCGTGCTTTTTGCTCCGCCGTCAATGGTTTCTTGCTCTTTCCATTCGCATGCTGTAAGAGATCCTCATCGTTTAATTCATCATCATCTCCATCATCGTCATCACCTCCTAGACCTGCTGCAGTGCCATTGCCTACTAGTCCTTTTGGTCTATTTTTCCTTCCACCTGGTGCTCCTGCCAGGTCCTTCTTGGAAGATGAAGGTGACCCTCCACCAGCAAGAAGGGCTTCCTGTCGCTTTCGCTCTATTTCCTCCAGCTCGTTGTCGTCATACGCCTTTTGGTCAATCAACCGGGAATCATTTTGCAATAATTCGTGTGCTGACTTGATCTTGAAGTTTCTCTTGTTTGAAGATTTCGCATTTAGTCGGGCTGCCTTGTCGACATTAATTTCGCCCTCTGAAGAAGATGAAGAAGGGGACCCTCCTACTTTTACCTTAGAGCCTCCTTTAGCTTTACTAGAAGTCTTCTTTCTATCATCTCCATCTGAATCAGCATCTTCGTCTTCACTGGAACTTTCTCCTCCTAAGGCAATGGTCGCTTTGTTCTTCGTGATCGCAATCTTCGTTCTATTAGAGGTTGAGAGTTGGCATCTCTAGCTCGCATATCTATGGCTTTTCTACTTGAAGAAGCCATAGAGATGCGCATAGAGATGTCAACTTGCAACCCTTAATTCTATTCGGTTTTTCCGCTTGCCCAACTACTGCTGCCTGCTTTTCCCCACTAAACGCCAGTTGCAGGTTCTTCTGCTGCACGTCAGGTCGGATATCGATGTCGTCGAAGGGATTGTTGGGGACTTCGACGTGCGTGATTATTGGCGGTTCTATGGGTCGATCGGTTTTACCGTCCACGTCAGTTTCGGAGAGTTTGACTAGGTTGTAGAGTGAATTCCCAATCACCTTGCCAAATATAGTATGCACGCCATTCAACTCGCGTGCAGAGCCCAAAGAGAAAAAAAACTGAGAACCGTTCGTTTTCGTGTGCTTGCCTGGGGTAGAGAAATGTGTTATTGAAGATTGGTCAAAGTGAGAATATTGACCAGACCTTCTTCAACAACGAATATCAATCGGCAGGACAAAAAGCCTGCGCCTTGAGAGAAATTCGACGAAAAAGTAACCGCTAGGGCTGTTGATTTTTTCTAGCCGAATGAAATAGAGTTACCTGCATTCGCAACAGCGATCATTCCTCGGTTTCGAAATTGCAATCTTCCATGTATTTCAGTCGGATATGGTTCGCCAAATATACTTTCGCAGGTATTTCCGGTCCCAAGTGGATCGCCTCCCTGCACAATGTAGTCCTTGATGATCCTGTGAAAAATCGTTTGGTTGTAGTAACCTTCCAGACAGTTCTGGACGAAGTTTCTGCATGCTTTAGGCGCCTCCTTAGACCACAATCCGATCTGCAAAGGACCATGGGTAGTGTGGAGAATGACCTCCCCATGGGTATCCGGTTCACGAATGTAGGCATTCGCCATTTTTATGCTCTACAAGTCATATGGATAGAAGATGTAGTTCGAAGAAGACTTATTTCATCAGGAATGTTGAAGCCTGAGATACTTATAGGACCAACTACATCTGCGAAGTAGATGAGCACAGTCACGCGTACTAGGTACTTAGGATCTCAAGTAGAGTGAAATCGCGATCTCACAACATGTAAGAAAAAGCAAGTTCAGTCACCGCAACATTGTGAACAAATGTAAGTACCAAAAATGACTCTACCTGCTCAGCGTTCAAAAATGACTCTACCTGCTCAGCGTTCAAGGAGACTGTAGAGGTTAGACCACTGCTTATACTTTTAGCCATTGCCATCTTTGCATTTTCTTTCCTTAAAAATTTCATAAATTATACTTTAAATGTTGTTCCTCCCAAGAAAGAATGGCATTCTACTAGAACTGGTCCTAATATTTCTATTCAGCGTGCCAGAATTTGTAAATTTCACCGACGTTTAATTGTTACTTTGTGTTCTCATCTGTGTCGACATTCATGGTTGATCATCAAGCAAAGAACGCTGGTGTTCCCCTTGCAAATTCAAAATTTGAAAGAGTATTTCTTCGTCCTGTCCTTCCATACACAAGATTCGAACTGCATCTCCGTAGCGATGTAGAGAAAGAGGAACCAACTACAAGGCGTAACTGTAATTAATGTGTCATAATTCATTGCGACTCAAAAAATCATGTGGGAGTGGCGCTCCTTTCAAAAAAGACGTTCTTGGAACTGTAAATGTTTCTCAGTATCATGGTCGCTAGGTTTGAGTCTGAAAAATGGATCTTCCAACAATAGGGATCATGTCTTGGTGTCAAAATCAGCAAAATATAGCAGCGAAATCAAAACTAATAAGTTGTCATCAATGTTGGTAGCGAGCTGTTGTATCAGAGTTTTGAAGCCATCTTCGTGTTACGCGGACATTGCGCTGACAAAGGACGCACAAAGGACACCAAGACAGGGCCACTGCGCAAGCTTTCTTCAAAAAAAAACGAAGACGGAAACAAATCAAACGAAGACGTCCGCGAATTTGTAGCTAACGATTTGTCTCTCCGAGGAAATCCCCAAAATGACGCCTTTTCCAGCATCTTCCTCTTCCAAGAAACAAGCATTCACCAGGTCTACATTCGGCGTGATCTCTATTTCGCCGTTTCCGCTATACGACATCGCATACTGCAACTGCGTCACTGCGTGCAAGGTGTAGCGAAACTGATCTTCATGCTTTTCGTAGTAGCATAGGACTGCCGGAGCTTCCTTGTTACACTTCGCGGGTCCCTTGAATAGTGGGTTTTTTCGCATGAAAATGACCTCTGGGATTAATCGGATACGAGCATGATGGTCCTCGTGGATGCTAACCCGATTAGGATCCTGCCAATACGTGTCGTAGCGCTGAAGAACATCGGCCAGACCGTAGAACAGCTCAGCTGTGGGTCGAAGTAGGGGTTGGCTGTCTGGGGGAGAGCGAAAGTTAGAGGGGAGAACAGAAGAAGAGATCCTCGTGGAACTATAATTTAAAGTTGCTAGTATCGATTTCATTTCCTGTTAAGATGGAAGCAAAAAATTTAACACCATGATCAAGAGCCTTAACAATCGACACCGGATCTACCACGACCATCAGCAACAGAGTCGGTCGCGTCCCATCATCTACACCCAAAACGATGTCGTTTGTGTCTTGATTCACGAATATGCTCTTTGGTCGCAGTTCGTATCCTTCCCATTGACCGATCAATCTCAAAACTTGAGCACGAAATTGCTTGGCACGCGCTTTCGCCTTTGCTGGAGCTTGCTTTGCGCCAGCTGCTGCCGCAGCACCACCTCGATGCACCACATCATCCGCACTGTCGTCTCCGACTTGAACACACCGAACTACAGAATTGCGTAACAGCACCACTGGATTGCAATCCTTGTCCAAACTGATGTCGATGATGTCTTTGAAGTTCTCGATCTTGTTCCGCCCAGTCGTCAAGTGCGTATTGCCTCGTGCGCCACCACTGCCGCCGCCACCTCCGGTCCCGAAGGAAATGGTTTGGTCACCACCATTGTAGCGGTAATCACTTCCGAAATAGTAGCTCATCATTTCGGGACCCATACCGGGAAAACCACCATTGCCGCCACCACCGCCGTACGAATTAGAAGTACAGTGCGATTTGCTTTCCTAGACGTGATCTTCGATGTCAAGTAGAGACTTTTAAGTAGTTATTTCGAGATAGTTCGCTCAAATGTCCGGGACGGTGCTTCCTTAGTTAAAGATGAAGAAAACTCGTAAAAGTAGATACAACAAATAGAAGCTTTAAGCCTTAATATAATAGTCAAACGACGACCCCCCGTTCCAGCTGTAATCCCCATATGCTGCGGTTTCGATGGGGCTTTGAATCTGGGCTTCGATCTCACGCACGATTAGGCTCTGCATTTCGCGGGCACACTGCGAGCTATCGCCGAAATTCAACAGATCATATTCAGTAGCTACTACTACTCGACTTCGTCCACACTTTTGCGAACACGCAATTCTTGCTACTTCGCCAGCCAAATTCTCCTTCTCCGATCCCCAAGCAGCCATTCGGACATTGCTCACAGTCGTGCCTGCTGATCGTAGATAGTCAGCGGTTCTAGCTTCGATCTGCACGAAACCGGTGGTCGCGGCCGCAGCCCCAGCGCTATTTACTGCCGGCGCACCCTCTGCTGTGCCAATCGTCGTACCGGAAACCCCTAATTGGATCCTTGTCTGCCCAGCAGCTCCACCATCTCCGTTTTCTGCAGCCGCTTGCGCCGTCGTCACCGGGTCGTTGATAAATTGAATCACACTATCGGCATGCTGAAAGGGTGGCTGTCGGAGAAATTTTACGTACGCTTGGCATTCCTGATAAGTCAAGGTTGCGAAAGCTACTGCCCAACTGACTAGTAAAGAAATCATCACGCGATTGAATAACCGTTGCGGAAGTAAATTGGCTTCAGTTGCAGTCGCCTGTAAAGTTTCGATCTCTGCAATGACGTGGGGTGTTTCGTACAGAGCACGTTTCTCGGAAAGCCAAGCACCAAGGCGATCTATCAAATTCCGCTTCTTGACAGGCCTTGAAGATGTTCTTGGCCCATTGTTTCTGTTGTCGAATTCTCCTTGCTCCACGTTCTGTCGAGGCACGATTTTGCTGGTAGCTTCGCCGTTTTTCATGTTGTTTGTCTCCAAGGTTTTCTTCATCTCAGAAGATTCTGAGCCGAGATGGGAGGGAAGCACAGCATCTTTGTCTACTTTTTGTTCTGCCCGTGTACTAGACGGAGGCTCCTCGACAACCTCCAGTGCTATTTCAGTTACGTTTTCTGCCAAATGTTGTAGATTCTCCTCTAGCACCTCAAAGGCATGTTCTAAGAAGTTTTGTCTCATGAATGGCGTATCCGGCACCGCATAGCGGATCTCCTTGCGATCCTTGTACAGGTAGTATGGCATGTACATCCCCGTATTTGGGTCGTAGTCTGGAACCTGGACCCACCTTGCTACTTCCCGCTTCCTCGCACGCACTCTTGAGAATAACGCCTGGTCCAGTCCTGCTACGTCTAGAAGTCTCGCAATTTCTTTGGTATGAACAGCTAGTTTCTCACGATAGAGATGCAAATCCTGGGAAGACACACCAGCTGCGCGCGTCGTGTCCCCACCCTCGCTCTGTTGCGATAATCGAGATGAGGTGTTATCCGGATTGTCGTAATCATCGTTGCTAACGCTATTTCGCCTATTTTCCCTATTGCTTCCCTGATACTGATTGCCATCGTTAGTAGTCCCAGAAGATCCAAAAAGTGCTTTATGAGGCATTCGGAGCGAAGCAGCAACAGCTTCGTCTCTTCGCAACAGCTTCATAGCCTCGTCTCGAAATGGGTCAGGTTGAGGAGGCGGCGGTAGAAGTGGTGCTGTTTCTCCTTGAACGAAAGATGATCTTTGTCTCCTTGAAGATGTGCTTTTTCCTGGACGAGCAGTGCCGCTTTTCCTAGACCGCAGATTTCTTGCTAATCCAAATCCGTTGTCTCCATCGTTGTCGTCGTCGTCAGAGGAGGAAGAAAAGTTAAGCTCATCTTTTGTTACACCTTGTGACTCCTGTCCTGCTCTTCTTCTATTTGAAGATGATGGCCGTTCCCACGTGTTCAGGTAAGCTTCTAATTCGCAGCAATGATCCATCACTTCCAAGAAGTCACGAGCAAACTCGTTCGCATTAAGATTCTTGTCACTGTCAGCTTGGCGCAAGTTGTTGGTTGTTGTTTTCCTCTTCATGTTATTCATCTTCCCTTGATGTTCAGCTCCTCCTACTCCTAAAACCACTGTTGACTTTCGCTCGCGTACTACTGCACCACCCTCTTCTGCTGGATCCGCAATGTCATCGTAGTCGTTCGCGGCGTTAGCTTCTTCTGAAGAGGTTGCAACCTTGACGTCGCTCTTACTAGGGGTACCTCCACCTAGGACCAGGTCGCTAATAGCGCCAAATATGGACGTTTTCTTTTTTACACTTTGTGCAAAAAGTTGTCCACGACCATCGACAAGGCGATCCGCACCAAGCTTGACTGCAGATTTCAACCTTTCCCGTCGCTCCCTTCGTGCCCTAGCCATCTTCTCCTCTTCAGTTTCTTCGACTTTACTACTTCTAGTACTTCTTGGCAACATATTAGCAGTGTTGTTGATACTACTTCTTTCTTGCCCAGCGCTAGTAAAACTACTTGAATTAATATTATGTGTTCCACCACCACCACCACCCGCAGCGAATGAGCCACCACCACCACCGCCTCCTTGAGTCGAAAGCCGGTTGCTACTTCGTTCAGCCATCTCTTGCTTGCGGTTCTCCGTTAACATCCCATCATCCAACTTCTTCCAGGCGAGAAGGTCAATGTACAGAATTTGCCTAAATTTCTCCGGCAAATGGCTATGGATGCTCTTCTCGTCGTAAGTCGGCTGAGACAGGTAGAACAAAAACGACAGCCACAGAAACTGGAACAGAGCGCTCAGCGGAATCAAAACCGTGTTCCACAGCGACGTCGCTGATGCCAACAGTGCAACCGTGTAGATGCTCAGTTTCACCACCACCACGCCGACTTGCAAAATCGTCAAGGTAAAACTTTCCCACCGCTGTAAAACTAAATCCACAGTAGCGACTGCGCGCGACAAATAAGCGTACAGAGCACCGCACATCCACGCCAACAGCCACAGCTTCTGAAAGAAAGCCAAATACGTCAGCAAGAAAAACAGAATCGCATTCAACATCATGTATGTTCCCAACGCGTTCGTCACCCTAGCATAGGCGTCAAAATGCTGCCAATGCTTCTGGAGTACCCGGAATATGTCCAAGTGCGACGTCCGTATTCGTAACCGGGGCTGACCGTTGGATTGCTGAGTGCTAGGATCTGAAGACGGACCACCTTGTGCTGGATTCCCATGCCCTCCAGCACCTTGATTCTGCGCCGTTTGTGGCCCCATGGAGGTACTAGAAGACGAGCCGCCTCCTTGATAGGAAGCTGCTCCACTGGGTCCTCTATACTGACCAGCTCCACCTCCTCGTACCTCACTACGCTGGACTTGGCCACCGCTAATGTGGTAGTCCTTCCGCTTTTGCTCTTCTAAGCGTTCGTTAATGTAAAAATTCTCTAGGGCGTCCGGTTCATAGTGGTATTGCACTTGCGGCTTCGTCACGGCTTTCACGGGGTCTTGCCAAAAAGACTGTTTGTTGGAGAAAATTTTGAAGATTCTGGAAAGGACGGTTTGCGGACATGAAATGACAGCGTTTGATTTCGACTATGGACAATTATAAGAATAGGAAGATGGCAACACGTAGTGTTAGAAGTACTCAACTGAAAAATAAAATCAAAAGTACAGCTATCCTTTTCGTGAATGGTATTCGCAATTGCTTTCTGAGGTCCGTTTCTTCGAAGTCCTGTAATCTTGCTCTGAAGGCATCCACCTCTGTTCCTGTTGGGAGATCACGGACTTGTCTCGACTGCAATAACAGAGAGAGCCCACACGAATGCGCCGTGATGGATGCATGCATCGCCATCCTGTGAGTTTGAATGTAAGGAGGTAACATTTAAGACATAAAAATAAATACCTTTCTTTGTACATCACGAGTTTGACTTCCATGCATGACAGACAAGTGCACTTCTTCAAACTAAATCAACGTAGAAATACAACTAGTACCATGTGCTCAGAACCAACATGACGATTCCTCCCGTGAACGACAACATAAACGCCCACGTCGCGAACATCGGCATGTCGCCACTTGGCAGTAAACTGCCCTCTCCTAAAATCGCCATAATCAGCGTAATTTGTAAGGTGTTCGTGAGAATGTATTAAAGCTCGGCAGTCAGTGGTCACGGACTCTGAACGGCAGAGACCCCCTTCAAAGCTCTCCCCTTTCCCTTCATTTATTTCCCCTGTTGGTTCTCTCAAGAAGGGGTCGCCTCTTCGATCTCAGTGACTCCAATCTAAATGGTGACCATTGAAAGTTGAGCCTTAAATGTAGTTGTCCATCCGCAGAATGGTTAGGTCTACCATCTGGTTGATGTCATCCCGGAAAAGAAAAATCCATTCTCTCCGCATCTGTTGCCTTTGGTGCATCGCCGCCTGTTGCATCGTCTTGTCGAAGTTGTAGCAGTCCTGATTGTATCCCCAGATGGACTGCAGGGTGCCGCCTGTAGTTGCGACGGTTGCCGCAAGCCCTGCTGCGATCTCCGCCATTTTTGTGGTCGATCACTTGGTGCGCTTGTTGAGTTGTTTCCTTTCCTCTAACGAAAGATTAAATGCTGGCCGTCGTCCCTCTTACTCCGACCCCCCAGACCTCGCTAGCTGCTACACCGCCAGCGAATGCACATCGAGCAAACCTGCCCTGGAGCTCTGCCACGCCCCTTCATGGAAGGCCGCTGAAGACTGAGCCATGGTTGGAGTCATCTTCATCTTGCTTGTACATGAAGTAAGTATGTATCGACAGCGGGGGGTCGCGAGACTTAATATCGACTACAGATTCAATAATCACAACGGCAAGAAAATAATAAATTAGAACTACTACTCACTGCAGTCATACAGAAGGTACTTTCATCACCAATAGGTCTAGAATCTGTCATAAACTGCCTGAGTATAGCAGGGGATGTATTTCGTTGTGGGTGAAGGTGACGCCAAACGATCATTGAAGATATCTCCAAACCGATAAAACGCACCACACATACCATGATATTCGAACTTTTCTTCCAGCAACCGATATAGATCAGAAGATACTTCTAACAATGAATGGCATGGATGTCTGAAAGGATCAACATGGTTTTCCCGCTACTCTGAGGAATACAAGAACCAATTGATCATAGCAGCCTCTTCGTGGATCCAACAAACATCTTGAACATTTTCCATCGATACCAGGCAGGGAAAAACATCATGTGCATGAAAGCCAAATCCTTCGCAGTCATAGCAACTGAATTGTCATATGAAAATACCAGAGGCTGGAAAAAAACTAGCTGACAGTCCTACTCTTAATGCACTATCTATCAGCTTTCCCCCTTCTTCAACATTGCCACCCTGAAAACAAACACCCCAATATTCCATATCTCCAAGGCAACTGTTAAGGCGAAACACCCCAGCAACATCCAAAATAAGTGATTAAACAGCCGCATTGGCAACTTAGAGCCCTCGATAGCCGTTTGTTGAAGACTTTCGACTTCTAGAGTAAGATTGGGAGTTTCGTAGCGGTCCGCCCTCGAGTTCAGCCACTTGCGAAGCCAGTGGAAACGATGCTTGTCATCATCAGTCTCCACCTTTGGATTCTCAGTATCACCACCCCTAGATGAAGTCTCAGCAAGTTCACCGTCTCCTATCCGACTAGTATCTTCATCATTGATCGCTTCATCTGGAAGGCTCTCCGTAGCCGTGGTTGCGGTCTTCAGAATTTCGTCACCAAGAGAATCAAGCCCATCCAAAAGCGAGCGCAAGCGTTTTTGTAAGGCGACATCCAAGTCTTGGTCTACGAAGGTTTCCCCGACTTGGAACGCAGAAAGAGACCATCTGCGTTTTGGTGCTGTGACTTGCTGTAGCTCTAGCTGTGATTGTGCTCCAGTTGTAGCTGTACCTTGGTCATCGCCTTGCTGTATCGAAGCTTCGGATCCCCCTCCAACGTTTTCTTCTTCTAGTCCTCTCCTACCATCAGCATGATCTTCAACGAGCGTGCGGAATTTTCGATGTTCTTCGTAGTACGGAAGGTAAACACCGGTGTTGTCGTCATAGTACTCAACGAGTACCCACAGAGGAACACGGCGTAACCACTCTGAACCGTTGTTCTCAAATGCATCGTCTAAATGCTCGATGGGAAGTCCGACTCCAGCCGAGAGCTGCAAGATACGTACACGACAGCTGTTCAGCATAGTGGAGAGTTGACCAGTAGTTTCGGAAGTTAACGGAGAGTTCGCCTCTGAGGTTTCCGACTGATGGAAGCCCCAAACCTCCAAGTATTTCGCCAGTTCACAGTACTCGGCTATCAAGGCTTCCATTTGCTCTCGTAGCAAGGCCTCTTGCATGTGCTGCTCGTCTTCCGCTATTCCTGGCGCCAAAGCCGTTGCTCCTCCACCATCATCGCTTCTCATCTGGCGTTGATCTCCAACAACACCAGCGCTCGGCAGTCTGTCAATCGCTCCATACGCTAGGATGTCAGCAAAAGCGGCCATACGAAACCGCTCCGGCAAGTGCGCCAAGAGTGGGTCGTCACTGTTTTCACCTCGTGGCTGCGTCAGAAAAAAGAACTGCAAGACGAAGGCAAAATACGTGACTACCAACAGAGGATGCAGGATGAGTAGAGCGATGTTCAAATTAGAACTAAGAGAAATCCATCTTGAGACGCATCCGAGGACCTTTCTCCCCTTGAAAACGGTCTCAGGATGCCTGTGAAGATGGATTTCTTCTAGCCTTAATCAAAGTAGACGAGGTCTTCGCACTACGCCCTTTTGAGCACGCCGAACCTCCTCCAATGATAACGAAATCCGCATCCCCAAAGCGGACAAGAGCAAAGCAAACAACCGTAGACAGCATGATGAACATCTGCTCAGAAATCCACAGGAAGTATTGCCATCGAGGTAATTTTCCGAAATCCAAAGCTGTAATAGCTACCGTCGCCACCCCAAACCCAGTTGCAGGAACTGCAGCGAGCAAAACACACGCTACAGGGGAAGACAAAAGCGCGTTCGGTGAAGTGTCTCCTTAGAGCTTTCTCAGGAAGATAACCAGAAAGGAGTAGAGGTAATCAATTTTGTCATTGACTCTGCTATCACTCATCAAGGTATCTGTATTGAGTCCAACTTTCGTTCCAAGAAGACGTTCCAAGAACAAGAGAAAATTTCATTACTAATTGCCATAAGTCCCACCCGGCACCAGAACGGCCCAACCCAGAACGTAAAATCCTAGGAACTGGAGGAAGAAGACGAAGCCGATCGTTGCAGCGATACGCGCATAGATGTCGTAATACTCAAAGTGTTTCTGCAGTACTCGGTACGTCCGCAAATGGCCTTTCTCTACGTAGGTGGTCTCGGATCGTTTATTGTCGATAGCATTGGCATGCGCGGTGTCGGAATGACCAGCTGACCTCCAATCTAAATATCTTTGACGCATGTTATGTTCCTCTGTTTCAGTTTCGGCGTAATTCTCAATCGGATCGCGGTAAGAACTTCTCTGAGGTAGTTGTGGTTCTTCGACATTGGGAGAGGCAGCTGGGCCAACTTTATTACCAACACCTTGCTCTTTACAACTGTTCGTCGCAGACACTGCATTCGTTGCACCTGTCGTATGCTCTGCCCTATGTTGTGCACCTGTAGGACCTTCACTATTATTCCCTACTTCCGCACTACCACTTCTACCTTCACCTCCACCAAATAAGAAGTTCCTTGCCCGATCTACGAACGGCATTCGCATTTGTTGAGAAGCTTCAGTTTCTTCAAAATCCTGCATCCTTGCACGCCCTCGATCCACTTCCACGCCCGTAGGCAGATCTCGCAGTTGCTTGCACTGAAAACCCATGTGCAATCCGCTGACATGCGCTAAGATGGAGCCTTCGATAGCGAGCCACGTGGAAAAAATCAGGAAAACCACTGCGCTGAAAAGGGACAAGTAGAACAACAAGGCGAGGGCTGTGTGGTCGAGAGAAGCGACGTTTTCGGGAGGTGGAAACGGCCTGTTGAATCTTTCCTGCGGTCCTAGACTTTTGATCGTTTCTCTCGGCACACGTTGCGCCGCAGCATACCCAGAAGAAGTTGTGCCAGGCTCGCTGCTCACGAATGCACGACCGTAGACGTCGAATTCATACAAGTTTCGGCCATCATCTGACTGTGTGTTCCCACTCGCCCATGCAGGATGGCCTCTCAACGTCCGCGGATAAGCGTCTTTGCGACCAAGCAGTATGCCAGCTAAATTTTTATCAGGGTCACCCAATTCGCCTGACGAAGCCAGGGACATCACCCCTACAAGTGCCAAACCGTTCAAAGCGATGTACACATCCATACGATGTGTGAACAATTCGCACAACCCGTTGATGTCCTCCCGATACAGCTGCACCCATTCTTTCCTCTCAGTTTGTTTCTGATGCTGTGCTCGCATTCGCATGCCGCGATCGAAGGCGAACAGCTTGCGATTGTACGACCACACATCGCCAGGAAGTGCTGCGGGATTCATCATGGGAGGAGAACAAGATGAAGGTGTGATGAACGCAAATGATTTATTGGCTTCTTCTAGATGCGGAAAGAGGTACCTAAAAATAAGTGCTGGGATATATTCGAATGCTAGTGCTTTGATAATGTGCATGAAATCGAGGACAAGTGCTTACATGATATCGAGGACAAGTGGTTACGTAATTGAGAGGGTGATTATATCCGTGTTTTGGTACTGGAGGGGGCCTACGAAGGGTGTCGCACTACCGATATTTTCTCTCTTCAAATGTGACTGACATCTTCAACATTTTGCACCGACAGTTGTACCAGCATCTTCCACAGAAAGCAGGAGTCTCCTCTTCTCTCTCTTCCAATAGACCGATCATACTGCGAAATACTAACTTAGAAGCCTACAGAGTGTCTCCGTTTTTCACATCGTCTTCGCAGTAACATGATTACACCCAGCATAACGCTAGAACCTCAAGAACTTGACTCTGATACTAATAACACTTACGGCCGACCGCAGTGTAATAAAGCCCCCACTAGTTTTCTTTCTACCTTAGTGTGCAAAATTTTCTTCTTCTCCCTTTCATGTTATTATTGGACGACTCCTCAAATAGTGTTATTATTGAAATGGAGAGACGGTAACGGCATGCACAACCTGCGTACCTTGTTCTATCTATTGTGCTAGGTGGAATAAATGCAGGACCGAACTATGAAGCACGGATTGCCATTTTTCTTAAACTCCACCTTGTCTCTGACTGTTGACGGTTTTATCTAACTTCAATTTGGTGGTGGAGGCTATGTTCTCTAGGACTTCTCTATCTGATTGAATTTCTTCGGTGAAGGCGTGAAGGCCATAAAAAAGACTCAAGTTCATGATACTAGTGATAGAATAAGGACTCATGAGAATGACCGTAGCATCGATTTTCCTCAAATGGACGACAGTTTTTCAACGAAGTTTCAAGCAACTACTTTCGCAACAATGCTCAAATATTTTTGCTTCTTCTCACTTATTCCTGCTTCACCTGCGCTTTGCCACCTGGACTCAATCCAGCGTGTTCTGCGCCGTCGGGCGATGAGGCAGCACCTGGCGAGCCTGCTGGAGACTGCTTCTTTATATCTGCACTCTTCGTCAGAGGCGGCAACAGAGAGTCTACAGGATTTCCCTCTAAGTTTGGCGTCGTTGCAACTACCGCTGGGGGTTGCAGACGGGATTAGAAGAAGCTTCTCGTTGTGCTGCATTATGCTGGGGTGTTGAATCATATTTGGGGCCATCTTCTATAATGCCTAGTGTGTTTTGGATCCCACCTTCCACTATCCGAGCATCTTGATGTTACGGCAGGTAGATTTCCTCCTACTTCTTGCTAGTCCAATTAGAAGTGTCAGTTTGTGTCATAATGAAAAGTGCTCCCCACCGCAACTGGTGAAGGCAATCGCTGCCAACTTTGATTGCTAAACCGTTCTAGGGCTTCTGCGTGGGCCCTGTTTCGTACACGGACAGCGGGACCAGCAGCACGAATAGAACCCTCAGCTGAGTGTCGAATGTGAAACAAATTGTCTGCTTGCTGCGGACTTGCTTGAGCGTTGAGATCGGGTTCTGTGGTTGGTATGAATGTTTGTAGTGCGTTTGAGGTAAGGACAGATTGAAATTCGAAGCTTATTTCCACGCTAGGACGGCTAAAACGGCACAGGCTACAGAGGAGAGTTTGTTTCCGTGGACAAGGATCTTCTTCTTCTTCACGGGACCATGATTGAAATATAACAAAGACTGAACAGAAGTGATTCTTCTAGAGAACGAATGTTTACCTGCTTGTCCTGGACCCAACGACTTTCCTAATCCGTGTGGAGCTGAGCCCATTAATTTCGCGATACTCCTTCGAGCTCCCTTCATCTTTCGTCTCATATCCTCGCGTTTGTCGTCTCCCTCCTCAGTGGAATGAAGAGTGAAACTATTGAAGCATGTTCTTTTTGGCAAACTAAAACTCTATCTACAAGTGTATCAACAAAGCAGTATGTCTATCTCAAGTGATCTCATTCGTTCATTCATTCATTCATTCATTCATTCGAACCACGTAGCAATTACAAGTAACTGCCTGGTCCTTGTACACGGCAGTGTTCGTGTGTTCTTCCACGATGTCAATGTCTTCATTGATTCCATCTTTTAGTGTTGCCTGGTTCCGTTTTGCTTAGTGTTACATACTAAACAAAATCTATCGAAGTAGATCTTCCCCTCATAATGTGCATCCTGGTCAGGCTTGGGCTCCGTCGCATCAGCAGGTCGACGGAAAAGGCTTCCTCTCTGCAACCCCAAATCATACTCGACTTCCTCTGTGATTAGCGTATGTCGGTACAACTTGATGGAAACTACGGATTAGGAGGATCCTCCTAATCCTCCTTCGGCTACATATCACTACCTCCATCATATCACATCCTCCTTCGTCTACTTCGAACTAATGAGAGAGTGGTCCCGAGCCACTCGGCGCCCCTGTAAATGAAACACATAGTAGTTCAAGCTTATTACTTTCCATAAAATCATTTGAAGATGATCGGGACCCACTAGATCTGGGATGTCCTCGTCTTTTACCTCCAGTATGATTTCTCGGATCGCCAAAGCAATGTACGGTTGAAAGCGACTACAGGCTTTTCCTGCCGCTTTTAGAGCTCACGACACTAAGATAATCCATCTTCAGACGCATCCTTCTAGACGCTGTTTCCCCTGGAAAATTCGAAATTCCAAATTTCAATTCCAAAAAAGGGTTTTCTCAACTCAAGTGGCCATAACACATTTCGCAAAGAAAACAGAGTTGGCATCACGATCTCACCAACACTCTTTCGTTGGACTGAGCTCGTTAAAACTCTGAAGTGTTGCAGCTTTTGCTCGTTTTTAACATCAGCTTTGTCCCCCTCCTCATCGATCACCTGCGACTGCTTGCTACCGTAAAGGTTGAGTCGTAGTTCCTGTGAAAGTGAAGTTGAAGGTGATAGTCATAGTCATAGTCATGTCCTAGTACCGTCTACGTATTCATAGACATAGCACTCAAACCAAAGCACATGATCGTCGCTACTCTAGTTGTTTCGTCCGATTTATATCGTCACTCCTAAGCTTAGACGTAAGTGTAGTACCTTCGAAGCCAGGAGATTGAGGGTATCTGTCAACACCGTGGCGCCAGGATCTCCGTCAGTTTGTGGTACTGGCGTCCCCTCTTCACGTCGTGGCTTAGAAGGAGAGAACTCTTGGTAGTACTACACAGTAGACTTATCACGTCGTGGCTTAGAAGGAGAGAACTCTTGGTAGTACTACAGAATAAACTTTTCACGTCGTGGCTTAGAAGGAGAGAACTCTTGGTAGTACTACACAGTAGACTTAAATCTATCATAGAGCAGTTTATAAGGTTTCACAGCTCGCATGGCATGGAGTGCATGGATCACATGGAGTAGCATGGAGCTAAAGGGGGAGCTTCTTGCGCCCCTTAAAGCTCTGCGCTCCATGCACTCCATGCTACTCCATGCACCATGCGTGCTATAAACTACTCTGACAGAAAGTTGCCCCAATTCTGGTTCTAATTTTATCTTTCGGACTTCTACCCTTCCGTTTTGCTAGCAGAAATGAGAGTCCGCACTGGCTGAATCGACCATGTTCGAAGACGATGGCCTACTACGTAAGCCCAAATCTTAGGCCAATGCCTTAACTATACCACCATCTCCGAAGCAAAAAGGCTCCAGCACCTCCTTGCACAGCGCAATTGGCAATATGCATCGCTGCTCGATAGGCATCTGGCTTAGGAAGAATTAACATTAGAGAGGCTCTCGAAATGACTGACTTTGAAAGTAGACTACATGGTTAAGGCGAATAATTAGGAACTAATAAGGGGAATAATTAGGAACAATCTCATTGGCCTTAGAATTCAAGAAACTATTTCACTGCAAAGAAAGAAACTGACTGCATCTGTGCAGAGGAGTACTCCGCTCGTTCAGCTGCCGGGAGGTCATAATTAGGAACAAATTTATTACAGAAGTAGTTTTGAATGGACACGTGGATGCAAGGCGTAGGGACTGTAAATTCTAAGTGACGGTGGAGAACGAAAGAGGGAGTAAGGAGGAGTATGGGAGGAATATTTAATAGCCGGTAAACACCAACACATCGTCCTCAAACGTCCGTGCATTTGACTGCAGGATAAAGCAGCCCACACCCTAGTGGAGAAAAGCACCAGCGTTTTACTTCTACTCGAATCTTCCTGATTCTTCGCATTATTATGAGCATAGAATCTAGACTAAATCAAGCATAATCATGACTAATAATCAATATTATAAGCATAGATGTGTCTTCACATCATAATTGAAAATCATGGCTCTCCTGTTCGGAAATTTTTCGAGGGAAAAGCTCTTCATCTCCTTCGCGGTCTTGCTGAATTGGGGAATCTGATCGAAACCATAGATGTTAGCGCCGGATATAAACGGATCACTCGCAACTGAGAAAGGACTCGCAAAGGAGGTGCGCTTTTTAGGTGACAAATTGTTGAAAGAAGGTTGCTCGAACTCGGCCTCGAGTGCAGCTAGTACAACGCTTCCTACTTATATCAGCACAATGTTGACAAATAACCCATAATTATGCTACAAAGCATCTCCGAGAAGCTCTTGAAGAAAAGCTGCTTTTCCTTGTCCCGCGGCTGCAGAATCTTACAGAAGACGCTCTCGACGAAATGCCTGATGTTGAAAGTTTGAGGGAGAAAAATAAGAAGCAGGTGTAGAACTGCTAGTACATCGAGCACAATTAGATTACTTACTGGCTATTCATCGAAGAGCAAAATACAGAACGTGTACATAGCGCATAATTCTTAGATCACTAGATATTCATCATCGAAAGGATATCACAGTACCTGACATCTTCACTTGGGTCCGACAACGCGTAGACAAGGCGATATTTCACGTCGCCTCTGCTAAGTTTCACGAAGTCCTCGGCTAGGAGACTTGACAGAACCATAGCTGTCTGTTTGCGAAGGATAGACGTCTCACTGCGAAGCTGAGCAGATATCCATTCTAGTCTTAGAGAGGAAGAGAAGGAGGCCATCTCGGTCCCGGGGAACTATAGAGGCAAGAGAAGAAGGATGAACAGTAGAAGTAGACAAGTGACAGAGAGGACGGAGAGGAAAGGGAATGCGGATCAACGCGGACCAACAATTCACTATCGTAAAAGATGCGGGTCGACTAGAAGCGTATGAGCCTGCATCATGTCGCCTAAGCCCACCACGATGTTGTTTTTCACCACAAAGGGCTCCTGCTTCTTGGCAAGCGGAATAATCAAGGCACGAAGGTATTTCCGGGCCTTATTCACGTCCCGCAGATAAAACTTGATCAATGTGATGTAGGCCTGAGCTCGCACCACCGAAGGCAGCTGTTCAGATGATTGGCAGATTGGTTTCTTTCTATCTCATAATTAAATAAGTAGTTCTTGTTTTCATTCTTTCGATGTGTGAGTAGTTAGTATCATCGATTAGAAAGTAATTCTTGTCAGACATCACTCAATAGGACTTGCAGTATCATGGCGCACAAATTCAAAACACAACCACATAAAGTATTGTCGTGGCGCACAAATTAAAAACACAATCACCTGAAGTATTGTCGTACCAGGTAGGATCATCTAAGAAGTATTCGTACTATGGATATGGAAGTACCGAAATCCTTGATGCGCCTTGGTAGCAACCGTCGTTGCAGATGTATTGCTGCAGAGCGGTCAATAATTCCCAGTTCAGAAGTGATGGCTCAGCCAGTGCGATCTCGCCCAGTGTGAACAAATGGTTCTGGACGTTGATTAGAAGATGAGAAGCGGAATATTGGCGAACCATAAAAATCTACACCTCCACCATGAAAATATACAAAAGAATTATTGAATTTCAGAACAGAAAGAATAAATTATACCCTGATGCAGCACTCGTTCTGAACGACGCCTCGCACGAGAGGCAATGCACTGTCTATTTTGAGAACAACAAATAACCCAGCTTTTTCGTAAATTCAGGCGCTCGCGATACGTAAGACGGTCCCTGCGCTTTCGCTTCTTACAGTCTGGTTAGAGTCTGAAAATTATCGAGTTGGAAGTATATACTGTTAATACCTAGCATGCTCGCCCTACTAGCACCCCGAAATGACAGCCGACCAAGTGGCATGAATATTTTGTGACTACTATATCAAGTATGCGTGTGTCTCCCATAACTACTAACGCTGCCACCCTCTGAAAGCGGCGAGTCCTCTGGACTAGCAGCTGATTGCGATTCCTGTCTTTCCAAATACGCATCACCCCGACAGAGAAGCATCAAACGACTCTGGATCTCATCTCGGAGCTCGATCATCCCCTGTTTTGCTGCCTCTTTTCGCTCATTGGAGATCGCTACTGTGAGAATTAGAGTTCGTCGGAGGGTTTTGGCCACCTTATGAGTCAGTCTAGCGAACGCGTAGACAGCGTGCCGAATTATCAGTCCAAAGAAGGCAAAAGGCACCCCGCTCGGGCTGCAAATTATCCCCTGGCTGCCACTCCATAGATCGACACCAGAAGCAAAGAAGACTGACTGACACACAAGCGCGACGGCAGACACTCACCCCGAGCCAGCCACACACGAGAACAAACACCCGCCAAGCTTTGCTCAGGGCCACGACATGGGGGCAGTGAGTAGGCCGACGGCCAAGAAAGCAGCACGCGCCAACCCCTTGCAAAGCTCCACGCCAAGACTGCCAGCCCCGCCAAGCTTAATCCGCTGCGTGCGCAACTAGCTGAACCGAGGGGCTCCAGATCATCAGCCGGCGCCCGCCGTAGCTCAGATCGTTTGCCCCCAAGGACTCACGCGGAGCGAAGGAAGGCCCCGCGAGCTTTGCCAGGGGGTCACCCTCCCTCCCTCGTCTCTCACGTCAAGAAGCCGGCCTCTCCCTTTGGGTCCGCCCGCGGGCTTTTATCCCCCAGCCCCCCGGCTGAATTCCCTGCGGCATGTTTGGACGGCCTAAGTGCCTCAGCCAGGGGCCCCCTCTGGCGAAGGACACGGCGCAACTTCATTGGCGACTGCGAGAGCGTCGGCCCCCCTCGACTCCCACCAGAATTTGCGGCCCACTCTGGGGCGCCCACCGCTGTCTCCTTGTTTCGCTCCTGGCTCGTCGTGTTCTATCTCCGGGCCCACGCCGCAGTTGACGACTGCCAACGCACACTCCTGCAGCTGTTATGTGTGGTCGGTCATTCATGACCAGTGCACCACTTGGCGCAAGGCCCACAAAATGAATTCACAAGCACAATAAAGTGAGTCTCATAAGATGGCTTTGCCGGTCGAGGCTGGATTGCTCTTTGGATCCTCCTTTTTCCCTGGCTTCTTCTTCGCTTGGTTATCGAGAGTTCCGGCAAAATGCTGCAAACAATTCATCATCTCTGAAATCAGCATAGGTTGCGCAGAAAACTCCATGAGCCTCTTCTTGAATTGCACCACTTGCTTATGAAAGCAAGGAGGTGGAAAGCTGAATATGGTGCTAACAATACATAGATCGATCTCTGCAGTCAAATGAGGTAGAGACCTTCACATTTCAAGCGACAAAACCATATCAACAACACAAACGACGTCGCTTTTCGAAATGATAGAAAAGCGCTGCCGTGATAAGAATTTTTCGGTACTTCTGTAACACTATCAAATTCCTTCCATAAAAGCTGTCCACCTCAGCCTGTGGTATACAGGTTGCGGGGACGCGCTGCAGCAAGCAAAGCGTCTTAGCGGCTACCAAAGAAGCGTCACGATCGTCTTTCACCCTGTCGAAGAGCATGAGGACCTTAGAGGGAGATGAGGATGCCTGATGCCATGTTGCGTATGCGTATTGTAAAAGAGTAGCTATAGCTAAGAAGCACTAGTACGACAGTGGCTATAATTGTTAGCGCAACGATTGAAAGCTAGAGCGACTAGCAACTCCCACACTCCATAACAAAAGTCGAAAAATCAAGGAGACGACCTTGATTGGGGTCTTTCACTGCCGCCTCGTCAAGCATTTGCCACACAGGTAGGGGCCACCCTCTCCAATCCGGCATGCGCTCTAGACACAACTGCACAATTTCTTTCAAGGCTTTGTGGAAGTTAGAATTGCTCTAAGACACAACTGCAGAAGAATTGCTCTAAATCATGCCCACAATGCCATCAAGCCATAAACAGCTTTTCGAAGTCTTTTTCTCCGGTGCAGACTTTTGGGCGTGCTGTGTTGTTGTACATCGAGACGGCCCTCTGCAGGTATTCGGCTGAATCGCTATCAAGCGCCTCTAACACGTCGAAGACTGCGCCGGCCGGTGTAGCTATTAGAAATAGACGTTGAAGCGCAAGTGTTTCTAGTCTAGTTTGACTAATGTTTTTGAACCAAGGAAGATCATAGACTTTGCATTTCTAATCTAGTATCATAAAAACACTTCGTCGTCTGGTGCCACCTGATCGTCTTCAACTTGTCCTTCTTCTTGCGGTTCGTCGCCCTCATCTCCCTTCTCACACTTCCTCCTTTTCTTAGCCCGTCCTTCCTCCCCATCTTGAGCTTCCTCATCCTGAGCCCAGCTCGTTGGGAATTCTTTAAAAGACGGCGCGAATTCTCCAGCGGACGTGGTTCGAGAGGAGGTGTGGACTTGGTTTTGTGCCTTTAGTTACAACATGATAGGATAGCCATCAATGGATCTCGTACAGGAACAATCTCTTTAGACTAATCAACCAAGGTGTTCTTGAAGAGGATGAAAAGATGTACATCTACATGTATTTACTTCTAAGTAATAACCCCTACTACACCTTTGTCGTCCATAAACATCGCTTTCCCGCGTTTCCTACTGTGCGTGGCAGAACACGCTTTGTCTTGAATTGAGGATTGTCTGCCCAGGCGATTAAGGGCTTGAAGATATTATCCTTGATCATTTCGAGTGCTTTATCTTGAGCTTAGAGCTTACCCATGTTCATCTTGAAAAGATTCTTTGCCGTGTTTTCTTCCCTTTAATACTGAAGGGGTCAAAGATGCGTCTCAAAATGAGTTGCGGAAAGCCTTAATGAACGCTGGCTTCAACATCCACGACTGCACCAATGACCGCTCTTGTCCATGTTTCGCGCACTACACGAGATTCATCGCCGCAACTTCGAAGATAGTTCGTCAGCGAGATAACAACTCGTTTGCGGACGTTGACCTGAAGAGGATGTTCGAATCCAGAAAAATCGGATTTGGAAATACAACTCTCAGTTGACTGTTAAAATGTATTCTGTTAAAATGTATTCAAGAATTTTCACGAAACGATATTGTTCAGCAAGAAAAGAGTACACTATCATCCGACAGCAAACTGGACAGCTTCAACGGACAGAGCTTCAGCGTTTCTTTGTGGTCTTTCACGAAGTCCAAGAGAGAATCAAAAAGCTGCACTGCCGCAGTTCGCATAGCCGGTTTCTCGTCTACTATCGCGCCCTCCCAGAGTTTGCTTACGTCTACAAAGTACTCACTCTTCCTGTCTCCCAATGTGAGCTGACGTTGTTCGGGTGTCAAAAGCTTGATGCCAGTGCCCAAGCAATTCAAGGCTTTGCCGCGGACTGCAGGGAGGGAGTTCCGATTAGAAGATCTTTGCCTAATGAGTCAACTTTCATTACATATCTTCAGACTACGATGTTGACATCCAAACTAGTACAACTCCCAAGTTTAGACAAGCACGCATTCGTACTAAAACATTTTCATAACTTTCGTCCTCTCATAGACTGCACGTAAAAGGCGCCAAGATAAATCGCCATTGGCAGGTTGGAGACTCGTCCGCGCTCGATGAGGCAATGGAGGAACTTTAGGCGCCAACGCATCTTGCTCTAACAGACAATCTGTTGCTTGCGTACCGCCAACTTCTTGTTGCGTTCCATCTTTTGGCTCCTCCTTGATTACTCCTAATGTCGGAGGATCTACCTCCATTTCATCTTCAGCCATACCTTGCGGAGATTGGGCGACGATATCTGTGGTGTTCTGGGCTTGAGCCGTCTCGTAGATCACGTCCGCCGTGTACTGCATCAACTTTGAGCAAATCTCAGTGGCGATAGACCGTCTACTTCCGAGTGCGCAGGACATCAGGCCTAAGGTGAACCTGTCCTTGAGGAAAGGATGAAGAACACGAATTGGTCAAGTAAGTATAAAGCAGAAGTACCTAAAAAGGGAGTAAGAAAGTTTCAGAGGTCTTGGTAACAAAGTATCAATGGGGAATCATCCCAATCGACGAGAAAAACCATCTAGAGGGTGGATAGGGATTAGCCGAAGGATATCCGAGATAAGCAATTACAGTAGTACTCAAAAACTCGGATCCTTGCGTCATCTGGGAGGTCCCTCGTAAGGTCCAGTGTTGTATCCGCCAGCATTTCACGTGTGTCTGCCCGATCGTAGACTTTTACACAGAGAGACTGGATCAAACATACTATCGGATCGATTGTGTAGGTCTGAAAATGAGAAGTGGCAGAAGGTTAAAAAAACTTCATTGTCCATTGGACTGAAGCGAGGACCAAAGTGGTCAAGCTCAAGAGTCACGACTGACGTAGCAAACATAAACAACACTAAGATAAACATTCTTTCTACTTGTCGAGATTTCATCGTAATTCTAAAAAAACAGCTAGTAAACTGAACATTAACATTCAAGTTTGTTACCCTCCACCGGTGTCTCGTATCTGACTCGGTGTCGTCATCATCAGCAACAACGTCCCTGCCCTTGCCGATTGCAGACTTCAGCTCCGAATGCAGGTCTGCTCTTTTCTTGGCCGTTCCCGGTGTCTTCGGTTCTTTCTTCACGTTCGTAGATGGTGAGCCGGGTGCCTAGTTTTTGTCGTGATTCGACCATGACGAACTCTCAGCTTGGTTGTTCAAAGATATTTCTTGCACCGTAAAAACGCCGTTAGAGCTACAAGAACCCTCATGACTGAACCACATGAAACTATATTATAAGTACCTGCTCTTCCCCGTCAACATCCATACCCATCGGATCACCGAAACCGGCACCCTCTTTTGGATGAGGGTTCTCAGGCTCCTCTTCCTCTTCCTCAACAAGCTTCTGCACGTCAACAGGAATGGCCAAGTCCGGATGTGACATGAGCAACCGCTTCGCAAATTCCAAGCAGGACTTCCTCGTAGTCTTCCACAGCGCTATGAACAGGGAGAGAGGGGCTGTGGATGTCGACTGGTGGATTATTCACTTACGGTAGTACCACGAAATTCCAGATAAAGAAATCCGCGGACAGACAAGTCTATTTAGCTTTTAACTTCTTTTGGGCGCAAAGGATAACATGCTCCCTTAATAATCTTCGGTATAGTCTTGTTCCCATAATCTTTGGTATAGTCTGCGGTTGCTGGACAAGTTCTGGTCGATAAACTCCTATTGCCGGTAACAAAGTCTGAAATATCATCGAGGTCAACACATTCAACGCCTTCCGCTCTTCTAGTTCGCGCTCGACTCGTGATGCTGCCTCAGCTCCTGCTGGTGCACCGGATGAACTGCTGCTTCCACCGCGTTCTTGGTTCATGAAAGAAGCTTAACGATGTAAATTTGAGATATGAGGATATGATCTATCATTCTACTGCAACTCTCATTGCTAACGATAGTCGCCATAACTTGTTCTAGACCGCCTCCGAGAAGGGTATCAGCTTCGGCCCCCTTCTCTGGACTTTGATCCCCAACTTGCCCTCTAAACTGCTCCTCCTCACCAACTGTGTCACCTTCATCGGTTCCGATATATCGGTAGGCCCTATAACGAGACACAACGGCTGTGAGACACCGCAAAGCCGTCTCGCACACTGCCTCATCGCGCGGCGCCGTTACAATCAGGGCTAATCGCTGTTCTTTAGAAGAAGATGATGATGCAAGACACGCCTCTACGACTTGCGCAACTACGAGGAAGTTATTTCCACTTAACAGGTTGATGGTCGTACTTGTATTTTCGAGTATGTGAAAAATACAACAACACAAGTGTGAAGACTTCTCCATAACGATGATGAAGGACGCAGCGTCAGTTCTATGCCCAAGACTTACTTCGCACAAAGTCCGACTAACTTGATGCAACAACTTCTGATATTTCTCAACGTGCTGGCGGCCGACGTCCTCAACCTGATAATTCTGGAGTGTATGGAGCCCAATTACATAAGTAAAGTTGTATCATCAAGAAGTATAATAGGTCTGCGTTAGTATAGTTGTCTCTTACCGGACCATCATCTTCGTTCGACTTTGGCGGTTTTCTTCCATGATGAATGTCCACCAAATAAGCGGCACAGGTTTTCACGATTTTCTTCAAAATCGGTTGTCTCGACATTAGAGAATCCAAACAGCCTTGACACAGAATCATTATCGAAGACCAAATCACAAGTGGGTCCTGCAATCAAAATTAGCGGACGAGCAGAGACGAGCTGTAAGAATTTACAAATCGAAACTTGTAGCCTTAAGCATGCTGTATTCCAACTGGGACAATTTCCTTTGACCATTAGGAGCTCCAGATAGCACATACTAGCTCCGACCTGCAGTCGTTCGTGGAGGCCCTGAAGGACGTCGATAAGATCATGATGCTTGATATTCTTGATGAGACCCTGCCGTGAGAATCATAATCCGCGCAATCAATCGTCGAAATCAAAAATCACTTCCTAGAATATTACCTCCTCATCTGACTGTATTGCTATGAGCGATGCGAGGACCGGAATGAGCTGTTTGATGCGTTGGAGAGCGCCTCCGGATTCAGAGTCAAAAAAATAGTCCCATAATATTCCACCGGACCCATCTCCTCCCGTGTTTTTTTTCCTGCCGCCAGTCTTTTCCTTATTCCCTTTGCGTCCTTCCTTGATAGCTTCTGTGTTGTATTTTTGCAATAGAAGTAGCAACTTCTCGACGTCATCTGGTGAAATCGCATCAGGGGTAAAAGGTAGTCCAAGATTGTCGAATTCCAGCGTTCGCTCACCCTCCTCAAAATTGTGCCACTGGACTATCTCAACCTCGTCCAAGCGAAAGGCGGAAAGCGCCTCAGACACCGCTTTTATACTCGCTTCGGTCATTTTCTTGTATTGCAAGTTCTTTTTAAATACTAGGAATTCTACTTCTACTAGGTCCTCTTGTTTGTGATAAGTACAACAATGTTGGAGCGAGGGTGAATGTAGTCACTTCTACATTACCCTCTGGCTCAAGCGAGGTGTCGCATTCTTCTTTACACACTGGAAAAAGTCACGATTATCCATCATAGCTCCTATGAGTATTCAGTGGTTCATGTGAGACAGAAGACCGTTTGATGAAAGTTAAACTTTCATTTGACAATACCTATTTCATACAACCTTCAAAGAATTCTACTGACTCTTTCCTTAACTGACAAAGCAGTCGAAAAACTAGAGCTCATTTTTGCTTCAAAGCTTTCACCTTTTTTTTTTTGCTCCAGAGATTGCTAGTCTTTTACTCTTTTTTTTGAGAAAGTTGTGTCAACCTCATGTCATGTCGTGAAATCAAACACATGGGGTTTCTTTTCGGCAAGCCCTTCTTGGGCGAACAGGTGTATCGACGAACCAAAGGTTCACAAATCAGGTTCAAAACCTTGTCTTTAGCGCGTGTAGTCCTCTTTTTCAATGTTCAAATCCCAAGGCCTCAGGAATCTGCATAGCGAATATGCCTACCACACTGGCCGCTTGGACGACGCTGATAGGACATGGACAAGATTAATTCAAATGAGGCTCCTCGTCATTTTTTCGTTATGTCGGCTAAGTTTAAATACAAGCATAGTCTTTCTGCTCTTAGCGGTAATCAATCTGACAACTACCAAAACAAAAGTTTAATATCCAAGTTTCATCTGACAACTGCCAAAACAAAAGTTAAATATCCAAGTAGCATTCACATCTATTACAGTTATACCGTAATGCGCACTTTTTGGCCGATTCAGTGGCCGTCGATTGAACAGGATTTCGGTTCTGGGACTTACATACTCAACGCGTGGAGCTCCTTCGTGCAGATTAGTCGAAGAGCGATGCCGCAACCGTTCTTCTCGCGTTTTCAAATCTAAATCCTCTCGCGTTGCACCTGAGATTTAATTGAATTCGTTGTAGGAAGTAGAGAGACTTTCACAGTGAGGAAGACATGGTCATATTGAACAAAGTGTGGCTGCTTTCAGAAGAACGAAGATTATCATATTTCGAGAGACTAAATGCTAAATGCTGAAAATTTAAGAAAAACACTATATTGTTTGAAGGGATATTACATACACGTGACTTATAAGAAAAACATTATACGCAGTTCCCCCTTGAAATTTCCTGTCTTCGTCGTCGTCAGTCGTTCCCACCATGGCACCTCTTTCGCGCCTGGTGTACCTAGAGGTTTCCAACACAGCAGGTAAGGATAAAGCATCTTGATGTAATCTGAATCAGAATCTAAATGGTATAAAGTACACCTCATCCACCTCAAATTCGACGTCGTAAAATTCAAAAAAAGACCACCACCAGCACCAGCATAGAGATACCATCCATATTTAATGGTCTAGAAGTCTACTCGAAGCAGCCGCGCCTGCACCCCCAGCAGCTCCTGTGTAAACTTAGAGGTAGGTTTTTGGTGCTCGCTTACGCCGCTTTTTATGCCTTTCTCCCTTAGGAGAGGCATAAAAAGCGGTAAGAAAAGCACCTTTAACCTACCCTTAATAAACCACTCGATCCGTTCTCCCATATGAGAGTGGAACTCGCTCGTTGCGGCCATAAGAAGATGTTGGCCGAGTGTACGATCCAGGCCGGTTGTAGTGTCGCGTGGTGCACTTTAAGTTGCGGATGATTTTAGAGGGGCTGAGTAGTGTTATCGTCAACTGCTGTTTATGGACTACATGTGAGGTATCGTGATCGTCATCTACTCCTGTTTATCAAACTTAATATTGTTTAACGGCTGGCACATTCATTTCATGAGTCATAAAATTTGAGATATCGTCCAGATCCAGCCGCTCCACGTCTGGCCTCTCCCGCTGCTCTCCCAACCTCTCTGGCACTCGTGCATGCTCGGGAGCGGGAGGCCACATGATGATTCTATTCAAGTAGAATCTACACCGCTGCTAGCTACTACTTGTCCGTCGAAAAGTAGGTGCTGGCACGAGTCTCCTCTTCTCCACTATAATCTCGATGCGGACTCGAACGAAGAACAAATCAGTGTACGCGTGTGGATTTGGAAAGAAGATGGAAATTAGGCCTTCGGGAGATCGATTTTGCTAGGTTTTCGATAGGACGACTCTTGGATGAAAGCGGCATTTGATCGGCGTCCCAGTCTCGCGATCGAAATCTGCTCCTTCGGGGGGATGATGTCCGTGGCTTCACCAAAGCCGTGACCCTCCTTTCTTCTATACGGCACGATACTCGTGAGCGATTCTGTACACGGAAAATGCCCGACGCCGATGGCTGCTGTGCCGAAGGCTCAGCTACGCGAGCTAAGGTCGCAAAAGACCTAAAGTCTTTCTACCATGTTCGTTGTCCTTTTCATACGAGGCCTAAGCCTCGCATCAAGAAACTGCATCTGCAACAAGAATAAAAAGCATTTGCGACGACCTGTAATCATTACGCATTTCAGCACTTTTCAGCTTTCTTCATCTTTTTCCTCCATTTTCCTTTCAGGGCTTTCTTTCACTTTCAACGCTTTTTCAAGGGCACGCTTTTTCAAGGGTTCATCTGCAAAATGGGAACGGAACTTTCACCCGACATGCACTTGTCTCTCCAGCTCTCCACACTTCTAACTATTCACAGTACTGACACTCTTTCGCCGAATAGGATTCAACAGAAGGAAGCCTTTTCGAATGCAAAAACTACTCTCTGTTCTAGAACAGAGTCTTGCGTTCTCTCCTAATCATCGCAAAGTGTGGCCTAGGATACCGATTCGGCTCAAGTAAGCCATGAGTGAAGTAGAGTTACCTACAGAGGGAGAATTAGCGTGGAAAGAGTTCTTCCTGGAGAGAACAGAAAATGAGCTCGCTGGTCCCTAAAAGGAGAGTCGGTCCTAGACTTAGAGATACTAAATGTTAAGACTGTACGAAAATCTGCTAAGATTACTTGCATCAATCTCTGCATATTCAAGATTCGAGAGTCTATTCCTAACTCCCGAGCTTCCTTTGTTTCCCCAGCTTCAATAGCCTGCACAAGCATCTCACAAAAGACAGTTGGATCAAATAGTGGTGAGTTTGAATGAGTGTTTGAGTAGCGAGAGTTCTCGGACATCATTCTGGTACTAGATGATGAGCTTGCACTAGTGCTAGAGTTCATGTTTGAGTTAGTGCTTGGACTGTTAAGAAACTGTTCTCTGAGCACTAATGGAATCTGCATGTCGCACTGTCGAAGAGCTGCATCAATCAAGTCAAGAAACTCCCCTTGTGGGTTGCGGCACCCTGCCAGATAATCATGTTGAACGTCTGCACGCTGGCGCGCATACTCGGTAGCTGCTACTATACTACTGTCCCTAGTGGCGTCAGCAACGATCGCCTGACTCGGCCTCTCGATGGAGATGCAACTCGAAGAGGCCGCTTTTATGGAACTGCTAGGGTTTTGGGGCTTTTGCGGCTCCATCTTTCTTGATGGAGAAGAGAAAGAGTTTTCATCTTTCGGTGTCAGGTGTACGTCCGCTAGTGAGGTAGAACCCTGTTTTTCTACATGTGAGACATTAGGACCAGCTGTATTTGTATGTGTAGATATTCTTCCCTCTGCACCGAAATCCGGCTTCGGCGCATCAGCGTCTTTCTCCCTATTAGAAGAGATTCGTCCCGGGGTCCGAGACTGGTGTTGCTTTGCTGGTGAAAATCGTCCTAGCTCGTCAGATTCACGACGCGCTCGCTTCCGTAAATTGAAGCAAGGCCAGGAAGTCTTATTGTCTAACTGCTTCTCCAACTGCTCCTCTTTCGTAGGCTGTGCTGTGTGCTGTGCAGACGCGTTCTGGTTTTCCGTTAAAGAAAAACCAGCTGGAGGCGCTAGCGGTAACACTGCAGTCGCATCTGGCTGATCCTCCTGTGAGATTCTCCCTCCGAGGACAGTAGGGCCTTCGAGTCCGTCTTGTCGTTGCCCCAATACAAGAACTCCTTGATTATTCAGTAGACTGTCTTCCTCGTTCACTGTCTCGTTAACTTCTGCGTTCTGCACTTCTGCGCCTACCCTTCCTGCGTCCTCCTCCTCTCCTGCGTTTCCCGTCTCTTCCATCGACAACGCCGACGCCATAACCCTCTCCTTTGCCGCTTGCAAAGCGCGACGTCCAAGATCCACTACTAAGGTGGTCCCCGCTGTCTGCAGAACAGGCTCCACGACTGAGCCGAAAAACGCCGCCGCCGCAGTGCCCGTAGCTGTGCTAGTAGCTGTTGCACCTGCTGTGGCTGTCGCTGCGCCTGCTGTGGCTGTCGCTGCGCCCCCTGCCGCAGTTGCTGCGCCTCCAGCAACAGCACTACCACCAGCGACACCGACAGCGACGGCCGCGGATCCCAAGAGTGCTAGCCTTAGAAGCCTCCCAGGCTGAGTCTGTACAGAAAAAGCGCGTTCTGTACGAAAATCGCATTTGCTCCGTTCCGTTCCCAGCTTGCACCAAGCCGCGAGCAATTCACAGTTCCGCAATAGCAGGTCATATTGGATTTGTGGACGTTGCTGTTTGTAATAGACCACCCGTCTACTATTACAAATAGACCACCCGTCTACTCCAGGAGTATGATCTTCATCACCATTATCGGCTACTCCTTCACCAAGTAGACTAGGACTTGTGGTATCCTCTACCAACTCCACTAAAGACAGGGCACGAAGGATTGTTGCGAAAAGTGGCTCCTCTTGTTCGCAGAACGCAACACCAGCACGCTTTAGGGTCGCTTCGGCACGAGAAACGCCGTATTTGACGCGATGCACGTACGCCGATTCGCTCAGGAACTCCTTCAAAGTCGAAACAATAATACGGCGTGGATATATGTGCCCACTGAAATGCACGACGAGCGTGGTGGTCTTGTCGTATATTAGAATTGACATACAAGAGTAATTCCCCACTGAATCCATGCCACGTTCTGGAACTAGAACAGATGTCATTCTGCAGGAGTTGACTATGCAAATCCACACATGTAAAAGTTACCTTCGTATACAAAATACTGAAACTTCTGGTTGTAAAGTAGTAGAAACGGTTCTCCATAAGGTGCCAGAGGAATCGACAGGACCGCGCACGACCACCCCATGATGGGAGTAGGTGCCAGCGAGACGGTACGTATAGATATGATCACCTGCCCGTAGGTCGCCCTCTGTGACGACGTGAGAAACGAGGCGCAGAGCCTCTGGACTCAACTGCACAGCCTCCCGCAGCAAAGTTGTGCCAGCCTCACGCGCAAGAGTAGCAGCTACGGCGTGCATTTTTTCAAAAAAGGAACTTATTTCGTATACTCATCAAGCAAAGAAGCTTAGCGGGTAGGTAAACAAAGACCGATTGAATTTCAATATATTTGCTGAAGGAAAAATCAACTACCATGACAATATGGAGAACATGCAAGCAAGGCAACGGAGAACACTCCACCACTACCGCTGCGTACGGCCACAATTCATTAAAAGTTGTTGTATCCTCAAGCAGCATTTAGAGTTACCGCGTGTAGTGACATTCTTTTATCAATTGAATTAATTGTGACAAATTGTCATTCTATGCCGTTCGAAGTCGTTTGTAGCGGTCCTTGTCCCGTCCGTAGTCCTTCAAAAACGACTACTGGGACTCACATCTTGTGATTTTCCCACACAGACAACAAGACTCCGTGTAGGAAATCTCTCTGAGAGTAGTGATGAAGAGGCTGCATTTCTTCATGTGCACCGTCCTTCATACGAACAACTTATGTGCTCATCAATGCTCCTAGTCTACTTACCAACGACAGATCCCGTTTTTATATCTTCCAATGGGACAGAACATAACATAGATTCAGAGGTATCTCATCATAGTACAAACTTACTTCGATTAATTGGTCTAGCATCATCCAGACAAATAAAAATACCATACTCATTATGACAACGATCAATCGCTTAATCAATCGGGGTTGATTCCTCTTTAGGTTACTATGGTCTTGGACTACTGATATGGAAATATTTACTATTTGGAAGTCATCATTGGTGAAAAGTGTGTGGTAGCAATCATGTAGTTCTTGTAAAAAATGTTTTCACCCCTAAAGAAAGATGCAATTTTGAGTGCCTCATTATTTTCATGAATCAATCAGGAACCAACAGTCGCAAACCATAAGATGAAAAAATGTATGAACATGAACTTACTGAACCAACTACGCCACTAGGAAGAAATACAAAGAATGACAAGTACAGAGATACAGCAGAAATAGAAGATACTTCTAACCACAGCAGGTTAACTACAAAGATCAAAGGTGATAAACTACAAAGAACTCAGGAACAGACTTTTTATCAATACTGGGTCTGCTTCTATGTTTATGAAAGAATAGTTGTATGAGGATATCAATTATACTGGGTCTGTCATCTGATACATGTCTATAATATGATGTTGATCATTTTCATCAAGCAGTTGATGCTTGCTTAGTACCATCGAAGGGGCAGCAGCAAGATCTTTTCCGCAAACAGTTTCTGCGAGACGTGGACTTCTCGTGACAAGATATTTTCCCTTTAAAGATGAGGGCCTTGTCTTTGCTGGTATTCATGATATGCTTCCTCGAGAGGGCTCTGCGGATGTAAGTCCTTGCAGCAGCGTGAAATGAGTGCGGCGCTTCGGGCGGTGAAAAATTCTTCTCTCATCTGCAACTGCTAAAGTAAGATCTAAGACTCGCCACGTAGTCCTCTCCTTCCTTCACAGCTGTCGTCTTCTAACTCGCCAGATCATCGGTCTAGACGTACTATAGTCCGCAGACAGCAGTAGAAGTAGTTATTTTAGATCGAAGTAGTAAGCCCTTGCTGTAAATGATCCAGTAATCTCCTTGTTGATCACCCATCACACCAATGCCTACGCACCGCGCTGCACTAGCAGGCAGTTCCCGGTTGCGCAGTAGATCTGGAACAGGTTGGTCGTGGTCAGAGGTTTGCCCTGTAGTTCTAGGAGAAGGTCGCCGCTGAAAATCTTCCCCTTCATCGGAGAATCTCGGTCGACTGCCTTTACTATAAGCCCTATCTGCCCACTCTGCTCAAGCTGAAGTCCACAGTGAGCCCGTTTCTCACCAGTTGATGGGTCCTGCAGTGGAGAGAAGGAGGAACGGTTGGCAATTATTTCATCTGAATAAAAGAGCTGCCCACATCAAATGCAACATAATCTTAATCACAAGTAATCCTAATCTCTAGTATCTCATTCAACAAATACTAAATTCAACAAAACATGATAATCTCTATCTCATTCAACAAATACTAAATTCACAACAAATACTAAAGATTGTCCTTCAACATCATGAAATTATAATTTACCACAACTTCCGTGACCCGCAACGTGACAAGTTCCAGAATCTTCGTTGGAAAGCAGGTCCTCACCACATTGTACAGTATCTCGTGCGCGATCGGGTCTTCTCCCCTCTCGTATTCTTCTCCCGCAGACCGCACCATTACCTGCTCTTCAGAAGTGCTCCCTTGGTCTGGCAAGTACTTGAAGTTGAAGTAGAAGTAGCGGTCTCCGTAGGAGTCGATTTCGTAGTCTAGGGAATCCTCCAGGAAGTTGTCATTGACAAACCGAATCAAGGCATTCTTGAATTTGTCCAGGGAAGCGACGTTCTTCATGATCTGGTGTTCGGTCAGCCCTTCGGAGATTAGAAGCGGAGAGGGCTATCAGAGTGGGGAGTTTGCTGTTCAAACGACGGACCGCGACTACTAGGTGGGAAAAGTTATTTGCTGTTTTGCTCTAGAAGTATTAGTAATCTAGAAGTATTAGTAAAGGCCTGATTGAATTTCTTCAACAACTTCTAGCAACTAATATACGTCGACAGACTACACTTACTTGATCCTCGTGATGATGAACCTCTTCTGTCGATTTCAATTTCTCTTTAAAACCTCTTGTACATCGTAGAAGTCGATCCCTTTTATCTATTCTTCCTTTGAAACCTTATAGTAAGAGCAAAAGTTACAGGATATGAATATCTTCCATAACTTTTCGACTGCTGGTGGACTTGGGAAAGCATCGCTTCTCAGGAAAACGACATTCGGATCCATCCCTATGGGAAAAGAGCGGAAGACTGCGGACATTATGTACGCCGTTGTGCGATCGAAAGCCAAAGGCAGCAAAATATTTCGGCTCTTCCACTGTGACATGGGTACCTCATTATAGTTGTTGTGAGCAAGGCGTAAACAGTTGTGTGGGAATGAGAAACGATGAAGTGACATGTGTGAATGAAGTGACATATTTATGTAAGACAAAGTCCGAAAATTAATGATCATGTCAACAATCAAAAAAATATGGTGAATACTTTTGGTCGATAGAAGCTGCATTTCATGTGCAGGATGGACTTCGTGGCCCACTTACATCGGAGACAATTGAGCAACGATATCCTCGCGTTGGGTGCACGACGAACTAAGCCCGTGATGAGGTAGGTATTAGACGAGGTAGTTTTTCTTCATCATATTGAAGGCTGAGGTTAGGTTAGTTTGTGAGGCTGTGAATCCTGCTCCTGCACACCGTATCTTTCTTCTTTTCATTTCCCCATAATGATCATCCTTTCATCTCAATTTATTTCGTGCAACAAATTGCAGTCCTGCCTGACCTTATTCAATGTGACCCGTTGTAGGATTCTCCAATCCACAGCGGAAGATAGAAATATCCCACAATGCCCACTTACCTAGAAACCTTTCTTCGAATAACAATGATGTACGAGAAGTGGTGGACGAGTCTTAAATTTCGCTTCATTCGAGATACTGCATTTCTTCGGAAATTCGAAATATCCTCGTATCTGATTATTTTCCATCTGCCTTGAATCCCCGGTAAAGGGATACCTACCGCACAACAGCACGTATAAAACCACACCCAGAGACCAAAGATCTGCGGAAAAGCCGTAGCCCTGTAGAAGTTGGGAATGAACCGAATCAACGACAGATGTTGCGTGTTCAAATGGGCCAATATCTCTTAAAAGATGTTGATGTAGACTGAGGCAGTGACCATCAACAAAGATCGACAAAATAAAAGGCGCAGAATAAGACTCAGTCATCTCCTGCACCGTCACCCGCGAACAATGTAAAAAAGAGAAAGAAGTCGAAGCAAGCGGCCGAACGCCTGTCCTCGCCGACCCATAGCACTAGGCAGAGGATGGAAACTACGAAGACAAAAAATGGGGAACAGAAGGCGAAGCGGCCGCTTTGTATGTCCGTCGCCGAAGACAACAAAGGCGGACTGCTGCCCAATGTGTCAAGCGCTCTGCCTCTGCTTGCTCTTTTGCATCTAGGCAGCCGACAAGCAGCCGGCAGGCGAGTGACCGCACCACGATAGCCCCGCCCTCGCTATCGTCTCCGGCTTTCGCTGGGCTTCCAGGGTGATGTTCGACATTTTGAGAGACCGCCCGACCTATTTTTATCGGCTTGCCTGTGCTGTGACAAGGCGCGGCCCGGCGCAGTGCATTCGAGTGATTTGGTGCCGAGCGGTCGCCCCTATCGCTGGCAGCTTGGAAGGCCGCCAGCTACCGGCCAAGGTAAACGCTGCGACCTTAGGCGCCCGGGAAAGGCGGCGCCGCTCGCTTCTCCGTCTATATTGAGCGCGCATTTCTCCCGCGGTTGAATACTAACAAAAAAAGCCTCTAGTTTGTGCTGGTGCATAATCTTAGACTTTAGTTTCTACCTGCACCGGCACGCCTTCTCCGCCACTCGCTCGGTGTGCTCCTAAACTGGTTGCCACTTCTGGTGCCCAATACTGCGGAGTGCCTGTTCTCGTTGTTGCGATGGAATACCCATCTGCCACCAGTTTCGCCAATCCAAAATCGCTGAGTTTTATCTCGTAGGCCATCATCCTTCCTGTCGCTGCGTGATCGCACTCAACCATGTTCCATCTAGCATCTCCTGACAACTCCGACGGCTTAATCAGCGGATATCGACGATACTGGAAGAAGGTGAGTGGGTTTGCTTTCAAATATAAAACACTTTTGCATTCCTCTACAAGGAGTAGTACAAGCACTGTTCTAAAAAGTCTATGTATAAGTCAATCCGCACAATCGCACAAGATCCTATCCAAGTCAAGTACCACAAGAATATTTTCTGGCTTCAGGTCGCGGTGTACGATTTGTTTCATGTGCACGTATTTGAGCCCTGCTGAGATCTGGACAAAGACGTAGCGTGCCTCGGGTTCCGAGAACCGCGCTACGTAGGGGTCATTGTCGTGATCCAGGATGCGGTCGAACAATTCGCCATGCTGGACAATCTCCATCACTAGATATAGATTATCCCTTTGTTCAATCACGTCTACCAGACTCGTGATGTACTTATTCCGCAACGTGGACAATATCTGAGCTTCCCTCTGCAACTTGGAATACTCCCTGGAAAAGCCTGCGTGATTCAGCTTCAGTCGTGGGGATTAGAGGGGAAGTGACGTGATTGAGGGGCTGTGTACTTAGAACTGTGTAGTACCTAGGGTCTCTCTCAATTTCTCTTGAGTCAGGTCTTGGTCTTGCATACTTTTGATGATGTTGATGCTGGTGACCAGAATATTATTTGCTCTATACTATAGAAAAACGATAACTACACATGATAACTTCACTTCATTATTCTTGTAAATGATGCTCTGATACAACTGATCTTCTTCATTATCCTTTTCCAAACTTCTTCATAATTCAAAGAGATCACTTTTGCTGCGAAGTTATCCTCTGGCTTACTCCGACGGTAGCAGCGATACACCGTTGCCATAGCCCCTGCTCCGAGCTCCTCACACTGCACATACGGATCCCGAGCATCGCCAAAACATACACGATTTCCCTCATTTTGTGGCGTGATGGTCCGCTGTACGAAAATCTGATTCAGCACTGGCGGTCCGTTGGCATTGGAGGCGGAACTTCCACCCTGTTGCTGTTGAGGACTGACTGCGGAACCAGGTGGATTCGTGTTGTTCCCACTCGATCCTGCTTGTGGGGCGGAGGTATTAGAGATTTGGAGAAGAAGTACTGGTCCAGTACTGAGAAGCGCCTTCTTCTTCTGTTGAGAGAACAACAACAAAAAAGCACCTCTTTCAACACATACGATGAAACCATGTTGTGATAGACCACCAGTGCGATGTAATACTAACAAGCAGAATCTCACAAGATGTAATATCGAACCTTTCAACGACAACGACAACATCAGTTTCTCTCTATTATTCACAAGCCTTAAAATTTGGATTGCTATCACTAACACCATTCACACCTCCGGCATTGCCGCCTCCCCCAGCCGGGTTGTGGTTCACAGCTGCACCTCCAGTGTTATTCGCTGGACTAGTAGGCGATGAACTAGGTTGATTCCCCGCTCCTCCAGGAGGCGGCACTACTTGTGGCGGCCCCTGTCCAGGAGGTAACTGCATTACTACTTGTCTATCTGTTGCGTCTGTCATGGCCACACTAGACGAAGACGCCGAACTCTGTGGCGTTCGCGTTCCCTGATCAAACGTAGACCCGGTCAGTTGCATCGGCTGCGCGCCTCCTTGTTGTCTACGGCTTAGCCATTCTGCAATGCGCTTTTTCTCTAGACTCTTCATATTAAGAGCAGCGCAAAACTCTGCGCTCTCCTCGAATATTTCCTCATGACAAGCGGCGCCCATTTCACGACACCAGTTTTGTGCTGGTCGCAAATAGTGCTCCAACCGTAGTTCACGGAGCCATTGCTCTAAGCCTGGTTATCATTATTACTTGTATCAAAATTATATGTATTGTTCTTGTTGTGATCATGTCTACCACAAACAGCTACTTACGATCATATCTACCATATTAAACATGACTGAAAAAAAGGTTTCTACCTTCAACTGCTACTGGTTGAACGCTAGATGTTCGGCTATGGTCTGGCGTCCCACCTGTTGGCGCTGCATTCGCTTGCATTGGGTCGTATCTCAAAAATGCTGCGTGTCCGATGGCACCTGTAGTTACTGATTGTGTGAAGAAGAACGTCTCTGACAGCACCTCTCTGACAGCAATTTTTTCGTAAAGAAGGTTAGGTTAGGTGGGGGCCCGCCAGGAAAACTAGCAAGCTTCATTGGCTACTGAAGAATAAATCATGATCTTCTTCAACTTGAATATAAAAAGCACTAAACGAACCTGATCCAAGTATGATGTCTGTATGCAAATACATCTTTCCCTAACAATGCCGCTTTCATCCACACCGGACTCCTCTATGAATGGACCCACTATGTCCTCGAATTCGTCCAGAGAGGAGTCCAATGTGATGCACGATCTAAAGAAGTCGATCGTCGCATCATCCACGTGAAGGTGAATCACGCCTAAGGCGTGCCGCAGCCTCTTTCCGAGAGCATCCGACATGTTGCTTGCTGCTCAGGTAGTGGCGAGAGCTTCGCACTAGGAGGGTTTTCGTTCAGTAAGGTGCTCAGGTAGTGACGAGAGCTTCGCACTAGGAGGGTTTTCGTTCTTCAAAAGCACTAAAGATGTCGTTGTGAGCTCGTCGTCTTGTCGTAAAAGGTACTAGAGACTGAAGATCATGCCGTGCTTACAAAAAGGTTTTCCAGGTCGCGCTAACATCGGATGAGGCCTCAAGAGAAAAAAAAGGGAAGCTCGTCCAGGGGCTGGAAGGATATCGTTGTTGTTGTTGTTGCTGTTGTTGTTGTACGAGGGCTAGAGCTGTTCTGATCATCTAGTGAAGTCGTCTAATATCTGGAAAATGAATACCAAAGGAGCGAAAGGACTTCTATAGGGATGAAAAATTCGATTTTTCATCTACAATAGAAAACTACGAAGAAGTAGTCACTCATTTGCTGTTCTGCTCACATGAAAAGACTGTTGTTCCATAACGTGAACTAAGTAGTCGTCTAGTAGTCTACTAGAAGAGTACCTCTTTTTTCAAACAACATGCACTAGTAACCACAGCCCACGTATACTGTGTAGTTACTTATTACGGTAACACATACAAATTAATGCAACATAACTATATTAAGATCTATGAGGAGTATGGTCTTCATCTAGTTTTTCGTGTCCCAGACCGGAGCAGGAGTCAGCACTAGCAGGTTGGGCATGATGTTGTGAAGACCAATGAACCATGTCCCACGTTGTGGCAAGCGCTGTGGCACGACTGTGCCGGAGCAACATCAACACTTTAGGACTGACAAAGCAGCATCCACGACCTAAAAAAACAATGAGCCTCCATCATGTTGTCTTATTGTAGAGCATCTACTTTTTTTTCTGAAAAGAAATAAAACATCTACCATGGCATGTCGCAGCGTAAAAAGTGAAGAGAGCTTGCTTCAAAAATAATGTCGCTACGTCGTTGTATTTTGACAGGGATAAAATTTCTCATCATGGACGGACCTGACGACAACCTAGACAACAGGCAAGAATATATTTAGGCTCTTTATGACAAAAAAAATCCACACTAGTGTACCACGCAGTATAATATTCCGCTGAAAATATTCATGACATTAAAATGTCACAGATACAAGCTGCCAGACATCAACAAGCAACTGAGTGAATGAATGGAACTACTGATTGAATGATCGTACGTATCTATAAGGCGGTTAGGTTAGGTTAGGTTATGGCACAGAAGATTAGTAATATGTGTGCTTATAGATATGGATAACTACGCATCTATAGCACTTATATCAAATAGACAAGCGGCTAAACAGCCGAGTCTGTCCCGAGCCAAGCCCTCTTAAGTACTCGGGACTGTAAATGCTAAGAAGTACAGTAGTACTATGGTGCGTCTGCTGAGCCCTTTGAGGAAAGAGCCCAGTGCCTGGTAATTGTAGTCGAGGGAAAGAGGGTAGAAAACATTGTTTGATGCTTTCTCCACTAGTTGTTTCACAATCTTTGAACAATGATAGTCCTCATCTACTACATCCTCAAGGTTCAATTCCGCCTTCCAGCTTCGTTTATGCATCCTCGATTGGGATTCTTTCACCATTTACATTCTTGATGATTGACATTCATGTCGAGTTTGAGATCGGAGCTGGAAGAAGAGAAAACATTGAATTTGCGTACTTACAGATTTTCGCATCTTAGATTCATCCAGAGGATTTGGCTCAGCTGCAGATTCTGGATGTTGCATTTACATTTTGACAATACGAGCAATGCAAAAAAAGATTCAGACGTAAAACAGGATTGTCCTGTTGCAGCACTATCCCATTCTTTATATGAAGAGTTGAATGCGGGATCCATAAAAATCACAGAAAGTGTTGTCTTCTTTTCACTGCTGAAAACTTCCTTCTGAACGAACACAGTGAATGCACTGTCAGTTGTAGTAGCCTAATTGCTCACACGGTCTTTGTATTAGGCGCGCTGCGGTGAAGAGAGTCGTTTCATAAACACTCCGCATAGGACTACCTTCGTAGACCTTACTAGAAAGGGGATTGCGAAGTTCTTCAAAAGGGGGTGTAGAGGGAGAGAGTCGCTCATGTGTGAGTGGGGTGCGCGCTGCGTTAAATGTCCCATCTCCATGTGCTGAGGCGGTTACAAGCGCAGTGGTTTGGACATGATGTGCTGAGGCGGTTACAGGCGCAGTGGTTTGATTCCAAGTTCAGCTCTACGCTGGTTCTCCAAGGCGATCTCTTCAAGTTGTTCTTTCGTATACTCTTTGCCACGGTTCGCCTTTTCTTGCTCCGCCTCCTTCTCAGCTCGCTCTGCAGCACGTTGTTTCTTCCGCTCCTTCTTCTCTACTCTCGCTTTCGCACCGAAGAGTGCGGTCTTGTTCGGATCACGCTTACTGCCGGCACCTGCGCACGCGTTGTTGGAGAAGTAACGGTGCTCGTCGTCGCTTCGGTCGTCTTCAGAGGGTAGATCTGGATTCCGAGCGCGTTTTGGAGGCGCTTGGACTTCTTCCTCTACAGGTTCTAGTGCTTGTGCTCTTAAGACAGAAGGAGGCTGCACAAAGTTTATAAAGGGGCCTTTAGGCTTCTTACTCTTAGTAGAGGTAGCGGTGCTATCATCCTTTCGATTTTGTTGTTGAGCAGTACTACTAGAAGCAGAAGCAGACTTGTTGTTAACAGCAGCTTCATCCCTACTTGTAGCTTTCTTGCTGTCGCGATCATCATTTTTGCTGCTTCGATGATCCCTTCTTTTGTTGTCACGACGGGGTTTCTCTTCCGAACTAGACTCCGAAGATGACGACCTCCTTCTCGCACGTTTTCTGTCCTTTCGGTCGTCGTTTCGATGACTTCTTCTTTTTCTATCACCGTCAGAGGAACTTCCATCAGAGGCACTGCTAGCATCCCTTTTCCTTTGTTCCTCCCGTTCTTTCTTCTCTTGTTCCTTCTTCTTTTTACTATTGACAAGAACCACTTCTTCGTCGCTTTCTTTCTTGTCCTCTTTCCGATCGTCTTCTTTCTTGCTAGGATCCCGTTTTCGATCGCGACTGTCATCACGCCGTCTTCTTCTCCGAGAGTCGTCGCGCCGTCTCCTTCTCCTACTATCCATACTCCTGCCACCACGCCGTCTCCTTCTCCTAGAGTCATCCCTGTGACGACGCCGTCTCGAGTCTCCTCTCCTACTAGTGGTGCGTCTATCTCTATCTTTGTCCTTATCGACATCTTTATCCTTATCTTCTTCTTCCTGTGGCCCACTGTCCTTGCCACTCTTGTTTCTGCGTTTTTTACCCCCATCCTCATCGTCGCTGCTATCACTACTAGAAGAGCTACCGCTTTCCTCACTACCTCCTTCTTTACCATCTTTTTCTTTACCATCGCCGTCTTTATTGTCTTCCTTCTTAGCTCCGGAAGAGGCGTCCTCAGGTTGCGCAGGGACACCATCCTCAGGCCGTCCGTTTGTCTCAGTGACATCAACAGCGCCTTCCGGTTTTGGCGGCGGCGGAAGCTCGGGTCCGTGGGCAATGGCCAGTCGTCGTAGACGCGCTTCCCGTCGCCTGAAGGAAATTTGGAAAAGAAAATTTGAAAAAAAAAATGAAATTGCTTATACAAGAACTTCATTACTTTCTTCAATCCTCAAGAACATACGAATAATGCTTCAAACATCAATAGAGTACGCTTTCCTCGCCGCTTCGTCTGCCTCTCGCTTTCTCTGTCTTTCGGCTCTGTCGGCTTCTCTTCTCCTTTGTCTGGCTTCCTCGTCTTCTTTGATGTTTTTCTCCAGCTCTAATTGCTCCAATTCGTCCGCCAGAGGACTTTCATATGGTTCCAACCTATCCAACTCCTCCATTTTTACTCTCGTTGGCAACTCGTAAAAAGCCACATCGTCTATCAGCTGGCGTTCCCAGAGAAGCTCGTGAGGGCTTAGACCAGGAGGCAAGTACTCGTTTCACTAGAAAGATACTTGGATAGTATTATGCTTGAGCAGAAAACATCCAGAAACGGTTGTACCCTTTCGATTCATCTTCAAACAAACTATCAACGATTAGAATAAAAATATGGGTGGAGCCAATCTAACTAGGAAAAAGAAAGACCAGAGGAAGATAGAAATAATAAAGTTAGCATGTGTATGATCTAATCTTTGAATTCCTCTTCAATCTGCTCATAACAAAAACGCGTCCATGTGTGTGATCGTGATGCTCCCGTCAATATTGCGCTTGCACACCCTCCTTGCGTCTGAAAACCAGGGTTCTAGTGTCGTATAAATTGTCTCAGGATCTCCAACCATGCGCAAATAGGTGGCCCCTAAACACCTCAAATATCGAAACTCCTTTTGTGCTACATAAGCCTTTATTATCTCCAAGTCAGGCTGCAACTGAAGCAATTTGAGCAACAGGCAAAGAAATTTACCTGTTGAGAAGTGGAAGTTTTAGGTCGGGCTTGAGAAATTTGAGTATTTATAGTACGTATTCTAATTTCCTCTCGATAGGAGTTTAGAATTACGTTTTTAGTCCAACTCGTTGCATCGATCTATGAGGGTGTGATCCAATACAACTACAAAAAACAACGAAAGCAAACAAACACAAAGTATTAAGTACTGGGTCTTCGTCTTCCGCCATAAGTCGCACCAACGCATCGAACGTGATCGATACAAACGTCTACTACGTCTGCGGCATTCAGTGCGAAACAAAACTCTTTCCAGAAAGTGTCCTCTAAAATCTTAGGTCGGACGATGTTCGACAGCAAGAGCATAGGGTTCTGCACGCTGTGCACAGATTTCGCATCCTTATTAGCACGGTTCGCCATTGTTTTTGATCTTTGGAGGTACAGGCAATAGAAGACTCAAAACAGACGATCAGAGATGACGAATGGCGTCTCCACCATCAACAAAGTCAATTACAGCGAAAAAATTCTCCAAAATATCTAAAGCGGGAAACACTGGGATCAACGACTACTTGCCAACAGTCATAGCCTAAAATTTTCTAGCTAGTGGGATAGCATTGTACAACTTCAAAAAGTAGTGGGGGGCCTGGAAAAGACAGGATTGCCTTGACTTTTTACTAAAAACAAAGAATTACAACAATCTTCCATTGAATGAATTCAAAGGCCTACGCTGAATCAAAACCAATCAAAGTATTGTCGCAGTTGTTGCCGTTGAGATGCCTCTGAATTTGAAAGATTTCCCAGAAATATCGAAGAGCAACTTTGAGAGTGAATGGCGCGATATGGATCGTCAAGGGCGAACAGGATCCAGGACAATAGCTCGTATAATCATCACCAGGATCCGATAGAATGCAACAGCACAGGACACCAATTTCCATTCCGCCTCCAACAACAACAGAACATTTTGTCTTTGTACCGAAAGAACTGAAGTGAGAAGAACATCTTCTATTTGTTCAGAAGATTAGAATTCATTGCAGCTTGGCGCCAAATTTGGTGAGGCCAGAAAAAGGTTTCATTCAGAAGATTCTTCGGCTTTTACATCTTGTTCAAATGTCTCAAGTTCTGTTACCAAGAGGTGGCGCCTCTTGGAGGTCGTGGGAAGGCATTTTCACAGCTCTAGTTCATCGTAAAACGGCGTGCATTTTTGATAATCATTTTTCGTCAGCTCACTTCTGCATAATGTTGCTGGTTCTGGACTGGCCTACCTTGTTGACTCAGTGGCTGCATCGCTGGTGCACCGCTTGGTTGTCCAGTCGCAACTGGTGTCATGCCAGCGTTGTAAAGAAGATTAGAGTATGGAAATACTTGTCACACCTGCAACTCTTAAAAAGATTTTGAAGTCTGTAAGGTTACTACAGTTACAAAATTTCTCGGGTTCTTGTTCGAATGTCTGACTTACTCAAAAAGGAATGAGAACTCGTACTACGTACTTTCTCATTGTGTTGAACCTAGTAGTAGTAGTGGTGTACCCAATCGTGGGGTATGTGAGGTATTTTAATTATGTTTATTTCTGGAAACGGAGATGAACAGCTCTTCACCTTAACTGCAGGCAACCTTCCCATATCGGCACCCACTGGTTGTCCGACTGTCATCATTCCTCCGTTGGCTTGAAATCGCCCATTAGCATTAGTAGGAGCCATGCCCATCATCTGTCCATTATTCGGGTACATCTGCGGAATGTGACCGCCAGGAACCGCGGCCACAACTACCGGTCCATTTCCTGTGTCCTGCACGTAGACGACGCGTGGAGGCCTATGAGTGGGTGATAAGGAACTGATAGAAAAGGTTAAGGGTTGCGCACATCGAATTAATGGGGTTCAGATGCTCGCGCGAGGCCTATAATTCATCATGTAACTAATGGGCAAGTGGAAAAAACAATTTAGTGGAAAAATGTTTTTAATTGGTACTCTCCAGGTCTATGAGCGAAGGGGCCGTCACCGCCGACCGGTCCTGCAGATATTAGACCATCAACATCTTTGGCACAAGAATCACTACTTACGGGTCTCGTAGAGTTTTCTAACATTTAGAAAATTCCAATTCTCTTCTCTTCTGACTGTAATAAACTGAATCTGAAGTACAGCCTTAAAATGATCATCGTCGGCGAGTCGTCCTCCTCTCGCCATCCGTACTTCATGAAGAGGCATATCACCAGTATGACTTGAATAAAGCAAGTCAACGTCATCAAGAAGCCAAGCCAGTATATGAGTACGCTCCCTACGATTCTGCCCATCAGAGAGAGCAGTATACCTAAGCAGAGGCCAGTGTTGGCATAGTAGAGCTGCTTCCTTGCGGGAGGACCGCAGTCTAACAGCATGACGTTGAACACCATCTTCGTCGAATTCGGATGGAGGCCTTACTGCTGCTCGGGAAGAGGAAGTAGACGGGCTATTTCTTTATCAGAGTTTGGCCCTCCAGCGCACAGGCTCAGCTTGAAAATGCTGCACAAGCTAATTCTAGGCCAAAATTCGGTGCGCAATATTCGCTCTCACAAGTAGTGGCATCATGCACTCGTCGGAGTCGTACTGGCCCACGAAATCATTCGTAAAAAGACTTACATTACAGGCTCGTTTGTGTGCACGGAAATCGAGAATTCCGCGTTGAGACAAGGTGCTCTGAACCGATATCCTAATGGCCCACTGCACGACTCCACTTTGTAGTAGATTTGAATATCAGCATAACAACTTTCTCGCCAGTCAAGCGCGGCCATAGATGCGTGCGACAACTGGCTGAGCGGTCGTGAACAGCAGTCGCGGTTAAGAAATCAATTGGATACGACCATATTCTTAAAGAGTGTATTGTTCCATTTGATTCATTGATTGTGAATATTTTGATGATCACAAAAAAAGTGGACAAAAATTAGGAACAATAGAGATATGCGTTAGTTTGTTGCCAGCTTGATGTTTATCCGAGAACAGTTTTTTTGCGAGAGAGTTCTTACTAGTAGTAGTAGTAGTAGTAGTAGTAGTGTACCCAATCGCGGGGCATAGCTCAATTACTCATGAATATGCTGTTTCAGTACCAGTAGCAGTACAGAAAGGGTAAACCAAAAGAACAATGGGGTAGGCGTGGGGGCATCAGCTTCAGCATTGACCTTAAATAATACAGATCTCTGGGTACTATGAGTGTTTGGACCATGCGTTCTCTCATTCGCCGGGATTCAAAATCGCTAAATTCGCAGTGGTAGCCCTCCACTCCTCGCTCAAGGAATAAAGTTTAAGTTAGTCTAAATTGTAGTACTCTCAGCTCGTACAAAGCGAACACGTCGCACAATAGGAGCAAGCTGCCGTTACGAGACGGTCGGATCCAACCTCACGCACATGAAGCGGGCGTTTCTAAATATTCACATCTCGTTGTAAACAATCAGTTGGTGAATATGGGGTAAGCAGGTTCTCATTCTCGGGAATAGAGGACCTAAAAATAGAATTTATGACAATTCCACAAATTTTCGTAAAGAAGCCCTCAGTTCGGCTGCCACGTTGTGTTTTTCCAGAATGGCATCGCTGAAAGTGTAGTGATTCTTCTTTGATGTGGGCGCTAGGACTTCGTCCAACGAGTATCCTGCCGCTTCTAAGAATAGTAGACACGCATACGTTCGGGCTTCCGATCGGGTGTCTAAATCCGAGAAGATATTTGAGAAGCTAGAAGACTGCGACCCAGCAGTGGACGTGAGGTTGAGGGTCGCTGCGAGTTGGTGAAGAAAGGACAAGACTCTGTTTTGTCTCGGGTGCACAAGCTGAGACCAGTCTTCTACGAGGGCGCGGCGTTCGACTCGTTCCCTCTCGTGATCTAGGACAGGCATTTGCTGATCTGTTCTTGTACTTGTTGATGTCTTTTTACAAGTTTTATCCTCCGCAGAAGGATCACTCTCCTTTGTTTCTGCATCATCTGCGTTTTCCTCACCCGGCCCACGCATGGCCATTCGAATTTCCTGCTGCCTCTCCCAGACGCCGACAGCTGCGCCTCCAGCCGCGATGTCCTTCTGGGACCGCAAAATCATGCGCTTTGTTTCTTCTTGCGTCGATGCAAGTCCACCGGCGCGGACTTTTGCTGCCGCTGGTGGACTACTAGAAGACGAAGGCGTGGTCGTCGAAGAGGAGGGATCCTCTACTCCAGTTGTCGTCTTCATATCGACGTTAAAAGGTTCAGTGCCACCTCCTTCGACGTCCTCTCCCTGCTCTTCGACGTCTTCTACCTGCTCCAATGTTCTCGTATTCTTCCTCCGCTGTGCTTGCAATAGCGCAGTCGTTTCAGGTCCAATCCACCGATTCAAGAGACAGTGCAGTCGCATGGGAAAACTTAGGAGGTGAAACGGCTGCGAAGGGGGAGGTGGTAAGGAGGGTAGGCCAGAAGATAGAGATGTTGAAGTTCCATTTCCGTGTCCATCATCATCTTCCTCATCGCTGTTAGTGGCAAGCAGATCAAGGGCACTGATTCCACCCTCTCCGTCATCAGACTCCCCGTCACTAGAAGATGCGGCAGTTGTACTCACTTCCGGTGTTCGTCGAATCAATCCAGTGCGTGCGATAAAAGCCGCTGCCTCTGCTTTCGACGAACCCGACTGCCCGCACCCCAGCACAGTGCACGAGGTCACTTTGCAGTCTTCTGTTTCTTGGTCAATGCAACTCACGTAGTTCTTTGGCAGATTCGTATTCTCATCTGCAGCAGTTCTTGTCTGCTGCATTTCTTGTGCGAAAGAAAGAGACTTTCTTCTAGTGGTCTTCTGTTCAGCCGTGACATCTTCAATCAAGATCTTCTCTTCCCCATCGTCGTCGTCACTTTTCTCTTTCTCGCCCTCCTCCTCCTCGTCAATGATCGGCATACCGTGTTTTGCGTCTTCTCTGCGCGTCTGCTCTAGGAGACCCCCTTTGATAGTATTCAATTCCGGTGTTCCCGCTCCATTTTTAATTGCTGCACTGCTTTCTCCATCCAAATAAGCTCTCTCAACGACTTGGAGTCTCGCAAGATTGCTGGATACTGCCGCTTCAGGTAGATCGACGACTGGATGCGTCTGCATCTTTTGCTGGTGTCTGGTGGTTGTAATTGACCTAGTTACGTCCGTAGGCAACAATTTTTCAGGTGGACCAGAAGTTGTACAGCTATTTTCACTATCAACATTTGCTGCTTCTTCATTTCCACTAGAAGCCGAAGCCGGGAGACTCTGTAGTAAATCCACCGGACACAGGAGCTCACTTTCCCACCCTTGCTCCTGCCATGCTCCTAGACTCGTCATCGTGCCTCCTGTGGTCGATGATGCAGAGGGAGAAGATGGAGATGCTGACATCATCTCGTTTTTTGGCGAAGCAGAAGTTGTCGTTGTCGTCGTCGTCGAACTACTTAGTGTAGAGGGGGATGTTTGAACAGTCGATCGCTGTGGCGTAAAGGAAGCTGATGAAGACGATGAAACCTTCTCTTTTGACGCCTGTCGCTCTCGCTGGAGGCGATCTCTCCTGCAGTCTGCGGCGACCTTGTTTTTGACATCTTGCGAGACGTCAGCCGGGTTTTTGTCAACGCAACTCCACTCTGGTTCATCGGAGAGCTTCTGCTTGTACAAAAACACTTGACGCTGGCATTCCTGCGAACAGAACTTGCCAAGCTCGTCCAGTGAGAGTACTTCCTGCGTCCCTGCACTCCGCGCCTTGTTCTGGACCCAGTACTTCGCTGTTGCGCTAGTACCTCCACTGCTAGAACAAGTATACCCTCCTCTACCACCTCCAGCACCTCTGCAACCTCTACTTCGCCCCGCCGCCTGCTTGAATATCGTAGGTTTTGAACACCCTGGAAGACCGCAAATATCCAGCATAGAACGCTCCTCCACAATGCCGTCAATGTGCTCAGCTTTCAGGAACTTTCGGGCGAAGGAAAGCAAAGGTGCGGCGCTTTCCTCATCCTTGGCACCAGCTAATTTGAGTTGCAACTCGAAGATTTGCTTCTTCACCTCTCTAAGCTCGACTCCTCGAGCAACGGTGGAGGGAGAGTAAGAACCACTTTGTGGTGCCATTTTTACTCCTTTCATCTAAGATACTGGAAATTATTGTTCCAAATAAGAAGTAGAATACGTAAGTTCGCACACAAAAACAAGGAAAAAATGCTGCTTCAGAGCATCATGTCGCTTAATCTGAAGGTAATCGTAAATTTGAGCACATGCACTTTAATATTCGAGTCATTCGAGCACATCGTCCACTATTTTTACTTCTCTCCACTTTTGACTTGATTTTGGATTCAAGGAGCTTCTTCGATCCAGATTCGCCGGGCCTTTCTAGAACTTCTCACTTCGGCTTCGTATCCTAATTCTTTACTCTCAACCACACGGCTCCAAGAGACCTCCTCAAACATCAACTAAAAACGCCCAGTACGTCACTTGGACTTTCCTTCAGATTCGTTCTCGTCCGACCAGTTATAGTCCTAAATGCAAATCATTTTTGATCAATCAATACTATTTTGTTGATTCAATATTTGTTGACTCAATTCAGTTCAGTCAAAATCAAGAGTTCATTAGCATTCACAGTTTGCAAAGGGAGCAAGATCATCTGAAAAGATTCAAGGTGTCTGCAGATCTTCAAGATTTTGGTAAAAAAAAGGGGAAGAACTCAAAATGACTTTTATAAGGAAATAGGGACAGTAGAATGAAACACGCGCTGGATCGATGGATCGATCCGTCAATATTAGAGACAAAGATTATTTCGCAGACAAGAAATTTTTACAATAAAATAAAGATCATCTTCTTCGAGGTGACATCTTCTCGAAACTACACTACACGAGCTGAATAAAATGATAATCTTTATTAATCTTCATTTTTTACTGTACTATTGAAACTACCAACCTGTTAGGTTATATCAAGATTCACCTTCTTATATCACAAGCAACCAGCTGCAACCTCTGGTGTGTCTTGCTTCGTTCAACTCAACACCATAGTTTTAGATAAAACCTTACTCAAATAATAGAAGTTTCCAGTCGATCCTCACCATACCTTATTCATCTCATTCGAGATTTTTCTTTAGTGAAATAGATAAGGACTAACTTTGATCTTGTAATCATACGATCGAAAGAAGAGAAGTTCAAAGAAAAGCATTTGTTCGAGTTTGGATAAGTTGATTCAAAAAAAAAGCTCAGTATCAAGGGCAACGAGGCTTTGCTCGCCTACCTCCACGACCATATTCTAGTAATATCAGTTTAGTTCTTTTATTGAGACGTTCTTTTGATGAAAGATACCTTATAATTAACATAGTAGAGTCTCAAATAATCTCCTTTTTTGTTGTTGTTGAATACTAACAATAAATCTTTTTCTTGCGAATTCTTAGTTCCACTCTAGTATTACACTTCAATAGCAGTTTCCACAGTTCATCTTCTGAAGTCTAGTACATACAGATAATTTCGAAACTAGAGACTAGCGTGAAGTCAGATGCCAAATAATACTCCTGAATATACTATCTGTTTTCAAACGAACGTTGAAAAGCCGTTGAAAGAACTGCGTGTTTGCGTTATTGTAGCAGTATACTTCTTACCCACTCTCAACATCTGTATAACAACATTAATTCTGTATAAGTGGTACTTCTCAATGCCAGAGATCATTCCTCAACACCATGTTTCACGAAACATGACCACGAAATACTTCATCCCTTGTCCACCCCGTCAATACACACGTCGCTACCTCCCCAGTGATATTCCAGCATATGGGTTTGTCGGTACAGCCGACGATGTTGCCATCGTCGGGGAACCAGCATTGCGGAATCTTGCTGGAACGTTAGGACCTGCCGCAGCCGTCGCTCCTGTAGTACTGCTATACACGTTACTACCAGTAGCCGAGGACATAGTTGCTGTTCCTACTTGAGGTTGAGGCCCAGTACTAGCACCATAGACTCCTGCAGCTGCGCTACTGTACACTCCACTAGGACCAGCAGCACTGAAACCAGGTTGTAGACTAGACACCGACTGGAGACCTCCAAGTGAAGAGTTATTTGCAGCATAGGGGTTCACTCCACTCGAAGAGGAAGGCGTCGGTCCCGCCATACTGCTGGATGCTGCACCACCATAACCACTCGCCATCGCACCACTTGCTTGACTAGCTGCATACGGATTTGCTGAAGCTGACGTCACGACTGCTCCTGAAGCATAGGGATTCATCGAAGAAGCTGAGGATGTTGCTCCGTACGGATTGGCCGCTACTGCTGTCGTCCCGTAGGGATTCGCTGGTGCTGCTGTCACCGAAGAAGAAGTTGCGCCGTAGGGATTCCTTGGAACTGCTGGTGTCGTCGCTCCATATCCGTTAGCCGCGGTTGCTGTGGCGCCCAATGTTAGATGTATACCTCATTATCGGTAGCATGATCCTTGTTCTCAAAGAGATTTCCTACTGCTCTCCAAGTACTTACTTACAATTTAGAGATACCTGACATGAGTGATCATGATAGCCCAACCTCAAAACTTCTACCCACCTCAAAACTTCTACCCCTACTACTTCTTAGTCTGATGTCATAAGTAAGGATTCCCTGTCGCTGTTGTCACTCCAGCGTATGGGTTTGTCGGCACAGATGTTCCTGCGTAGGGATTTTGAACAGACCTAGGTTGCGAGGCAGCACTAGGCGAAGCAACTCCTGCCGCCGTAGCATAGTGGTTAACAGCTGGCGCGCCCACCTTTGCTGCATAAGGATGTTGCTTAGCGGTAGAACTAGAAGAGTTGCTTCAACATTTTTCTACTCTGTACTAAGTAGTACTGCCAGAAGGGAGAAAAATCAAAACAACAATACTAGTTGCCATTTTCACTGAAGAGAAATGTATAATAGCCTCATTCTGAAGCAAATTCATAATAGCATATGCTGTTGGTGATGTCGGAGGGGACCTTCCGTATGCTCCAGCGAGTGAACCAGGTGGCGCCGTAGCAGAAAAGCCGCCTCCTTGGCCCTTTTTAGTCGCATGGATTTTCTTATACTGCCCTCTGGAGCTCTTCGGAGAGGATTCAACTTGCGGCGTTCGAATCGCTGATGGGAGTGCGGCAAGACCTGGTGCTGGGGGGAGTTATTTTGAGAGATTGGTAGTCGAGGACAACGAAGGTCAAAAGATTCTTTAGGAACAGTTGATGTTCTCATTCACAGCTCATTAAAATCTAAATCGGATTCATTAACAGCCAAAGTACTTGGCAAACTGGGCAAAGCGACCGACCCGCTCCCCGAGCCACCCGCACTTAGCGCTTGTGTCTCCAATAGCCTCAAAATCTGCTCACTTACTTGCCGACCACCACCAATCTGCGACTTGAAGTCGCTCGTCTGGTCTCGCATCATCCCCATTTCTCTCACTAGAGTAGCAATCAGTTCCTTCAACCCCTTGAGGACTTCATTCTTGGCATTGTCTGCAACTCGCATTTCCTGCAACGTTCTGGCCATCTCCTCCATCTTGGCTATGTTTGCTCCGCTCATAGGTGCACTGCCACCGCTCAACCCATTAGAACTCTGCTGCGAGAATGAGGTCTGCTGGCCATTCATGGGCATCTGACTTGTGCCGGAAGAAAACGAAGTCGAGGGCTGAGAAGTGTATGATAAGTTGACAAAATGGCTGGTAGTTCTCTCAGAAGTTGTGAGTGTTAGCATGTATTGCTGCAAGGGCTAAACTTAGATTCTTAGAGGTGAAAACTACCCGGTTGTTTTACCTAGTGCTTTGAGCGTTGTAATATATCAACGTCTAGTTCAAAAAAAGGTTACATTCCATGTTGTACTTGGACATCTAGTCACGAGCAAACGGAATCCACAATAATCAATCACAACAACAATACAATTAATCTCGCACAGTTTTCAGTGCAGACTGCCACACGGCGTCATAGTGTTTCGTCACGATGTTTAGCATAACTGAAAGTGTTCATCCACGATAATCAATCACAACGTAACACCTGACTCGGCACGGCAGCTGTTGCTGGCGCAGAAGCTGGAGCAACGGGTCTCGCTGGTTGTGTCATGTCCACGGAATGCTTCCACAAAGTTTGTACGCCTGATTAGAGCTGCTTATCATGTTTATCATGTCTACTTGAACCCTTGAACCACGACCCTACTTGTCTTGAAGTCAAAATAAAGTTCATGTGCTTAGTCACAATAAAGTTCTTCTAGTAGTCACATTTTCTTCTAGTAGAAACTCGTTTCCAAGACAATGCTAAAACTAAGGCTGGACATACTTAGCACCCAATCATCCCACCATAATCACCCTTCTGCAATCTTCCGTAGTTTTTCCGCATTTTTTCTATTCGTGCGGTGAAAGACGTCTGCGTGAATATCCCGATCACCTCCTCTGAAGGCCATTCTTTACCCCTTCGTCGAAGTTTCGCGACTACATCGCTCTGCGGTGGACTCCCGAAGGCAGTCATACAGTGCGGTACGAACTCCAAGTCTCCCTTGCCTGCGTCGGTTAATCTGTGATGGATTGGTAGAAGTGGTCGAAGGTCATATAATGTTGCTCATTCAAAATTTCAAATTTTTTTAAAACACAAAGTTCTTCACATTTTCAAAATTATAAAGTACTGTTGCGTTCCCTCAGCACACAGTGTGGCCATTTTTTTGTAGTCTATTGCAAGCCGCTCTCGTTGCTCTGCTGATTGCAATCGGTTACCTACCTCGTCAAAGGCTGGCGGCAACGGTGTTTGCTCTAGAAGCGTTACCTCTGGGTCCCGATACACGAATGATCCGTTTGCTTCTTGTCCGGGTAGGTATGAAGTGGGAGTAAGAGAAAGCTCTTTCTTATCTTGAACAACCCAGCGATGCCAATTCTCTTACTGACTGATTCTTGACATCCCTAGTAGTACTCCTCGACTAGTACCAGCGGGACGATACAAGAAGTTGAGATTCCTTTTCAATGAATCACCACTCACTGATGGAAATTATATGTCTATGGAAAATGTGAAGGTAGAAATCATCATGCAGCTAGCTTCTTCCATAATTGAAGTAGTCGGAACATGTAAAAAGCGCCTTGTGCGCCAAGCAGAATCGTAGATGAAGCGGGAACCGTCACTTTGATCCCAGGTGGGCCTTGAGGCTTTCCGTCGATCCACACACCACTAGCAGATATTTCAAGGAAAATCGCATCGCCGTAGACCTAGTAGAAAGGAGCGGCCAGTGATGAAGTTTCTGGATATCGGTTATTTTTTTGGAATTATTAAAATCTGGAAGGGGATATCGGTTATCAGGTCACCAGCTGCTCTTTTTGCAGATAGGTAGAACTAGATTCGAGCAGTGGGTACAAAAATAGAGCATACCTGAAGATAGCACAATTTCTTCGGAAAGCAGTGGGTGAGAGGCAGAGTGCTAGTCGGATCCGATCCCATCGTAAACTGCTTTCCCTGTGGCAATGCAAACCGGAGAACCTGTCTTGTGCAGAACAAATTTCAGTCTGACGACGAGCGACAAGTAGAAAGAAGTAAGACTTCTTCATTTTCGAGATAAATTTTCGAAACCAGTTTACTCGGGAAAGATGTATCTCCATCGTCTCGTACCTGATGCAGTGACCCATCCGCACTTGCTGCGACAAGGGACGGTGCCGATTTTTCGATTTTCAAGTGCTTTTTCACTGCTAATGCCTCTTTTCTCAGTTGCCACTCCTTATGCAGCTTCAGCTTATCTGAGAAGTGAGAAGATAGGGAAAGATAGGAGCTAAAAACTGTGGTTGCACTCACCTTATTTGTGGTACGCACAAACTGAAGTATCATCTACACCTTAAAACATTCTGTTGAACCACAAATCTTCAAAGCAAAACAAAATACGATCCGCTGTGCTCATATAGAAGTCCTCCAGCTCCTTCATTTGGTAATGAAATTTGCCCACTCCTCTCTTCGCCGCGTCTAAATCGCGGACATTTCGCGTTCCCATCCTTACACTGGCGAGGATTAGCGGAGGACCTTTTACTTCTTCTGACTTGTGTATCAAAGACATCGATGCTTGTCTTTGTATTGCAGGGGGTAACGCCAAATAGGAAAAGAGTCACAAGAGTAGATGGTCTAGAGGACTAAATTAAGCAATCTTCAAAAAAAAATTCGCCATAACTCAACCTGCGCTACAACCTGTTGAGGCTTGAGGACGTCTTGGCGGAGTTGTTGTAGCATCTTCACGAAACCCTGTTCCTCTACCACGCGCTCCATTGGATACGTGCTAATCACGCGCAACTTGGATACGACCCTGAGTTTGGTGGATCATTAAAGTTGATACTGATAGTGAGTTATGCGCAGAAATGGCGTTGGTGACTCAATAAAGCTTACATTGACGACGTACCTAAATTTCGCACTTTTCCTCGTCTTATCTGACATGTTTAAAACCACTCTCGAAGTAGGTACCCAAGCGTCCGCAAGGTATCGTCTTTTTTTGATGGGTTCACACACGCTATGCATGTCGTTCGACACCTCCCGGCTACCGCGTCCATCAATACTTGTCCGAGATAGGAGGTCTGGAAAAGGCCCTGGTAGATTGATTGAGGAGGAAGGAGTAAGGACTCACCGATTCAAAAACGCAGTCTAGTAAGAGAACGTAGTCTAGATAGTCCAAAAAGTGCTCGAAAAAACCATTACTACAAGAGCTCAATTCATCTACTTGTGAATCTAAATACAAGCCTACGACCTTGCATTCCGGTAGCATCGGTCCTGGCCTTACTGTTGCTTTTTTCGCTAACTCATTGACGCACGTCTGGAAAAGGTCAACATTCCGATTTTTGTATGTCGCGACTGCGCTTCCATTCAGTAAAGCATCCCACGATTCCTCTTGTGACGCATCATCTACCACCGAACTACTACGAAATTAGAGGATGCTCAGGGATTATCTAGAACCACCACGTTACTTCGGATAACCTATTCAACGAGCACAAGATTCACGAGTATGCTTCATCACGAACTGTACACTTGATCAGTTGCATGAACCCTTGAAACAGTCTCCTCACGACCACACCATAAGCGAAATCCACGAACTGTACGCGACTCAACTTCGTCGGCCTCCCTGTTCCTGGCACGTAAGCCATTATCGTAAGATCGAACTGTACTAGTAGGGAACAGCTGGCCGACTCCGGTCGGTTCGAGGGATCTGTTGTTGAATGAATGTTTGTTAGAAATCTCCTATAATCGAACGTCGACTTTCAATCAAATAACGTGAAAGTACGCGCAGTGAAAAGTAAAATTGTTGTAGTACCTCCCAAAGCCTGCATTTGCTTAGCGTATTCCAGAGCCTCTGTAAAGGCAGCAAGGTCAGCACATGGTACTTTTGTCAAACCTGGGATTAGCAGCCCAAGTTGGCCATGTTCTAGCAAGGCGCTTGGCTCTAACTGTTGACCGCTAATGTCGAGCAAATCCCTAATACTTCGGTCACTCACGTCAAAAATGGAAGTGGTTACCTTTTTTCGTGATAGATAGAATGAGTGAATGAATGAATCTACCCACTCCAGGGGTTAGGAAGAACCACTACGCACTACTTCTTTTTGCATCTAGCCTCGTGTGATTACAAAGACGAGGACAAAATTTAAAGACGACGCACGAGAAACATATTCCCCATGCTAGTTCTAGACATTGTTGATACCAGTATCTTATTTCGTTTTCCGACCTCGCAGTGTTTGACTTCCTCGAAAAGTGTAGTTGCAAACTTCCGCACTAGACCGCCATCTCCCGTTAGTGTGGTTGACTTCCCACAATCCGCTGGCCCATAACATAAAACGCAACCATTCTGTCCTTGCAAGGCTTCTACGAGCAGCTGATTTTTTGGGTGTAGTTGAGATTTGAAACAAATCTCAAGTCTATCTCAGTCGGGGAAAGAGTAGTTAGTTCACAGGTCACTTCGTGCGTTATCTCAGTCGGGGAAAGAGTAGTTAGTTCACAGGTCACTTCGTGCGTGTCGAGCGAGTCACTGAGAAATCTTCTCGTACCTTCTGTCCCAGATCATCCCACAGCGATGCTTGTGATGCCGCAAGTTGAGTTGGTGGCGAACCAGGTATGCAATTGTCAGCATCAAAAATCCGGTCCATCTCAAATTTGTCTTTTTCACCCACTACCACCTCTCGTGCGCCGCCAGCAGATCCGCAACGCACAGGAAGGGAGGTGCCTGGTGGACTGGCGGTGTTAGACGATCACTTTCGAATAGACACAACCTGCGAGGAATGTTCTCTAAACTTTTGTAACAGGTTCGTCACAGCTAAACATTCTTGGTGTGAGCTAACTCGTGTCATAATAGCTGGTCGCATTCTGACGGCCACTCGTATTGGTAACCCTTTGGTGCCGTCTCCTGGTGGCGCTGGTGCCGATAGAGTAACAACCGGAGCAGGGGGACCGGCGGGACCTGTTTGTGGGATGAGATATATGACAAATAAGAATCAGTAATCTATTACTTAACTCACTAATTGGAGCGTCACTCTGTTGGACTTTGCTTACTTCTAATTGACTCTCAACATCAAAACACGATAAGCAAAGATACCAAGAGCCGGTGCTGGCAGACCTGCATTTGGTGGAACCTGGGTCGGCGGCTGTAACTGAGGCTGTGGCTGATTTGGCGGCGGCGCTTCTGGAACTGCTAAAGTAGAGGCCGCAGAAAAATCCCCAGATGGCGGTACTCTCGGCGCTGAATCGTATACCTTATTTGGCGGTGATAGGTAGATTAATTGCAGTTGAAGAAAATAAAGGGCCAGGTCCTACTCAAAATAGTCAGTCGCCGATCAAAATAGTATAATGGAAATGATGAGTAATGAGAAGAAGTACCGAGGGATGTATTCCTGATTCTGGCGGCCCCTCTCCGGGACGAGGCGGATAACCCGGCTGCTCCGGTCTTGGTGCCTGGTAGGTGAAGTTGAATATGACGTATAACAAAAGTTTAACTACATCCGACTATCAAAAAACCGACTTATTTAACTGGTTTTAAGTAGAATACTAGATAAGGCGAAGGCCTTCCGCTCCCTGGCTGCCCGTAGGGTGTCTGCGCTTGCTGCGGTGGCTGCTGCTGACCATACGGGTTCTGCTGTTGTGGCTGCTGCCCGTATGGAGTCTGTGCTTGAGGCTGCTGTTGCTGAGGCTGCTGCCCGTAAGGTGGCTGTTGCTGTTGCCCATAAACACCCTGTGGTGGCTGCTGTTGTTGCTGCTGCCCATAAACACCCTGTGGTGGTTGCTGCTGTTGTTGACCATAAACGCCCTGTGGTGGCTGCTGTTGTTGTGCTGGCGGCGGCTGCTGTTGACCATACGCATTTTGTTGTTGCGGCACTTGCGGTGCTCCTTGTTGTCCTCCCCCAAAGTAGCCCTGTTGCGGTTGCTGTCCATAAGGAGTGCCAGGCCCTGCACTCGGTCCTCCAAGCGCTCCTGACTGGTTGTAGCTCATCCCCGGGTTTTGATTACTGGGGATTAGAGAGAGTGAGAGAAGGAGAAACGAATGAGAGGTAAATATGTATAATCTCGTCGTCGTCGTCAGCCTAGAAAATAAAGCAGTGCTGATGAAATTATGTATAAATTCAAAGAAACCACATCTTCTTGTTCGTAAAGGGGCAAGATTATGTATAAATTCAAAGAAACCACATCTTCTTGTTCGTAAAGGTTGACTTGCCATGCTTCCACCTGAGAGATACGCTTCTGTCTATCATATCGTACCTCGTCTAAAACTACTCAGTCTAGGCTATATTTTACCTGACACACCGTCATGGAAGAGGTCTGGTTGTCAATCCTTCACATCGAAGACCGTAAGTTGTAGCTTTATGGATCCTTTACATCATCACGAACAGCCTTAAGTTGTAGGATGAAGCTGCACTTGGCTGTTGTAGTTGCCGCTGTTGCTGCTGCGGACTTGGAACTGCACTGCCATAAACGGAACTACTTGCGGCTGAGCCATAGGCACTTGGTGGATACCCATTATTTGGAGGCTGCTGCATACTTCCACCTCCTACACTACTAGGATTTCCACCCATCATACCTCCTCCACTGGAATTGTTTGGAGGCATGCCTCCTACTGATGATGATGCCTGAGACATGCCATAAGCCTGCTGCTGCTGTTGTTGTGTCGTTGGACCACCGCCTAATTGTTGCTGTTGTTGTTGCTGCGGAGGTCCTCCTGGTTGTCCTCCCATCTGACCAGCACCTCCCATTTGACCTCCCCCACCACCTAAGCCACCTCCTCCACCCAAAGGCTGCTGCTGTTGTTGCTGTTGTTGCCCTCCTCCTCCGCCCGCAATGCCGCCCAATGGCACCATTCCACCTTGTCCGGGTCCCGCCGGAGACAAGGAAGATATGGGCGGAATAAGAGGCGCGGGGGTGCTGCCCACCGACTGGGCGCCGGGAAGGCCACCTCCACTTCCCAGGGCGCCGCCATAGCTTCCCCCCAGATTCATCTCATCTCACCCCTCATGCATATTCCGTTTAGGGAAATTCTTTGAACCGTCCATTCCTAAGAAAAAAAAGTGAAAGTAAAAAGAAGGAAGGACATCACATCATGATGCATGTGAAGAGCACAAGAAGTACACGAGTTGAAGTTCATCCAAACATAGCCATATGACTTTAGGTCGTTTTTTAAGTCGTCATCTTTCCTCGTCCAATTCTCAAAGTTCTCAACATCATGTAGAGAGCACTCTCTGCTCTAGACACGGCTCAATCACTGTACTAGAAGTTTACAAGTCTGTCATTCTCTCGTCTTTGTTTTTATCAACGATGTCGTTTTCGTAATATCGGTACTTAGTGATTGTTGTCTTCAGTTTTTGCGGACTTACTCTTCATCAACATTTGAGAACGTTTTTACTGTTTGACACAGCCGCGTCAACCCGAAAACGCTGTAGCTGCACCGCACGATCCATTTTGCTGTAACCTTTTGCTTGTCTGGTGAACACACACTTTGCAATTATAATTGTTCATGTCAGCGTCCGCGCACGGCTTCAGCAAAAAAGCGTGGCTGACAAACATCTTCAAAAACACCCTATGATAATCATCATAGTTTCTTCTAGTACAGCCTCTTCTTTCAAGTAGTGCAGTGCCTGACATCAAGTAGTGCAGTGTCAACAACAAATAGAGTCATCTCCATGGCGCAAAAGTGATGTCATCAACAACTACCACAGGACATGTTTTTGCCCCCCTCCTCAGGTGGTGGCCCGAGACTCACGCCTGGCTTGCTGCGGCCGCCTGTTGACGGAGCTGTGCCATCGACAAGATCTGGCTCTTCTAAGATGCACAAGGCCAAATCTGCGAAGGCTTTTTCCACCTGCAATGACGTTCGCGCACTCGTCTCAATGTAGGCCACAAAACCATTCTGGTCTGCGAACTCCTGTACCTCCTCGAGCTTGACCGCGCGCGCACCATCGGCTAAGTCCACTTTGTTGCCTACGGGGACTTAGAAGTAGATAATGGTGACGTTCCACGAGGATGGGCTATAGAGGAGGAATCTACACATTTGATAGTGATTACCGAGTTACTACCTTCCACCTTGATAATTACAACGTTCCTCCGATTCCACATCAACGCAAAACTATAAATCTATATTTGACCCTTTTGACCAGTCGTAAAGCAACAGCCTCGCTTTGTCATGCGTGCTATGCTCCCTGACTTCATTGATCCACTTGGGGAGATTGCGAAAGCTTTCTTCTGATGTCACATCATACGCCAGGATTACACCTTGCGCCCCTCTATAGTAGGAACTCGTCATCGTTCGAAACCGTTCTTGCCCTGCCGTGTCCCATACTGCCATTTTCACCGTTTTTCCGGGGTATGAAAGAGGGGTGTGAGGAAGAGATAGAGAGAGAGAGAGAGACAGACAGAGAGACTTCGGAAAAGAAAGAATTTCACGGACAGGAATCATTCAGAGGATTTCATATGCTGAGCATCACCTTTTACTGGCAAAAGATCTTCTACCAAGTCATGAGCATCACCTTTTACTGGCAAAAGATCTTCTACCAAGTCATGAGCATCACCTTTTACTGGCAAAAGATCTTCTACCAAGTCATGAGCATCACCTTTTACTGGCAAAAGATCTTCTACCAAGTCATAACTTCATCTGCAGATGTTTCGTCCGAAAATCAACGCCGATCGTTGCTAGTTGCCTCTCATTGAACGTGTTGTCGGTAAATCGGAGCATCAAACTGCTCTTTCCGACACCACTGTCGCCGACGAGTAGTATTTTGAAAAGATGGTCGTAAACGCCTGGCGCAACTGCCATTTTGTTTCTTTTGGTGGGGTATTGGTAGTAAAAGGGGAGTTAATGGAGAATCATAATGAAGATACTTGCAATCAGGTATTCTGTTTTTACCGTTCTAAGCAAAAAAAAAACCCAACGCGTCACCTCGGGTGTGCCTGTAAACAAGTTTTACTAGATTATTGCTGTCTCACGGTGAAATGCCGCTACTGCTAAAAGTACCACGACTCGTTGGAAATTCTCTCACTGATCGTCTTTCCAATTTTTTTCAACACCCTCAATTTGCGCATTTCTGATAACTCGTCGCTCAAAGAAGTCCTCTTTCATAATCTTGTGCTGCTGACAGCGGCGACTGCGGTGAATTTTCAACCCAAGTGTTTTAGAACTTCTATGTGGTGGACATCAAGGTCTTGCGCTAGATCATGCGGTCAGAGTCTTCATATTGGATCAGTATGAGTGGGGGGGTTCTTGACCGCTTAGCACCTTCATTTTATCTATGTGAAGATTTCCCCTTCTCTTTAACAAGAGAAAACGCTTAGTACCAGCCAACATGGTCTAGCTCCATGTCGAGTTACAATGAATAGAATGGGAGCGTTCATCTTCTCCTATAGGAACCGTCCCCTAGCTTCTTTTGTCGCATATTTCAAAGCAATGAATTCAAATCTATGCTCTAAATTAGATTTAATTACCCACCAATCACGACTACCTCTCAACATTTGTTCGACATAGACTCATAATTTGAAATCGCCATTTCATATATTCATCTTCTTCTTCGTCTGCTTAAGCTTATGGTTACCTCCCCTGCTTAATAAGTACCTTCTCGAGTGGCTCTAGTTCTACATCTGCTCAATGAAGATTGGACTATACGTCGCCTCCAGGATAGTTATAAATGAATTGATCATGATGATCTTCGTCCTCGTTTTTCCCGTTTCAACATCGAGAAATTACATGCGCGTAATGTGTTCCCTACTCTACTTAAGTTGGTGTAGCACTTTAACTTTTGTCATTTTACACAAGCCTAGTACGGGATTCCAAGCCAGTATTTTTTAGTTTAGTTTGTTCTTCTTCTTCTAGAATTATTATTATTATCATTATTATTATTTTTCAGAGTAGCCTGGTGCTGATGATGAACTTGCCTAGAATGTTGGTTCTAAAATCTTGGTGTGGTTCTTCTCACTATCTATCGTTCCATGCCTATCAATCTATGTGTAAGTACCTTTTTCTTCACACACCCCTCAAATAACAATATCATGAAAAAAAAGTGCTTAGAAGCATTCATTAGCTTGAGCATTTGTTCGTGAACAAAATAAAAAAGCATTCTCTGTTAAATAATGGGGTAGGTATTATGGAAAGGTGGAGGTATGTAGTTCTTGTGTAATATCGTATGTTGTTCTTGAATCTTTTTATCACCGTTTTCAATAGGTCAACTAAGTAGCTTTTCGAGGCTTGCTCATCGTGGTGGGGCCTTTAGTTTTATAGGGAAGGTGCGCCTCCTATGATGACAGCATCGTCCCACTTACAGGTGAGAGAAGAACATCATAGGTGCAGAGTAATGGGCTACATTTTCCCAAGTATGAGTATCAAAGGAGAGGCATAATGACGTTAGGAGCAGCTGTGGTTCTGTAACTCTATGGGTCAGCAAGAGAGCTTCTTTCGATTTTTTTCCGCTTATTTTGTCGAACATATTTCATTTCATTTCATGGCCGTGACTCCATCCCTCCGTCGCCGGGCGTAGTCGACGAAAGCCACAAACAACGGCACACCAAGCAGACAAGTCTGCTACATGGAACCGAGTGAGACACCAACAGCCTCCCATCTCTTAATTCATTGAGAAAGGCCCGACTTGAGGCATCACTGGTGCGTGTAGGTGCCCGAGCTGGCGCGCGATATTTTACGTCTGAAGCCTCAGTCCACGAACAGAGACAGCGGAAGCAGAAGTGATAGAAGCGGGGGCGCGGTGCTACAACTATCGAAAGCCCAGACCCTCGTAGCATTCAACTAGCGAAGGCTTGGGCGCCCATCTTCCAAAATACTACTATCTAACCCCCCCTATCTGTGCTAGCCTTCTTACACTTCCGCCTCTTCTATCCTCCGAACTACCAACCCAACGAAAGACCCAAGGCAACGCACTTGCTGTGTGAGTTTATTTTGTCTATTTATTGCTTCAGAGTTGGCGTCTGCGTCGGGTCTGCATGCTGGTCCACTTTCTCTGCCCTGTCGATGTTCGTCAGCGTTTGCTAACTGCCGGCGCCGCTCTCCGATCTAGTAAAGAACTGCCCCTCCTCCGTGCATCTAGAGAGCGCGTCTCCGCCAGTGATACTATGCGCGCTGCTCATCAGTAAGCGCCTGGCCATTTGTGCGAGCAAATTTGCCAGATGACAGCGCGTGGCGCGTCCTCGTATTCTCCAAAGCCTCAGCCGCTTGATAGCTCGAAAATGTACCCCCCGAGGAGCCGCTTCCCACGCACCGCCGATCTTTATCTGCTCGCCATCACACCTGTGGCGGCGCGCAGGCGACGAGTTCAGACCCCAGGGGAGTAGTGGGGCGCGCTATGCCGAGGCTTGCCGAAGTAGCCGCTTTCTACACAACTCCGGCCTTTATCTGCTCGGCGTCACACGTATGGCGGCGCGCAGACGACGAGTCCAGAACCCAGGGGATTAGTGGGGCGCGCTATGCCGAGGCTTGCCGAAGTAGCCGCTTTCTACACGCCTCCGGCCTTTATCTGCTCGGCGTCACACGTATGGCGGCGCGCAGGCGACGAGCCCAGACCCCAGGGGAGTAGTGGGCCGCTCTATGCCGAGGCTTGCCGAAGTAGCCGCTTCCTACACACTTCCGACCTTTATCTGCTCGGCGTCACACGTATGGCGGCGCGCAGCCGACGAGTCCAGACCTCAGGGGAGTTGTGGGGCGTGCTACGCTGAGGCGTGCCGAAGTAGCCGCTTCCCACACGCCTTCGACCGTTATCTGCTCTGCATCACACGCGCGGCGGCGCATTGCGCCAATCCGCGACGAGTCTTTTCCTATCGACTTTGATGATGAATTTCATTGTCAAGCACTGTAGAAGCAGACAAACTCAACGAGATCCGCCACACATTTTCTCTGAAAAAAGAAGAAGCGGGGCGAAGAACCAGGGGGGAGGAACGACCGGGATGGTCGTCCGCATTAAGGATGGATTCTCTCAACGGGCGATATGGCTTGTTAAACTCCACATACATGCCTACCTCAACAGAAAGCCGACACACATTTGTACTCGTACTCATGCGACATATCATAAGTTTTTCGAAGTCGTCTCACGTCTGCCGTCCCTCACTAGATCATACGTTTATGTGGACACACTCAGGCTTCAATAAGAACTACTCTCAGGGCTCTCGTTTCACGCAAGGCAGCAGTATGCTCTCTAGACCCCAATCGGCTTCCTATACAGGCTACCGGCGAGTCGCCGGAGTGTCAGAAGACTATCCAGGTAGGTAGATAATCGACGGACACACCGGACCTCTCAACAGAATAAGACTGCCCGCGGTTTAAATAGTGTGGCATTATCTAACCCCAGCCTCATAAAAGTCATTAGACGTCAAGAGCCAACAAGCCAGAACGAAGTCTATCTTAACTTTCTGGGAAAGAGGATTTTATCGATGACGAGATCACGTATATTACTATGTGTCGTATTACTATATGCTCCTATTACAACATCTCAATATCTGATTTGTTTAGTACTAGAACAAAACGTCGAACTGAAGCCTTTTCTATTTCATCAACACAGTCGACGTTAGAGATGCCTGCCATTCTTGGGAGAACTGAGTCATTCTTGTTCCTTAAGTACACCTAAGGTGCTTGTTTCTTGCTTGTTGAATTCATTATTCGTTGATCTATTACTTGGGCGTAACATGTGTTTACCTTTACTGAAGTAATAGAAGTATTTCTTATGTGTGTACCTTATGCGTCGTGTACTGATAAGCAAGCAACATTACTCCTAAGCGCCGAATCGGTTACTAGCAAAGCCGTACTTTCCGCGTGGAGGATAGGCTTCTGGGTTCTCATAGTAATTCCCTGGATATGCGGGCTTATTGCGCCATCCGTAGCCTTGGTTGTAGTCACCTGTAAGCGAAGGAGAAGGGAGTTATTTTTGCTAATTTCTGCATACCATGGAGACTGTAGAACTACGTCTCTGAGTATATGAAAAGAAGGTATTTCAACATGTTGCAAATTATATTTGCTCTTTTTGATTTTCACGCTAGAAAACAATTAAATCACTACAAAGTAAATAAATACCTTGTGGTCCTCCTGCACCGTACGCTTGAGGCGCTCCTCCCCTCGATGCCTGCGCACCCTTGCCTCCTCCCTTTTGTACACCACTCGTAGCTCCGTGGTTGCTATGGTGCGTTCCTCCTTGATGCCCAGCAGGCGCATTAGGTCCGAAGTAACGCCAAGTGGTGACGTCGTTTCCGCGTCCCCGGCCACCAGGCTCGTCCATCAGGGCTACGCCTCGCTCATGCAAGGTCTGACGGATGCGATCGGCTTCCTCGTAGTTGCCCACACGGCGAGACTCATTTCGCTTCTCCACCAAGCGCTCGATCTCCCATGGTTTAGGCACACGACCACCAGACTGTCCCTCTACTCCTCCCTGAGCACCAGTAGAGATGCCGTCTTGATTGTTCATCTGCGATGTTGAGGAACCCATATTGTTATTGCCTCCAGTAGCACAAGAAGTAACACCTTGTTGTTGTTGTTGTTGTTGTGCACCACGACTGCCTCCAGATTGTTGTTGTGCTGCACCATTGCCTCCGTTCATATTACCACCATTGCCCAAATTTTGCTCTCCGGGAGATCCCCTATTTTGCTTGCTATTACCTCGTGCACTGCTCGCACGGCTAGGCTCGCCATTGCTGTTGAGAAGGTGATTGATTGATTCATTGATTGATGTGCCTAACACGAGGTTGTTTTTTGAGGATTTTTCTCCTCACTTTCCTTCCTTTTTTGCTCCTCCAGAAGGTATAATTGGGTGAACAAACGTGCTTCACTGAGAATTATAGCATCAAAAAGAATCTCAAAAGAAGTACCCTTCCGTTTTCCTGTGGGAAACGATCACTGGATGCTCGGTTACTTTCACATGCAACTTCGGGCATTCCAAACCGGCGCTTACTCGAAAAGTCTGTAGAAGTTGGAAAAAAGATAAAGTACGACAGATATCTTGTCATAAGGGAGGTGCTAGCTCAACTTCTATTACTATGTGGAACTGGAATCGAAACACTACTTCCAGGGGTGACTCCTCCACTTGCAGCTTGGCGAACTGAAATCGATACACTTCCTCGTCCAGGTGTTACTGAAGTTGCGGGTGCTGGAAGCGATACGCTTTCTCCAAATTTCTCCAAATGTGCTAGATCAACTTCTACTATGTGTGAGTCATAATCCTCCTCTTAAAAGAATCAATACCTTGTATTCCTGCAGTGTTGACTGGATAACATCCATGGCCATTTTTTTCGCTACTTGATAGCCTTGGTAATCTGTGCACGACACACACAAGTGGAGAGGTTCTTGGCTCTCTTCGTTGTTGCTTCCCTCCAAGTAGCCGGAATCCTTGCCACGCAATCGAAGCTTGGCGCCTGTCTCTTGCACGATTAATTTCATGTTGGCGCCCTTAATTCCAATCAGCTTCTTGGCGACGCAGAAATTCTCTTCATTTTGAAGACCAATATCGATGCGGCAAGTGTATTTACGGTTATTTCGCTGGTTGTTGTTGTTTCCACCTTGGCGAAGTTCTTGAGGGCTTCCATTATTATTGCCCATGCTTCCACCTCTCATATTGCCCATAAAGTTGGCACCACCATTATTGTTGTACTGCTGTTGTTGGCTATTCATGTTCATCTGACTGTTCATCTGATTTCCACCATGCTGCTTGTTCATCTTATTGTTTCCACCAGCTGGATGGACGTTATTCGGCTTACCCGCTGCAGTCTGCTCGGACTGCTCGACATTGCGAGGCCTGTTATTATTGGGTGATGTAAAGGTAAGCGTCGATTGATGAAATAAGAGACAAGTTACAAATTGCAAGATATTTTCCCAGAAAGGCATATGAATTCATCCGGAAAGAAACGACCAAACTCTTGCTTACATATCCAAAAAAATAAAAGTAGCATCATCTTCAGTACGGGCAAATGTTGCTCAAATCCTGCGTTGCCCACGTCACTACGAGTGACCCTTCATCTCCACCCTGTAGCTGCTTGCCATGAAGCTCGCGGATGGAATTGTCTGCGTCATCACGCTTCTCGAACCAAACTCTAGCGCATGACCCATCCTCATGAACTTCAACGCTGTTCAGCTGCCCGTACCTTTTACATGATTCATTTTGGTCATGAGTTTCACGGCGGAAAATGCAGGTACTATTCCTCAAGATCTGTACAAGGTTCCGGTCATGTATAAAGCAGTTGGTGTTTGAGAAAACAAGACTCCGGTCATGTATAAAGCAGTACCGTCCAAAGACTTTGGCCAGGTCGTCCTGTGTGAGGCGGTACTGAAATTTCACACCCTCGACGCTTACGCTAATAGCTGCCATTGTGCCGGTTGTTCCCTTTGGGAGAGCCACAACAATCGCTTGTTCCAAACCAGTCAGATACGTACTATAATGCGACAAATTAAGAGGTACGGTTAATTCTTTGACCAGTAAATTGAGGGAGAAAAAATAATAATAAGTAGTATGGAGAAAAAATAAGTATGGAGAAAAAATAAGTATGGAGAAAAAATAAGTATGGAGAAAAAATAAGTATGGAGAAAAAATAACTATCACAGTTTTAGAGAGTGAGAGAGAAGAGGAACACGTACACGGCCTCCTTTTTAGATGCTGTAAACGGCAGAAAAGATCCCAATCAAGCGAGAGACATAGATATGCTAGAAAAGGATTCCTTACTTAGATGCGAACAACGATGTCGATGAAAGTACAATCTAGATCTTTATGTATGTTGAGAGCGACGTTACTTTTGATGTAGGCTTAGATGAAAGACTCTTCAAGAGCTTCTAGGTCTGCTAAGTATAATAACATCAATATTCTGACTCCCTTAGGGTAGATTCGTTTTAGGGGTCGGTTCGTTATGTGTAGGTGTAGCAGCTTGAAGTAACAAAAAACATGCAATAATTCTTTCACACCAAGAGACAGAGGCAGACGAATACACCAACGCAGTCGCTCAGTTCTGCGACGTTCTTGTTATGAAATAGAACTCGTTCTTTACCCCACTCTTGCATAACAAGTTCTAGTTCTGGACCGTCGTTTTTTGTGATTCAATTAGGTGTAGTCACGCGCGATAACTATGTGTATTCCTTCTACAATCTTCTGAATAATGATGATGCTGGGTTTTTAACGACGACCTTCATGTTTAATACTAGCAGATTTGTGATGAATTCCCGAGATTTAGATGCGTTAATTGCAATGCAATGCACCCCCTTCAATTAGCATGCACTCAAAACTGTTGTGGGATTGGGTTGGTTGGAAAGATGATGATTGTTTCATGGCAATGGTGTACGTAGTGGATGCAGGAGGAATGATTTCATAATATTTGTTCATAATGAGTACAACTACAACTCTAGAAAAGACCTCAGAATTATGCTCATTAGTCTAACGGATGAAACGCTGCTCATTAGTGATCTCCATACGACAAGGACCATTTTCATTTCGAGGATCTTTAGAATGATTTAAGGAGCTCGATCTAACCTCCAGATCTTGGATTTTTCTCAGATTCTTTTCGGATCTCATCCTCAGTAGCTAGATCTCGCATCAAAATCCGAACACTATAACGATTAACAATCTTCTAGCTGGAGATCGATCGAGCAGGTCATCTCTCGTCTGTTTGTCTTTGCACTAACAAGACTCGCGATTTTCTTATCATGCTACGGGTTAGAAAAGAACAATCTGCTAAGAGGTACGATGTTATGTCGAATCTGAAAGAAGTACAACATGACGAATCAAGAAGCGACCACTCAAATCATGCGTAAAGGATCAAAATAACCACTCAACGTGGGGATCCCACTCAAGGGAAAGGACTATTTCGTATCTAAGAGGAAGCGACCACTCAAGCATGTTCAGGCTAATCTCGTTCGGGAGTCAAGAGTTTCTGTGTCAACATAAAGCTCGTGTCTTATTCTTCTGTTCTTTCTTAGAGTTGTTTTTCTTCTTTCTTGTCGTTGCTGTGATGATGTCCAGTCCCTGGTATGATACCAAGGTATTACTCAGAAAAAGAGCCACATGGATGAAGACTAATCTTGTTTATGGTCGTCAAGGACAAAGGACAACGCCCAAAAGACTTCGAGTCTATGGCAACGAAGGCTACAGCAGAATGTTCTGTGGCACAGGTTTCTACTTCTTCGCGGGCTTGTTTGATTGGGAGAGAGAATATCCATGCTGTTGGAAGGATTATTCGTACAGGAATCTTCAATGAGGAAAGAACGAGTCTTGTTCAAAGACAGGGTTGCTCAAAACAGGACCTCCACTTTCTATCGAATTTCGCATCGCCTCAGCAACCCTTGCGCAGCATAAGCAAGTGCTTTGTGCGACTTCTGCTCAAAAGCCGCTGGGCGCAGGTATTTAGCCACGAAGTCTTCAGTCGGCGACCAGAGCTTTGCCGTAGCCAACTCTCCTAGACGCTCGCAAATAGTCTGTTTCAACTGACAGTGATGCGGGAAATGCGACAATGTGAACAGCTCCATTACTAGAGGCATCCGTTTGGCTAAGAAACCTAAGGTGTCAAATTCGTCGCCGGAAGTTGAAGGCGTTCTTTCGTCGACTTCTACAGCCTCGCCATCGACATCGACACCGTAGTTCTTGTTTGCGTTTATTAGAGTGTGGGTCGAAAGGAACAGAGATTGTTCGGACTTTGCTGTTTGCACGATTTCTACCTAAATGTGAAGTAAAAGTATTTGTTTCTAGGTTCATTTTTCCGTTCAATATTTGAAGAGAGTCTGATATTCTAATCATAAATTGTGATGCAGCAGCGCGACGTTCACCAATGTATGCAACGCGCCTTCTGCTTGCTCCCAGGGCTGCAACAAGCCATGCACAGTGCAGTTCATGCATCCTCCTTTGTCCTTGAACTTTTTGAAGTTTCTCGGTGCTACAGATCCGCAACTGTACATAGTCGCATCGTCGAATCTCGGATCCTTCTCCTCATTCTTGATCTCGTTCCCGAGATTATATTCACGACGACGCAACGGGACAGAAAAAGGGCCGGAAGGGGTATAATTCGCGAAACTCGTGCTGTCCATCGGCTGGTTGCCTCCGTTTTTCAGAAGTTGGTCAAGGGAGACGAACATATTTGCGGAAGGACTGACGCTGTTGACGTTTGGCGGTTGTAGTTGTCCTTGTCCTGCTGCAAAAGTAGAACCTTCTAGCAGAAGTTCTGCAGGCAACAGTTCTGGAGGGAGTTCAGGCAGACCTCGTGTGAAGACTTCCTCCTCGATCCGCCATAGCTTTAGACAAATGGACAGTGCATGGCCAGCGTTTTTTCGTAGACAAGGGATGTTATCGCCTACGGCAAAGGACAAGAGCTGCAATAGCCTGACGCGGTTACTCTGTGGAGGTGTCACTGGTGTTTTGGAGGATGTTGACGAAGTTGTTGTGGTATTAGAGGCTGCTTTATCGTTTCCATCTACATCTCCGATCCTGAGATCCTCCACAACACTAGCGATGCCGCCTGGCGCAGCACTGCCTGATGATGGCGACGTCGCAAAATGGCGTGTCAAATCACCACCTTCATCTTCAAACAAGGCTGGAAAAGCCTCTGCCAATCGAGCAGCTGCTAGACACGCATGGTCGCGCACCGGCCAACTTTCGTCCTCAAGTGCTGACAAAACCGCTGCAACTAGCACTTGCGCACGAGATCGGTCTTCTCCGTTGAAGGGGAGAGAAAACTCGCGGGGAGATTGTGGCGCAACGCGTTCAGCTAACTCCAAAATGCACTTGCAAGCCGCTTCGCGCACTGCGTGGTTCGGCGCATTCGTGCTGTCCGCATACGCATCAACGATCTCATCCAGACACGCTAAGATCAAGGGGATCCCACCTCGTGGATTCAGCATCTTCCAGTTGTCTTGCGAGTACAGGCGCACTCCTTCTGCCACATAGTGCCGGTTCAAGCACATGTAGGGTGCTAATAAGCGTAGGCCTGGTGTCGGATTGTGCACATTCGGACCACCCGGTTGGTACTTCGAAACAAAGTCTCCATGCTCGATGACGCGCCGAACGGCTCTACTGGACGCGTATTTCACTTGGGACCAGTTGTCCTGCAAACCGAAGCCGAGAACCTGGTACAACGCTGGCCTGATCGTGTCTAGAAGGGGAAGTAGTTCAGCCAGACTCAAGAAGGCGTACTCGCGAACGAAGCGGTTAGGATGTTCACCGCATTCTAAAAGTAGATATTCGATTGACAGAGCGGATTGCGCTGTCTGAGCTATCACGTTGTAGCTGTAGTTTGCTGTGGTTGCATCTCCTTGTAGCTGCTTTTTCGCCTCCACCTGCACGAGAAAGGAAGTCAAAGCGTCACTGCCGCCACGACCTTGAGGTCGTACCACCACGAAAGAGCCGGTCTTTTGTTCAACTACGTCAAGATCTTGTTTAGAAGAAGAAGCAGAACCTACTGCTGCAGCTGCGATGACTTTAGTGCCTTCCACGACCTCAGCACCAGAAGATGTTGACGCTCCAACCTCCTCCTCATCTTCTTCATTCTCCACTTTTACTGGAAACACTTTTTGTTCTAAAAAACGCTTTACCTCTGCCACTTCCATATCGAACTGGCCTGCAGTATCGACGAACATCGCTGGTAAGGTTTTCTCCTTACTGTTTAGGATTTTCTTCTCCACTGCGACCGACGATCCTCTTGCTGCAACGTTCTCTTGAGCAACTTGTGCAGGCGGAAAATTTTCTGCCCCCAAGTAGCGCCTGAGCACACCGCGAGCACCTGCCTCCCGCTTGCCGAGGCCGCGCAGCATCGCAGCTAAACATGCCATAGAAGACTCCAAAGTTCCCCATCCCTCAGACTCGTGCTGTCCAGATGGCGGCGCAATTTTCTTGTCGGCTTCCGGTACTCGGATAGGCTCCACCTCCACTGCAACTGGCTCCACCTCTAGTGCGTCGTCAGCTAACAGGTCATCTCCAAATGGAGAGCCCATACGACCTAGAGGACCAAGGATTATCGCCCGTGACGAGGATGCACTCGCTGTTGTGCCTGCATTGTCCATAGTCTTCTTCAATAACTGCGCACTAGTGCCAACTAAATGCGACGGCGCCAGCTGTGCCCGGTTTCCTCCCACGCCACGTGAGCCTGCGTCCGCTGCGTTTGGCACTATAGGATTTAGCTTGCGTTCGAAACCCAACAGCACGTCGGATAAGACAGCCTCTAGGAAGGCCTCGGCACTCGGGCTATCAGTGCTATTGCTGGTACAGGAAGGATCGCTAGAAGTAGTGCTAGAATTTCCCTCAACTTCTGCAACCAAATGTGCTTCATGAAAGAGACGTTCTACTGCTGGTGCAAGGGCACGACGGACTCGCAATTCTGGGTCTCGGAGAGCGGAAGATTCGAGTACTGACAAGAGCGTTCCGACATTCGGCTTGTGGTCTACGCTATCCGTATTCTGCCCGCTGTGGCCTGCAGTGTTCTCGACGCCGGCAATCAGCTGCAGCAAGCCGACACGCTCCGCCCATGCCGCTGTTGGGAACCTGAACATCACTGAATGAAAATCCATCGTGAGATTCCGATTCTGTTTTCACCAAGAAGAATCACACTACAAAAAACCGTCTGCGTCTGGAGCGCCGATACTTCATATTTGTAACAACAGCAATAATCAAAAGAGCAAGCATCAGTACCTATCCACTGCATGTGTGTATAATTCCTGCTGCCCAAGCAGTGGACTCAGTCGCATTACTGCCGCATCCCGCTCTAAATTTTTCTCAGACGCCAACTGCAGCAACAACGCGGCCACTCGTTCACGACATGGTTCTCTCAGACCAGATGGCATCAGGACTGTGGTGGACGTCATCTTTTCCTCGTATAAAAACAGTTCCTTGATTCAATGATCAAGAAGTAAAGTGATACTTGAAGAAAAAGATAAAATAATGCCGCCGATCAGAGCAGCCTACCTGATCATGGGATCCTTACTTAGTAGCCAGCCTATCCTCAAGGATTTGCTGACTCATAAAAACATGGATGCCCGACGCATATCCTGCGCACAATAGATAATAGAATCGCCACAATCAACATCCTGTGTAGGCATTGTGTTGCAGCGATGAGGTATTAGAGTTAGCTTTACCTATTCAATCGATAGCTCTCATGTCTATTCGTATTTTATTTGGGGCAAAAGATATAACGACATTATTTGACGTAGATGGCGATTTGGGATTGATAGAGTAGCATAGCCTTTATTCGTAATGTACGACGGAAAAAAAGACATAGGAACGACGGGATCAGGGAAGCGAGCAAGATGGCCTGGTGATGGTAATCGCTGTATTCTGAGCGCTGGCCTGAAGAACCTCCGGAAAGGTCATTCGTCGGGTATCATTTTCATTCGTTACAGTGTGGATGAAAAAAAGTCCGTATCGAGAACGAACACCAAGATTCAAGGCGTGTAGCGTACTGCTTTGACGACCTCCTCTTTCGAGGCCTATGAAATGTCAAGAACGTCTTTTATGTTGCAGGACGGAGAGCGCTGGTAAGTGTGTCTTTCCAAATTTTCGGTCGCATCATGTTCATGAGAGGCAGAGCCAAATTGTAAATACAACATCAATGCTTTGCGAGCGCAGACATCGTCGATCATGAAGAAGGAGAAGGCAGTCTACTTTTCTGTATCAGGTTAAGGCGGTCTAAATGTCTAGGTGTTAATTTCTGTATGGTGGTAAATGTCGTAACGTAAATACAGCAAGAAGTGCGATGATCACCTACTAGACATTCACATGTGTGTTCTACAACTATCTGTACATGGAAATAACGCGTAGTCGTGCTTCTTGCTTTCAATTTCTAGTACTAGTGTGCTAGCGAGTAACATCGAATTTAAGAAGCACTCAACTATACTAGCCAACCCAGAAGGCTAGTCACTGCGTTTTCACCCATCTGGATATTGAATGGTACAATCTCAAAGAATTCTGAGGCCCTTATCTTCCCGTTTTCACACTTTTCTTTAACTCAAAAAGTAAGTACAAGAGAAATAAACCCTTCCAATTTTTACAATATAAGGCATCCCTACAGGGTGGTCGATGATTGTGATTTGATAGATGTGCACAGGCTGGTGGGTACATTTACTTGTGATTATGCACACCCCTGAGGACGGATGATAGGCGTCCACGTCCTTGACATTAAAAATTTACTTCCACCGCCAAGTCGACGACTATGTCAATAACTGTTCAACATCAAACTACATCTACCTCTGGTCGTGATAAACTACTCATCTATAATGATAAATTGCGGTTACTAGGCCACCCCCTGTGCCTGCTTACCAAACTTCATAACACTTCAGTAACAAGAGAGAGAACAAGAAGAGAGAGACCAAGAGAGAGAATAAGAGAGTCAAGAGAGAGAACCAACTTAGAGAGAGAGAACCAACTTAGAGAGAGAGAACCAAATTACTTAGAGAGAGAGAGAACCACCCAAAAGAGAAAGAGAGAGAGAGAGAGAGGCAAAATCTCTATCAAACCAGTGTTCATGTCAACTGCCTAGTATCGTAGCGAGCCCAGTTGTAGTTGTTTTTGACCACCCAAAAGCCTGCTTACTTGCAGCCTCTGTCACGAATGCAGCAGGATACCATGTCACCTCCCACCACTACCAGCACTTGAAGACTGCAGCATCATGTTTCGGAATTCGGCGTAGTTCATTTGACCGTTTGGAGCCACTTCTCGTAACATTTCATCAAGCTGTTCCCGCGTGTTGCTTGTCAGTAAATCCGCCATGTCATCTACAGAGATGACACCACACTTGTCGCTATCCAACATGATAAATACCGCTTGCAGGATACGTTCGAATTTGTCGACCTGAAGGTATTTTCAGGGTAGAGATGAAGAGTGTGCCGCTGGAAAAAGAAACACATCTATGATGTAGAACATCAAGAGTTCTTGCTCGTTGGTGGAGCAGAGGACCTACTCTTTGTTAAAAATCATTATCCACGAAATCTCCATGAATGGGTCTAGCTTGCCGAAAAAAGCAAGTCCAAATCTGCTGGCAGTACCTTCTGCACCTCTATCGTTGCAGCCAGGAACTCCAAGAAGTGCAAACTCTCCGACTGGTGGCTATCTACAAAAGGCAACACCGCAGTAGAAAAGTCCGGTGGGATTTCCACACCTCTGGCCTGAAAGGTTTCCACTAGATCGCTTTTGAGCAATACTCCTGAGCCCAGCTTGTCCAACTGTCTAAAGGTAACTCGGTACAAACGCAAATCTTCGCCATCGGTGCCGCAAAGATGCGCGAAGACGAAGAGGCCGACCTGATTTATTGAGTGCTTGATGGTGTCGTTTTGGAATGGCAGCTGCAAGGAAATTATTTCAATGTGAATCGCCTTCGTTAGCAAAGATAGATCATGACAACATATCAATATTTCGGAATTCCAACGCAAACTTCTAAGCGTAAGCGAAAACGATAAAAATAACAATCGCTATACCCTTTTCAAAGCCGGCATCTGCACGTACTCTGCCATCTTCTGGACGCAGTTGGTATCGAATGTGCTCGCCAACGCTTTCGCCATTCCTCCTGGTGGGGGATATGACAATTCCGTGTAATCATCAGGTGAGTAGGAGTCTAAAATGAACGGATGTCTCAATGCTTCTGCCGCAGTGAGTCGCTCTGCTGGATCCCTGGTAAGCATTCGCTGCAACAAGTCCACTGCTTCTGGACTTAGTAGCGGTATGGTTTTCTTCCACTCCTTATCCAAATATCGTGGATCTAGGATTTGCCTTTCGCACAGGATGTCGCAATCGTGAGTGAAGAGGGGTTCGCCCATTAGAAGAGCCCAAAGGATGACGCCCAAAGACCAGATATCGCACTGGCGGTCGTAAGGTTCGCCTGGTATTTTGTACTTTTTAGTAGAAGTGGTATCTGTGGAATCTGTGGTAACCAACTCGACAGTAGACTGGTCAAGTGCATAAAAATGTTGTAGCCCAGTACAAGAACCAAAGCTTCAACAGGGAAGGCTAGTACTTCATGACCAATTGATCTTCTCAACCAAGAAAATAGTCCTTTAACGGAGTTAAGTACCTTGCAGCATCTCCGGCGACATGTAAGCAATGGTCCCTATTGGCGTCGAGCTCCGATGTTCTGATCCAGCTCGATAGAATTCCGACAACCCCAAATCGATCATCTGCAAAGCACTCTTTGGATCTTGTTTTGAGAACATGAAATTCTCTGGCTTTATGTCTCTATGGATGATCCCATGAGAATGGCAACACAGAATCGCTTTCAGCATGTGCCTCAGCAAACGACCCGCTTCCACTTCGCCGAATCGAGGTGCTTCGTCCAACACCTCTACGATGCGGTCGAAAAGGTCTGGACCCTGGCACAGCTCAAAAATCAATACGTATTCATCGTCCTGATCGAAGAACTCCACTAATTTCACAATATGGGGATGATCCAGCTCCATCAAAATCGAAACCTCATTTTCGAACATCACCGTATCCTCTAGAGCTAGTTTGGGGATCTTCTTGGCGGCACGGGCTAAACCAGACATTTTGTGCACCGCGCGGACTACAGTCTGTCGTGGTGGTGTTCATTGGTGAAGAAGTTGAAGATGGGTGAAGAAGTTGAAGATGGGTGCGAGAAGGAAATATTATAAGAGTGCTGACTGATCATAATGTTGACGTTCTTCACTGAAGGAGCCTAAGAACAATGTAGCTACTGTTGACCTGAAGGAGATCTAGACAAAAAACTTAGTCTAAGCAAAAAGTGATAAGCCTCTAAAAATACCCCAAAAGCTCCCTCTCCCAGTTTATTCGCCGCTGAGTACACCTCTTCGAACCTCGAGTGGTTTTCTCGCACGATATGCGACCGCTTCATTTAAAGCTCAGCATTCAATGGTCACTGACTCTGAAAGAAATGGGCCCCATGCCTCTCCCTTTGCTTTTCCTTCATTTTCCCCTGTTCTCTCAAGAGGGATCTCAGTGACCAACCCCAATGACCATTGAAAGCTGAGCCTTAATTCATACTGATCGAAAACCTGGATCCCCCAGCTGCGGTACTGTACGTCCTGTGGTGTTGCGGGACGTATCCAGGAGATGCCACGAGCCGGATCGATGGCACCCCTCTCGAAGCTCGTTGACTCAAACGACGCCTGATCAGGTCTCCACCTGGTGCAGGTGGTGTCACCAGGTGGAGACCTGTGCTACGTGGGTTCGATGTTTCCCTTGCTATTGTCTCTCGTTCATCAAGATAGCTGTCTTCTGAAAAAGTCGATGCGTCGTCATCTAGGAGCCTGGATTGTCGTCCCGCTGATGTGACATCTCCACTTCCCGTCGTCATGCGTCCTGGCGCTGATTTGGTCTCGCCTATCAGATTCCGAGACCTCACTGCTCGTGCAACCGAACTAGCGCCACCTTGAGAATAACGGTTGAATAATTGCGCTGACGAGCGACGGGCGGGCTTAGTATTTTCATCACCTAGACGAAGATGAGAACCTTGATCGGAAGATGTTGTTGTGGATGATGATGAGGTCGCACTACTAGTATCTTCGGCCGACGCGGTAGAAGATGAGGGCGCGCCGCCACAGCTCACAGCAGGAGATGCAGAACTATTATTTCCGAGTTGAGAGCTCTTCGCTACGTCGTTCAGAAACATCGTATTTTTCACTTTCAAGTAGCATTCGTGCCAACTAACGGGGTCGTGATGAAGTCCGGTTGAGGTAGATGCACTACTAAAGGGAGGTACTTCTGCTGGTGCTGCTTTGCAGTCAGTCGCATTGGAACTAGCATGTGGTCCTTTATTCGACAGCTGTTGTTGCTCATTGTAAGACAAAATGTGCTCCCTGTAGTTCGATGGTCCTCTGTGCTCACAGAATACTGCCCGTGACCGCATAAAGCCGTTTGGCATTCCAGCATAAAAAATCGAGTTTGCAGGTGGATGAATGCTTGTTCTATCTCCTCCACATCGTTGTTGTCTCCGTCTTCGACTTCGCTTGTTGTCCTTGCTATGGTCTCCAGACTCTAGCTTTACTGCGCTGTGTCTCCTCTCGACAGCACGACTTGTATCTCCATCCTCTTCCTGCGGCACCCAGACTGGCCGTGTCGAGGACGAGCTGCCGCCATCCTGCCACCGCCGTGCTGCTAATGGTTGCGCCGCAGCCGCAAAAAGCGCTCCTGCGCTATGTTTCATGCTACTGCTTGTCGGCATCCCTAGCAGAGGATACTTGATATTTTCCGAAAAAACTCTTCCTGCTGGAAGAATGTTCGTGTTCTGATGATGTTCTGCGCCGTCCAAACAGCACAAATTTCTAGCGACCGTGCTGTTTTCTACGATATTTGATGAAATAGCTCGACTGGGAACATGATTTCCATTTGTAGTTGTAGAATGATTTGGTCTACTACTCGTTGTACTTGTAGCATTGAAGATGGGGATACGCGGCAGATTGGGGGTGCCGCGTTCAAAGATTGCGTGACCTCTAATGGGAATCTTCATTTCCCATCTCCTGTGACCCAATCGACCAACACAAAATCGTGCGGCACGCCTTCCACATTGAAGAAGTTGATGTTGATGACATGGTTGTATTGTTTCATATTGATTTTCGTAGTTAGAAGTAAATTGGATGTTAACCACCAGTTGCACAATAGGATAGGGAAAGCAATCAATTACAGGTAGATCACATATTCAAGACATTCATACGTACAAAGACAGATCACAAGAGCAGATGGAGACACGGATAATGATTATACGAACCGAAAAAAAGTGCAGTTAGTAGTGTCAACAAACAACAAAAGTGCAGTTAGTAGTGTCAACAAACAACAAAATGTTGATCAGTTATCGAGATATAAATTTCCAAAACGTCGGGCGGACAAAGCGCAAGCTCCTGCGTACTTGCGTGGCGCGGAGATAATACCTAGGATGAATGTTGTTAATGACTAGGAATTTATCCCAAAAAAAGTTCTCTCGTTATTCATTGTTGAGGACTAGCAGCCTATTGATTGGCTCTTCCAATTTATCGTTCGCATACAATTCTTCACTGCGCCACATCTTGTTGAGCCGCGCATCCGTGTAATAAACAACTGTCCAAAACAATAACACACCGGTGCTGATTCAGGGTATACTGTCTAGGGGGACTGCATCTTGACTAGTTGTTAGATCAGAATAAAAAGAGATGTCCGAGGAAAAAAAGTGCATGCGTACAACAACATCCTGTACGTCGTTAGTGGGGAGAACTTCCTACAAGAAATTAAAAAATATACGTATGCAACTCTTCGTACCTATTGAAGAATCGCCTCTCTCCAGCACATGCATCTCAGAAGTGTTTTGAGAACAGACTGACATCTGGTGTTGTGTCTCCAAGGAATCTCAGTAATCGGGATTCAGGATAAAGGTCTCTCATCACGCCTGAATTGAGAGTCTAGGAATCATTATTTTCTCCAATGATTCTCAGTCACTCACAAGAACGCGCAAAGCCGATTTCAGCCTCTCTCAAGACAACCACACCAGATACCGATGTGATGATCATAGGTTTACATACTAGTTGGAGGTAGCCACGACGAGGTGCAATATCAGTGAGCACCACGATGTTGACTCATGAGAGGTCTAATATGAGAGGAAAAGAGGAAAACCAACCTTAAGTTGTGTGCCTGTGTTAAAAAAGAGTTCATCACACGAGTCAGAGAGGAAGTTAAAAACGACGAGGTTCACCTATTCAATACGGGGCTTTGGATCTTCTTAGGCCTCATTAAGCCGGGTTGAAAATCTGATCATGTGCTTACTTAAGAGACTTTTGGGACGTTTTCTTAGAAAAAAACCTATTCTTAGTGGTTTTTTCAAAACGATGGTTAAATTAAACGGACACACTAGAGAGACAACATGAATGGAAATGGGAAAATAAGACTGCTACTATAATCTCAAACACAATGAGCTGCCGAGTCAGCCTAAAAACTGAAATATCCGGAAAAGTAAAAGTATTCTAGACACCAAGGTCGAGCCGAAGAAAAAATCACGAGAAAAGATGGCTCGTCTTAGAGGTTACGGAATTACATTCTTCAGAACATCCCTGGCCTCTCTTCTACTAGGAAAAGAGTCGGGGATGGTAGTGAGGAATGCAATTCGGAAATCCTTAATCTATGCTTTCATTATATCATGCAAAGAAATATCTTCTTGCAGCTGTCACAAGAAAACCGTATCTATCAGCTGCCTTGAACTTGTTCGTATCGACGCTTGAAAGAAACCGCAAGTCGCCGATAGCGCGCTCAGACCAGAAGCGGAAAAAAACAGCGCAACTGCCCACGATGCGCATCGGAAAAGATAACGAGGAAACCGCGGCTATGAAAGAAGCATTGAGGGAGGGATGTTTCCCCTTCTTCAACATAACCATCTACAAGGGATCTACTACTACAAGTAGAACAGCATGTAGACCAGCATGACAACCTCTTCTAAGTCTTCAATCATAACCATTCTGCCCAGTGGCGTGACCTCCAGCGTCTTGGCCAAAATGTTCTCCTGGTAAAAGCCACGTCATAGCGACCGGCAGTAAAGCGTCTCTTGCTTTCGACGTCACCCGGCGTGAGGCAGTTGTTTCTTGTTGTGCTGGACCAAGGTAAATAATTCTTAGAGCAAGGTCACGGATAATGCTAAAAAAGGAAATACTACAAGTTGCATTAGACATATCTTTGGACTCTTTTTCTCTCCTAGGAGAAGCAACCTGTGCTTTAACGACATCGGAGAGAAAAAAGGCAACCTGTGCTCTAACGACATCAAGCTGGTATTGTACTATCAAAGGCCATAAGTTTCCCCCCACCTGTCCCCGTCCGTCGTAGTCTAACTCCGCACTTGGAGCACTACTTTGTCTTAGAGAGGGGGACACAGATGAAAACATGCTGATCATCAAGAAACTGCGTTTCTGACTGTTTAGTCTCTACCACTTACGAGTTCCTGGTACTAATCGATCCGTTCTCATTTCCACCCAGATTGATAGGAATGCATCTCTTTTCCCGTGTTCTTCTTCAAAAAGTCTAGGGAGAACAAATCCCAAATGAATCAACCGTAATGCAACCAAGCCACTCGGAAAAAAGAGATGGTGTAATCTGCTTCCGCGCAAAAGTCGTCCACTCTGTTCAAGGCTATGCAGAAGGGTGCGGTGCGCGGGAACGCTGTTGGGGGACAGCAGTTCACTACGCCCAAAAGACAACACGGGGATGAATTCGCTGCTTAAGCCTGTAATTAGATGAGGAGGAGGAGGAGGAGGAGGAAAATCCATGGCATCGTTGGTGCGGTCTGGGAGATCAGTAAGGAAAACGGATTCCTGATGTCAAGCTGATGCAGTTCCTTCGACGAGGATGTGGATGGTCAATTTTGAATTCACAAAGGAGATGAATCTATTTCACGGAGCGCATGCACATCAAACGTTCATAATAATTGTTGCGCCTGCTGCAACAGTGTCCCTGCTTGTAGTGCACCTCTATTTGTTCTACTCTTCGGTGACAATGGCGTAGAGCTTGCAGAAGTAGTGGATGATGTTTTGATATTACCGGAAAGAGTTCTGCTATTGCTTCGTCCGATGGCAACTTGACCATTCAAATTCATCGCCGACGTGACATGAGCGTTCAAACCTCCTTCTCCTGCTCCATTCGGAGCTTGCTCCAAGAAGTCATGGCGTCGGTCGATCCCTTGCTCCTTTCCTGCTTGAAGATAGCCGTAGAAGTCTGGCTCTAAAATATAAGGCGGATCCCCGACTGGAGAGTCCTCCTCGAAGGGAAACAACAAGGTTCTTGCCACCTTTGGACGATTTGGGCGAAAGTGAAGAAAACCACACAAAGGTATATTCCGGTCCTCGAACACCGCTCTTTGTGCAGGATTATCATCGTCGAGCGAGAAATTTTTTTTGGGATTAGAAATCCTATCCGGGAGACGATCCTCATCTGCATCTCGCTTAACCGCTGTTCCGTCTACGTCTGGATTCTGCGTAACCGCTGTTCCGCTTTTGCTCTTGTCGTCTTTTTAGTCTTAGATGTTGATGGGCAAGAGATTGAGATTTACCTTTAGGCCAAAAGCATTCTTGCCATCGATCTCCTCGTACATAGATAGCTCGAAAGCTTGACTTGCAATTTTCGAGACAGACTGATTTGGACAACATCAAAAATCAAATAGTGCCATAATTTCCAAAAAGAGGACTACCTCCGTTGGCTTCTACGTCGGGAGCGGTGGCTGAACTGCCTTTCTTCGGCGATTCTGCTGTAGTTTTCGCCCGCCAGTAGCGCGCTTGATGCAAGTGTCTCCGCCTAGTGGCCAGACTCGGAAATTGATGGTGATGGCCGTCTAGTCTTGAAGATGTAGATGCATTTGCAGGAGTATCTTGTCGTCCTCCTGCTGTAAGAGCCGTCCTAGAATCTGGCGCAGCTCCAGGAGCACCGGGTATAGTGGCACGCGACGCTGCAGACAGAATACTTGCCGAGACGACAAAGGCGCCAACATTAGAAGAAGGTGCTGGTGAATCGAAATATTACGAAAAAGGGGTAGTTTTCTATTTGATGGTCTTGTAATATAGAGGTCCTTTTAAGGCTTTTCCCCAAACAAAGCGAAACACCAATTGGAAAATATTAATGAGATTATGTATCATGAGGGAGTGAGATTATAACCAAACTCCATAAGCAAAGGCGGTCTATTCCTGGTAGTACTTGCAAGTCGAGAGGGAGATGGGAGTCGCGCATCTCGATCTCCTGGGCCGCCAGCCTCCTCAGCTGCTAAGTCGTCCTCTACTAAGTAGTCAATACCTACTGGACTAACTACGAAAGCCCGACCGTTCAAACGGACGCATAGGTGGTGACAACGCCCCAACGTATGAAAGGGAAAGGTAGAAAAAAATAGTAGTAGTGGTGTACCCATTCGTGGGGTATTGAAAAGTTTTGAATTCGCAGGTGGTCCTTCTTTCTTTTTCTATTCTTCCTTTCTTTTCCCCCGACATCTTTGCAGATGTGATCGGTAGAAGTCAGGAAACGTTGGTTTTTTACGGATTCATTAATCTTCACAATTTTGCATAGTTGTTCTTGTTGCTACGAGTACTGACTCCATTCAAGCGTCAAAATCAAAAATGCCCTTGCCATAAATATCGCATACTTCTTTTACCAATGCTGGATCCGACCCTCCCGCCAATGTTTGCAGATCTGTGCTCACGAGACGCACGTTGCGCATTAGGATACTAAACCTGAGGTCTGGAAGTCGAAAGGGAAACCTATGCAACCAGTCCGGATCATACTCGTCTATGCTCACTGCGAGAGCGGGAGCAAACAACGTGCCCATTCTTGAAAAGTCGCCTGAGTAATCGACTCTCTCGAGAGATTCGAGCATAGGGAAGTCTTCGTTGCGGACTCTCGCTACAACGTCTACATGTGGAACTAGCTTATCTACGGATTGCGCACTACCTTGCAAGCTTTCCGCCAGCTCCTTCTCTGGCACAAAACGCCCTGTCTTCTCGCCACGCGCTTTCACCCTGATTTTTTGGTTGCAGGGCTTAGAGTTTGTTACGTCGAATGCAAAGTCTAGAGTTAGTTGCAGAGTCATCTTCCAAACGACGTTTGCAAATGAGTCTTCACAACGAATTTGATAATCCCAAAAATTCTCTCTCCAGAACGAGGAGGTGCAACAAAATAAAGCTATAGATACTCCATCTAGCAGAAAAGAACAGCTTGTACCTCCTCCTCACGACTTCTTCAGGTGCGTAGACAAACACGACGGCTATTCGATAGTGTGGAAACCTTTTGCGGATATCCTGAACCTGCGACACAACCCAATCGGCATTGCGTAAAGAACCATCTACCCATACATTCTGCGACCGGCGCAAAGCCGCTTCTAGACATAACTCCTGCAGTGCGCCAGACTCCTTGTGGCACATGGTACCTGTTAGGGGGGGCAAGTGGTAATAAATTGTCTTTAATATTAGTTATGCAATCTTATATTGTTTGAAGGGGCTACACGCTAGAGGTAAAAACGAACCGGTTGTTTTATTTAATCTAATACAACTAGGAACGAACCATCTTAAAAGCCATAAGTTGTCGAGGATGAAGCAAGGGAATACCTGCCTCATTCGCGAATCCTCTTTCTATGTAGTGGTCGAACTCAGGCATCAGCGTTTTAAAGAGGTCAGGATCTATCCTCACGCACTGTTCCATCGGAACGTAGCCTGTGGCACTAAGCCACCGCATTACGTATCCTTTCCCAGCACCCATTGCTCCGCCAGTAAATTAGATGAAGGTCGTATCGTTTCCTTCAGGTGGACATGGCAGATTTAAAGGTAAGAACTACTACGAGGCAATTTTCGAGAATCTAATTTCTCTCCTCGTACCGATCTGGTGGAAAATTACTACATTTTTTTTTCTACTTAAAGCGAAAACAACTAAGTATATTAAGCGAAAACTCTTTCATAAGAGTAAATCAACCATGGTCTGTGAATCGGCTCTGACTTACGGATAGTGGAGGCGACCACGCGGTCTTGCCATTGTTGTCGGAGTTCGGAGTAGTGGGCGTGATAGGAGTAATCCATTTTCCGCCGTATATCATCCCAAGGTCCTCCGAAGAAAACATTGCTCCCTGGAGAGGAGGCTTCTACAGAGGGCGGCTCTAAAGCATAGTTTTCTTCCGTTGATCGACTGTAATCGTAATCTGGTGGAGAGGGGAAGAAGAAGTAAAGAGAAACTCATAATTGGAGTTGCCGATAGACTGCGTTTCAATTGAGAACAAGATGATTCTACGTAGTTATCTCGTAGTTATTGAGAGAAGCTGCGTAGATGAAAGCAAGAATTGTTGAGCTAGAAGTCAAAAACATTTCAGAACAAAAAAGTAACCCACCTTCAGGCACTGCAAACGACGTGACTAGTGTTGGCCCTCTCGCCATGCTCTCCAAGACATTTCTAAGAAACTGAGCGCGCAGAGCTGCTTGCCTAAATCTACAAAACGTCACTGCTGTCGGTGGCGCATGCGAGACTGCGGAGTCTTGTCGAAAGTTAGAAACGCTCTTTTTTGTTTTAGCAAAATTCGACTCTATTCATTCATACGGAACCATTTGTCAAAGTGCTGTAATTTTGTGTCCCAGTCGTGTCTAGGCGCGCCTTATTCTACGAGCCCACACCATTACCATTTCAGGGCAAAACACACGACCCCCATGTCGTGATCTTGATCAAATGTCATACTGAAACGCAGCAAAAATCCTGTTCATAATATTCAGACTCCTGCTAGTACTAGCTGTACTGCCGTTTCGCTTGATCGTTGTGACTTCGCGAGGCTGTGACCCTGGAGACGGAGTTGTTCTAACAAGCTCCTCCTCCTCGTCATGTTCCCGTTGTATTCCTACTGGTGAAGGGGGACCACTCGTTTCAATATCGGGTGTTGTCATAGTATCAGGCATAGTAGTGGTTGTAGTTCCATCACATAGACTTGTTTGATATGATGGCATTGTTGTATTTTGTTTTGGTGAAGCAGACGTAGAAGAGACACTAGGATGTGCACCTTGCCTTTGACCTGTAGTGACGCCTGAGGACGAAACAAATCGCATGCCGTGACTCCTTCTGGTGCCGTCGCTGCTGGCATCGTCTTCCTCAACAAGAAAATCGCGGAGGCCGATTGAATCCCCACATTTCTTAGAAATTTTCCTAAGAAGTTTTTCAGTACTCCAGAAAAGCAACAACCTCTTGTTGCAAAAGTACGAGATCATTCAAATTCAAAGGCGTCATGAACGACGACGCCTATCGGTATTGACCACTCACTTTCGAGAAAAAATGATTACAACATGAGTCTTTCTAAAGAAAGGCATACACAATAGACCACTACCACACAAATTTCGTTATTACAAAGTCATGAGATGGGCCGGGGAATACCAAAGCACTTTGTATCTTCTCAACAAACGAAATCACATGAGTCCCATAACAGCAGATGAGCTGAGGCCAGTTAGGGCACGGGAATCAACGCCGGTTCTTCCCGTTTGGTCGTCGCCGAACATGCTAGCTACATCTTGAAAATCGTTGCCTAGGTACTTCGAAAGAGTCGGCATGGGCGCAGGATGTTGTGGGTTGTTGTGTTAGAGACGTAGAAAGCCTATGAGAGAGGATGGGAGAAATTCGTAGAACCCAAAAGCGACGCAGGGAAATCGTAGGCCCCATCCGAATCGACTAGCATCATCAGAAAGCACTGCTCTAACCCAGCTACATGAATGTATGGCAATTTATTTTGTTGTTGAAAGGGCTAGATCTCTAGAGGTATTGTATATTTATTATTGTATATCTATTATAGCTACATGAATGTATGGCAATGTATTGTATATTTACTATTTAAAACATGGCAATGTATTGAAAGCCTAAAACAAAAATGGTAAGCATAAGGCTGAGGTGGGGAATTACTTCCACGGCTCGCATCGCTTGCCGCTCTTTCTTTCAAGGGCTTTGGTTCCAACGGCTTCTGCTCCACGCTGCCAACAAGGACATGCCAAATCCGGCTAACTTCCTCAGGATGCAATGCTAGGTCGCTATTTTGCAGCGTGAACGAGATTAGAGCTGAATGAGAATGAGAGAAGACACAGGGTAGCCAGTGACGAAGAAGCAGTGACAAAGTGGGTAGAAAGAAAAAAGACACAGCAGGCAAGAACTACCAGTGACAAAGAGGCCACACCAGTGACAACACAAGGGAACCAGTGAGAAAGTGGGTAGAAAGAAAATAAAGATGCAGTCGAAAAAAAGCTTAATGCGCCATACTTCAAAAGTTTTTTGATCTAGTTCCAACTCCTCGTCGCTGGCTAGGTCTTCCTCTTCTGCGTCAAGTTTCAAAGTCATAGACCGGGATACACTTCTTAGACCACGCACCCCTTCCGGCGTTTCCTCCTCATCCCCTTGCAGCTTCACGCTTTTCCTGGTTCTTCTGATCTTAGATGATTCCGAAAAAATAAGCCGGGCCTAGTATGGACTAGGCTGTTTCCGAAAGGATGAAGAATTATGCCTCGGTTAAAAATAAATCATAGAGATCATTATTTGCTCCCTTAGGACAACTGCGCTGGAATCAAAAAATGGAAATATCTTACCTTGCCCTCGTCCAGCTTCTACTTTTCCGATAAACTGATTATCAACCCATGAACATTTTTTCACTCATTCATGCACTCTACCCTGGCCTTAGCTCGAAGCTGAACATGAGTAATGGCAAATATGCATGTAGACCTTAGAATATCAGGAAATATGATGGAATTAGTAAATATTTTTGAGTGGTTTAAGTTTTAATTTTCCCAGTTGTCATACGCACTATATCCGAGGACGGACTGCTTGACGCTTTTCTATACGCTGCAGGAGTCGTTGGTGATGCACGAGACCGACTCACTATACGCTGCCAGCATTCACGAAGCTTATCATCCTCATGCCAGGTGATGAAGCTGCGGCCGCAACTGAGTCGCTCAGCGGGCGAGCTTATGTCAACGCCCTCCATGATGCTGAATGAGCCGCGGTTGGCTGTTTAGTACGTCGCTATTGAGATGATGTGCAGCGGCCAGCTTGCGTCAGTGTTGCTGTTGCAAAACTGTACATCTATTCCTTACAGAAGCTGCCGTGGTTTTTTTACTCAGCACTGTACACGACACTTCAGAATAGGTACAAAGTTCTTCACCGTTCTTTTTGTTGTAGAGTGCCGCAACTTCTGGCGCTGGTAGTACTGTTCTCTTGCATCACTCAATTCTGTACTGCCCAAAACGCAACGAAAGAAAAAAGTTCTGGCACATGTTCATTTCTAATCCTGCTATAGATGAAGACTTCTCCTGCTACAGAAGACTCCGCCTCCTACTACAGTTCACGCTTCTCCTGCTACAGAAGACTCCTCCTCCTACTACAGTTCACGCTGTTCACCAACATAAACTCCCATGTCCTTGAGCCCTTGTGTTTCTGAAGATGTCAGGGCCGAACTTGGTCTTTCCTTCTCGTAGCAAACGCGGGTCCACGTGTTGCGTATGCCGCGAGCTTTGCCGACGAAGAAGACGACGTCTGCCCCGCCCAACAGCCATTCTTATCCCTTGTCCTGGAAAAGAATATCTTCATTATTCTTCTTCTACAAGTTTATACTTTTCTAAGGAGATGAGGATAATTTCTAACCATGCAGTCATACATGGAGTACGAGTCAGAAACCCATCAGTCATTTCATTAAAACCAACCATCAAGTGCGCAAATAACCAGTGGAGTTAGTGCGCATATAACCATCATGGAGTGAGTGCGCATATAACAAGAACCAGTGCTTCCATTATAATGCATATTGACGAATAACTATTTTCGAGTGGAACGGCAAAGTCAGTTGTGCGTATCAAATGCAAGAAAGATGATTCGTCCTCTCCTAAAATAAGGTCTAGTGTAGAAATCTAGGCGAGAAATTCACTTAACCGTCTTCATGCGCTCGGAACAAGTATGAAAAAAAAAACTGCTGACTACATCAAGAAGAAAAAGTTATATGATGATGAACTGGAGCTACTACTAAGTACTTTTTACGTTTCTAAGTTCTTACTGATTCACTCATATCCACATCGATCGTTCAATCTCGACGTCGTTCATCTTCCATGTGGTCGTTCATATTCCATGTGAAGAACAGCCGCAATGGTATAAGAATTCGTAAATCAACATAACGGGTGATTTCGATTCATAGTTGACGAATTTTCTTGGTCGAACTGAAAGCGTGCCATTCTAGAGCGCCAGTCTTTCATCCGCCTCCTTGATTTGCGAAGTCCCATCAGGTAGTCATAGGAAAGTCTTCTTCGTGGCCTTGTCTTACACGTTGTGGCGGAGCCTTAGAAAACAAAATGCAACAGAAAGGAAGATGTAGAAAAGGCCGAACGCACTAAATTAATTCATAAGTGATGTTAGACTCATGCTTAGATGTATTTCTTATAAGTGATGTTGGTTCTTCCGGCAAAGCCGGGATTTTGGGGAAGAAGGCAGACGAACGTCGGCCCGCGGGGGTTCTCGGCTCCGCGCGAACCGGCTGCCAGTCTCGGAGCATGGGGCCCGAAGGTGAGCCCAAGGTTGCGGACTCGTGGCCCTTTGCTCCAAAACCCCCCTTCTCTGCGCGTTGCTTTCAAAAAGTCTGCAGGAGTCCGGGCTCCCGGGGGAGGAGAAGGAAGGCGGACGGCGGCCCGCGTAAGTTATCGACCCAGCGCGGATCGGGTGCCCGGCTCGGAGCACGAGGCCCGAAGCTAAGCCGAAGGGCGCGGGCTCGTGGCCCTTTGCTCCAGGGCCCCGCCTTTCTGCGACTTCTTCCGGCCAAGTCTTCAAAGGCCTGGGCTGTCTGGGAAGGAGAAGGGAGGCGGACGGCGGCCCGCGTAAGTCCGTGACTCCTCGCGGACCAGCTGCCAGGCTTGGGGCACGGGGCCCGAGCTGCGGAGCCTAGTGCGCCTTCTGCCGGGCCCGCAATAGTTCCCTGGGCTCAATTTCGGGGGCGGTTGAATAAGAAGCCTACGGGGGTCCCAGGGCCAATCGCCGGTAGGTGCTAGGCGAGGAAGTAGGCCCGCGAACGTCTCGGGGGTTGAACAAAACCCCCAGGGGCTTCTCCACAGGCCCCTCTAGAGCGCGGCGCACGCCCTACGGGCCGGCTGCAAAGGTGGCCGGAAGGTAACCGGGGAGCCCGTGGGGATCCCACAGGAGGCCCATTAGATTCCGCGGCCCCTTTTTCAGGGGGGAAAGGCCGGGAACCTAGTGGGGGTTTTTGTCCACAAAACAAAGTCCCCCTCAGTTCCCCCCTGGGCGCCTATAGAGGGCGGCGCTGCCCGTAGGCGGCCGCGGTGCGGTCGGGGCGACAGGCGTAGGGCTGCGATCGCCCTCCCCAGCGGCCTACGGGATCAAAGACCGCGCGCTTTCAAACGGGAGTGGAGAAAGCCCCAACGAAGTTCCGCACTGTCTCCATTTTTCTCGGCTTTTGCCTTGTGAAGTCGCAAAAAGTCCTGGCTTGGATGGTCGTTGCGCCACAGCTAGAGGGCGACAGCAAGCCACGCGCGTCGCGCTGAGGCATAGAAAGCCGCCGCCGCGAGCCGCGAACGCACGCGCCGGCCCTCCCTCCACGGCCGCGCGCTTTTGCACGTTTGCAGCGCAGAAGCCTGCAAAGAAAAGTTCCGGGCTTTTGGGAAGAGAGCAGGCGGAAGGCAGCCCGCGTTTGTCGTCGACTCATCGCGGCCCGGCTGCCAAGCTGCAGGACCATGGAGCCAGCGGGCGCGGCCTCTGTTGCCCCAAAAGCCGTGACCTTTCAAGCGTCCAGCGCGGCAGCCTCGCGGCCGTCGGGGCTTTTCGGCCAACCGGCAACCGGCGCGGGGGTTTTCGTTGCCGTCGTCGACCCACCGCGGCCCGGCTGCCGAGCTGCAGGACCATGGGGCCAGCGAGTGCGCGGGCGTGGTCTCTTTTGCTCCTAAAGCCGTGACGCTTCAGGCGTTCAGCTTGGAAACGCTTCAAAGGTCGGGGCCCTTCGGCCAATCAACAACCGGCGCGGGGGTTTTCGTTGCCGTCGTCGAGCTATCGCGGCCCGGCTGTCAAGCTGCAGGACCATGGAGCCAGCGGGCGCGGCCTCTCTAGCTCCTCAAGCCGTGACTTTTCGAGCGTTCACCTTGGAAGCCCGCGAAAAGCCGGGGCCCCTCGGCCAGTCGGCAACTGGCGCGAGGGTTTTCGCTGCCGGCGTCGACCTATCGCGGCCTAGCTGCCAAGCTGCAGGACCGTGGAGCCAGCGGGCGCGCGGGTGTGGTCTCTCGTGCTCCTAGAGTCGTGGCCCTTCAGGCGTTCAGCCTGCAAATTCGGCCAATCGACAACCGGCGCGAGAGTTTTCGTCGCCGTCGTCGAGCCATTGCGGCCCCGCTGCCGAGCTGCCGGACCATGGGGCCAGCGGGCTCGCGGGCGTGGTCTCTCGTGCTCCTAGAGTCCTGGCCTTTCAGGCGTTCAGCCCCCAAATTCGGCCAATCAACAACGGGCGCGAGAGTTTTCGAAGCCGTCGCCAGCTCATCGCGGCCCCGCTGAAGAGCTGCAGGACCATGGAGCCAGCGGGCGCGCGAACGTGGTCCCTCTTGCTCCTCCAGCCGTGGCCCCTTAAGCGTTCAGCTTGCAAACCGTTCAAGCGCAGCGGCTTTTCGGTCAATCTGCAACCGGCGCAAGGGTTTTCGTCGCCGCCGTTGGCCTGTCGAGCTACATGGCTACGGGGCTGCCCTTCCTGCCCTAGAGGCCGCGAGCGTTTACGCACTGAACAGAAAAAGCCTCCAAAAGCTGGGGGCCTCGGTCGCCATAAGCAAGAGAGCGGGACGCAGTGGCTCTTTTCGTCATTGACGTAGGGGCGGGAAGCGGTGGAACGACTTGCAGCCGATTAATCATCTTGCAGCGGCTAGATTTTGCGAAGAATAAAACCGGGCAACGATGTCGGGGCGCTGCTTTATTTCGGCCGTTTTTGTTTTTTGTGTTTTGCTTTTTTCGAAGCCGGCGCCTTTCGCTTCTTGTTTTTAGTCACCTCCTCGGGCGGCTTCGGTGTTTGATGACACAGGGGGGCTTTATTTTGATGGAATTGCCTGGAGTGTTCAGGGAAGGCCTCGCCTCACTCGTCCGGAGAGTCTTACAAAATCTGCCCTCCCCCGCCCGGCGTTTAAAAATTGGAAGCGGGTAAGCCTTGCGGCTTACCAATGTAAGACCGGAAGCAGACCGAACCCAAAACAAAGCAAACTAGCAAGCCTCTCGACATTGAGAGGACCCCGCGGCCCTCTGTTCTAATATCAGAGCCGCGACGCCGCACAGCGTCCGCTCTGTGTCTAGATTCCTCCACAGTCTCGGCGCAGCCATCTGTCTGCGAATGATTCTAATAGCTACGCGCTGGCTACGTGGTGAAGAATGTAGCCTCGCGCAAGGCTTCGGCGGCGGCCTCTTGCGAGGCGGCTCCAGCGGGCCCTGCCCCCAGCCTCCCAGGCTTTTCGAGAAGCTTGGAGAAGACCCAGCCACGAGCCTCGACCGGGCTGCCGCAAAGGTCTCGGGGCGGGTCGAGTGGGGGCGCGCGGTCCCGAAGCAGTCCGGCGCCCACTATGGTTTTTCTCTATGTTCTTGCGGCAGTTTGGTGCCGTCTCTAATTGTCTCCAAAATGACAGGCGGACACGTCTCAGATTGATCAAATTCGCACAACTTCGACCCTTCACCGACAAGACCCCCAGCGGCTTCATTTCGTTGCGGAGATGGACCCCCTTCCCCGGATGAACGAAAAAAAGGGCGCCCTCGGCCGCGTGTGGATTCTAGTCGCGAGAGCTTCCCGACTCCGAGGGGGCTCCCCGTCTTGAAGCGGTCCAGAGCTCGGCGGGAGCTCTCTGAAAGACAAAGACGGGGAGCGCACTGCACTCGCCTCCTAGCCCACCGCAAGCCACCGCGCGGCGCCCTCGACTTTCAGGAGCGAACCAAGCACGTAGAAGACCGAGCGGGACACACTGCGCACGCAGTGCAGCCCGCCACCAGCCACCGAAGCGCGCCCTCGAATCTCCTGGAAGAGAGGAAAACGAGGGGGAAACAAAAGAGAAGACAAAGGCAACACAGGCGGGACCGTGTCGACCGGGTCACCACTGGAGAACCACGCGCAGCCAAAGCCGCAACACCGTCACGCCATCCCGCCCCTTGCCTCTCTTGTTTCTCTCCCCGCTTCTCGCTCCTCGAGATTCGAGGGCGCGCCGCGGTGGCTGCTGGCATCGGGCTCCCTGCGGTTCAGAAGACCCAAGAAAAAGAAGAGGGAAGAGCAGAGAAGACGCACACGCAGCGCGTCGCAGCCTGCCCCGTTTGGGTTCCACGCTCAGCGTATGCCCCAAGCCCGGCCCAAGTTTCGAGCATGCTGCGAGTTTCAGCCCTGCCCCGAGCTCCGGGCGTGCTTAGGGCTCGCCTGTTTGGTTTGAGGTCGGCAGGGCTTCCGGCGGGCGGGTTTGGTCGGCTTGCGCTTGGTTTTTGAATGTGCTCGGTTCGCGTTTCCGTTTGGCGTGGGTTTGGTTTGGGTTTGGCTGGAGTTTGATTTGCGCGCGGGCGTG